TCCTCGTTTTCTGGGTTCTTCTTGGCAGCCTTTTGAGCAGCCTTACGGGCCTTGCGAGTCTTGCGATCGCCCTTGCCAAGTTTCATGTTGGCAAAACCAACAGCATCATCGAGATCCAGGTGAGCGGCAAAGTACCAGCGGCGGTAGTTCGCATTGTGTCCACCAATGTAATCGGCGTGGATGGAGAGCAGGGCTTGGTTGGGGGTCATACGCGAGGCGCGAGAATCCAGCATGGTCATCATGTGGTCGTACATGTTACGCATGCTGTCACGCTGGAAACCGAACTTGTTGACCAGGTCCAAGAAGATATCTTCTAGCTCCTCTTTCGAGAGAGGGATCTGAGCATCGGCACTCCACGCTGGGTATGGCTCACGCGAACGTTGGCCAGCCGGCAACGCGTTCCCGTACTCCATTCCGTAGACCGGAGTGGAGGCACCGGATGAACGGTTGGCACCATAGGAGATCTGAGATGACGGAGGGCGGTAGCCGCCGCGGCCATATTGACTGTCGGTGTAGCTGTTGTACTGGTCATCGCCTCGGCCGTAGTAATCCATGTCGGCGGCACGAGCAGTCTCCGACCTCATGGTGAAATCACTAAAGGTCTCCGAGTCTGCCTCCGAGTCGTGTCCCCGTCGGCCGCGTCCGTATTCTCCTTGACCCTGGTCGTAATACTGGTCACCATAGTACTGATCTTGTTGAGCACCTCCTTCGTAGTAGCCTCCATCGGCGTATCCGTGGTCAGCCTCGGCACCATGCGCACCACCTTCAGCACCACCGTAGTAGCCGTTTCTGCTCCCTTGTTAGCTCTCATCATCTCGTTGGCGGGCATTCCGGGTTTCCCTTACCCTTGGTCGTAGTAACCATCTCCATAGGCCTGGTTGTCATAGTATCCCTGGGCGTGTTCGTCTTGGTAGTAAGAGTCACCGTGGGCCTGCTGGCCGTAGCCATCCTCATAATGACCACCGCCGCCGGCAGCGCCTGCGTAACCCGACATGGCGAATCTGTCGCGATCGATTTCAAGGGCGGTCTGCCTTGTTTAGCGGCTGGACTCCCTTTTTCTTCAATGTGTTCTCGTGCTCACCTCAATTCGCAACCATTCACAGTAGTATTTATGCCGAAAGTTGGAAAATTAATGCTGCATCGACAAAAGCAAAGAGTGTCAAACTCAAGTAACGAATGAAAGGGGTGAAAGAGTGGGATTATAGAGCAAAACAGCAACCTCCGTAAAGCAAGAGCGAAGGGAAGGGGGTTGGAGAGAAGGTGAGAAAATGCTGGGTGTTATTTTTGGTCGGGGGACTGTCTAATTTACCGTCACCATTACAGGGAAAGGGTACGTGTTCGACTATCAGGTACCCAGTACCTGGCTCCAGTATGCGGGGCCCCTATCCCAGCCAGGTACTCAGAACACCATGCTTTCCCTCGCTCTCCTTCTTCTTTACTCTTCTTTACCATACTTGACCATACCTCCCTTATCCTGATCTGTATTGTCCAGTCGTTGTTTTATTTTTTTTCTGGTTTGCTCAATCTTGATTTCGTGTATTTTCCACTTCAGTCCACTTGTGAATTACAGTGTCTCCGTTCAACCAATGAGTGTTTCCCTCTTCCCATCGGATTCCAAGGGAGTCTCGACGGCCCCTGAAACTTGCCCCACTCGGTAATGTCCCATACCTGTTGTTCTGTTATGATTACCCGGTATGCAGGGGCGTTATGCTATCTCATTCCTCGTTACTGTGCACTTGGGTTGGACATGTCATATATCAAGTTCTCCAAAGAAATCCCCGTGGCTGACCTCAGATGGTGCAGGTGAAGAGCTGTTGGAACTTCCAGTGTACTTAGTAGTTGGGTTCCGTGGTTATCCAGCGACGGAACCATGCAACCAGCTCTCTCCCACTTTGCTTTTCTTTAATTCTGCGGCTCCCTGTCTATTTGGGGCCCTTTCTTTTGTTCTCATCTCCACGATCGTCAATTCCGGTTTCTCTTTTGGTGATTTGTTGGCTCTTAGACTTTAATGAACTCCAGTTTGCCACTTCAATACAAGTGTCTCAAACTGGAGTATTACATTTGACTTTCCGCCGTTGGAGCTATCCTAAACACAGAGTGGCTGGCACGCCCGCCATACACAGCACTTATCGATATCCACCTTACCACTGAACCACCCACACCCATGCAATAAAAACTCAATCGGGGCTATATTTATCTCCATTCACTGCTGACAAACTCCTAACCTTGGATACACTTGTACACATTGGAAAGTCTTGAAACTAAGACATTTCACCTGGTCCCTTATCGCTGACTGCCACCATGTTTTTCCCTTCTTCCTCTTCCTCTTCTCCATTCTCACCGATGAACATTATATATATACATACTGTATACAGTACACTTATTCATTCAATATTACCACTTTACACACTAGTACAGTAAGCACTGATAACCCCCACCCATGAAGACCCAGACATTCGTCTCGGTCCACGCACCAAGTGGATCACCAATTGCTTTTTTCTCGGAGAGCCTCGACTCGCCTACTGTACAGTACGCAACGGCGTGCGAGTACAGTACTCTACGCGGTACATGTGCCACGTAACTGACAGAGTCAACAACACAAGGCACTGCAGTCTTCTCCATCAAGAACTCTGACCTTGTACTCCCTCTACCCGCAGCTGCATGCGCAGGAACCGATACATCAGCTGCACCATAACCGATCGACTTGATTCGCATCTTACCGTACTGTACCCAATGTACAGTAATGGAAGTGCCGCTCTCCTGATACTGTGGTCGAATGAATCCCCATGATCATGATTCCACCAATTTCCATCGCCAATAAAACTGGGGATGTCGGCCCATCCCCTCCATCACCGACTGTACTGTATGCCCCTGATGCTCCGGATCGCCAGCTGATCTGATCCCACCACCAAAAATAACCTGTCTAGCAATCATTGATTCTGAACGCGGTCTAGTTTTCCGATCATAGCCGGCTGGCTTACCCTAGTGTAGCACATTTATTGGTGCCTCTAGCCTTGTTCTTCGAACACGCTAAGCTCGGTTTCAGCTGTACAGGTAACTTATAACCTTCCAAGGTTTCCATACTAGACTAGTACACCCTTGTAATGTACACAATTGTCACTTGTGCCCACCCATTCCCCCCGTTCTATTCCCACTTATGATCTGAAGCCGAACCTCCCTATCTATTTATCGGACATGGCTTGCACTTGCTGCTGCTAGCTCGAGCCACACGCGTCGATGGCTGTCACTGGCGTTTCTGGAAGCCGAAGCCCCGTACGGAAGCTCTGCCATGGGTTGTCTAATCTTGACTGAAGTATAGTATTGTCCTGTGCATCCTTCTCCCTGACCCCTGAACAAAGCCCCCAGTCGGGTCGGGATTCGCCTTCTCCGATCTGCCTTTTATTTTTTTTACAGTACTGTACATTTTGATTTTCATTTAATTTTTGTCCTTTTGGTTTGCCACCCGTCTATCGCTGAATATCGTTATTATCATATGCATGTTGCCTGCACATGTGGACAGAGTGGCCAGTGAGATGATTTCCATCCTTTGTCAAGGGGGGCTGTGGTCTTCTCTCCACTTTTTGGTCGATGTGGTGGCCAATCAGATCCTGGAATTGGACGCTCTTCTCTTGATTTGTGCGTGACGGAGTGGAAGGGCCCGAGGGGCTTGCATAATCTTGTTTTTGGCTGTGTGGGTTGATTGGGTTGGTGGTAATTAGGTGCTGTTTTGGTGGCTGGTTTGAAACTTCGTTTTGGTGATATATATGCGGCATGGGGTTACTGTACGGGGTACGGAACACTGAGATTGTTGTAGATACCGGTCAATATTGGATTTAATAGGAAATCCAGTACTAGTCATCGAACTTGATATGTAAGTGGCACTAAAACTAGGTAGATATCACTCGGCATACACTGTGAGCCATCTTCACACAATGTTTGGCCACTTGTGACAGGATATGTGTGAGCTCGCCTTGCTGTGCCAATCCTTTTGCGATGCAGTGTTATATCAATCTCAAGTCCTCTCATCCACATATACTAGGAATCCAGAGATGGAGATAGGACAAAGCCCGGGCCCTCCGTTCATAAAGTATAGCAAACAGCACACCATACAGGATGGTTTGACGGCGCATCTATCAACAAACACATCATCGGGCTAGAGGTATTGTAGATCTCCCGTAGCTCCATCGTTACAGGTGACACAAGGTGCCAATAATTCCGATCCCTCTTCCCGAGCGATGTGACTTTGATTCCACCTATCAACTCACTATAGGTGGACAGTGTCCGGCCCGACATGAGTACGACTTCCGCGGGTTATCAAGCCTAATGTTCTCTGCACAGTACGTATTTCCAATATCAGTTTTACTTGTGTACTGGGTTAGTATAAGCAATGTTATCTTGATAGGCAACTAGATAATAGATACCCACGGTAAATGGCTTGACTCAGTCAATTCCTTCCACTCTTCTGTACACTCTACTCTCTACTCTAAAATACCACTCACCATCCAATACACACTTATGATACAGTACATACACACCAAAGTCCCAACCACTGTTAGCAAAGGGAGGCAAGGGACCGCCGATCCCAAGAGGCATGGTCAAAGAATGGACCTGATCAACAAACACCAGCAAAGCACCAAGCCACCAAGCCCCAATCCAGGGACAGACGATCAAACCCAACCAGCGTTTCCTAACCACAATCCTATGCATGTAGTGGGGTACTGTCGCAGTCTCTGTGGCTGTCTCCCATTCCCAGCACGGCTGTACATTTAGCACCTGCCACGTACCTCGCTATACCTCGCTCGACAGTATCTAGCTATTTACAATAGGTGTCCACTTGACACCATGTCAATGTTACCTAGGCAGGTACCGAGACCTTCATGCACATGTACGTGTAGCAAGGGGGGTTCGGAGCACCTGCCGTGGAGATTGTACCGGAGTTTATGGAGGAGCTGCTGGACTCTACTGTATATGTCGCTGCACGATCCTCACGTTCAAGTAGACTATTGTTTCAGATGTTTCATACTCCACAGATAGAGGTAGGTGAGATTAAAAGTCTTCTGTTGCTCTGAATTTCGGTGAATAGTACCGAGGGGTTCCAAATTGCGCGATTGCAGTTGGGCTTGGTTTCGCGTTTCGTTGGTATCTGAGACATACATACATTCCTGCTTCCGGGAACGCGACTTGTGCTGTAGATGGTCAAGGTTGATGGTCTGTGTGGCAGTCATATTGGCCTCGTGTTGGCTGTTTGATGGGGATTGTCTGGCATTTGGATGGGTACTTTGCTCTACATTCGGGGCTTTTTCCCAGCCAGTGATCTTGATGGTAACTTTATACAGTATATAGGTCTAGGAACACTTTACTTGTCTTTGTAGCTCCGTATACAGGGGATTGTTTGTGGCTATTTGCTCTATGTTCGAATATATCATTCGCTTTTATATATATCATCGAACCTTTGGGAGCTCCTTGAATTTCATGAAGAGCTTGTGCCAATTTTAATAAATGAGTCCTTGTAGAAAATATATAGAAAGAAGATTTTGAAATATATATATTGACTGAAAACAACAAAGACACAAAGTTATACGATGCACGATGTAATTCGCACATTGCAAACAGTTAATAGTTATCGTCTCATAATTTCCATCAAATGCACAAGTCTTCATGACAGTTTGTAAGTTAACGTTATAACCTAACTTACATATGTATTAACAAGTCTTGACATGTCTTTAGAAACGGGTGTTCTTGATGGAGCCTACATGGCTCGGTCTAGTGGTTCGTGGAAAGTGGATGTCCTTCTGAACAATGAAGCCATCATGATTTTTCTTGAATCTGCTGTAACATAAGCTTGGCTGACACTTGGTTAAAGTACTGTACTGTAGATGTGTCGACCACTCATACTTCCCGGAGCCAATAGAGGAGCAGCCAACTCGGGCGGTGTCGGCTGCGTTGCTGTGCCAACGCAACGTAATCAGTCGACAACTCACTAAAGAAACTTGAGAGATGAAAGCAATCGACAGCTCAACATCAGAGATCGTCAGCATATAAAGCTCCCAATCCGAATCTATCCCACTCACCGCGCGTGCCCGAGTGGTCTAATCGAGGCAATTGGCAACCATAAATCGGATCGTATACTGCGCCGACGACATCGTTAAAGCATAGTCACGTCACTATGGCTAGGCTCAATACCACCAATCCCTTGGTCAACAAGGCACTTTCTAGAGAGACACAACCTAAGGCCTCGCCGAATACATCTCCCAAAAAGTCGACCCGGAGGCAAAGTCCATCACCAACGTCCGACATATTCGATGATATCTTGTCGGCCAGCGCTTCGGGTGCCAATACGAGCCGACCCGCATCACCCAACAAACTACCGATACGGACAAAAAGCCTGCAAAAACGGAATGTTGCTGGGGCCGGAGCTTTCGATATACTCCCGGATAGCAATTCGATTTGCCCGAGTGAAACCGAAAACCGCGACTCACCTGGCATGAAGAAAAAGCCAAGAGCATTGGGACTCTCTCGTGTCAACTCGTTGCTATTGTCACGGCCAGCCAGACCAGCTCAAACACGACAAAGGCCGTCTATCAAGTCGGATATAGATGATGACAAGGAGAATGATGTATCCGACGAAATTGTCAATGAACTTCCACTATTCAATGGATCACCGCCTAGACAGTCTGCTATTCAATCACCAGCCAGAAGCAGGACAAGCCATACATCGGTGAGGGACTCGGTAATCGCCGCGCAGCATGAAGAAGATCGGTCGGAAGGTGATAGTTTTGACTCGCTGGACGATTTCATTGTCAGTGATGACAATGAAGTGAGCTACCATGGAAACTCCGAAAATGAGGATTCCGAAACCGAGCCTGAGATAATCATGCCTCCATCTCCTCAACGTTCACCTAGAAAAAGGTTGATGAGAGGAAGAAGGCCAACTCCACCGAGAGAAACAATCTTGGAAGAAATCCTCCAGGTAGAGGAAAAGCCAACGAGCCCTAAATATAATGTATCCAGGCCCCAGAAAAAGGAATCGAGGAAAGAAATAGTAAGAGCGATCTCGAGCCCCGAGCCCGAGTCTGAGTCTTCTATCACCCGAGCCGTCGCCCCTGAATATCGTGATGAGCAATCCTCATCTTCCCAATTCTGCATTGGCAACGCCACGGATATAATCAACTCCCTCAGAGAGCTTGAGCTAGACAGCGAAGATGAATTCTCATCACCGGCAGCACGAATCGAGTCAAGGTATAGCTTACAGCGCTCATGCACGTTCTCAACAGCTAACGATTGACTCTAGCTCTTCCCCAGAAGCACCATTACAGCTTCCAGTCCGAAATCCCCTCCGGTTTCTTGTTAATCGCTCGGTCACCCCGGTTGAAAAATCACCTATCACACCAATGGTGAAATCTACGCCCAGAAAGGGCGCGGACAAGCCACCAAGCAAGACAGCCCTGAAAAAAGCCGAAGCAGCTGAAAGGCGCCAGGCAAAAGACGAGAAGAAGGCGTTTGACCAAATCAAAGAGTCATACGCCGAGACCTTCATCCGGATTCTGGATGAGACCGTCGCGAATGGGGAGGTTGCCCGCATGACCCAATCCACCGGCGGTATCAAGATCAAGTGGAACAACCTCCTCCAGAGTACAGCCGGCCGGGCAATGCATCACATAGCATCGCCTCGGAGCCCAGGTTCCAACCCCGAATTCTCAGCCTCAATCGAACTGAACCCAAAGGTCCTCGACAGCGTTGATCGGATCCTCTGCACGGCGACACATGAATACTGCCATCTCGCCAACGGCCTGATCTCACGACAAGGGGGACATGGGCCCAGCTTTCATGCTTGGGGGGCTCGCTGCGTCGACGCCATGGCTGACCACCAGGATTATGGTGGTGGCCGCATTAAAGTGACTACTAAGCACAGTTATGAGATCGACTACAAGTACTCGTGGGAGTGCCAGGGCTGTCAGAGGAAGTTTGGTCGATCCTCTAAGAGCATTGATCCGGAGAGGCAGCGGTGTCCCTGCATGGGTCTGCTGGTGCAGGTGAAGCCTAAGCCACGGGTGAAGAAAGTTGGAAAGACTGACGACAAGGAGAATGAGAAGCCGACTGTGTGAGGTTCTTGTTTGGTTTTCTTTTGTTTACTTATTTCTTGATTCTAATTTTCGGATTGATGGAATTGATCTGCTGAATATATCAACATCCTATGATGAGGTGCTTACTTTCAATGGACAAACCAAGGTTGCTTCACTTACAATCTAAGGATATATATAAATTGCAGCCAAGAAACTGATATTCTTCACTTATGGATCGGCAGATGATCGACCAATCAGACCACCGCTATTTATGCTTGAACCCTACCAATCGGCAGTCGGGATAACCTCACATAGCGACCCACCGGCGTGTAGCCAAACGGAGGCCGTGATTGAACGGCTCCCAGACACTGAAAAGCCCCCGGATAAAAAAAAAGAATTTGCCTCATCGACCTCGTAAGAAAATAAAGCAAAAAAAACAACAAACCCTAGAAACACGCCAATTGCACCCAATTGCTCACCATGTCTCAAGTCGTATATATCACCGAGTCGGAACCCAGTATAGAAACCTCCAATTCCCAAACGCAACCAGATTGGATCCACCCCAATTTACTCCAAAGCATCGATCCGATCAAAGGCCGCCAGTTCCGCGTGTCAGGCCTCATTCCCAAAGGCGCCTGTCTTCTCGTGGACCGCCCCTACGCAGTTATACCCGTCGTGGATGATCCGGCCAACAACGACACTCTCATCTGCAGCAATCCAGCTTGTAATCGCCGGGTGCCTCGCCACTCAGCGTCCGCGCCACCTTCACCTTCACCTTCACCCGGCAATCGGAACCAGAACCCGAATCGGAATCGGAATTGGACTCGGCATCGGACTCCATGTCTGAATGCCTGTATTGCTGACGTGACCTGGTGCAGCGAACCCTGTCGAGACGCCGATCAAGACCGCCATGCTTTCGAGTGCACCTGGCTGAAGAGATATGCAGCGCCGATTCGCGCCAAATGGGGCGAATACGACTTCGGCATGTTGTGGGTGATTGTTCGTCTGCTTGCCATGCGACAGAGCCAGCAGTCCCTTGTTGCGATCGATCTCAATCTCGGTCCTGGCTCTGCCACTCCAGCGCCGAAATGGAAACGGGGCTGGGAGGGCATTGAATCGTTGTGCGGATCGGTTGAGACCTGGTCCCATGACAAAGTCCGGGCCTGGACGACTCTTGTGAAAAAGTATCTCCGGGATGGACCTGTTCTGCCGCATGGCTTGTCGTCAGACCAGGTTCTTCATCTCATTTGTCAGGAAGAGGCCAATTCCTTTGGTCTGTATCCTCGGGCAACGGGCGTTGTGCCATTGCCGTACCCGCCTGTCGATCGAGGAGAGCAGTTCGCGGCAGCTGTTTATCCTACGGCGGCCATTGCGAATCATTCGTGTCTGCCGAACGTGAGAGGTCCCGTTATTGTTGAGAAGAGTCCAACTAATTGATCATAGATCACACATAAGCCTGATGAGCAGGGCCGCATGGTCTTTGCTGCCTCTCGGGATATCTTCCCCGGAGAGGAATGCTGTATCTCCTACTTCGACTTGACGCAACATACGGACTTGATATCTCGCCGAGAACATCTTCGCCAATCGTTCAAATTTGTTTGTCAGTGTGAGCGATGTGTTGCTGAAGAGCCCGTGGAAGAATTGACCGAGTGGAATGCTATGCCCGTGATGGATTGGTGAGTCTTGTCGGGTTGATTTAGCGACAGGCGTTTGAGATTGCATTATTCATAGAAGATCCTGCATAGCGTCAGATAAGAGCATCTGAATATTCCAAGGTTGATCCATCGAAGTTGACTTAACATTGTCCCCAAAGCAACATGAAGTATAAGGTCAATCAATTCCTATATAAGTTTCTACCTAAACCCCCCCAAAATGCCCATTGACATCTGTATTTCCCATCCAATCCTCGAATATCCCATCCAATCCAATCCCAAAGTGAATCTATCATCTCATCCCCTAAACGAAAAGCCCCCAATCACAAATTTCTAACTTCTCAACAAGAGCGCCAACAACCTCCTCAGCAGCGCCCACCTCATTCCCGAACCCAGTCTCATCCCCCTCCTTCTCAAACTCTTCACGAGGAACATTAAAGAAGACCAACAAATCAGTCTCCTGCGCTTCAAGCCTAACAAGCAACGAATAACACTGCACAGTCACAAAAACAGACGGATCCTCCTTCTTAGGCGTCGTAAAAGAAACCGCACTTCGGTACGCCTTGACAGAAGCAGCGCCTGATGGCGCAGAGCCCGAGATCTGGGGCACGTCCACGCGCTGTGGCGGGGCGAGGACTTGCATCGTGTCGCCTTCGTCGCAGAGGTCGTGCAGGTGATACAGGACGGCGGCTTGGTCGGGCAAGTCTTGGCCTGAGAGCTGGTAGTTCACGCTGGACAATGCGCTTTGGGCTTCTTCCTCTGAGACGCGCTGGTTGATTTCGATGATGAGGGTTGAGAGTGTTTTTGGCGAGAGGAAGAGCTCTTGGTGATCTGGGACTTCGCGGAGGGTGCTAGTGGGTGGTTAGCTGGGCTCATTATTTTATTTTCTTGGATCTTAGATTGGAATTTGGATTTTGGCGGTGCATCATGTAGGACATTGTGAGAGATGATGGGGTTGTGGGATTTATACTGACCTGGAGTCGATCCAGCCTTGGGGCACGACGCCTTTGATGGCTCCTCCGAAGAACTCTTGTTCTGTGAATTGCGACATGATTGCAGGTGAAGGTCTGTGTAGATAATTTGGTGTTTGGCCTTCTTTTCAGAATTGGATTGGCGGTTTGGTTGACTATGTGCAGGTTCTCTCAGATGCCAAGAACTGACTTTTTTTCTCTTCTTCTTCTTTGGTTGGGTTGCTTAATTTGCTTAACAACGCAATGAGCAAGTTGGAATCAAGAAGACGAGGACAAACGTTCAGCAATATATAGATACAAATGAGGCTCGGGGGTTTCAGGTAGACAAAAGGCAGCAGAGCGGGTGGTGGTGTTCCGCCCAATGACGTTCCGCTTGGCGGGGGACTACTGTACGCTACTCAGCTTTACAAGTGACTCAAAAAAAGAAGACGTTCAAAACACGAGTAATATTCACTCAAGATCGTTGATCTAAAGAATGTGTATGTAGCTAATGTTGATCCTTCCCGTAATAGTGACTCAGAGCGTACATTTCAGTCAAATAGCTCTTCGATATATGGATCCAGCTCAACTATCTTAAATTGATCGCCCCATTTGGCGCGGAACTCTTTCTTTCGATAAGCGTAGCTTGTCACTTGGGTGAAGCTGACAAGCTCAATGGACCAGCCACGCTCAAGGGCGCGCTCAGCCATGACCATAAAGCCGCCCGAAAACTCGGCGACCGCGGCATCTCCAGTGGCCAGAACAATAGTAGCCGGCTCGGAGTCTAGAACACTCTCTAGCATCTTCAGGTGCAGAAGTTCGTCCACACCCTGCTCTCTGAATTGCCGCTTGGAGGAGGCGACCGTTTCAGGACCGCCTGCCCCATGTGAGTTAGAGCCAGAAAGGTTTCGGGGCCTGTTATTGTGGCGGGGTGTGTGGTGCTTGAATTTTTGCACACGATCTAAAATGTTAATCTCGTAGCCCAACCTTTCGGCTTCGTCGAGATAAGGCAGTCTGTCCGACCCGACCAACACTTTCTTAGCGACGTGGCGGCCTCGTTCCATGATCAAAGCAAGGTTGGCGAATGACATGTGGAGACGACGAATTCGGGTCTCCAGGGGGATATTGCGAGACAGTTTCACTGTATCATAAAATCCAACCAGGATCTGGAAATGAGTTAGCCTGTGACGTGGATTAAAGGACTGAATGAGAATAGTTTGAACACACGTTGGAAATATCAACAATGATATGGATAGATTTAGAACTACCCGAAAATCCTATGGGAGACTGTCCGGCAGAGACAACGAGATTGGTGTATTCGGGAAACTGGTTGAGAAGCTTGGTCGTCAAGGCTACTCGGCGCTCAGTCGACGATTTGTAGAGGCTGGCAAGAGCACGACCTCCAGGTGCAAGGGCTGCAATAGTATTTGCATTCAAAGAGATGCCTTGATCCTCGAACGAGGAAGGGGGCGTATCATAACGGGTGGCTTGAGCGTCGAGTGTTCCGATCTGAGACGGGACAAATGGCAGGTCCCCAAATCTCCGGTGATTGGGACGATCAAAGATGAAGCTGGAGTCGGACTCCGCTCCAGCACTAGCCTCAGAAGAGTAGGCTGCATTGCTGACTCTGATTGGAGTCTCATTGCGAGAACTTCGAGGTTGGGGGTTCCGCCTAGGCGTATTCAGAGTACCGGCCCCAACAATGGCTCGTGGCCGGGCTCGCAGAACATCAGAATCCGCCTTGGTATCCGCACTCGTGGACTTGTCTACCAATTCCCGCTTCAGGATCGTGGTTGGCTGAGGCGGGCGTTTCGAAGAGCGTCCCCTGGCATCGGGGAGGGTCTCGGAGTTCGATTGGTCGTCGCCCGGAGAGGCTTTAGACGCGGGTTGGGCATATTCGGTTGCGTTGTGATCAGTGTCGTGATCAGTGTTATCAAGAGAATCGTACCCAGTGCGGGACTTGACGGGTCTCTCGAGAATGCTAAAAGCTGAAGAGGGCTGCGTTGCTAAGTGAGCATCATCAGGCTTAGAGGTGGGGATGTTGGGCATTGAAGAGTCCAAGAGGTCCCACAAGTGATGGAAGTCGCCTAAATTGGCATGACTGCGCTTGGAAGCAAGACTAACGGCCTGATTTATAGCACGATAGGAGACATCTTTGTTGCGCTGATCTTGGTGATCTTGGACATCAATCAGTGATTCTGGGTGGCAACTTGATCTCGCCGAAGCGCCCTTGTCCGCGGGGGACTCCAGGAGCTCAAGAGCCGAGGCAAATTGCCAGCTTGGAGACTCAGATGAATCAAATTTGACCATTGATGGCGAGCAAGAACGAGATCGACGATAAGAACGAAATAGCGAATGGGGAAGGACGAGAAGCGGAAAGAGATCGAGATTCACAGGCGGTTTTCCAAATTAAAGAGGGGTTTGTAGTCATGTGTCAAAGCAAGCGCATACATGTAAACAATCTCCCCCCACATCCTGAGTCTAAATGGAGTGTAAAAGATACAACCAAAACAGCCTTGAGTCAGAGAGGATGATGATGTAGCCTTTTTGCTTCAACAGACCGCCTGCTGATATAGGATGTCGATAATCGATAACGCGATAACAGACCTCGGGAGTGACGCGGAGGAGCGATAAGAGATCACGTGTTCAGAGATCAGTGGTTTCTATTGGCCACTGTTACATGGGGCCCGAAGTACATGTACAGTATCAAGTCAATACTTTGGCAACATCGTTGTCGGCAGGGGTACCCCCAAGCCCATTTAAAGAAACAGTGGAATTGTGACATTGGGACTGCTCATTCACAAAGTGATGGGATAACAAGAATGAGCACCACGACGTCATTTGTGTGAACACGCCACAACACCCCTGTCACAACGTCACTGTAGCTGATGCCATCTCAGTAAGAAAGATGATTGGAGGGTCAAACTACAGTATCTACTGTATCCAGGGAATCTGTCTGGGGTCGAGCCTTTCAAAGCTTTGAAGTCGTTATACACCTGGGCACAGTGGTGACATTTGTAGAGACAAACGACGTCATGTGTCTTCCTCTGAAAGTAAACTTCCTATGCCTATATAAACTGTCCTGATCTCTCAGATCTCTCAGACCTTCTTCCTTCTTCATCAACCTTCATCTTCCACTCAACCATTTTCCCAAACCCAACCCAACTTCAACCAACTTCAACCAACATCATGTCTGACGCCGCACGCAAGGACTTCTCCACCAGTAAGTGTCCCCTTCAGCTCCAGCTCAACAGAATAAATGCTGATTCTATTCGCCTGCAGAGGCCAAGGAGGAGATCACTCCTGACTCCACCAAGTCCACCCAGGACAAGGTCAAGGAGACTGTCACCGATACCGGCGATCGCGTTGCTCGTGGTCTCCAGACCGACGACAGCAAGGGTGCTGGCCAGGAGACCTTTGATAAGACTCAGCGTGCCCATGACAACAAGGCTCACGGTGGTGCCTCTGGCTCCGTGTAAGCTACCACATTATCATCAACACGAAGACTAGTTGGCTGACCATAACAGTGTTGACAAGGCCAAGAACCTCGTTGGTCTCGGCGACAAGTAAGAGGATCACCTTCTGACCTGAATGATCTTCTTCAGTCATTCCATGTCCTTCGGGGCTGCCTTGCTATCACGATCAATCACGATGAATCCGGGCCCATGATACCATCTGCTTTTCAGTACCCATACAACCTCTAAGGTTCAATATCACTTAACAAATAACCCCATCAACTTGTTCCTCTCCTTATGTAGACCCAGCTTGGGTTTTGAATACCTTATAGAGAAGATTACTCTTGGCCAGGTCACCAGTCGTCAAGATCATCGTTCAGACTTCCGCTCCATTCGGCAAAGTGAAACTTGAAATTGATCTCCTCCTAGTAGCAACACAAGGTTTCTCCAGTGTCACTTGTTTACTCCTTCATGTGTAGCTTTTAGCAATAAGCTCGTATTGATCAAAAATTTGTCTACAGGAAGCCGGCTATCGACCATCTAGCTTGTCAACATTGAATCCCGCTGCCGCGTGAGCTGTCCAAGTTGTCGCTCTAGCTCTTTATATTTTGCTCGTGCCCCTGAGAAATCTTTGGGAAGATCGTGGAACGCCTTCACCCTGCCCTGTAGTGATTTGACCGTCTCCTGCAGCCGAGACAAGCTCTCCTCCTCAGCCATAAGCTCCTCAATAGTCGGACCATGGGGCTGGACCCTTTCAAGCGAAGCAATACGATCTTGGTACTCCCCAACCTTAACTCCAAGCGTCTTTGTCCCGCGTATCCACTCGGATGTCAAACGTTGCGTATCAGAAGGTATCTCATATGCTGTATCGGTTTTAAGCTCCTTAAGCTCCGCCTGTAGCCGCGCAAGCTCCTGCTGAAGATACTGATGTAAAGTATCGACTTTTGTCAATTGAGCCTGGGCCTCAAATTCCTCCACCGTGAGCTCCACAATTGACTGACCCAGGTCCCCCAGGTTGGGATCAAGAGTATTGCCAAGAGCTGCCGCAGAGTCCGCCAGGTCTTCTAGGTCGCGCCTCCCCTTGTCATCAAGGCACATTTCCACTTCATTTAGAAGCTGATTCTTTTGCTTCTCGTGGGGGTCTTTGCGTTCAAACTCCTCCCGCACTTTGTAGGCATGCACCGCTTCTTCACGCGCTCGTTGTTGGAGAGCGGCTTCCTCGTCGGCAGAATCATTGGATGCAGCCAGAGTCAGGAGCACACGAAGTGTATCTTCATTGCGCTCAAATTGAGGCACTGGTTTGGGTGCGTATTGCCGGTTGAGCCAAGAGTTGATGTAGGCCCAATCTTTAGCTTGAATGGCAGCCTGGCGGGCCTTGGCCGGTGATACCAATGGACTATCCATGAGCTCAATGAGAGCGATTCAATTGAAGAACGAAGCTGTGAAGTGGAAAAAACAAAGGTGTGTTGACGTCGATAAGAGATACGAAGGCGGTCGACCAAGTGTGAGCTTGTCCTCTACTTCCCCCACCGACCTCCGGTGCATTGCTTGCACCAACAATGACTAGCTATTTCCAACCAAGTGCCAGCAATGGCGCGAGCTCACCGGCCTCGCCGCTGTCTCCGCCGGCACAGCGCTCGACTGCTCTCACCAATCGCTTGACGACGGTCCTGTCCGCGTCGTATGCGGACTCGGACATTCGCGACTCGCTTGAGACGTTGAACTTGAAAGGAGTGCACAACTCTGCCGAGACTCGACGGCAGCTTCGATTGGATGTACAGAAGGAAGTTGTCGATTGTAATGCGGAGATTGTTAGGGACTTTGGAAAGGTGGCCGAGGTAAGGCTCCTATTGCTCCCGTTGCGATCTACGTTGCAGGACTAATTGCTCTACTACAATTACAGCAATTACAACGGATCGGAACTGTCATTACAACCTTGAACCAAACATGCGACGATATGCGCAAACGAATCAACCTGGCAAAACAGGATACAACGCCTGTGCTCGAGGAGGCCAATGCCCTCATGGCCCAGAGGAAAGAGACCGAGACAAAGCAGCAGCTTTTGGACGCCTTTTCGAAGCATTTCATTACCCCGGAGCAGGATTTGATGGTCCTGTTGTCGGCCGAGGAACCAGTCGATGAGCGATTCTTCGATGTCCTGGCTCGTGTCAAACAAGTACACCACGACTGCGAGGTCCTGCTCGGCGGTGAGAACCAGCGATTGGGCTTGGAATTGATGGAAATGAGTACAAGAAACCTCAATTCCGCATACCAGAAGCTCTACCGGTGGGTCCAGAAAGAGTTCAGATCTTTGAATCTGGAGGATCCTCGGATCAGTAGCTCGATTCGTCGCGCCTTGCGCGTGCTGGCAGAGCGTCCAAGCCTGTTCCACAGCTGTCTGGATTTCTTTGCTGAAGCGCGCGACTACGTGCTTTCCGATGCTTTCCACTACGCTCTCACAGATGCGGTTTCCGGGGCCAATGGATCTGCTGCTGGAGATCACAGTGTCAAACCAATTGAGTTCTCGGCACATGATCCATTACGGTATATCGGCGATATGCTTGCATGGGTACACTCCACAACTGTGTCCGAGCGAGAAGCTCTCGAATCGCTGTTTGTCGATGACGGTGATGAGCTCGCTCGGGGTATACAGGCCGGACTGAGTAGCGAGCCATGGTCACGAATCGATGAGGACCAAGAAGTGACATTTGATGGCCAAAAGGCACTCAGCGATCTAGTCAACCGTGACCTTACTGGAGTGTCTCGGTCACTGCGGCAGAGAGTCGAGCTCGTTATCCAGAGCCACGATGACCCTGTCACTTGTTTCAAGGTCGTCAACCTGCTCTCCTTCTACCGTACGACATTCACCAAGCTGGTGGGACCGCAGTCCCACTTGGTAGATTTGATCCAGAACCTGGAGAAGTTCACCCTTGGCCACTTTGAGACCTTGATGCGCGACCAGATCAGCGCCTTGGCAGGCGACCCCGTTGCCTTGACTCCCCCAGAAGATCTGTCTGCTCCTCAGTTCCTGCTAGACGCATTGGAGGACTTGGTTCTGCTCATGAAGACGCACGAAGGCTCCGTTGGGCCCGAAGATCTATCCCCGGACTCAAACAACGAGAACCAGTTCACCTCCGTGCTCCGAGCCGCCTTCGATCCATTTTTGACTCTTGCCCGGTCCTCATCGGACGAACTCAAAACTACCACAGCGCAGATCATCTACCGCACCAACATCCTCCTGGTAGCCCGCGAAACAGTGTCCCCCTACCCCTTCGCCAGCGTCACGCATGCCGCCCCTCTCTCCGCAGCGCTATCGACTCTACGAAGCGACCTCGTCGACACGCAACACGACTTCCTCCTCGAAACATCAGGGCTCCAAGCCCTCCTAGAGGCCTTGGAACCATTCTCTCAGTCCAAGGACTCCGAGACAACAGAAGCAGTCGACAAAACAGACCAAAAGCCGCACCTAGCCGATCTAGCCACTCTACCAGCCTTCCAGCCAGAATCCCTGGTAACATCAAGCCAACAACTAGACGACTTCCTCCCATCCGCATTGATGGACGCAACCGACAACCTCAAGCGCGTGCAAAGCGTCTCTCTCGTCCAGAGCGTGACAGAAGATGCTATCGAAGCCTTCTGTCGCGACTTTGAGTTCGTCGAGGGTATGATCATTGCCGCGGATGAAGCACGGGGAACTGTCCATGTGAATCTGGGCACTGGCAGTAGTGTCATCAGTGGCCGCAGTGGTAGATCAGGCAATAAGACTGAAGCTAGCCAGAAGGATGATGAGGATGAAGTTGGCGAGGATCAGTGGAGTTTGAGGTCATTATTCCCGCGGACGACGGGCGAGATTAGAGTTTTGTTGAGTTAGTAGCAGAGTTTTCAGAGCCAATACTATATTGTATAGTGTATTTGTGAATATCTACCGTGCATTCTACTCGTTGGACAAGTGTACGTTGTGGAACCCAGAACAGCATAGATAGGACCAAGACTTCCAGGGCTATAATCTGCACACAATAGAGCGAAACCAGACTTGACTGACGTAGAGATCTATTCAGCGTTGATTTTTCTGGACTTAGTTTCATTCCAAAAAGGCCATCTGCATGGCTATATACAAACCACCGAACCAATCCCAACATCGAGGATACACCCTCCCATCTAAAGCCATGTCATGCACCAAATCCAACACCACGAATTGAGCCTGCCACCGTCCGATCGTTCAATAGTAATGATCAATAAATGAGAAGAGAGAGAGAGAGAGAGAGAGAGAGAGAGAGAAAGAAAGGAAAAACACCATGATGACATTCCTATAATCATATCAAGAATATAACTTCTCACGCAGGGGGAGAGAGAGATATCAAAAAGAAAGAAAGAAACGAACACCAAAATGAGAAAACAAAGCACTCAACCACCTCGCTCACCAAACTCCTTAGCCCACTCTTCATACTTCTTCAGCCCGTCAGGTGAGACACTAGGCCGGATAGAATAAAGACTGGACTCAAAGTCCTGGAAGATGATAGCTCTGATTTGATCCATTGGGGTGTAAAGGAGGGCTTCGCCTAGATTGCGGAGGGGGCCCATTGCAGCGTCTTTCGCCAGGGCTGTTATGTCCGAGCCTGAGAAACCTGGTTGTGGAGTTAGTTCTTTGTTCGGATTTGGAGTGATGGAAATGGGAACTATGGGGACACACCTTCTGTTACTTGGACCAGGACTTGGATATCTTCATCGCCAAGCTCATGGTGCTGATGGCTTATTAGTCTGCGAATTTGCTGTTCGCGGACGTGATGTTCTGGCAGAGGGATATACTGTCGACGAACGAAACGGCGACGAGCAGCTTCATCGATATCCCATGGCATATTGGTAGCAGCGAGGACAAGGACACGGCTAGCGTCGCCCTCCTTCTTTTCGCGGCTCGTTTGTTCACGGCCCGCGGCTGCGCGCTGAAGGTCAGACCATTGAACGAGAAATTCGGTCTTTGAGCGACGAGATGCCTCGTGTTCGGATCCGGATGATCGGGCAGAGAGGAGAGAGTCGATTTCATCAACGAAGATGATGGATGGAGCGAGGGCTTTGGCAAGGCCGAATAAGGCGCGCACGAGCTTCTCGCTTTCACCATGCCATTTGGATGTCAGGCTTGATGCGGAGACGGAGAAGAATGTTGACTTTGATTCTGTGGCTACTGCTCGTGCGAGCATTGTTTTGCCTGTGCCTGGGGGTCCGAATAAAAGCATTCCACGAGCTGGTTCTCGGAGGCCTGAGAAAAGGTCTGGTCGAAGGAATGGGTAGACCACTGCTTCTTTAAGTGCCTTTTTGGCAGGTTCTAATCCGGCTATATCTTCCCAATGCACTTCATCACCGCGCACCACGATGTCGTTTAGGATCTGCTTCGCTGATTGCGGATCCACGCCCTTGGGGAGCTTATTCATGATCTTGACCAGATCGTCATTCTCGTCGTCTTCATCCTCGGCCTCGTTTTCACTTGAATGAGTTGATGACTCTTGGTCACTAGAAGGTGGTGTTTCCCGCCGTTTGACTGGTGGAGGTTTCCGTCGTGTTGTACTTTCGCCATTTCTTGGAGAGATAGCCATCCGATTGACATCACGATGGAGATCATCACCGCTACCGGATGATGGAGAGGCACGAGCCATCGGAGCCATGCCAGGAATCCTAGGAGCAGACTTTGTTCGCTGCTTCTCGCTCGAATGTGCTTCGCGGTCCAGCCGGGGTGTCACCGTCCGGGAATTTTGCTCAGACCTGGATGTCTGAACTGGGTGACTTGACGGCTGAGAAGACCGTAAGGCCACAGGCTTAGGTTTGATAGATGGTTTGGGTGGTCCTCCGAAGTCTCCCGGATCCGGCATCGATGTGTGAGGAGGTATCTTTTGACGTTCAGATGGAGGCTGAGGGCGGCGTGGTGGAGGATGAGTAGGATGAGTAGGATGAGCAGGTTGAATAGGCTGGGTAGGCGGCTTAGGCGAAGACCGCTTCGGCGACGAAGTATGAGGCTCTCGCCAGTGAGCAGCAGGGATCCGGTCTCCAGTTGAATCTCGAGAGTTGCGAGACCTCGCCGTAGGCTCGTCCCCCGAACTCGATCTAGGTTCCAAATCTCGACGAACAGCATCGTTGACGGCGCTTTTTCTCGATGCCGCAGCTGCATCACTCACAGGTTTCTCACCCGATCCCGATGGCGAGCGATAGATATTACCCCATGCCAGACCAGCAGCCGTAGAAGCTGTAGGACGCGAGTCCTTCTTCTTCGACGCAATCTTCACTTTCTTGCCATTCTTCTTCCCATCAGTGCTGCGCAAAGTCGTCAACATCGGTTTCCGGCGCTCAGGGCTAGATCCGCGAGACTTGGTTTTGCCTGAAGAATTCGAGTTTACCCGCAGCGCCGGCATAGCAGTCGACGCCATAGCCGGACCAGGATCATCATAGACATGATACGACTCATGACTTTGTCGCATTGGCAGCGATGGGCGGCCGGGTATCGCAGCAGGCTTAGAAAGGTCGGTGTAGTCCACGGCAGGGATAGTTCCATCCCCGATCCAGCCGGGCGGGTTGGAAGACGGCGGCGGCATACTGGGGACGAACTTTCCCTTGACAAGAGTCGCCGGCTCCTTATTACCATTCGGCTTCCCCTCTGCCGACTCCTTCCTGCTTGCTCGGAGAGCGCCTAACAGATCGACCCGTTCTCGGCATTGGATCTCCAGCGCTCGGATGGAATCCTGCAGGGCTTTCTCGGTTTCGGACTTCGGGGTGTAATTCGACGGTAGTCGGCGGGCATTGTGATGGTAAATGGTCTCGAGAGCGGATCGCCAGGACCGCAGTGCTTCTTCTTCATTGTTCTGATGTAATGAGCATTTGACCGGGATCTAACCGCTAGCGTCCACTTACCTGGCCCTCAAAGTATACCGCGGTAGAGCATGCGAGGTAACACTCATCGTACGTCTTCTGCATAGAAGACGCAGGCCTTGGGCGCATCATTAGGGAATAAGCAGGCCCGCCCGCATCGAGGTCAAAGTGATGGAGTGGTAAACGATGATCTCCCGAAGGTGAGGGGGAGGAATTTTCGCGTGACGTCGTTTGGCAGTTACGCATGCGTCCAGAAATATTTAGACCTTCTCTCTCTTTTTTTTGTATGATATATGTATATATATATTAAAAAGATATCTCTAGATTCCCATCTATGGCAAAAAAATAAAACACTAGGGAACCCAGCCCTCATTCCAACGCCGGAAAGTGAAAAAAAAGGAGTCTCCCCGTTTTGGTTCCAAACTATACATTGCCAACGCTCTTCATTAGAAGTCCACATGCAGGTGTTCCTCTCAAATTGTATGACATCGACCTCGAATTATGTGCCCATGATATGATGGAAGGGCCCAATGGACCCAATGGTGCCCAGTAATATGCGAGAGGGGGTTTATTCGCTCAGTTCCTTGAAGTATGCCTTGGCCATCTCATATGATGTCCTGGAAACAGAGTTAGCACAATTACAGTTTGAAGATCAGCGACTTAAGTTGAACATACCAGCAAATTGCAGTGGAAGGCATTGTGGAAATGATACGAGGGCGCATACCGCGCAGGAATCCGGACCAGCCAAACCGGCGCTTGATAATGGCAGCGGCATTGAACAGACCCCGTGCAGATCGCACTTCCTCGCTCTCGGCCAAACCCCGAGTCTGGAGAAGGGTTTTCACAACGTCCAGAGGTGTGGTGATACCGGCTGCGAACGCACCGGCCAAACCACCGGCGATACAGTGGGTGAAGGGATCATAGTCTTGCTTGGGGTTCATGACCTTCGAAATTGACTCGTAGGCGACGAATTGGGTGGCTGTGAAGGGCACGGTCATGCATAGTGTGGTAGGGTAGGAGACGTAGAAGGCCTGGAGACCTTCGGTGCGATAGAGCGTCTTGGCGCATTGCGCGAGGGTCTTGTGAACGGAACCGTGGACCTGCATACGTTGCTTCATGACTATAAAGAAGTTAGCCGGTGTCAACTCCCGTCGAATCCAGGAAACTTACCATCGAAGGGGTTCATCAGCGCATCGCTGGCAATCGTGGCGGAGGCACCGCTCATAGCTATACCGCAAACCCGTTAGCTCCGCCTGATGGATCGGATTCTCAAAATCATCTTACCGGCAGCCAAGGGGTGGTGTCCATCATCAACGTTACCACCAGCCATCTCCTTCACAATTTCGTAGGTACCGAAGTAAACCGCGTGCGCCGGACCTATCGCGAATCAGCACTGACCTATGTAGAAATTCCCGGAAAATACACACCTGCGCCAACAACCACACTTGAAACACCCTTCCATAGCGTCCGCCAGCCCTCGACCCGGTAGATTGTGGAAACGGCATTGGTCAATCCCGTGTAGAGACCACCAGTTGAAGGGTTCAAAATTTGCATGCGAGTCTAAAGCCCAGGGCATCAGTGCTCAATTCTTCACGATAAGCTCACCAGTTCCGTCAATGAAACATACCTTGAGCAAGTCGACGGGGTACATAACAGAGTGTTCCTATTATCCGATCGGTCAGAATCCTCGCTATTTCCAGCGCTCCGGTGAACATACTGCTATTCCTGCGAAAGCACCAGCTAACATGTTCCGACCAAGGCCATAGTTAGACGGAAGGGCTTCATAGCTGAAAAAAAGAACACGTCGCGTTAGTCCAAGTCCCAAAATCACACTTCGCAGAATGTCACTAGACAAGCCAGGACCGAGCGCGCTCCGCAAAAAACGCTGTAGCCAATGCTGGATTCATCTCCCGGTCCATCAAGACCAGAAATATCTGTCGCAGCGCTGCTGGAGACAGGCCTGATCCCAGCTCCATCCGGGGAGAAAAAAGACGCCGGAGATGCACATACTCGAATTCCTGTCCGGGGATCTGATCGGGAGCCGCCATGGAGCTCCGCTAGCTCAAGTCGCAGCTACCGCAATTGAAGAAGGGGGGAGGTGGAGGGTGAGAGAAAAATGGGAGAGGAGATAGGCCAATGAAGAAAACCAGGATACGGGAGCGCACACGAACACCAACGGCAAAGTGAAGTTGAATCCAAGAGCAAAAAACTTGTTCCCCGGAGTTTCGGGGGATGAACACTTTTTGGAGTTTGCCCAGTTTGAACAAATTCGACGCTAGTCAAATTATTCAGGCCGACCTTCGCTAATTCCACTATTTTTCCCTGTATAAATCGTGAAATATTAGTACTGGCACAAAAGTCCCGGCAATCGGAATGGTCCACCTCCTACCATGTAATTTTTCTCTGATCTCTTCATTTCTCCAGGGCTCTTGCGAGATGGCTTATTCAGAATACCAGGCCAGACCTCCCAAGCAACAGATTACCCATACCGGGAAAGTACAGCCGTTCCTGGCTGCAGGCAGTTCCCCGGCGCTGTCTAATACCGTCACAATACAAGTCCGATACTTAGTCCGAGCCATCCGATGGCGGAGTTAAGGGGGTCAAGTATCTCACCGGTACCCTTTACCGTGTTTCATCACTCTATAGGTACCAGATCAGTACAAGAAAATTATCAATCAGATAAGACGCCCCTGCCCATCTCTCCTGGGACTATTTTTCGCCGGTGGAGCTAATTTCGATTTTTTAGATGGATTCCGTGGAAGCCTTCGAGAATGTTTGCTTCTCCGGATCTGCATCTCAGTTCCATCTGTCCGTAGGGCGATAATATATGGTATATGTGGACATTTCTGTCTCTTAGGGAGGTTAGTGTTCTTCATACATATGCTCTTCTCTTCTCTGCTACAAACTTGGGCTCGTTTCATCGGCTTGGAGACGTGCACGGAACACGCGACTTCCCACTGGGGCATGCCGAGGTCCGGCGCTACTTGCCGTGGACTAAACCACAGTCGGCTTGCCTAACAGATGTTTACTGTAACTCCGGGCCCCCCTAGTCTCTCGTAACAGAATTTGATGGCCACATGACTGAGAAGGAAGACAGGTCAGATAATCAAGGGGTAGTCAGGGTCTAGTGTTGCTATTGAGAATTTGAATGCTCCATCCCTGCTCAAATAGAAACAAGACCCCTGCGTTCCGTTAGTCGAATACCTTACAGGGAAGAATATGAGATGCGCGTGATAAGAACTTAATACTGTTATCTGTTTCCATAACCTTGAAGAAATCTCCCACTGCGCCCAAGCACCTAAAGCAAAGTAAACAGATGGCTGACATAAAAACAGACTAAACAAAGATGCTGGCAGGTCATTGCAGTAACGGAGAAGACAGAGGCCCGTGTCGGGTCCCGAGATATGGATGACAGGTTGCGTAACCGGTGTCAGGGCCAACACAAAGGGCCTGGCAATGATGGGGGTAGAAAGGATGCTTTACTCGCAAAAGAACAGGTGTCATTCACATCGTCAAGATATCGGCTGCAGTGATCTGCATGTGAGGGGGCTGAGTGGTGTTGATGGTTTACCATTCAACGTTGAAGGACCACACTCCTGGAGACATGTGAGTATTTGCAAGTTGTTGAAGATATTCGGACAACATACCGTTTTTCAGGTTCTCGGCGGTATCACTGAGCAAGATCACGCGTCGCTTGGTGCAGTAGGCGGTCTTGTCCAGGATATCAACCTTGAGTTCCGCTAGTTCAGACACAGGCTTCTCAAACATTTCACTGAGACTCTCAACAGCCATCTCCAGATCCTTTTGATTATCCTCGAAGATTTCTGTTAGATTATTGCGTGCAAGGTAGAATGCGAATGCATATGTCCACTTCAAGGTTTGACGGCACTGCTGCAGGGCTTGAGATGCTGTGTCTAAGAACTGGACCTCAATCCAGGACAGACCTGACGATGACTGTAGACTAGTCATCTTCTTCTCGGTCTTCAGGTAGAGATCCTTATCGAGCTTCGCAGACTGCTCATGGTTGGCGTATCGATTATAGTAATGTAGATAACGTTCCAAAGACGATCGTGATTTAGCTTGAGCACTGCGAGCATCTGAACCGGACTTTTCCTCGTATCGGTTGCAGTTGTACCAGCTGGTGCCGTGCTCAGACCAGAGACCCATACACATCCAGCAGAACTCATGTTTGCACTTCCGACAAGTCATGTGGTTGCATCCACCGTTCTTCTCAATGGTTGACACGCACCTCGGGCACTCTTTGGTGTTGGCCGAGATCCAGTTGGCAGTTTCGGAATCGTCTTCACATTTCTGTAGCCACATCTTGACTAGTGTGCAGGGCGTTGGTTGGTGGTCAGATAGAGAGCAGCCAAAGCAAAACTCGTGCTTGCAGAAACAGTGTACTGTCGGTACAATACGACGAAGATCGCGGTTCTTGACTCCGCAATCAACGGCATATTTGCAGTTTGGTGCTGGACACCACCTGAGATTTTCTTTGTCGTCAACGTACGTCCGTGTCAGGAGCTCGCGATACCTGTATCCAGCAACGCATTAGCACGATCAGTCATTTCACCCGAAAGAGAAAAGCACTCACCTTTCTTTCAGGTCATCCGTGACAAGAAGATTTAACGACTTTGAGTCCACGATCCGATTGCAGCCATCACCCGGGCACTGTATACGAGCTGCTTCGCCTTCTTCCTTGATTTTTTGTCCCAGATAGTGCCGATAACAATCAACACAGAACCGGTGTCCACAACGCATGGCGTAGGTCTCTAGATCATCGCCATCCTCACAGCAAATGTCACACATGAAGCCCGGGACCGTCTCCGTCTTAGCAGTGCCTTCAAATGTGGTCCCCAGCCCAGCATCCTCTAACGTCGACTCCGGGTGTTCCATGTACGACTCAATCAACTTCTCTTTGTTCCATCGTCCGAACCGCAACAGAATCGCCGCCGACTCTGGGGGCAGCCCGAGGATGGCGCACACCTCGTTGACCTGACCCAGCTGTTCATTTTCGATATCGGGAGGATCGAGGACCTTGAACTCGACTTCATAGGGTTTCCGTTTGTGTCCGAAGATGTCCTTGTCGTCAGAGAATCCAGCGTCAAGATCCCCAAAATCTGTTCATCCCAGGTTAGCAGGTGAATCCGTCATCACGACCCGACGGTGAATCTAGGGGCGGGGGAGCGAACCTTCTCCTAAGCTGTCGTTGTCGCTTCCCTGCATGTCAAAGTCATCCTGGCTCGAGACATCGCTCATGAAGTCGTCGTCGGAGTCCATGCTCGCGGTAGTGGTCGCGGGCGTCGCAAGATCCCTCTTCTTCTGACTTGCAGAACTGGCGGGGCTCGCCCTGGTATCGGTGGTCTCTGTTGCAGCAGAACTGTGTTTGGACAAGGCCGGTCGGTCGGATGATGTGGCGTGTCGGGGGCCGTGGGCCTTGGTGGCGGCTTTTGGCAGAGGGTCGTTATCAACCTCAGCCGCCTTTCGTTTCCGCGTGATGGGAGGCGTGATGTCGAAACGGCACAGTTGCCGAGGGGGGTTAAAGGGGAGAAGAGAAGAGTCACGTCACTAAAATTGGGAGAGTTGGTGGGGAAGATAGAGCTCGGCCGGGGGGGGGGGGGGGACCTACTGGAACTTGGAATTCACCTCTTTTGTCATGTTTTACATCTTTTAGAGAGATTCAGCAAACGTGTCTACTACTATTTTATAAGCAGAATCAAAGGGATCTCTGCCCTTTCTGCCCTTGCCTTTGAGGTGTTTTGGGGGCTCTGACTCAGGTTTTTGCCTTGTGCTAGGCTGCATGGCCCCATCGGGGATCTAGAAGTACTAGTTGCTCCTCTTTTATTGGTCTAGGGGTTGCCTATTTTCAGACGATCAGCCTCTGGATTATGAATTAACAGTCATAAAAGCAGGGAGATTGGTAAAATCTCTCTGTAACAGTATCACCTTCAAGGTTAGAGCAAACCACATCAGCATTGACCTCAACGCTATGAGAATTCACCAGATAGAAGACAAGAGCCTAGATTCTCACCCAATTCCAAGGTCGCCCCGAAAGAAGCCAACAGTTCCACCTCAACAAGGGGGCTTACAGTATAGTTTGTCAGACCTCGAAATAGGGCTGACCATATCTACCCGCAACTTCGGGCCTCCCTAACGTTTCTTTCACATCAACATGGCCGATGCATTGGATTCGGCCATTCTTTACCAGGCAGAAGATCGCATTTTTCTCTTGGACATTCCATACTCGATCGCCCTTGCTCAAGGGGATAGAGTTCCCACAGAGTCTGAGCACCCGACAGAAGAATGGAGCTTTAAGACAGAGAACAATCGACAAAAAAAACAGCTTCTATCTTGTTCTCCCGCCAAAGATCCATTTCCATCGACTGAGCCAAAAACCCCAAGCGCACGCGCCAAAGTGCTCGAGAGCACTCCTTTCTCTGAAAGACGGTTTCACTCAGAATGGATACTGCCCCTCGTGAAGCATTCCCTGGAAACTATTAGGGCGGGCATCGAGCATGATAGATGGTGTTTGACCAGAGCAGTGCCATATGAGGAGGTCCACGAACATGGGGTGCCAGAACAGCCTCCACGCAAACGACGGAAATGGCATGATTCTACATCTTTGCAATCCGGACCCGATGGCCATGCTATCAAAATCAATGAACCGCCCATGATTCTATCATCAGCCGCACCGAATATATTCGAGTCACTCTCGGAGCTGAAGATAGCGAAAAATCCGTCATCAGAAGCCGTAACGATCCAAATTGGAACATCCCATGAGACCACAAATGTATACTCGGTGCCACCAGAGTCCAGTTTCATACTAGGTGAATTACCCATCTTCAAGGGATCCGAATATCATGCTGCGTATGAAGCCCCCATTCCTGGGCTTTTACAGAAATTCAATCTTATCCTGATGGATCCGCCCTGGCCAAACCGATCTGTTCGGCGAAGCGGCCACTATACAACAAATCACTACTCTGAGATGGAAATCCTCACCCAGGGAATGCGAGAAATTCTACAAACACACTCGTGTAGCCATGAGGATATGACACAGGAGTCGGCAGAGAGCCAGAACGGACCCCATATTCAAAGCCAGCAATCTATTGCTGCTATCTGGATAACCAATGCGGAAAAGTCGCGAAAAGCTGCTTATCATGCCATGGGGGGTGCGGGATTCGATGTCTGCGAGGAATGGATCTGGGTCAAGACTACACAGAGTGGCCAGCCAATTTCAGCGCTAGATGGTCTGTGGCGGAAGCCGTATGAAATTCTTGTCATTGGAAAACGCAGTCCAGATTATAAAAGAGCTGCCTCCCCAGCGCACCAAACAGATGATCTGACAGCTGTGAGTGAAGCTATTGCTACGAGACGAGTCATCGCCGCGGTCCCAGACCTGCATTCTCGCAAACCCAACCTCAAGAGCATTTTTGAGAAGATCTTCTTCTCCAATGGGACTTCCCGGGAGACGTATACTGCTCTCGAGGTATTTGCCCGAAACTTGACCGCTGGTTGGTGGGCATGTGGGAATGAGACCCTCAAGTTCAATGCCCGCGAGTGCTGGGTTGATGATACAACCACAAATTGGACTCTGGAATAGCGTATACCTCACCATACGTTATAGTTGATATTTATGCGAGCTTATTGTCATTGTATTCATACACATACACTTTTTCAAAGTGGCTCAGCTGTCCCGCCGCCAATATTCCTGCTGTACATAAACGCATTGGAGGGCTTTCAGACCCAATGTGGTCAACTTTTTACAACTACATTATTAATCTTCTCAAATTCACTATCATCTGAACGATTATCAAACGATAAACTACAATCAGAACTAGAAGGAACCAAATCACTTCAACTGCTCCGTTTACTTCGAAATTTGAACTTTCGTCCCTTTCCGCATCACCAAAAAGTGTTCAAGAAGACTGGTGCTTTGTGATCGTCTCCCCTGTTCTACACCCTCGTGATATAGTGTTCTCCTAAGATAAGTGGAATGTGAATACATCCCTGCAAAACAGCCACTGGACTAGATCAAAGTCAAAGATCATGTGGCGGAACATTTCCGTGGCTGACAAAGTGATCTAATTTTTAAGCCAATAAGTGAGGACGAACGGAGAGAACTACAGCAGAGAACTTATATAACTATTACCTATAACGATATCAAACAAGATCTCGAATGTTTTCGATCTTTCTCCCCACACTGGGCCACGTGGAATCCCCCCTAAGCTAACGCAAACTAATTAAGCGCGATTACGACTGATAACTTACTTGCCGTGGAAAACTTCCACCGATTCCAAAGTCAACAATGGCACAAGACTGTGAAGACCCGGTCCCTCGTCCAGAGAATGACCATACCAAGCGCCCGAAATGTTTCAATAGCACTTTCCAAGAATGCCTCTTCGTTTTAACAGCCACCATGGCCATCGGTCAACAATCGTTCTTCCAAGGCTGCATTGTCGGAGTGACAGCATCAATCGGAAAAGACTTGAACATGAACTCAGCTGAGATCACCTGGATCAACGCCGGTGCTTCGTACGTACCTCCTCTTCCAGTCATTGAATCCATCCACTCCCCGCATAACGATATAGCAAACCCCACCACCCATGCGATTCATACTTGTAGAAAGACACAACAACTTACACATCCAACCCACCAAGCTAACACCCCAAACCAGTCTAAGCAGCGGCGCCTTCCTCCTCTCATTCGGCAAACTAGCCGACATGTTCGGCCGCAAGACCCTCTTCACAATAGGCATGGCCGGCTTCACCCTCTCACTACTAATAGCCGGCTTTGCCACAAACGCAATCTACATGGATGTCTTCAGCGGCGTGATAGGCCTCTTTGCCGCTGCCGTCGTGCCACCAGCAGTAGGCACCCTCGGGGCCGTCTACGAGAAGCCCTCGAAGAGAAAGAACCGCGCGTTTGCTTGCTTCAGCGCGGGGAATCCGCTGGGGTTCGTGGGCGGGATGATTATCTCTGGTGTGGCCAGTCATGAGTATAACTGGCGGGCGTCGTTTTGGGCGCTTGCTGTTGTTTATGCTATCTTTACGGTGCTTACTGTTTGGACGGTTCCGCCGGATGGGTTTGCCAGGACGCCTGTTAGTCTTGAGGCGTTGAAGAGGTTTGACTTGTTGGGGACTGGGTTGATCATTGTTGGGTTTGCGTGTTTTTCGAGTTCGCTTTCGTATGTATTTCTTGTTGCTTGGGTTGGACTTTGCTGATGGGTTCTGCTTTAGGTTGGCTGGTGATGCACCGGATGGCTGGAGGACGGGCTATGTGCTCGGCTTGTTCATTGTGGGATTCTTCTTGCTGGTTGCCTTTTTGTATTGGCAGTCTATTGCTGAAAACCCGCTGATGCCACTCTGGGTTTGGAAAGATCGCAATTTCTCATTGGTATGTGTAGCTTTGACGCATTTCATACTGACTCTGGGGAAAGCTGACTCTCTCCAGCTCATGGCAACATTCTGTCTCGGATTCATGGGCTTCTCCGCCGTTACATTTTACCTATCCCTCTACCTCCAAAACGTCAAACAGCAAACAGCTCTCGAAATCACAGTCAAGCTCCTCCCGATGGTGGTCAGCGGCGTACTCGTCAATGTCATCTGCGGCCTGGTCCTTCATCGCGTCAGCAACAAAGTTTTAACGGCAATCGGGGCACTGGCATATACTGCCTCCTTCTTGATTCTGAGTTTCATGAAGGAAGACACGACATACTGGGCATTTATCTTCCCGGCTTTGGTTCTTGTTGTTGTCGGTGCTGATATTCAGTTCAACGTTACGAATGTGCGTCCTTCCCATGCCATACCATACCTCCCCTTTCTATACCTGATGTGTCTGGTTGCTAACTCTCAACTAGATGTATGTAATGTCCTCCCTGCCACCATCCCAGCAATCCATCGCAGGAGGGATCTTCAACACAGTCAGCAAACTGTGCAACAATCTCGGTCTTGGTATTGCTACTTCTGTGGAATCATCCATCGTTGACAAGATGACTGCTTCGACGCCTGCTATCCAGCCTTATCTTGCTGTATATTGGTATGCGGCTGCGGCTGCGGGTCTTTCATTGTTTCTGGTGCCGTTCTTGACTCTTGGGACGCAGGGTAATACCGAGTCACAGGAGAACGAGGGGCTTACGAGTGAGATCGCGGGCGAGAAGATGCCTAGTGTCCATTCTACGGATTTGCCTATTGTTGGGACTCTGGACCCCGGTATCTCACCTGTCGTTGACATTGTAGAACATAAGATATAGGTGTACGATATGATTGAGACTGCTGGAGGGATAAAGGATACCATTTACCAGGGATAACAGAGTACAAACATAGCCATCTGAATAATATCCTTCCTGGCATATTCTCCAGCATCTGGCATCAACGTCAATATCGTGAGATCATAAAGCTAGTCTCCTTCAACACACCGTCCCAGCTTACCACATGGGCCCGCGGACCACCTGGACAGGGAAAGAAATACGAGCAACAATATCAAGCCCACAACGCCATCCCCAAAGTCCCACTACGACCCCTGAGCCTAATCCTAATCGAAAAGCGGCCCAAGACTAACAAGACTAAACCTCAGATCCGGGTTCCCCCCCTGAGCCTCCATCTCCAAAAACCGCCGAACCCCAAGCCCAAGCGCCTTCTCGGACAACGCATCCTCCCCATCCCCGAGAACGCCTCTAGCGAGCGGGCCCTTCCTGCGCCCATCCAACTCCCACAGCGTCCCATCCTCCCCCTTGACAAACGCCACAAAATGCAAATCAACATCGTCCCCGGCCTCAGGCGCTGCCGTATCCCCCAGCTTCGCCGCATCCGCATGCGCACTCTCCAGCGCCTTGGACTCGTACAGTAAATCTGCACGCTGCACGGGCTCCAGACCCTCCGCGTCCCGAAGCAGGCCATCCAAGTCCGAGCCGGAGATGATATGCTTCTTCGACTCACCGTTGGAAACGGCGTGTAAGAGGCCGATCAGGCCGCAGGCGTTGCGGATCGTTTGCTTGAACCATGTTACTGGTTCGTCGGGGCCAGAGCCTGTGTAGTCTGGTCGTGTTGCGTCTTCGGTTTGGCGGGAGGTTTCGTAGGTTTTGGAGACGGGGAAGACTAGGAGGAGGGCGTGGGAGGGGCGTGGGACGAAGGCTAGCAGGTCTGGCTCGTCGATTGAGAAGACGTCGGTGAAGCCTATGGTTTTGGGGAGGCCTAGTTGGTGGACTAGGTGGGACATTACTTCTGGGTTATTTTCTATATCGAGATTTGGTTAGTTGGGTGGAAAGGTTGTTTGAACTAGTTTGGTTGGTGGGAGGAGAGCTCTGGCGCTGGAGCTGGAGCTGACTGGAGGGGCCGCGGGGAGCTTGGACTGGAACTTGGATGGGGCTTACCGAGGGGCACAAAGGCCTTTTGGGTATGTGGGACGTCGACATTCATTGTGGATGTGTTGATATTCTGGAAGAACCGAGTTGGTGGAAGAAGAGCAGATCTGAGAGTTGGAGTGGTGGTTGCGGGGGTTGGATTTGGGGGCCAAGCCCAGTCTCATGCAGGCATAGTTTATTCATCCTGCATGCTGCAGCCTAACGAGATTAATGCTAGGTTAGATTAATTCTTCAATAACCTTATACATAGATGAATTGGCTCGAAATTGAGTCTCTTCCATGTCTTTCATCTTTTTGATCCACATGAACAATGGCCTGAGGACACCCCAGTCCCATCTCAAAACATATATCAGACCTCTCCTCCTCTCCCTCTCTCTCCTTATCTTCTCCTCCCACTGATCTCTTTGCATTTCTAAGCATTATCCCCTGAACGGAATTTCTCCGGAGCAGACTCCACTTCCAGCCAAACCCCGAGACTTGGAACGTCTCGTACTCACCGTACAAAGACCACGCTAATGACTTATGGTGGCGTCGCGGCACAAAGCATTGTATAACCAAGACACGCTAGCCCTAGCACCAGCTATCTGAATCAAACATCGACCTTTGCAACACAGAGTCATCCGACAAGACCTGCTTCATCGACTCCATCGACCGTCTGGCAGTGATAGACAGTAAACTGGAGACCTAATTTCGGAGCCCCCCTACCCAGTGGATCAATGAACAGCACGAACAGCACAAATCAAGTTAGCCACAACGTTGCAGACTAGTGGCAAACCCCCTGTTTTCCATGCATGCCCACCACAAACTCTACTGAAGCCCGAAAAGCCAACCGATTTCTGGTCCAGATGCGCCAGATGTCCCCGATTCCCAGGTTTCCAGGTTTCCACTCCCGACAGCTGTCAAGCCATTACCCACCTGTCAGCGAGACCGAATACGGCAGTCCGTATGTTCGGTACGTGGTATTTCCCGGCTTCGGAGATGAAGCGGCTCCCCAATGATCATCTCTTGGTCGATCGCAACGTGGTGGGCTTAGTATCTTACACACTAGGAATACGCCATGTGAAATTCTCCTCTTTCCCCCCCCCTAAGCATTCTAGATTTCTGCATCCTTTTTTCCTGCAGATGGATCCTTCTTAAAATCCTTCCCCCCCCACACCCTCTCTCTCGAACATACATGTCTTTAGATTAACATTAATATGGATGATGAACTTCGGCGGAAAACCGCGGTTCAGACCGTGGCCGCGGTCTTCTTGCCTATCGCTGCTATTTCGGTCATGCTGCGCTGTTATGTGCGAGGATGGATTGTGAAAGCATTCGGATGGGATGATGCGGCAATGGTTCTTGCAATGGTATGTTCATATTCAGTTTCATTTTCATGTTCATGTTCATGTTCTCTCACTCCCAAAAACCAAAACAAAAACTGGTTTTGATATGGAAAAAGTCAATGACGCTATACTAACATCGCCCGCCCACAGTTATTCTACGCCATGTTCTGTGGAACAATGATTGGAGGCACATTATATGGAACAGGATACAGATTTACTTCTCTGGAGCCTCACAATGCAGTCACAGCGATGGAATTTTGGTGGCTCTGTGAGATTGCCTATTGTTTCGCCTCGATCTTCTGCAAGATCTCCGTCTGTCTATTCTTAATGCGCATCACCATCAAGCGCGTTCATATTTGGACTCTCTATACCGTCATGGTTCTGACCGTCATTGCTGGATTGGTCTTTATGTTCTTGATGCTTCTGCAGTGCAAGCCATTGACATACTTCTGGACTCGGGCGTTCCAGGACCCCTCTATCCCGGGCTACTGCATCAATATCGATATCATCATCGCCATGACATATGTTTACAGTGGATTTTCCGCATTCTGTGATTTCACCGTTGGAATCTTGCCCATTTTCCTGGTGCACAAGTTGCACATGAAGAGGCAGACCAAGGTCGCCGTGATGGGTATTTTGAGTATGGCTTGCATGTATGTTCTACTCTCCTGCATTAAACCTGGGTGTCCAAATAAGCTAACAAAACACTCCAGTGCCTCCTGTGCAGTCATTGTTCGCATTCCATTTGTGAAGACCTTCGCTGAAGCAGATTTCCTCTGTACGTCACCATCGTCACCCTCATCCCACCCCCTCAACAACCCACTAACAAATTCTAGACGCAACAATCGAAATCGCAATTTGGTCCAACATCGAAGCAGGCCTAGGAATCACAGCCGGAAGTCTCGCCACACTCCGCCCCCTCCTGCGAGTCTGGATGGGCTCCAACTCAGACGCAGACTATTCAAGCGGGTTCCCAGGGGCGCGCTCACGCTCTGCATCACGCCAACTAGGCGCCAAAGACCGGGCCTTTCCTCTAGGCTCGCTAGATGACAACACACAGTCGCGACTGAGACCGGATAAGCTTGCTGTCACGGTCACGACGATTAAGAGCCAGCGCGATCTTGATGGCGGCTCTTTGAGTCCCAGTTCTTCGGAGGAGAGGCTGACTATTGATCGGCCGTCGCCGAGGTTGAATGGCGATATTGGGTTGGGCATTCATCGTACTTTTGAAGTTACGCAGACTAGTACCGACAGCGAGGAGATTGAGCGCCGGGCTAGAGCGTATGTATAACTTATGGTAATGAGCAAAATGTATATTTACACTTAATAATTTTATTTAACGTCAACGTTATGGATTTGCATGTAGAGTGCGAAGTGGTAAGTTATGTACACCAATGTGAGGATGAGACGGATTTAGACGGTAACTTATTTATCAAATCAAATCTATTCGTTCAATCATGGGAGTATTTGATCTATTGGCCAGGCTGCTTCCCTTGCTTCAAAGGCTCAAAGATATCAGTCCACAACTCACTTGCCTCACCGAGGAAATAAGTTAAATCAACATCTGCCAGACTGGCATTCTCATCCCCAGCCATCCCCTCAAGCTGGGAAATCAAGTTCTCCAAACCAAACGCCTTACCCGTAGCCTGCGTAGTCCCAGCCTCAAGCATGACATTAACCACATGAACATGGAAATGATAGTAAGTCGGTTGATCTAGCAAAGTCAGCCACACTGCAAGTTCCCCAACAGAAAGAACAAGAGAAGAAAGAAGCAAAAACTCACAATGAACATAAAGCTTCAACATATCCCTCTCAACACCAGGATACATCCTCACAGTCCCATCAAGCACCCTCTCCCTCAAATACTTCAACCAAGGAACCATCCCCTTCCTCAAATCCCTCAAAGACCAAATATCCCTCCTCTGCACCAACGCCAGCAAATGCAACGACCCCATCGTCTCCCGATCCCAATTCAAATCCGGCAACATCAAAAACCCATCCTCCGCCCCGCCAGCACCACCCTCATCTCTCAAAACAACATCCTCCTGCTCCGTCCGGCCCTCCAGAATATTAAACACCCAGTTCAAGCGGCCCTCCTCGCGCTTCGCGCGCATGTAGGGCTGGACGTGGGATTTGTAGATCTCCGGCGTTTCGGTTACCAGGCGGAGTTGCTGGTCGCTGTACTTCTTGATGTGGCTGGATGTGCAGGGCCAGATGAGGTTTAGTTTGAGGTCATTGCTGGTGCTGGTGGTGCTGTTGGTCCTGGCTGTTGTTGAGGAGGCGAGATACCATCGGTAGATGTCGTTGTCGCCTAGGTTCTTGACGCGCGAGATTGCGCTGTGGAAGGCGCGAATTGTGTCGAGGGATTCGGTTGGGAAGGCTGTGCGTTCGGCTGTTAGGATGCCTTGTTCGTTGTTTATTGTTCCGAGGAGGGAGATGCGTCTGCCGGCTTGGTCTGGGGTATGTTAGCTTTTTTTTTTATATTGCATTGCGGGGAGGAGGAGGGGGGGGGGGGGGGGGGAGGGGGGAAGAAAGGACCTTGTCGAAGGAGTTTTGTTACTTGGAATTGGGAGATCAGGGCCTCTGGGGCTGGAGTAGGAGTGTCCATATTTGCGTATTGTGTAAGTTATTGGATAGAGTTGGGGGGAAGTGTGTGGTTCAGTGGAATTCAGAAGCTTTATCGGAGGGGCGGTCAAGCTTATCTCGATGTCTAGTACATTGATGAAGATTCCCTCAATTGGAAAAATACAGAGTCCGAGAGAATCGGAGAGGGCCATTGAGTGAATTGACATGATTTACGAAATCAGATTCCCCCGAATGTGGGAAGAGATCTGAAGGCCCTTTCGCACGCATATCGACTTCCAAATCAACACTCGACATCCAAGAACTATAAGCCCTCAATTCTCCAAAACCCAAAACCAAAAAAAAAATAGCTTATATGCAAACCAACCTAAAAGTCGAGACCAAAACGCCATAATAACCTAGCTTCTCAAGCAACAGCCTCTTTCCCATTCACTGGAGCCGGTGTACCATGCATCTAACCACAGATAGTCAGTAAAGAAATCAAAGAAACCAAAAGTGAAGACAAGAAAGAACATACAGCTTCAGCAAACTGCAACCATTCCTCAACACCCTTGACAAAAGTATCATCCGCCGCAGGAAGAGCCTCATGACCCCATACTACAACGCCCTCAAAAGTACCATTCATCTCTAAAATCTTGACCGGTTCCTCGGGTTCAACTTCGACGACTTCATCATCATTGGGGACTTGTTGGCTAGAGGGTAATGTGCGCTCAGTTGGGGTTGCGATTATACCTAGATGGAGGGCAACAGACCCGGTTAGTCCCTGGTGCACCAGCAAGACCAGTAGAAAGCTCTCGCTTGTCCTACCTCGATATCCGTCTGGAAGGGCAACGCGGCGGCCTCGGAGTTTGCGGCCGCGGAAATATGAAGTCTGGGTGTTGTCTGCGTAACGGGATGGTTAGCTCAATACGGTTCATTTCGTGTTCGTATTCGCGACTTTTGCTTCATGGTATGCTTTTGGTGGCTGTGACCTGGACCGTTTACCTTTTTCGTCTGTCGCGGGTGCCCAGTAGCGATCCAATGTATCAATGGCTCCATCGTGGTGGATTTTGCAGGGGATTATGTTCGGTGTGTATTTCGGGATAGAGATGTCTTTCTGAGACGATGCGTCTGCTTTGATGCAGGGCTGGATGGCGTACATGTCTGGCATCGTGTGTCGCGCCAGGATTGGCGATGGAGATGGAGGGGTTGGGGTGAGTTCGGTGGGTATTTATACTCTATTGTCGAAATCTGAATACTCCGATAGTGAGTTGTACTATCCAGGCTGGGATTTGGGGTTGAGGGGTGTTTGAGGATGGTAAGTCGGAAATGTTCGAAGCGCGTCGCGTTGCCGCGTTAAGTGGAAATCCGACTCGGGTTGACAGCACAACCATAATAGTTTGCAGGCGTATTTATACTCCATTGTTCTATGAAGATGATTGATTGTCTTAAATAGTGATCAAACGTAAAGAATAAATTCAATTGGATGCAATTCGGGGTATACATATACAAAGTATCTATGTCTCAACCATCTCGCCATCAGCGCTTGCGAGTAGTCTTCTTCTTCTTCTTTTTCTTCTTCTCTCCATCGCCCTTCTCCCGATTATCCGCAAGCATGCGAGCAGGCCATTTCTTCAAATGCTCCCGCTCAAAGGCATCCTTCTCACGTCGATAAAGAGCCATCGTAGCCCGAGCATCCTCCACACTAGAATGCGCTCCATCCTGAATCTTCAATCCCAAGAACTCCTCTGCCAACATCTTCAGACGAGGAGAGCCACCGCCAGCAATCTTTCGATACGGCGGGTGCTTGCTGGTGTCCCGGATGTCACGCTTAGAGTGACTGAGGAGAAGCGCGTCCAGATCATTGCTGACAGCGTGGCCAACGAGGATGCGGTCTTTCATGATCTCCGCCACCTCCTTCTGCACATGTTCGAAAGTCCGAGCTTCGATCATGTGTTTCGGGGCAATGCCGCTGACGTGGGTGCGCCAGTCTGTGACCATCTCCTTGGGCCGCACGTAGGAATCGTATACTTGGTCGCCGTTGAAATTGACCACGCTGACGCGGGCCAGTACGGAGTCATGGTCTGGGTTTGGTCCGACGCCTACCATTTCGCAATCCATGGCGACATATTTTCCTAGTTCGGCGCTGTTTCAAATTAGCATAGGGCTCTGGTGTAGATTGTGTACTAAGCGGAGACGACACTTACGCCGGCGAACGACCTTCATTCTCTTTTCCGGTCCGGGAACTGATCTTGGCCTCAACGGGTGCTCCTGCGTTGGACTTTCTCCGAGTAGGCGAAGCCGGGGTTTTCGACTCCGTAGCCAGCTCTGTTCTCTCTGACATTCTCTTGCGCTTGAGTGGTAGCTTCTCTCGAGTTGTGGGCTTTTCTGTCTTGCGTTTCTTCACGGTGGCATCTCCGTCGCGATCGGTGGACTTGCGTTTGACGGTAGTTGGATCCTTCTTCAATGTTGCCTGCAGCTTCTTCCAATTACTGGAGAGACTGGTCTTGTCCATGGTGACAATGCTGCATGGAGGAAGTTGGGAAGATAAAAAGGCGATAAGCAAGTAAATTTTCGGGACCCACTCTTTTTTTATCTCCCGATAGAGTCCAGTCATCCGATCTATAAGACTCCAGCTAACACTACAATGGCTTTTACTGGGGGGATGAATGGTAATAAAAACAATATTGATCTATATAGGACGCAATATATGTCCAAATGCACGCGCTTTTAGAGGGAATATGCAGCAGAATTATTCGTACCCAGTCTTGAAGTCCTTCGCAGTCCACTTCTCGGTCACCTGTCTCCTGGCCTTGCGGGCCTGCGTGATAGGTGTGCGAGACTCAAGCTTACCCTGAACAATTAATGTTCGGAATCGGTCATCCAACAGGTTACCCTCGGGCTTCAGAAGTCTTAGCGAATCCTGAAGTTCGTCGGGAAGCACCAGCTCCAATCGCTTCTCAGGCGCCCTAATGATTTGTTAGTAGAAAATAAGAGTAGAACGGGGGAAATAAAAACATACGCCTTCTTGCCACCGAAAGTCTTTCGGCGGAGAACAGTCTCATCACCCTCCTCGGAATCATCAGCATCAGACTGGTTCTCACGCTCAAGTTCCCGTTGCTTGACCTGCTCAGCGATCTTGGCAATATGCTCGGCCTGTGCATCTCTCTTGATCATGGCAGCCTCCCACTTGGCCTTCCGCTCTGCTTCCTTGCGACGATTGACCTTGTTACGTTGCGTCTTGGATTTGCGCTCGGGGCGCTTCTTGTTCAACCACTCGGGCTTCTCAAACTCGCTTTCGAAGCCCTCCCAGGCGCTCTCATCGTCCGACTTGACTTCGCCGTCATCGTTGCGAGCCTCCTCGATCTTACGTTGCTTCTCAGCCTCCTTGGCCTCTTCCGCGACTCTCTTCTTCTCAGCCTCAACGGCCTCGGCACCATGTGTCTCCAAGAGCTTATCCCAGTCCTCGAACACAGGGTTGTAACTCGTTCCGGCGTGTGGCGTCTTGACGGCAGGAATGCGCTTTCCGTTGGCAGCGAGCGAGATAGGAGCGTGCTTTAGTGTGACGGGCTCCACCTTGGCCTTGGGCTTGGTGAGGAAATCAAAGCGAGGATCATCGTAGGTGGTGCTGGGCTCGGCTTCCTCCGCCCAGGGATCGTAGATCTCAGTCGCAGTCTTCTGTTCGGGGTTGTTGTCCTTTGCCACTTGCTTCAAGCGCAAGTAGTCCTTGCGGCTGACCCAATCGTTCTTGACTTTCTTCGTCTTCGGCTCAATAACTCCATCAGTAATGTTGGGGTTGACACGCTTGCGACCGTCCAATGCTGGGATCATAGACCGCTGAGCGAGGATCTCATCGGCCTTGAGAGCCTTATGTTTCTTAGCGTAGGACTTGCGCACGTCTTCGGATCCGGTAGTGTCGAGTGTGAAAAGTTCATCGGAAGGCTTCTCAGACACAAGGCCACTAGGAGAAGATGTAAGTACACTTGTTCGGTCAAGGGACGAGAATTATTGGCCTACCCTTTGATCTCTGCATCCTTCAGGTCGCGCAAACCCTGCTGAACCTCGGTGACATCGACGTTCTTGCGCCACGCCTTCTTGCCCTTACGGGAAGATTGCTTGAATTGCTGAGGGGCATCCACAGAGGTCGACATTGTGGAAACAAATAGTTGACGGTGAAATACCAAAATCGGCTTATCTTTTTTTCTTCCCAAAAAAATCTGGGTCTGCTTATCTCAGCACACGCGGGGGCGGCTATCACGTTAAGCGCGCTAAACTGCAAACTCGCATCTCTTCCGCTTTGAGCTGTCACCACTCGAACTTCTCAATCGCCAGAGGGTCGTCAATTTTCCATCTTCCTGGTGGTGTTCTTGATATTTCACTTTTATTCATTGGCCGACTCTGCGCAGAGCGCGATCGCCCGCTATGCCTGTTGTCAAAGGAGGTGTCTGGTAAGTGCGCTCTGCAACCTGTCCGCGAACTTCTCTAACGCGTCTCCAGGACCAATATCGAAGATGAAGTGCTTCGTGCAGCTGTACGTCTTTCTATTTTAATACGCCATCATCGGTTACCTACGGTATATGGGGCAAAAACTGACACGATCGCAGGTATCGAAATATGGTCTGAACCAGTGGGCTCGAGTGTCCTCGTTGCTCGCGCGGAAAACACCCAAGCAATGCAAGGCGCGCTGGATCGAATGGCTGGACCCCGGTATTCGCAAGGTTGAGTGGTCGCGAGAAGAGGATGAGAAGCTCTTGCACCTTGCGAAGCTGATGCCCACGCAATGGCGTACGATCGCACCCATCGTTGGGCGCACCGCGACACAATGTCTTGAACGCTACCAAAAACTTCTGGATGAGGCTGAATCTCGTGAGAACGATGAGCTTGGTCTAGGAGGACCCGGCGAAGAGAGCGCTGCTCCCAGCGCGGATGATGTCCGTCGTCTACGGTATGTCTATTTTACCCACCTCTCCTATATGTTGCTGATCATTTTAGCCCCGGTGAACTTGACCCCGACCCGGAATCCAAGCCTGCTCGCCCCGATACAATCGATTTGGACGAAGATGAGAAGGAGATGCTGAGCGAAGCCCGTGCTCGTCTCGCCAACACACAGGGTAAAAAGGCCAAGCGAAAGGCCAGAGAGCGCCAATTGGAAGAGTCCCGTCGACTTGCAGTCCTGCAGAAGCGTCGCGAACTGAAGCATGCCGGTATCAATGTCAAGGTTGTCACACGGAAGCCCGGCCAGATGGATTACAATGCAGACATTCCCTTTGAAAAGCCCGCCGCTCCTGGATTTTACGACACAATAAATGAACAGAGCCAGAATGAGCGTGAGCGAGAGGCATTTGATCCTCGGAAGCAGCAGCTCGCCAACAAGCGAAAGGGCGACCAAGACGATGATGCGGAGCGCAAGAAGCGCAAGAATGATAAAAACAGTGCTACAGCTGCTTCAGCTGCAGCCGCGCGTGCAGGCCAAATGCAAAAGATCCGCGAAGCAGAGCAGAGCAGCAAGCGACGAGGCTTGAACTTACCTGCGCCTCAGGTCAGCGAAAGCGAGATGGAGGATATCATTAAGATGGGAATGGCCGGTGACAAGGCCAGCCGAATGAGCGCCGACGAAGAAACAACTCGGGGTCTCATTGGTAACTACTCGGGCATTGTTGGAGGAACTCCGATTAGAACCCCCCGCGCTGCTCCGGAGGAGGATCACATCGCCAACGAAATCAAGAATATTCGGGCTTTGACCGAGACGCAGTCTTCTCTTCTGGGTGGAGACAATACACCTCTTCACGAGGGTGGCTCATCAACTGGCTTTGATGGGATCGCCCCTCGGCGACAGGATATTGTCACTCCTAATCCCATGGCTACACCATTCCGCCAAGCGAACGGTATGGGTGCCACGCCCATGCCAGGTGGCATTGGTGCTACACCTTTGCGCACACCTCGAGACCACTTTGCCCTCAACAAGGAGGGAGAGGGTGCACAACTTGTTGGAAGCACACCTCGCGATATCAGAAACCACGAGAATCTCACACGCCAACAGATGCGGAGCAAGCTGGCTTCGCTTCCTAAGCCCAGGGAGACCGAGTGGGATTTGGAAGAGCTTCCATCTGAGACCGCTGAGTCCGGTGCGGCTATGGAACTCAGTGAAGAGGATGCTGCTGAGCGTGACCGCAGAGAGCGGGAGGCAAAGGAAGTGGCCGCAAAAGCTGAATTCAAGCGCCAGTCACAAGTTTATCAGCGTGGCTTGCCTCGGCCGGCCGTTCTGGATTTGAACGCCCTGATGAAGCGTGCTTCTAGTGCCGGCGATAGCATTGAAGTATTAATCGCCAACGAAGCCGCCATCTTGATTGCACACGATTCTCGCAAATTCCCTCTTCCCAATGCGAAGGTCGAAGGCAAGGCACCGAAGCTGGGCCAATTAGACGACCGCTTCTTGGCCGCAGCGCGGGCTTCTATTGCCGCTGAGATTGCCTCTACCCAAGCACAGCAGTCGGAATGGCAAGAGAAGTTCGACGATGGCTGGTCAACAGTCCGCGCCGGCTCTCTTCCGGGTCTTGAAAACTACGATGACGAGGAAGATGATGACTTTAAGGAAGAGCAAAAGATGATCGGACTCTTTGACAACGTCGAACAAACCCTTATCGAGACCGCCGATCGTGGAAACAAGCTTGAAAAGAAATTATCTCTGCACTACGGCGGATACCAGAACCGTGCTAAGACGCTGCGCTCGAAGATTCTCGAGGCCAACGTTGCGTTGCCCAAGGCCACTGATGACCTGGACTCTTTCCGCACACTCCAGATCTCTGAAGAGTCAGCCGTATCTCGACGACTCGAAAAACTCCGTGCGGATGTCTCATTTGTCATGCGCCGCGAGCGTGAAGCCCAGGACCTTTACAAGACCCGCAAAGATGAGCTGGATGAGCTTGTTGCTGGCACGGCTGCAGTAAATGGCTGGCATTAGGGCCGGCATTTCTTTTTATTTTCGCATCATGACCTCATATATCTTACCCTGTTGTACAATTACCATTGCTGTCTAATTTGACGAACTACGGTCATTTGCCGAAAATCTGTCACACCTCTCTGTAGTCTTGTTGCAAGCAAGGTATCATCGCTATAGATATAGAAAGCCCAGAACATAAGTTGCTTATAACCTAACATTCATCTCCCTCCCAAAACCCCCTCTACTCAGCCTTAATACCCACCGCATCAAGAGGTGTAACCCTAACCGACTCCTCCGTCTCCTCCGTCTCCTCGGCCTCAAAAGTCCCATCATGATGCCTACACCAACACCAACGTCAGCAACGAAACCAACACAAACCCCAGCCCCTACAACAAAAGAAACTCACTTCTGCGCCGCCCTCTCCCTCGCATGTAAGAACCTCACCAAGAACGTCGTCCCAATCAACAAGAAAGACAAAACAGTCACGGCAATAAAGCCCTTCTGGTACTGCGGCGCATCGACCTGCTGCCAAACAACAAGCGGCAGCCAAGCCTGGAAGACATATGCCATTTCATTCATACTTCCGATCACGAGGGATCGTTCTTCGTTGTCTTCTGAGCAGATTTCATGGGCCCAACTTTACATGAGAGAGTATGTTAGCATTCAGACTCAAACAGAAGGAGCGATAGAGAGACTTACGCCATGAGTAGACCGCTGAGACCATAACCAGCCCCGCTGATGATATAGCAGGTCCATTTCCAGCCTGTTGGGATATCCCACACAGCGAGCGAGATGTAGCTGATGATATTTATGCACTGGGATTGTGAATTGTTAGGTCGGGGATCGGTCAGGAGTGTATCCCGCTATATTTGTGTGGGGAGATTGGGAGTTGCTTACAGCTCCGAAGATGATAGGTGGCCAGCGACTGCCGTTTAGTATACTGTCTGATATCCCTGTTATATTGTCAGTATGGGAGGATGGTAGTGACGGGATTATGGTGTGCTCACAGGCATATGCGAGAGTCGTCACTACTTGGACTGCAGGTGTGGTTGTGGGGATGGAGTTGATTTGGCTGATTGTGTAGACTGGGTCTGTGGACTTTTTGAGGTATCTTTCATACATATATTGTTAGAATGGGCTTGTGGGGGGCTTTTTTGTTGACTGACTGTTGGAAAATAGGCTGGCTTCCTGCGGCGCCGTTGTTGAAACATCTGGAACAGGTTAGTTTTGATGTATTTCTTGTGAATGCGGGTTTGGGGCGCACATGTAGAGGATTGTTAGAAGGTAGATGTGCCATGAAGTAAAGATTTTCTTGAGTTTGGACTTTGTGAATGGCTCTCTGTCTTTTCTTCCTTCTAGTTTCATTCGTTTCTGGGCCAGTTTGACCTCCTGGTAGGTGTTGCTATTAGTGTTGAACGGACACTGACATGGATGGGCAGAATTACCTCTTGGCTAAGATACCATGGGTTGGAGATTTCTGGTACATCAGGCAGAATAAAGAAACCGCTGATCGCAATTGGCAAGGAGATCACTCCGTCGATGATGAACAGCCTGGTTGGCACATTAGGGCTTGAGCAGAATCCGCAGGTGGAGGCTCTTGCTTACCATTGCCACCCCTTGAACCCTCCTCGTCCTCCAAGGTGGTAGACGGCATCCATGAGATATCCCGAAAACATACTGGCAATTCCACTGCTCGTGTGGAATATACAAGACCGTTTTGCTAGTTCATCTTTTCTGTACCAGGAGCCAATGATATATTGCATTCCGGGATAGAAGGTGCTTTCAGCAAGCCCTATCAAAGGTTGTTAACTGATCGGAAATCCAGGACGCTCGGATGGACTTGACATACCGACAAAGAAGCGCAGAACATAGAACTGTGTTGGACTGTTGCACCGAGAAAGGGACATTGTGAGGACGGTCCATAAAAGCTGTGTCGGGATACGTTAAGCAGGGTGTTATTGGGGCATGTGGCATGAAAAGAGATCTCACCTCCATGGCCGGAATCCAGTATCGTGGCTTGATGCGAGTCAACAATAAATTGCTGGGGATTTCCCCAATCACGTAGCCAACCGTCCAACAGGTCTGCATATAGTTGAGTTGATTCCCGTACATGCCCAGATCTTCTTTCCTGTGACCCGTCAATACAAAGTCCAATGGGCGACACAACATCAGAATAGGGTCTCCCTACATCCCAGAAACAAAGGCATTGTTTATATTGATCTGATCCAGATACTTGATAAAATACCCTAAACCGGAAACATTAGAAACCACCAAAAGAGGAAAAACCAGCAACACCAACCCAACGACGCAAAGGTCAAAATGGCCGAATCCAGCTTGAACATCAATCGACGCTCCTCGGGCGATTTATCGAAAGTGTCCCAGATATAGCTGACCCATTTACGCTTCGGTTCTTTCTGAACGAGCGTCGAGAGATCGACATCCGCTTCACCGGCATGGGATTTCGACGACATGATCCAGTGTACATGTACAGTATATACGGTGCCAAGTGATGTGAATAGCCCAGATTCCAAATTCCGGAAACATTCTTATAGGCCGGAAAATCTCTTATGGTTCAGTCTCGGAGATGGAGTGGCATGCCACACGCTCCGAGCTACGGCATGGTTGATTTGAGGGTGATAGAGGAGCTCTGACGTATCAGCGATCTTGTTCCATAGCTTAGAGAGGCTCGGAGGGTTTTATCTATCGAAATGTGGTCATCATTGCATTGGGGCTATGGGATGGACTCAGAGAGGGGATCTTAGTCGAATGATGGAGCAGCTTGTTTGCGCCATTCCTGCGGGATTGTTCAACATTGGCGTATCAGGAGCTAATTCTGGTCTAGTGCCCTGATCGAGGGAGTGTGGGAGTGGGAGAGTCAGGGATGTCTGCTGTTGCCATACGACGCTAGAAAAGCACCATCGCTCGTCATATATTGTGGTGATGGTGTGCCCATTTCTACTACAAGCTTGGGAATCTTGAACATCAAGCAGCAACCTCCACCAAAGTGCTCTCAGGGGCCTTGGGAACCTCTTTTGGAAGCAGTCCAGCAAATAACAACCGGAACCTCTCCCTCATAGCAATCTTCTCCGCAATCCAAGTCTGAGTATGCCCCTCAATAGCAGACAAGCCACAAACAGCCCTGCCGGCATTGACCCAGTCCATGAGTTTCACAACATAAGGCTCCTCCTGATCCTTGAGCGAATGAAAACTACGTCCATACCCCTTCTCCCTTAACCGCGTCTCATATTCAGCACGTAAAACTGCAGTAGAAGGAAGCTGGGCGGTCCCGGATAGGAACGCCGTCACGGCGAGAGCCTGAAACTCGAAGAGAGAAAAGGTCGCGGTGTAGAAGGGGATACCCACAAATGCGAGAGTGGGATCTGGGATGTAGAAGATGTCGTCGTGGAGATTGTGGATTTGGGCGCCGTCTGTTACGAGGACGGTTTCGTTTGCTTCGGGTGCGGATATGGCGTGGTTGTTGTATTGGGGCAAGAAGGGGAGAGACATTTGGTATCCGGTGCATAGGACGATTGTGTCGATTCCTTCGAGGCTTTCTCCTGATTTGAGGGTTACCGTTAAGGGGAGGTGGCTGGTTGAAGAGGGTGAAGTTGAAGGCGAGATGTTGAATGAGGCTACTTCGCCGATTCGTTGGGTCTTTTCCGGGAGGGCAGTCTCTGGAAGATCGAAGGCGCCGTTGCGTGTGCTTTGGTAGATTTTGTTGGCTGTTTTGCTTATTTCTTTGGCGATGTCTAGGGAGGAGACTCCTCCGCCTAGAAGGAGGACATTCTAAGTTCGGATTAGTCGAGTTGAAATAAGGTAAAGATAGAATAAATACCTTTCCCTCAAAGCCCTCTGATCTGCGGAAAGACTTGGAATGATAGATCCTCGTAGGCCATTGAGCTTTCGCCTCGGGAAGTCCCTTGATATCAGGAACCAAAGGCGTATGATAGTGGCCCGAAGCGACAATGACAGAGTCAAATGTCTGTAATCGAGTCAGTCAATGGACTCCATATAAAGAAGATTCAGTTTGGTTCCTTACTGCAGAATCCTCATTCTCAACAATCTCTTCATCATTCTCGCTCAGAGTAGTCCACTTCACCGTCCACGTCGGTCCCTCCTTATAGACCTTGGTCACTTGGGCACCATATATAGTCACATCATCAACGCCAGCCTTCTTCGCCGTATCCTGAATATAGTCCTTGAGAACAAAGTGTCTCACAAAGGGCGCTGTTCCCTCTGGCCAGGAATTCAGCTTGGTCTCTAGCAACGGAGTGGAGACATTATTCGTGAGGCTTTCATAGCAAGGCCTGTAAGAGATGAGTACACAGCGTACATCAGCCGTGATTGTTTCGGTTGAACTCACCCAGGCGGCGCATGAAGCAATATCTTCCGCTCTTTCCCCTCGCGCTCGTCGTTTACATATTCCTGCGACACAGACGGTCTCGGGGATGGATAATGGGCTTCAATTGGAGTTCGCTTGTCATATAGCCTGGAGGGTTAGCTGATCGCTTTCAGAGTGACGATTGAGGCAATGTGCTTACCAAACGCCCCCAGCGGCATGACTTCTCTCGAAGACAGTCACTGCAATCCCAACAGCCAGCAGATGACCAGCAGTCACCACTCCGCTGATGCCAGCGCCAATCACGGCGACTCGCTTGGGCTTGTCACTCATCTTTATTGTAGGCGTATAAGTTCGAATGGAAAAGAGAAAATTGGAGGGCCGGGGGATCCTCCACACTTACTATCTCCCAAGTATCCGAACTAGTGATCTACTCACCACGCCTCAATATTTCGTCATCGCTGTTCTCCAACCTCTCAGCTTTGATCTCGAGATATCGAGCACCGGAACGGGCGGCAAGTTCACTAGATCTCGGTATGTATCATGCCATGCTTAGAAATTCCATACGATCGTGATAGACATTGTGAATTGTGAATCACTGGTTTCCCCGCGTCCAAACTTGAACAAGCAAATGAACAGAATCAGAGAATCCGAGAGTCAAGAGAGGCAGGAAGGCGTAATGGGTCAGACCGATGATGTGCTCCCCGGTGCGGAGAAGACGACATGGATTAAATATCGAGCCTGGGATTTGCCAGTTGCAATAGAAACAGTAAATCAAAGTCCAATATGGCTCCAGCTCCAATTGATGCACGTATCGTCGATGTCGCAGTCCCTAATAAGGATACCCTAGAGCTTCCAGCGCCTGCCCGCGAACGCTTCGAGAAAGCCGGAGTTGATCTCAGCTCTGGATATCCGTATCGACCATCTCGTCCTCTCTACCTGGACGATGTTTATCAGATCCGAAATGAAGACCGACTCCATGTAGACCCCGGCAGTCGGGCCGATCCTGAAAAGAAGGCTCTTTTGTCGGCGGCGAAAGAAGTTATTCCATTAACTGCTCATATCGGCACCGAGATCGTCGGACTGCAGCTGAAGGATTTGACAGACCAGCAGAAAGACGAGTTAGGGCTGTTGATCGCCGAACGCAGCGTCGTCTTCTTCCGAGACCAGGATCTATCGCCTCAACAGCAGAAGGAGATAGGCGAGTATTACGGTGAAGTGGAGGTTCATGTAGGCTCCATCCAACCTACTAAATAACCAGCCCCCAGAGACTGACCATCCCAGCCCCAAGGCCCCCAAGTCCCCGGCGTGCCAGGCGTGACCGTCCTCTGGCCCGCCCTATACGCCGAAGAACAAAAGGCAAGTTTCCGTCGGCCAGGCGGCGCATCTCGCTGGCACAGCGATCTCGTGCACGAGAAACAACCAGCAGGAGTAACACACTTACACAACGACACCGTGCCCACCGTCGGAGGCGACACGCTGTGGGCAAGTGGCTACGCAGCCTACGAGAAGCTGTCACCTTTGTTCCGGAAATTGATCGATGGCCGAACGGCCATTTACCGATCTGCGCATCCCTACCTCGACCGGAACAAGCCCGACGAGGGACCGAAGTATGTGGAGCGCGAACATCCTCTTGTTCGCGTTCATCCGGTGACGGGGTGGAAGGCGTTGTGGGTGAATAGGACTATGACCGATCGGATTGTTGGGCTTGATAAGGCCGAGAGTGATGTTATTCTGGGGTATCTGTATGAGGTTTATGAGAAGAACCCTGATATCCAGGTGCGGTTTCGGTGGACGCCGAGGACGAGTGCGTTGTGGGATAATCGGTTTGTTTTGGGTTCTTGGTTGTGTGTGTATGTGGGTGTGCATGCTGACATGGTGATAGGATTACTATTCATAATGCTAGTTGGGATTATGAGGGTTCTCAGCCCAGACATGGAACGAGGGTTACTTCGTTGGCGGAGAAGCCTTTCTTTGATGCTGATGCGCCTACGAGACGCGAGGCATTGGGATTGCTGGGACCACAGGAGATTGAAGAGTTGGAGAAATTGACAAGTCTTCTTCAGGTGAAGTGATTGCAGTGAATGTTATACTATCTGATGGGAGACGATGGTTATACTGGGCCAATGAGGTCTTTTGAATAGTAAACAAATTGTTCTGAAATGCCAGCTTTGTCTGTTGCCAGTTTCTGTTGTCAATTCAGTAGGATTATTTCATTTCACGATTCTAGTCCCTTGGCTTCAAAAGCATTGTCGCTGTATACACAATCGTATTGCGATTGGGCCTTGCAGCCCCGGACAAATCCGGGGTTCTGATCTCCATGTCGCGGACTCCGGAGGCCGAAGTAGAAATCAAAACCGCTGCAATGAGTGCAGATACATATTGCGATCATTGCCAACAGTCACAAAAACCCAGCAGCATGAACGAGACAATGATACATAATACGACCAACTCCTTTCCTAAATGTCAAGGTGGTTTTTCCAACACTAGTATCATCTACAAGATACAAAAGATACATAATATACAAAAAAGCCTCTTAAGGCCAGCGCGCATTCTTCGTTGCTCGTATTGTGGACGCTAAGGAGCATGACTGCTCGAGGGTCGATAATATATGGCCACTCGAATCCCCACTCGGCCTCCGGGGCCCGGAGCCATACCATACAGCAAGGCGGGTGTAAGCAGATCGACTAAGAATCAGATATACGATAGCTTAGAAGTGACCTTATAAGATAGAAGTACAACAGAAATGTTGAGGCGATCAATCACTTAAGTCCCTGGGGCAAATTTGCCGATCCTTGCCGCCTTCCCCAACACCATCACTTTGCTTGCTCACCTACTTTTCTCTACCAAGTTTCAATTTCCAAAATGAGCACAACAACTACAAGCGCAACAATGACACTGAACAGTGTACCTGAAATCACGGCCGAGAATGTCGCCACCCTCTTCCCGGAGGTTGATACATCGCTCGCCCGCGAAATCCTCCCCACGGCCCAAACACAGAGCTCGCGCGATGGCGGCGAACTTGCTGGGTACGACGACGAGCAGGTGCGCCTGATGGACGAGGTCTGCATTGTCCTGGACAACAATGACCGACCCATTGGCAGCGCCAGCAAGAAACTCTGTACGGTGAACCCCAGACTCCAAATGGCGGGGTAGTGGACATATATAGCATCAACCTCTGCAACTGGAACCCATTGCTGACAGTCATTCATGATAGGCCACTTGATGACCAACATTGACAAGGGCCTCCTTCACCGTGCTTTCTCTGTCTTCCTGTTCGACTCCAACAAGCGCCTGCTGCTCCAGCAGCGCGCCACCGAGAAGATTACCTTCCCCGATATGTGGACCAACACTTGCTGCTCACACCCTCTTGGAATCCCTGGTGAGACAGGTGCTGAGCTGGATGCGGCTGTTATGGGTGTCAAGCGCGCTGCGCAGCGCAAGCTCGACCACGAGCTTGGTATCAAGGCGGAGCAGGTCCCGCTGGATAAGTTTGAGTTCTTTACGAGAATTCACTACAAGGCTCCCAGTGATGGAAAATGGGGTGAGCACGAAGGTATGTGAAAGATGCAAGACAAGACTGTCTGGGGTCAATTGATTCTGACTAGATCTAGTGGACTACATTCTCTTCATCCAGGCCGATGTCGACCTGGCCCCTAGCCCTAATGAGGTCCGTGATACCACCTATGTCTCGGCTGAGGAGCTGAAGGCTATGTTCGAGCAGCCCGGCTTGACATTCACCCCGTGGTTTAAGCTGATCTGTAACTCGATGCTCTTCGAGTGGTGGAGCCACCTGGGCACCCCTGCCCTGGAGGCGTACAAGAACGAGCAGCAGATTCGTCGCATGTAAACGGCCTGGGGCATATATTGCGTTTTCGGGTTCTGTTTATTTATGGTCATATGCATCTCGGCATCTTCTTTACGTGACTCATGGAATTGATACCTCAGTCTGTTTTGTCAACACCTAATTAGGACTATCTCCGCATACTTAAAAAACAATACTGCAGCATTTTGGTCCACTCAGTCCTCTCCACGTAAGAAGAATAGCATGCATGCAATGGATATCAATCATATGCCCTAAACCCAACGCCAACGCTAACAAAAAGACATGTCCCTTACTGCTGCGGATCAGTCGACAAGAACAAAATACAACTCCCAAGAATAACAGTGCCCACAACTGTAAAGACAACCTGCGTCTTCCACCCACTCTGCACCAACGCCGCCTTGCGCGCATACTTCATCACCGTCCGCGAGTAATTCGCAAACCCATTAGCAAGACAGGTCAGACTAAGAACCCAAAAAATAATACCCAGCGGCAACGCCATGCGCTTCTCCAGGCCAGTGGGCTGATCGCGGAAATGAAACGAGATAATGATCGCCAGCGAGACCACGGCTAGATACATTGATAGACGAAGCCATGAGAGGAATGTGCGCTCGTTCGCGCAGTGGTCGCGGGCATCTGACGTGCTATTTTCGAACAGGAGGGCGCCACAGTACGGGCGGGAGAGGAAGATATGGTGTTGGGATTCGATGTGTCTGGCCAGGGGATGGTTGTTAGTTGGAAACATACATATGGATGTGCTTGCTTGTGCTTGAGCTTGTGGATGTGGATGCGGACGTGGGATTTAACATCAACAATGGAAATGAAGCACGTGCGGGGTTGGCATGGAAAGGGACGGGCCTATCGATCCGTGTGGAATTCTGGGCCTGGACTGCTCTCCACGATGGCAGCTGTGTGGTATGGAAGGGTTTCGAATTTCGAATTTCGCATTTCCAAAGTGCCTGGATGCAAGGGACCGCCACCATCTGGTTGGGCTTCCTTTCGGGGTTCCGAATTCCCACATGGGAGACAGGTGAAGGTGTGGACTTACTCTTCAACTAGGACTGGCTTTGAATTGACTGGATTGATCAGTGGATTAAAGGGTGGTTTAGTGCACCCACTCACTGTTTGAGCCATGATTGCTTAATGAAGCTGAAACTGCGGGATCAGCTAGTGAGCAAGGACCGAGTGCTGTCATGTGATGTGCTTACCGTTTTCGGCAAGTCACTTGACTTGAGATGCAGATAAGTGACATGGATATGCACTGCAGTGCATATCGTATCAGTGAGTATTCCAAGGATATTTGGGCTGATCAGGGTTCGAGGGTTATTTGTCGATCAGCGAGTCAGCGGTGGGTCTTTGGATGTGGGGGTGGAAATCCAACGGGGATCTCGGAATGGGCAATAGATAGAGAAAAAAAGGTGAGAAGAGGTGAGAAGAGCTGGAAAGAGCTGACAAGAGCTGCAAAGAAGATAGACGATAGACGATAGACAGCTCTTGAGTCATCCCTTGCCGTTGATATCGAGAGGGGATATACCTGCCTATTTAGTGCACTACTAGAGCTCCGGCCGTCTCCGCTTTGACTTTTGGTTTCTCCGACACTTCTCAGGTGCTTGACTTCCCTTCAATGAAGCCAGAATCAGTGCTATAGACAGGCCCTCATCATGGCTCGTAACATCCGCTCGGTGGACGCCGCCGAGCACCAAAGCCCATTCAGCCGGTCATTCACGGCCAGCTCGCCCATCGCCGCTTCAGCAATTGCGCGCGATCTAGCTGAATACAGCGACGAGGACCAATCCACCGATGAACTGTCCGAATGCTCAACAGCTCGCCCGCCTGGCAGCTGGACCGGCACCAACCCCCACTCACTAGCAGGGTCGTATCGGCGGCCGGGACACTTTACGTCCGTGAACCACGCGACCATACTCCCCAACAACGGAGAACAGCAACCTCTCTCCCAAAGTGAGCGCGAACAAGCTATCGAAGAAGAGCGAGACCTACTGAGCGACAACCGTGTAATCCCGCCCGAGCACGCGCACAGCAAGGCCCATGGTCTTCAGCGCAAGGTCAGCGGTCTGCTCTCCGCAGCAATCGGCCAAGGCCGACGACCGAGTGCCGCATCGCGACACTCCCAAAACAGGGACGCTGAAACAGGCCCGGTAGCAAACGAGACCACAGCTCTGCTGCAGGCACCAGCAGACACGGAGGACGCCGAATTGAACCTGGATGAGATCGACCGCAAATGGGAGGAAGCAGTTTCTGCAGGTCTGATCCAAACTACGTGGCAGCGCGAAGCAAAAGTCATTGGTAGATATTCATTACCGCTGATGGTCACATTTCTGCTCCAGTACTCCTTGACTGTAGCCAGTATCTTCACTATTGGTCATTTGGGGAAAGAGGAGCTTGGTGCGGTCAGCTTGGCGAGTATGACTGTCAGCATTACAGGAAATGCGGTTTACTCGGGTCTCGCGACGAGTTTGGATACCCTGTGCGCTCAGGCGTATGGATCGGGCAAGAGAAAGCTGGTAGGCCTGCAGATGCTTCGCATGGTGTTCTTCCTTTGGATCATCACCATTCCTATTGCGGTTCTTTGGTACTTCTCTGAGCATATCCTTGCGAAGATTGTTCCTGAAAAGGAAGTTGCTGCCATGGCGGGTCTTTATTTAAAGGTGGCGCTCTTGGGAACTCCTGGGTATGCTTGCTTTGAGAGTGGTAAGCGTTACCTCCAAGCTCAGGGTGTTTTCTCTGCCTCGCTGTATGTTCTGATTGTGTGTGCACCGCTCAATGCCTTTTTGAACTGGTTCTTTGTTTGGGTATGTTTTTCCCCCCTTGGCTATTACTGTGGTCGATACTAATCTCTGATAGAAACTTCAATGGGGCTTTGTCGGCGCTCCAATCGCCGTGGTCATTACAGAGACCCTTCTCCCCATCTGCTTGTTCATATACGTCTATTTCAACGTAGGATCCGAATGCTGGTGCGGCTTCACCACACGTGCATTTCAAAATTGGGGTCCAATGATTCGACTGGCACTGCCGGGTCTGATCATGGTCGAGGCAGAGTGCCTTGCATTTGAAATTCTGACTCTAGCATCCAGCTATCTCGGGACGTCGGAGCTTGCAGCTCAGTCCATTTTGGCAACAATTTCGAGTATCACATGGCAGATTCCATTCCCACTGTCTATCGCCGGTAGCACGCGAGTAGCAAACCTGATTGGAGCCACTTTGGTCGATGCAGCCAAGACCTCAGCCAAGGTCAGCTTCTATGGAGCAGCCATAGTTGGTATTTTCAACATGATTCTCCTGTCGACTTTGCGATCTTACATCCCCAGGCTGTTCAGCTCGGATCCCGAAGTTGTTGAGATCGTCGCACAGGTCCTTCCCCTTTGCGCGGCGTTCCAGCTCTTTGATGCTCTTGCGGCTAACTGTAATGGTATTCTGCGTGGATTGGGTCGTCAAGAAGTTGGCGGTTACATTCAGCTCTTCCTTTACTATGTGGTTGCCATGCCTATCAGTATGGGAACGACCTTTGCTCTAGATTGGGGCGTCATGGGTTTATGGACCGGAGTTGCACTTGCTCTTGGGCTTGTTTCCATCGTCGAGGGCATCTTTATTAGTCGAGCTAATTGGAATCGCTCTGTCGAGGAGGCTATCCTGAGGAACGAGCTGACTTGAAGTGATCCCAGCACATACCACATGAGATGGTCGATGACTTATGTCCGCAACGATCGGTTTTTACATGTTTCCAGTACATATTGCATGGATGCATCACTGGCTAGGTTGATTTTACCTAGGTTTCTCTTTTGAGTGTTTGTATCTACCAAAATTAAAAGACATACAAGGGGAAAAAAAGAACCCACGTGCAGAAAGTGGTGTTAAAAACACAGATCATGATATCATTGGAGTCTGAATATGACTTTTTAAGATGACAGGGACAAGAAAATAAGCCTAGTACTCAAGAATAGCCCAAGTCTGCTCATCCATAGTGGAAAAGATAACACCAGAGCCAAGTAGCTCCTCGCCACCCTTAGCAACCTCAGTAGCAGGAATGTTCAACTTGGAAGCAATAACCTGCATATGCAAGCCGGTATCATCCTGAGGCTCCGTCCGAAGCAGCGAATAAATCTTCTTAGCAACAGGCCCCATAGAAGCAAGAGCCTTGCTCTTCTCATTACCATAATCATCCGCACCACCCATAACAGCATCTCCCCCAGCGCCAGCACCGCCAGGCGCAGCCCCACCAGGCGGACCACGAGTAAAGAACAAGTGCACCGCAGTAGCCTCGAGCAAATGAGTATGCAACTCATTAATATCAGACAAGGGCCGCACACTGTGCGCGCCAATGTACCGCTTATTTCCGAAAGACTTGACCGAGCCGAAGACGCGCGCATAGCCGTTCACCTCGAGCTCGCTCTTGCCATCGCCGGGCGCTTTGCCCTCGTCCGTGTCCATATTATCGGCAGTGGTGGTGTCGACCCATTTCTTGACTTCGATTTCGCCCGTGCCGTCGTCGATCTTGTACGTGATGTTTGTGCTTTGGCTGCTGATGTTGCGGACTTGGCCGATGAAGAGCACGTTGGCTACGTCTGCGTTGTCCACTTGGAAGGGGGCTTCCGGGAAGGGTTGGGAGGCGTCCAGGATTTGTTTGACTGTTACTGGGCGGAGCGTTTTGTTGTCTCTGTCGCCGGTCTGGGGTTGGGTTAGGGCGTTAGCTGGTTGGCTCTTTTGGGTTGTAGGAATTGGATGCTGTGTTACCTTTCCTCCTGCAGGGCTGTTCGTCTCGCCTGGCATGAAGCCTCCACCACCGCCACCGCCAAAGGAGTTGTAGTTGTTGTATCCGCCGTCTGGAGAGTGGGTTAGGATTTTTGAGAGAGTTTGGAGGGACTGGCTCTGGGACGGACTTACCCATGATGTGGTGTTGTAATGGGGAGAATTGAGTAGAGAGTGACTTCAAACACCATTTTACTTAATTGGGAGCGTGTTGCACGCGTCGCGGGGCGTTCTGCCGTGTCTGACCGCTCCTCTTCTTGAGTGAAGGCTACCAACATCCCAGGATTGTCTGAATGTTATATAACTTATATCTTTGCTAACTTAACAACATAAACGATATTTAGGCTAAAGAGATCACTTTCGTATGTATCTAGTCTCGATTAAAAGGTATACAGCCTCTAAGATCTCATTTTTGTCCCAAATTTGTAGTTGCTGTCGCATAACCCAAGTCCCAACTACTCAATGCACTGTTTCAATGCAACCATATATAATGACATGCAGTAAGCCTGTATAACATGGATCTTCAAGATAGCTCTTGATCAAAGATTATTTCTGAGCTACAAACTGGCGACATAACCTTCATCGTCGTTGTATGGAAATGTTTGTTTGGTTTGCACTCGGCAGATGGTTGATCCGATATTCACCGCCTTTGATTCTCTCAACTTTTTTTTTGCGGCGATCGAAAGACGGCGAGATAAGCGACTCGACTTACGCTTCGATTATTGAAGCTTGTGTGCAGTTGAGGAATTGACTGTCCTGTTCTCTCATTAATCACATCTCGTCGACATAACACCACTCCGACGTTGATGATACGACTTGTTTAACGCTTATCATTATTTCTTCCGCCTTGGTCGGTATACCGCAATATGCCTCGCCGTGAAGCCTCCCCCGCAGAGTCGGAGAACGAGTTCGACATTACTAGCGCCCTTTTCCAGGGTGACAGCGACTCCGATGACGGCGCAAAGTCCCAGGCCCGCCAAAAGAAACAGAAGCAACAGAAGCCCGCTCCCGCCCAGGATCTAGATTTCCTCGGATCGGATGATGATGGCGATGCAGCCTTCATTGCAGGCCAACAGGCGTCTGCCAACCGAAAGGGCTCCAGCCTCAAGGGTCGCACCGTGAAGAAGGGCGGTGGTTTCCAGGCAATGGGTCTTAGCATGAGCCTGCTCAAGGCCATTGCCCGAAAGGGCTTTTCCGTACCTACCCCCATTCAGCGCAAGACTATTCCTGTGATTATGGATGACAAGGATGTTGTGGGTATGGCTCGCACTGGTTCCGGAAAGACTGCGTCCTTCGTTATTCCCATGATTGAGAAATTGAAGAGCCACAGCACTGCATTCGGTGCCCGCGCCCTGATCATGTCTCCCTCCCGTGAATTGGCCTTGCAAACTATGAAGGTTGTCAAGGAAATGGGACGCGGAACTGATTTGAAGACTGTGCTCCTGGTCGGTGGTGACAGTTTGGAGGAGCAGTTCGGAATGATGGCCAACAACCCCGATATTGTCATTGCTACACCTGGTCGATTCTTGCACTTGAAGGTTGAAATGGATCTTGATCTCTCCAGTATCAAGTATGTTGTCTTCGATGAAGCCGATCGACTTTTCGAATTGGGTTTCGAAGCCCAGCTTAACGAAATTATGCATGGATTGGCCGCTACCCGTCAGACTCTTCTCTTTTCCGCTACATTGCCCAAATCCCTTGTGGAATTCGCCCGCGCCGGTCTCCAAGAACCTAGTCTGATCCGTCTCGATACGGAAAACAAGATCTCCCCTGATCTACAAAACGCATTCTTCGGTGTCAAGTCATCGGACAAGGAAGGTGCTCTGTTACACATTCTGCACGACGTCATCCAAATGCCCACCGGACAGACTCAAATTGGCCACATGCTCGAGCAGGAAAGATTGAACCCGACACGCAAGCGCAAGAGGTCTGACGTCCGGAGGCCCAGCGGTTTCAAGGAGTCACCGACCAAGCACTCCACTATTGTTTTCGCCGCCACCAAGCACCACGTTGACTATCTTTACTCTCTTTTGCTCGAGGCAGGATTTGCCACCTCATACGCATACGGTTCTCTTGATCAGACGGCTCGTAAGGAACAAGTTCAGAACTTCCGATCCGGTATCTCAAACATCCTAGTCGTTACCGACGTTGCCGCCCGTGGTATTGATATCCCTGTCCTTGCAAACGTCATCAACTACGACTTCCCCTCTCAGCCTAAGATCTTCATTCACCGTGTCGGTCGTACTGCTCGAGCTGGTCAAAAGGGTTGGAGTTACAGTCTTGTTCGCGATGCTGATGTCCCCTACCTTTTGGATCTTCAACTGTTCTTGGGACGTCGTTTGGTAGTGGGCCGCCAGTATGGGACGAATGTTAACTTCGCCGAAGACGTAGTCGTGGGTACATTGTCTCGCGACGCGTTGTCTCGCCATTGTGAATGGGTCAACAAGGTTTTGGAGGATGATGTGGATATCCACTCCCAGCGACAGGTAGCTGGAAAGGGAGAGAAGCTTTATTTGCGCACCCGTAACTCAGCTTCTGCAGAAAGTGCGAAGCGATCCAAGGAGGTCGTCGGTTCTGACAATTGGGCTGCCATCCACCCTCTCTTCAACGACAAGACAAGTGACCTAGAGAACGAGCGTGAGAACATGCTAGCCCGAATTGGTGGATACCGTCCCCAGGAAACCATCTTTGAGGCGAACAACCGCAGAGGTGGAAAGACCGACGATAACGTTGCCGTTGATACCATTCGACGAATTCGTACATCTGTCGAGAACAAGAGAAAGCGTGCCGATGCTAAAGCTGAGGCTGAGCTTGCCGCACTTGGTGTGTCTACTGGTGAGGAGGGTGAGGTGGAAGACGAAGATATGCCTGAACAGCCCGGTGAAAATATGGAGGAGGCATCCGATGATGAGCTCGAGGTCACATTCGGCTCCTACAACCAAAAGAACAACGACTCTGGGCCCAAGAACCCTCTTGCCTCCTTCCAGAACCCGGAATACTTCATGGGCTACACACCAAACAACAACGACATGGCCGAAGACAAGGCTTATGGTGTCCACTCCGGTACCAACTCCAACTTCGCCCATGAATCCCGCAGCGCCACCATGGACCTGAACGGTGATGAAGGCAAGCGCGGTTTCGCTGAGCCCCGTACCATGATGCGCTGGGACAAGCGACACAAGAAGTACGTCGCTCGCCAGAACGACGAGGACGGATCCAAGGGAACGCGCCTGGTCCGCGGAGAGAGTGGAGCCAAGATTGCGGCCAGCTTCCGCAGTGGTCGCTTCCAGGCCTGGCAAAAGGGCAAGCGGGCCGATCGTCTGCCCCGCGTTGGTGAGGCCGAGAAACCTGGCAGCATGAACCAAATCAACTCTCGTCACGCCACTGGTCGCTTCCGTCACAACCAGGACCGGGCGCCTAAGCGTGCTGACCCCCTGCGTGGTGACTTCGATAAGATGAAGAAGAAGAATGACGCTGCGCGCGAACGCCAGTTCGACAAGATGGGTGGTGCGGCCTACGGTGGAAAGAGCGAGATTCGGTCTACAGACGACATTCGCAAGGCGCGTAAGCAACAGCAACAGCGTCGCGATAAGAATGCCCGGCCGACGAAGAAGGGAAGAAGATGATCATGTTTATTTGGCGAGGATTTCTTTTTGTAAAATAACATGTCTATATTTGCAGAGATACCAACAACTCGTGTCTTGTGTCCTTTATGATTTACTTTTGGAATTCCGGGATTTAGGAACGGACTGTGCTCACCACATGGGGAGGGAAAGGAAGAAAAGAAAAGAGAAAAGCATGCCAAAAATGCTCTGTACGAAGACCAGTTGTAAACGCAGCCAATGGACATTCACCATGCGGACTATCACGGTTAAAGGAGCCCTGAGGTGATCCGACGTGATAACGGCCCAATCCCTGCACTCGGGCCCTTAAAACTCCTTCAACTAGGAGACATTGTAGTTAGCGTCCAACGTGATTGCCGAGCATGTGAAGCCTTTAAAATGAGAACGTTGACACTAGGAGAATTCCTCGCCGAATATTCTCCGCTATTATCGGCGAATTCTGACGTGAACACACCCTAAATGCCCTAAAAGCCCTAGATGCCGCCCCAAGTGTAGCCTAGGTAAATAGTTCCGTGCTCCACTAATGAACGGGTTTTCACAGTTAGGTTGACCACTAGACTAGGAAAGGTAGGAGTAGCAATAATGTGATTGGCATTCACACAGCGTACAGACTATTTAATCCTGCATGAACGGGGTGACAGACCCCTTGCTGCTCCGCGTGCCGTATGTTCCACACCCCTTTTCCCTAGATCCTAAGGAAATATTCGATTATTGTCCCGAGGATCTGGCCACTTTCCCCCTGATGCCCTTCTCCTTGACATGGATATATCGTTCACAGTATATTGTAGGGGGAGGGGGGTCTGGAATTCTCCTCAAGGGATGATCAGCATTACGCACAGAAAGGCAATGTGATCGTCCAAAGGCGCAGAAGGCTGCAGCCACATCTGCCGAGTGCCCCGGAAAATAAAGTAGGCATTCCTCTCTTTACCCCCCTTGACCTTGACCTCTCTCCTTTTACAGTCGGAGAGGGGGGTTGCACATCAAACAATAACCGGTGGGGTACCACAGCCAGTATATTACTGCGAGACTAGCTTCGGCATGATTTGCCTCGCAACCTGTTTCCTGAGAAATAAGAAATTCCGGCGATACAGGAAATCATGAAATCATGGTAATAATCAGAAGCAGAAGAAGAAGAAAAGGGAAAATGTCCCAGGCCTACATGTACACTTGTGAGACCTTTCTATCTGATCTGCGGACTGTAACCGTAACCCCTAGCCCGGGGCATAAAAGACATGGTTTGCCTGGGTGGGTCGGAGAATAATAGAGAGAAGCTTGAAGGGAGTGGAGTATGCCGAATTATTAGTTTGCTCTATTATTCAGTCTTCAACGGGGCCCAGACTGTGAGGCGATGAGAGGGAAAAGTGGAGGGGGGGGGGAAGAAAAAAAAACAGGACCTTGCCCTAATTCTCCTGAACACCGGAACTGTATAGTTGATCCTATACTCAACAACTCCGATTGTAACCCCCAACAATTAGGCGCCCACAAAGTCATAGTTACATAGGCTATAGATTAGGAAGTAATACCCTGTATCAATACAAGGAAAAGTACATGTCAAACGGAATGCATAGTCCCCCGCCCACACTATTGGCAATGGCTGCGGCCGCCGACGTCGATCCGCCAATCTTCCTTGCTTCCCCGGCCCTGATTGGCATAGAGAATTTGATTTATTTTCTTGTCATTTTCTTGGGGAACGAACTCCTCCCTTTCCCTGAGAGATATTTACTGACTCAAGCTATTCAATACTGAGGAAATATATCGTTGACCATTTGATGATCAACTAGTGCGGCACTGACCATGTATAGACCCGCCCACTTTATTCTGTGACTATTGAACGCCTTTATATCTAGTACAACCAGAGAGAGTGAGAGAGCGAGAAACTGCCGGACTCGAATACCTACTCAGTACTACAGGAGCTCTCCGTGGGGGGTGTTTTTCGACTCCTTTGGGAGGGCTGCAGGTATAGTTCACCGTTTCTTCTCTAGGGGAACGTGGGACGTGTGATCGAGACACAGAGGCAAGGCGTGGGGTCCCTTGATCCTAGCTCGATGATCGACCGCCATGCAATAACTTGCCCTGTGGGAGACATGCGCTATGAGTAACCCTGCTGTCATGATCTGGAAATCTCCCGCTGATCGATGCAGTCTATTTTCTGACTCCTCCAATAACGGATCTCTCTACCCATTGATTATAAGCTCGAGTGGTCCTCGGACGGCTTTGTGAAGCTGGATGACGACCCCATATTGACCTTTTTTTTTTCTCCTTCCCCCTACACCGCTGCTGGCCGCTCTTTCCAATCAGATATGATGCCCCAAGTGGAATTCATAGGCCCTTGAAGTATCCGGGGACACAAAGGGATCAAAAAAGAAAAAAGGACTAAAAAACAAAAACAAAAGAAGTATCTGCCCCGTGGGCCTATTCCTTTTCCTGCCCGACGCCCGATGCAATCACTCGTGCTTCACCCCCCGAGCCTCACTCCCTCCCAGTTCGGACCCCGATTCAACTCAGGCCCAGAGCGGCTGTTGGATCGTTCTTGGTCTCCGAATGGTTGTAGTTCCCGGGCTCCTTTACCCGGTCAATCTATGGCTGGCTCTTCTCCAGAGGAGCCGTCGGAGCCATCCGCAGAGAAGCCTTTGCATTCTACAGATCGACCCGGGCTTGTCCCTACCCAGGATTTATCGCATGTACCGGAGCCACTGCCACGACTGTCGTATGAACAGGGGCCAGTATATTCGGGATCTCCCGGGCTTCCTGGGGCGTCATATCCACTCTCGGCACTAGATACTACTCCGACAGCAGCTCGCTCACTGGCGCAGAAATCAACAAGGCGTACCAAAGCTCATGTGGCATCGGCCTGTGTCAATTGCAAGAAGAAGCATCTCGGATGTGATCCAGCTCGTCCTTGTCGAAGATGTGTTCTGGCTGGAAAAGCGGTATGTTGTGAATTCTGGTGAACCCTGAACCCTAACTGACACGCGGCAGTCGACATGCGTGGACGTCACGCATAAGAAACGGGGAAGACCCCCTTTGAAAGCAGAAGATTCGTCAATGCGGTCATATACAGCACATCTAGAGAACCCAGCTATCCTAGCAGAGGCCCAACCAGGCATTCAAACTCGCCGGACACCCATGCACAGGGCCACTTCTTCACGAGAATTAAGACCAATGACCGATCTCCAAGGACTGGATGCAAGCCCAGCACGAACGCCACATCGCTGGTCTGCTTCGGTATTCCCTCTAACCCGACCTATGGATCCATCTCCAATCTCAGGCGTGAGTCGACGACCATTCTCTTCATCCGGACCACCTCATACAGTCCCAACCCATCCACCTTCATCATATATTCCAATGGCAGGCGGGTTCAATCCAGCACTCAAGGTAAACACAATGAGCGGCATGGAGCGAAGGTTCCCAACATACGGCGTCCCAGGATTACCACCACCAACTTCACCACCGCAACACCAACCCCCAGGTGTCCCCACAGGCTTTCTTCCATATGCAGAGTCCCCAAGTAGCGCCAACACAATTCGACCACCAATGAACGACCCCCGAGTCCAAGTTCCGCAAACGCTATCCCCAAGAGATCCCTACGCAGTCGAATCCCCAGTCCGACTGCCTCCAATTCACCAAGCGACGGCAGGCTCAGGACCACCTCCTCCTCCTCCTCCCCCTCCCCCTCCACCACCACCACACCATGTCCACCGTCTTAGCGATCCCTATCCATCCTCATGGGCCATCCCAAGCCGAGACGAAAGCCTCTACGAGCCACGGCATCTTCCACTTCACAGATCCGCCGGCCCAACTTTCAACTATTCCCTCCCAACTCAGCAGAGCCATACACACGGCCATCCGCATCAACGATCCGGATCCATGACAGGCTCTTTAGATCCCATACCACGCCATCTAGGGCCCGTGGAACTCCCATCACCTATCCAATTGACAGCGGGTGTTTCGCCTTCAATGCCGCGAGCTGAGGCACCACCTTCTGAGGCAGAGGGCGAGAATAGACCTGTCAAACGGCGCAAGATGGCGCTGGATGATATGGTTAATGGCTGATACGGTATCGAAATCCTCTGTATCAGCCAGCTCCTCTTTATTTTCCTTTTCGTTTTGTTTTTGGCTTTCGCAACTTGATATCTGATACCAAATGGAGGCTGGTGTCCTTCTTGTATTGTATAATTCCATCCCGACTCTTCATACCCTGTAGCAGGGTCTACAGGGGACTAATCATGCTATGCTATCGGTGCGAGACATCGAATTGATCTATCGACAGTGGTTCCGGATTTTTGAATTCTCGTTCTCGTTCCTTGTTTCCTTGGTTTTGGTTTCGTTTTCTCGTTTCGAGATGCAGCACATGGACATGGAAAAGTCCCTATCATTCCCGGGGTTATGTTTTCGTTTTGGGGTCTGCTTTGGTTTCTTTTTGAGTTGTTTTGGAACTGAATATCCCATCCGCATTGTTATATCTGCTGCGTTCATGTTCAATTGCCTCATAATTGGCGGATTGTCCGTTTTGGTGCGGTTTGGTTGCCTTGCTATACTTATCTTGCTGTTTGTCTCCGATATATCGGAGTGGAGCGGAGGATAGCTGATCTCGATGATTCCCCTTTGTCATGATTCCCTTTGTTCTTTCCTTTCAGTATATGCAGAGCCTGAATTGAGTTTGCTCTTCACTTTATTTGTACCTCGGCGCTGAAAAGCGGGAAATTCGGGTTTGATGGTTCAGGGTGTGGTTATATCTGTCAGGCTTATGCCTTGGATTTATGGTAACAACTGTATAACATGCCTATATGATTCAGCTACCTCGGCTCTTACTCTTGATATCTCACCACATGGGTCAGGCTCACCCACAGCCGGCGGTCTACGGTCTAGTAGTGCCGAGAGCAACTGTAGACCAAGCTGGCCCAGACATCTATGAACATCATTCATATGTCAGAATAGCAAAAATGCAGAATAGCAAAAATGCAAAAAACATACAACAGTAAGGATTCGCTAGTGGTCACCCACCTAACTACTAACTTACCGGCGTGTGGTTTAAGTACGGCTGAGCGGACGGGAAGCCCTGTTCTCCACACCCTGTGGTCGTATGTGCTTTGTTAACTGTTAAAAGGAGCTACATAGAGTAACAACAGATTCAAAGTACGCTGTCAATATGAACCTCCGGGTGAGATTCACCGAGGCCGCGCGACTAGTGCACTATAGGATGGATCGAGATGGGCACCTGGCCCCGAGGCCAACAGTGACAAGACAATTGGTCTCGACCATAATTACTCAACCTCTTCCTTCTCATTTCCCTTTATCCTACAGATATTCCCAAAATTTATCGATTTATGAATCGCGAGTGCGTGGCAGTCCCAGAGCTTTGGGGATATGGGAAGGACAAGCAACTACTAGAAGAGTGTGTCCCTTACGGCTATATTATGTACACCGCATGGAAGTCGATGCCTGGCTCTTCTCTTGATCCTCAGATGTTCTGGCAGGAGGGAAATCGCCGATATCGCGATCATGTCCGTACTGCTTTCGCCGCGGCCTATAAGTGAGTTCTATATTCTCTTTAACTTTATATAACTTAGGTATATTCTACTATTGATATATTCGAAAAAATTAAATAAGTATCGGCGGCAACCAGGCTTATATGGCCTAGAGAAACTCATTTATGATGATGTTGGTAAGATGATATATGTTAATTTAGAGGTCCTCGAGATCATATCTAAACATCACCAGTCATTGACTTGGTATGGATGTCAGATATATTGCTGGCTTCCACCCTGTTATCACGGAGAAGGATAGAGCGCCATCCTGTCATCTATGTGTTTTGGGGGTTGATCAACCACCATGCTAAAAGAAACTGGCATCTGAATCAATCGGATTAGACCTGGTGAAGAAGTGGAGACGATAAAAAACCGTGATAGCATTGAAAGTCATGTTCTCATCCCACTAGTGTTAACGTTATCTCAGAAATTGTATCTCTTCTACCTACCTTTGGGATGGGCTACAGTTTGTAGAGATTTATTTATATCGAATTATAGGCTGAGAAGCTTATATGGGAAACAGATATAGTAAATGAGGCTGTTATATTAGGACTAATCAGAGCTGTAGATTTGACGTTTTAGGTGAGTTTGAAAGCAAAATATAGATAGAGAATCAAAAAAACCTATCATGAAGTCGCCCGGATGGTCTAGTGGTATGATTCTCGCTTTGGATGCGAGAGGCCCCGCGTTCGAATCGCGGTTCGGGCCACTGATTACTTTTTTTGATTCTATTTTCTTTCCTTCTTTCCACTTTATATCCCCTCTTGTTAGCCCGTTGATCGCCATTTTTTCTCTTATTCAAGCCCGGATGGTCTAGTGGTATGATTCTCGCTTTGGATGCGAGAGGCCCCGCGTTCGAATCGCGGTTCGGGCCGACACATCATTTTTTTGGCTTGATATTTCTTTCTTACTCCGCTCTTTAACCTAACGTTACTCACCTTTTGCTAAATAGCCCTGTTGCTTGTCACCTGGCTCACCCACGGCCACTGTTGTTTCGTTGATGACCCCTATCACAGAGGAACAGAGAACCATTCTTATCCCCCAATTAATTATACAATGCTAGACTCTCACCGCATATTTATTGCTTATAACTAGAGCGAGATTTCGGTGGTAGATAATGTTTGTTGTCTTGCTCTTTTGATCCTGATACCTACGCCTGAAGCCACGTGACTATATCCTACAGGCCAAAGGAAGTATACTAAGTTAGTTCAAGATGCTGCATCGCATTTCAGTGAGAGGTCGAAGATACAGGATCTAGTTGAGCTAACTATCCGCCATCGACACCGAATTGGACAAAAGAGAGGCGCCTATAGCGATATAGTCTTTATAGAATGCTCAAATACAAGAGAATGGTCTCATTCTTATTCCATTGATACTGTAGCTAAGAACATTGAATTTTAGCAGTCGAAACACTCATTTACAATTCAATTCATGGAATCCAATCCATGGAGGATCGACATTACACTACTGTCTGCCTACGAAGAAATTTGGTTGCAAACATAGAGGGCCCACCTCGCCTTTCCAGAACGAGTCAGCGGATTTACGCTTTGCCGAGGTCCAGACTCAGCCTGCTCATATTGGTGATATAAGCCTATACCAAGTCCACGCGTATAGATGATCGCGTTCCTATATTGAAAACACAAAGTGAACCATAATCATGTCCACTAAGAGTATTGCCGTCCTTGGATGCGGAGGTATGGGATTGGCCATAGCTCGACGCCTTGGGGTTGGACGACGACTGTTTATTGCCGACTGCTCCAACGAAATTCTCTCTGCAGCTCAGGAAACTTTAGCCAACGATGGCTACATGGTCGAGCCATTGCAGGTGGACGTGTCCGACTATGCATCCGTCAGTCGCTTTGCACAGGCTGCTGCATCGCATGGACCCATCGAAGCAATAATCCATACAGCCGGCTTGTCCCCGTCGGCAGGATGTGCGCAAAAGATCCTCGAAGTCGATCTTCTCGGCACGGCCAATGCCCTCGATGCTTTCTTGGAAGTGGCGCAGTCTGGAACGAGCATGGTCTGCATCGCGAGTATGGCTGGTCATATGGGACCTGGCTTGCCGTCCGAGCTGGAGCGTCATCTTGCGTTGGCGCCTAGGACGCAATTGCTAGAACATGCCGCTTTGAAGATTGATGAGGCTGATCCTCATGGCTCTGGTCGGGCGTATGTTCTCTCAAAACGTGGAAATGTACTGCGCGTCCAGGCTTCGGCTCAAGCCTGGGGGCGTGTTGGAGGGAGAGTCAATTCTGTTAGTCCTGGGGTTATTTCTACAAGTGCTGGGCGCCAGGAGATCGATGGCCCAGCTGGGAAATATATTGCCCTGAGTCCTGTTGGTCGCGTTGGAACGCCGCAGGATATTGTGAATGCTGTTGCATTCTTGGCCAGTCCAGAATCGTCTTTTATCACAGGCAATGATATCCTTGTGGATGGTGGGGTTGTCTCCTCATTAAAGTGGGATATCTAGAATACGCTTATGCCTTTAGTCGTGAGACGTTTGCTTGTCTCTGGATCAATATAGTGACCTTAATATAAAGGCCTCGTTCCGATAAGAGATTCTCCCAGCCATAATTATAACCAAGGGAAGTAAATTACTGAAGCTCATACATAAAGTTGTAACGTGATTGATAATCCGTTAGTTGCAGTACCGACATACTTACACATAAGCTCCTTGTCGAGCTGCACAGTTTCGTTTTCTCAGTGTATACAACCAGCGGTCTACCGACATACCGATGCATGCAACTAGTGAACTTAAAATAAAAAATGAATACGCAAAATTTGGCGCGATAAATCATATGTGCAAATTACCAATAACTTGAATGCATGTAGTGGAGGTATCATAAAACCGAGAAAGAAAAAGAAACATTAAAACATTTAGAGAAACACCCATTGACCGAATCGCTGAGCCTTAGCCCAAAGACCTTTCCTCTTCTCGGTGATCTGGCCCTCCTGCTCATCATACCCATCCTCCTGAGTCGGATCATACCGATCTGTAAGAAGATCCATCTGCGACTTCCTCACAAAGCTAGTCCTCTTGACTAGCTTCCAACCCAAGAACATGACAAGCATGATAGGGATCTCGATATAATAAGACACGAAATCGACACCCTTGAAATGCGGGCTGAAGCACGTCCAGCCTTGAACAAGAACAAGAACGATGTTTAACCCAACGGCGCAGATAGGGCCGTAGGGGTACGTCCAGTTCTTGAAAGGAAGGAGGTGTTCGATACCCTGAGCACGCACAGCAGACCGGAACCGCAGGGACGCGAGACCAATACAGATCCACGAAAGCTGGTTTGAAACACCGACGATGTTCTGCAGCCAGGACCAGAGCTTGCCGGCGCCGATGTAGCTCGCTCCGAAGCAGAGACCGCTGATGACGGCTGTGGCGAGGACTGCGACCCAAGGTACGTGGAAACGGTTGAGATGGCCGAAGAAGCGGGGCGCGTAGCCGTCGACGGCGAGGGTGAAGAGGAGGCGGGAGCCGGCAAAGAGGGCGTGGTTGGCGGCTGAGATGACGGATGTCATGATGACGGCGTTGATGAAGCTTCCTGCGATTGTTGAGCCGGCTTGGGAGAAGACGATTGTGAAGGGACTTGTTTTGGTGTCGCCTGCGTTGAGGTTTGGGTAGTTGTAGGGGACGTTGAGGCCGACAATTAGGATCGAGAGGAGGTAGAAGAGGATGATGCGCCAGAAGACGTTGCGGACGACCTTTGGCATGGTCTTTGCTGGGCTTTTGGTCTCTCCGGCTGTAATGGCGATGGACTCGGTTCCGCCGTATGCGAATGAGGCTGTTACGAAGACTGAGGCGAAGCCGCCGATTCCGCCGACGAAGGGAGCGTCACCTATATGCCAGTTTTTGCCGCCGATGTACTGGTGGTCGGTGTTTCCACCGCAGTTGACGGCTATGCCGAGGATGATGAAGATGACGATTGTGATGACTTTGAGTAGACTCAACCAATATTCAACCTGCCAAAAGGGTTAGATGAATTCACGTAAGAAGGCGAGAGCACTACACATACCTCACCGTAGACCTTGACAGATAGAACGTTCAATCCAATGACCACGAGCAAGAAAATCAAACTGATTGCCCAGCCAGGGAAATTATCAGTCCAATACTGCAATAAGAGCTGCAAAGCAATGATATCAGAAGCCGTAGAAACAGCATCATTGAACCAATAATTCCAAGTCAAAGCAAAACCAAGCGCATCATCAACAAAACGACTAGAGCAGTAGCAAATCAGCACTCAATCTAGGTCCATCTTATCAAAGCAACAGGGATAGTGATACTCACCCAGCATAGGTACAGAACGATCCAGCTACAGGCATGAAGGCAGCCATTTCACCCAAGCAAAGCATAGTGATGAAGACAATAGCACCACAGATGGCATAAGCAATCAGCATCGACGCAGGCCCACCCTTAGCAAGCGACTCGCCCGTGCCGAGGAACAGACCTGTACCGATCGTTCCGCCGATGGCGATCATCTGCACCTGTCGGCCAGACAGGCGACGAGCCAGCTTGTCGGCGTTGACCATAGGGTTTGAAGGGATCGGGACATCCTCAGCTGCTGTGCCAGGGCCCTTGAAGGTGGAGGAGTCCCCATAAGGCTGTTTCTCGATATCGGCCATGTTGAAGGTGCCGTGTGTATGTGTGTATGAATAGGTCGAGAGTCTAACATTGTATTAGTATCCATCTTGAATGGTTTGCGTCTAGCCAGGCAAGACAGGCAAGCCAGGTCAGATATAGATCTTGATACTCACTTATAGATCTTAGCCCTAAGTCTCGTGATCTGCACGTGGCAAGTGGCGCCCTTGGAAACTTAGCGTCTCAGATGCAATATCAAACAAGGCTGGCAACCCACGTTTTCCCCGATATCTCGGCGAAACAAAGATTAGGGGGAAAGGAGAGAACATGGTGATCCTGCACCCCCGACGGAATTCTCATCGATGGCGTGATTGACCGTCGCGATGAGGGCAATTTCGGTGTGTCATAGAAACTGCCTCTCCACCGACCCGGCAAATGTCGGCAGTTCACACACCGCAGACTTGGGCTTCATGTTGACTAGGGTTGTAGGGTTGTTGGGTTATAGGGTTATAGACCTCTAACTGCTCTATCTCGACTGGACAAAATTACTCGCTTCATTCATATGTACTAATGCATACATGCTTTTGTTACCACATTTTGATACGCCACGGAAATCCTAGAAACAATGCACTTAACCCAAAAGACCACTGGCCAGAGCCTCGAGATCTCCCAATGTCTCGATGGACTGGGGCTCCTGGCTCTTCTTGCTCTTCTTGGCCGGCTGGTCGCTGTCGCTGTCCGGCGCGGCGAAAGAGACCCGCTGCTTCTTGCTGGGACGGGGCTTCTCTTCTTCGGAGGCTGAGCCGGAGTCGGAGTCGCCAGGAATCTCGAAGGGAACATGAGGCAGATGCGACAAACTGACACCACCTTCCTCGTCGTCCGAGGCGGCCTCGGCTTCGGCTTCGGCACGCTCGCGAGCCTTGCGCTTCTCCTTCTTCTCGCGACGCTTCTCGCGCATGACTTCCTTGTCCTCGATATCGGCTTCGCGGACACGCTCCGTCTCGCCAGCAAGGAACTTCTCGCGCTGTGACTTGGCGTCGCCGCGGGCCTTGAATTGCTCTTCGTCCTCCATCTCGTAGACCTCGTGGGCGTTTCCGTCGTCGTCGTAGACCAGCTTGGTACCCTTGCCCTTGAACTTGAGCATCTTCTTCTTCGATTTGAGGAGCTTCTCGCGGCGCTTGGAGTCGATGATGAGGGGATCTTGGCCTTCCAGATGCACCACCTTGGCATCCTTGTGGATCTCCTCGGACTCGGATTCGTCCGAGTTGGAATCGGAGTCGGAGGAGACAGCTTGACCGAGACTTTCGTCGCCTGCAGCGAAACGTCGCTTGACGGAGAGGAAGTCGGCATCCTCGTCGGCTTCGTCGTCCGAAGCCTGGTCCTTTGTGCCAGTAGCCACCATGGTGCCGTCGTCGTTGATAAGTTTAGAGTAGTGCTCTGCCAGGACGCCCTGGTTTCGTCGCTCGAACATACGGTCGTAGCGTGTGCGCACCTCCTCCTTTTGGTCCTTTTTGCCTTCGGCGTCGGAGTCGTCGGACATGTGAGCCATTCTCCAGGACTCGTTCTTGCGCTCCTTTGCATCGTCACCCTTGATGAACTTGATACGAGGAGCACCAGGAAGACCCAGGCTGCCAGCGTACTCTTCCAAGGGAAGCTCCTTAAGCTTGAAAGTCTCCTTGTCTTTCTGCACGTAGATAGACTTGGCATAGGAGATGAAAGCCTTTTGGCCGAGATACTTCAGCTCTGGGTCCTTGAAACACATGTTTTGTAGCTGATTCTTGACACTCTGCTGCTTGTTTGCTTTGATATTGATCTTCTCGATAGGAACCTTCTTGTGCTCAAGCTGCTTGAGGAAACCCTTCTCCTCACTTGGATCCAAGAATAGCACAGCACGACCAACACGCTCGTATCGGGCTGTACGTCCGACACGGTGAATATATGTGTCAGCATCTTCGGGGCAGTCCATCTGAATAACCCAGTCAACTGCAGGGAAATCCAGACCACGCGCAGCAACGTCAGTGGCAAACAGAACTGCGTGCTGAGCCTGGGAGAACTTTGTAGTAATATCCAACCGGCCGCCTTGCTTCTGTCTTCCGTGCAAATGCATAAGAGAGATACCGGGCTGCAGGTGTCGCAATGCCTCGTACACGTAACGAACTTGCTTGCCAGAGGATAAGAAGACCACGGTCTTGGATTTGAGGTTGCTGCGAATGAAACTCCAAAGCGTGTCAAGTTTCTGCGGCAGAGGAGTGACGGTATAGTGTTGTTGAAGAGTCGACGGGGTGGCAGCCGCAGCAGATTCGTGAACTGAGACATACTCGGGCTCCTGCAAACTCAAACGAGCCAAATCACCAACCTTCTTGGTTTGTGTGGCACTGAACAACATGGTTTGGCGCTTAGTCGGGAGATGGTCGATAATGGCATCCACGGTCTTCTGGAAACCCATGTCCATGATACGATCAGCCTCGTCCAAAACCAGCATCTGCAAATTATTCGTTTCGAACATGGCAGTCTGATCCAAATGTTGCAGCATGCGACCGGGCGTGCAAACCAGGATGTTCATGCGTCCCAATCGGTCCTGTTCCTCGCGCAGACTCTTTCCGCCGATGATCAGACCAGCCGAGAAAGCATGATTACGGCCGACCTTGCGGAGAACTTCGAAAATCTGAATTGCCAGCTCGCGTGTCGGCGAAAGAATCAGGGCTCCGAGGCCATCCATTTCGGTCCATTGCCTGCGATAGAGGTTCTCGAGGATGGGGACAATGAAGGCGAGAGTCTTTCCGCTACCGGTCTTGGCGGCACCGAGAATATCGCGACCTTTGAGCGCATGGCTGATGGCACGGGACTGGATGTCGGTGAGGGTCTTGAAGTGAGAGGATGACAGTCCAGCGGCGGTTGGTTCGGAGAGAGGAAGATCGGAGAAGGATTTGATGGAGGCTTTGAGGTCGAGCTCTTCAACTCGTTTGACAAGGGATGAGATCTCGTCTTCACCACGCTTGCGCTTCAGGGTTCTCCCCGAGTCTTGAGGCTTCTTGCCTTTTGCTGTCCGTGGCGCCATGGTGTTGTTGAGGTGAATCTTGAAAATGTCGCGGGCGGTGACAAGAGCTTTTTTTTTCTGGGACTGACTCAGCAGCTGATAAGGCCCACCCGGTGGAGTCGTTTAAGCCCCAAGTGTATACTCCATATGCATTCCTCTTGCTCCTGCAGTTCTGGCATTGCAGCATGGGATTGCTGTTGATATGTCTGAGTATATGAATGAGGTACTGCCTCGCTATTTAGGTCTTTGAGTCTGAACTTTCTACCTGTTTTTCTTTTTTTCATGGATATCATGGCTCAAGAAAAACCCCATATTCTCACACAGCAATTGAAGTGAATGAGTCATGTAATTTTGCAAGCAAGAAGTGATATGAATTCTTCTTTCTTCTCAATCTCACTTTACATGAGTTTGGTCAGAATATTGTTATCAATATGGAATGAACATGGTGAAGATGTATACTCAAAGGCGGTGAATCGGCGATCTGCCGGTCAAAATGTCGCTATCGTTATCACGTCGGCCTTAGCTTTCCGACTCATTCGCTTCAACAATTCACCATGGCGGACGAGGACCAGGATATCTTTGACTCCCTAGAGCGTGAGGCCTCTGACTTTGCAAAGGTAAGCTCTCTTGATAATGCGCGTGAACTGGAACTAACAGCTCAGGACGCCGAGATCGACCGCATCTGCAAAGCATTTACTCTCGATGCGTAAGTCTACAACTCCTCCTCAAATCTCAAGCCCCAAGCCCCCCATGTTATATACAGAGACTGAGAATCAACACAACAGCTATGCCGTCTTAGACATTCAGCCCGGTGTACCGGAGAAGGATATCAAAATCCAATACCGCAAAAAGTCCCTCCTCATTCACCCCGATAAAACCAAGAACCCCGCTGCGCCCGATGCCTTCGACAAGCTTAAGAAAGCGCAAACAGCCCTACTTGACGAGAAGCAGCGCACCTACCTAGACGAATGCATTGCCGATGCGCGACGACTCCTGATTCGCGAGCACAAATGGACAGTGGATTCTCCCGAGCTCCAGACGGACGAGTTCAAGAAGGAATGGCGACAGAAGACTGTCCATGTTCTACTGGAGGAAGAAGCGCGACGCAGACGCCAGATCAAGGCGCAAATGCAGGAAGAAGGTCGCGAGCAGCGCAAGGAGGAAGAGGAAATCGAGGCGCGGAAGCGGAAGCGCGACCACGACAAGAAGTGGGAGGATACCCGGGACGATCGCATTGGGAGCTGGCGCGACTGGCAAAAGGGGCGCAAAGGTGGCGATGACAAGAAGAAAAAGAAGAAGATGAAGGTGCTAGGATGAGTGTCTTCTTCTTTGTTTTGCTATCTCTTCCCTGTTATTTTTTTTTTCGCAGAGCGATACTGGCGTTTCTGGATGTACACCACATGAGTGACACGGCAATTGCAATTTCAGCATCTCAAGCAATTCAAAGCATTGATTCGTAACCTAAGTTACCTCCAAGATTCGCACATGTGTATAAACTAAGTAGCCGAGACACCGTCCACGAGAGTCTACCGAGTTCCACAGATAAGCTGCGGGGACGCGGGGTCCCGAACCTCACTCTTCCATACTCCTTGTTGATATTCAAGCTTTGCCTCTGGGGACATTACAAGCAGATGAGGCATCTGGAGAACACCACTGTCGATAAACACACCCTCTACTCTCGCCCATCCACCCCTGACCATGGCTGAACCCGCTCCAGCGCGAGCCGCAACACGGCCACAACGGCCAGAAGACCATCTGGCGCCATTCCCACCTGTCTCAAACACAAGCATACCAGGAACCGGAACAGCGCAATTGAACTCGTCCAATAAAGCACCAACACAATCCGAGAATGGAACAGCACATTGCAACCTCTCCCACAACAGCCCAAATGACAGCACCGGCACCAACCTCCCGCCCCTCCCGACAGTTGTTGCCCGCATCCACGCCCGCGTGCAATCCTTCCTAGCAGAATCCCACCCAGAAGACTCCCTCCTCGCCTCAGTCCAGCGCCAAACCCGCATCTCCCTAGACGTGGTCGCCACAGCCCTAAAGCGGTACAAACTGTCGGAACTGTCAGTCTCCTACAACGGCGGCAAGGACTGCCTAGTCCTGCTAATTATCTTCCTGGCGGGCCTGCACCCCTCTACCAACACAAACACCAGCACATCCTCCCAGGAACAGGATGTCAATGCCGAACACTCACTCTCAGCACAGGCCCTCGCGGAAGCCGAGGCCCAAATCGCAGCTGCAACATCCATCCCGTGCATCTACGCACTTCCCCCCGACCCATTCGACGAGGTGGAGGATTTCGTCATTAGTTCTGCGGAAGCATACCGTCTCTGTATAATGAAATACACGACTGCGCCACCGGCCACGACCCTCCGCTCCAGTTTTGAGGATTACCTATCCCGGAACCCCGGTATCAAGGCTATATTTGTGGGGACGAGAAGGACGGATCCGCACGGAGCGCAGCTGACGCATTTCGATCGGACGGATGGTGGTTGGCCTGATTTTGTGCGGGTGCATCCCGTTATTGATTGGCATTATGCGGAAATCTGGGCGTTTATTCGGCACCTTGATTTGCGGTATTGTTCGCTGTATGATGAAGGATATACTAGTCTTGGTGGGACTTCTGATACGCATCCAAATCCGAAATTGAGACAGGGGGTCGATGGGCAGAAGGCTGATTATCTTCCTGCTTACCAGCTGACAGAGGATATGGCAGAGAGACTTGGGCGGAATTGAGTGTGTCAAGTTCGGGACTGGTGTGTCCCATGTATAGAAGATCCCCTTCTTTTATCTCTTATAGATTGCACTTTACATTGTGCTCGCGCACCTCGGGAAATTTAGTGGATAGTGACTTTTTGGTCATGAATCATATCCTGTTAGACTACGCAACTCCGAAGGGGGCGAGCTTTGTTGAAACGACGCCTGGAAATATGCTTGGTGGTACATACTGCTGGAAACATGAAAGAAAGATCTGCAACAGGAAAAATCAGAAGAAAAAGAAAACATGTGCCCGCCACCCTTAAGCACAATAATAATACAGCCGAGTTCATAAGAATAACATAAAAAGTAAGAATAGAAACCGAGACCCATCCATATCGCAAGACGAAAAGAGTTGAGAAGAAAGTTCAACTCGAGAGATAGCCATAGTACATTCTGCGAATCGTAAAACATGCCATGAATGTTGAAGAGCATTGGAGAGGAACTCCCGGCGGCACTGAGTGTCAAGGCTCCATGAAGCAACCCAGACAGATAGATATGCCAAGGTGCTGAATGAATGCGACTAAACGCATGAACGGGCGGGAGAAATAGAAGTCCTCATGCGAGAAGGCATGGGCGACATGGACTCTGCCCTGATGTTTTCCTTGTGAGTTGGACTCATGTAGATCAGAGGCTCAATTTCTGGGGATCCAGGCATGATAGTCTTTGAAGAACCACCAGAAAGGTCGGCAATTGAGCATCTGCTCTTGGAGACGCCTCGGCCGCGGATCTCGGGCGTATTATCGAGGGCATTCAGGCTGCGAGAGGAGAGGGAGTTGTTTGGGTTCTTCGTGATTGGGTGGCTGTAATAGTAGTCAGTACATAATGATAGTGCATCATGTTGGGAATTCAGAAACAAACCAAGGAGAAATCGAAGTGGCCGGTGTCCAGTTGGAGCCCACGCCAACTGGAGAAATATAGCTCACTTGAGAGTTGGGCGTAAGTAGAGGGCCACGCGACATCGAGGGGGACGGAGTAGATCCTTGTCCTTGAACCACTTCGACAGAGTAATTATACTCGCCAGCACGGTAGGCTCGACGCTCGTTGCTTTGTTGCTTCAGAATTTTCTGAGCCTTGGTGTCGGCAAAGCGCAACAGCAGCTTGGCCCCATTCCCCTTGGGAACATTGTGAAACTCCATCAGTACCTTCTCGGCGGCATCACGATTTTCGAAGCTAGACCCACAAGGTCAGTATAAAAAAGATATGCAATTCAAAGATTGTTTCAGTACCGTGCAAATCCCACCTCCTTGCTCACACCAGTCTTCTCATCGCGACTGATTTTCTCGGAAACAACGCGCCATGGCTCGAAATGTCGACGCAAGTCCTTCGCAACTGGTCAGTACTGGGTGCATGTAGAAAGAAGCTTTTATGATCTCATGACTTACGGCTTCGGTCCAGTCGATGGGGATGTTGGTACAATAGATATTAGTAGAAGCACGATCTTCCAGGTCCTTGAGGCGAGAGTTGCGAGACTTTTGGGCAAAGCTAGCTTGGTAGCCAAGGTAAAAGAAACCGCGAATGCAGTTCTCACAAGACTCAAAACTGTAGTATTGAACAAACCCGAATCTAGGTGAAGTTAGTATGATTTATAATGAGAATTGTCTGGGCACCGTACCCTTTGCAGTAACTGGTGTCAAGGTCAACGATGGCCTTGCAACGCTCAATCTTTCCGAACCGAGCTGCATAGGCATGTAACATCTCGTCCGATGTCTCAGGCAGGAACCCACGGATATAGACATTGGTGATTCCCTCACGATTCTCCAGGCATTTGGCAAGTGTCAACTCAGTTGGGTTGGTCCACATCGCAGGCACTGCACGTGGAATGGGGGGATCTTGCTGGGTCAGGACCTCCAGGTCTTGAATAACGTATCCGTTAGGAGTCTTCATCATCTGAAGAGGAAGTGGGATCGGTCCCATCTGTGACATCAAGTTTCCATAGGAATATCCAGACATGGCAGGATCCATATTAGAATTGTAGTTCGAAGGGTAGTACTGGATTTGACCGGTGTTTTCCGTCTGGGTGCCCTTCTGGGCCTCGTTCCATGTGATTTGTTTGTTGGCATCCTGCATGTCGTAATTAATTAGGTAGGGCCATGAGTACCCACCAGAAACAACAGGACCCATATTTGGATACATCCCACCGGCAGCGTAAGGATACTGGCCCATCTGGTCTGCCTGGCCAGCGACAGCGGTCGGAACAAAGGAGCCTGGAACGCCATTGTAGACGTTGGAATTGGGGACAAGAATAAAAGGACTGTTGTAAGCACGACTAGCGTTCGACCAGTCCATAGTTGGGTTGGCTGAAACGGGCGCAGAACTATGATGGCCACCATACTTGGAACGAGAGTTGTTTGGCAGGTTCATACTCCCGAATCTGTGAGCAAGCGCTGAGACACTTCTATCCCGGGAGGGCTGGTTACCCTGTGGACATCTCGGACCATAGGGTGTACGCGGCTCGTTCTGGTAGGAGCCAGTTTGAGTGCTGGCTGTCTGGGTAGAGCCACTGGAGTTGGTATGCTGGGAGCCTTGAGATGGCATCATGCCTGTGCTCAAAGAAGTTGTCCATGTTAGCAAACTCTTCGAAACTTGTACCAATAGTAGCAATAGACTGAAAAGACCGGATGCTGTGACTCAGTGACAGAATCAGTGACAAGGAACCTCACCTGGAGTTTCCTTGCACGAAGCTATATAAGCCTTGGCAGCTCGGGGGTGGCTCTACCCAATTGCATCACACCATCGTTAGCCAAAACATGACAAGAATAACAACAAACAAAACTGAAGGCAACGAGAAGCTCGGGTCCAATGTGGAAGGGGACAGCGAAAGGGACAATCAATGGGGAAGGGTTGACTCACCGGCAGCAGGACCAAGCCGGTTTGTTGACTTGGAGACAACAGGCAGTGTTCCGATGATATTATGACCTGGGTCAATAACTCAAGACAATAGAAAGACTTCGACAACAATGAACGCCGGGATCATTAAGCTGATGATGGGACAAGTGAATAGAACAGGTGAATGAGCCAGAGCAAGTGGGACAATAAATAAATGGAAGAGATGAAGAGGGGATAACCAGTCACGGGATAAAAACAGGGCAATGGGCAGGGACGATGGGGGATGGGAGAGGAGAGAGGAAGAAGGAACGATGGGAAGACGTTGGACCTCCAGTGATGTGCCAAAACACCACCATCGAGTAGAGAAAATGGTACATCGAGTGTGGCACACCGGGCAAACACGAGACCAGGTGGGAACATCGTAAGAAAGTATTCCGAAAATGTCATTGAAGAGGATATTTCTATCAAAAGTAAGATCTAGATCACAGGACGACATGATACGACATCGTGAGTAGGGGCATCAACCTGACCATAGGAAGCCCATACAATTGGGATAAGAGGAATATATTAACACGTCGAGAGTCCTATTCAGACTTCTCCTTCAGCCACTTATAGACCACTGAAAAATCCTTACCCCGGTGCTCATCCTCAACAGCCTTGTAAACCTCGCGAGCCTTGTCACCCAAAGCAAGAGGAGTTCCAGACTCCTTCGCAGCTGTGATTGCCAACCGCAAATCCTTGTGCATCAAGCTGACTCCAAAGCCACCCTCGTATCCGCGGGAAGCAGGAGCGGTCTCCACCACACCAGGAACAGGGTTGTTCACTTCGGAAGGCCAGCAGCGGCCAGTGGAAGAGTTGATCATCTCAGCCAAAGCCTTGGGTTCCAAGCCCCACCGAACACCAAGATTCATGGCTTCAGCAGTGGCAATATTGTTCAAGGCCAGAATGTAGTTATTGGCTAGCTTGCCAGAGACACCGGCACCGGGATCTCCAAGATGCCAGGCCTTCTTGCCCATCAGGGCGAGCACACCACGCACACGCTCAAGAAGCTGTCCTGTTTGCGAGGAAGCACCAAACATGAACGAGAGTGTTCCTGCGCGAGCGCCAACAACACCACCTGATACGGGAGCATCAACAAAACGACCGGCTTGAGTAGTGTGGATGGCGTTTGCAATATCCTTAGAAGTAACAGGGTCAATAGTAGATGTGTCGATAAACAGCCGCTCTTGCGAAAGCGGGGGAAGCTCGCCGTGCTTCAGAATGGAATGAAACACCTCAATAACATGCTGCGACTCCGGTAAACTGGTAATCATGACTTCCTACACCAGAATACAGGGTTAGTAAATCGGACAATGGAAGTATAAGTTAATGAGCATTGGGGGTCTAGCTGCACAAAAGCGGGCCAGATCCACTTCCAAGCGTCCGGAGTATTGAAGCGAAAAGAAACCATACCGATTTCTCAGCGACCTCGCGCGCGTTCTCGGCAATCTCAACAAGACCCTCGCCGGTGCCAGCACCAGTACTGCGTGCAGCCTCCTGAGCTTCAGCAACAAATCGATTCATAGCATCTTCATTGATATCGCGAATAATCAAAGTATCCGAGGCGGGGATCTTGGCGCGCAAGTTCCTGGCCATGTTGTATCCTGGAGCATTGTCAATGTATAAGCCCGCGTTTGCAAGATACAAATGCGCGTAATCTGAGATCCTGATCCTGAGAGCTCAAAACATACCCATTTGTCCCAGGCCGATGAAACCCCACGTTGCGTCACGGTGGGCCGTCATTGAGAAAGCTCGGGCCGAGGACGGCCAGCGTCGGACATTTGAGTATGTATGGGGGAGAGTTGCCTTCCGGAGGGCAAGAGCTGTTTTGAGACCCATTGTTCGTTGTGTACTTGGTCAGATATATGTACTCTCTGGGATGGAGGAAATGTAAATGAGGCAACTGGTGGGAAATGATGGGTCGCGTCAACAATGCCGAGTCCGAGGAACAAGCGTGGAATGTTAGTTTCGGCAAGGCCGGGGGCGGAGGGGTATTTAAAAGATCTCAGCATATAAAACCATGCCAGGATTCCGCCGTGGCTTTCCGAGACGCCAGGGGGTTTTACTGGAGGGTGCAAATCATTACACTCCAAATGCGGGGGAGGCCGGGGGAGGCCGTGGGGAAGCGGATCACGTGTGGTATATATAGAATGGGGAGTATATGTAGAATGGCTTGTCGACAAGACTGCAAGCAGATTCTCATTCAACAAGATTCAACTATAGTATAATGTACACTGGCGACATCGACAGACTTACCTCTGTATAATATAAGTATAGACGCTGCGCAGAACTATATCTCAAAGATCAATTGAATTCACAACAAAAACCAACACCCCCAATGGACAAAGATTTCCAGGATATGATACTATACAAGAATGCGGATGCGCAGAGATCAACGCTAGACAAAACAAGTCTGATTGCAAAGTAGATGGGACAGGCAAAGGGTATGGTATGATAGAACGACAAAAAAAACAACAACAAACTCCCGAGAAAATGCCCTGGCATCCCGGAATACCGAAAGCCGAAATGAAAAAGAGAGGAAACAAAGAAACAAGCAAAATCAAGAAACTCAACAATAATACTGTTCACTGTTCAGTGCGGTATTTACCTCGGCGAAGCCGGGTGGCTGGTCGGAGCCGAGAGATACTCCTCAGGAACCTTGGGAACGCGGGGAGAATTGGCCGTCTGTACAATAGCACGATGCTGAGCACGGAGGAGGTCACGCTGGCGCTCTTTGTCCCTGGTTGCTGCTGCACCGCCGGTGAGGCGCCGCATGCCGCTGCGAATCATCGATTCAATGGAATGAGGACCGTCTGTAGCACTGCGAACCATTGGTGCTGGTGGCGCTAGCTTGGTGGTCGTGGTCACGGGGCGATCGTCTAGATCGGAATGGACTTCGTCGGGGTCGTCATCGGAGAGGAAGGCTGAGTCTGTTAGGCCCACGTTTGGTGTGGAGTTTGGTGCATTGGTTGTGTGAACGTAAAGATTGTTGGCGGGGGAGGTGACGGAGCGGGTGTGGTGAGACATTGGACGCAACATTTGTGCGGCATTGGGAGGGGTGATTGTTGCTGGGGAATACACAGCTGGTCCATCGAAGCGGAAGTTAGGCGGTCGTGACTCGGCTAGACCGTTGTGGAAGGACGAGGTTGAGCCCGTCCGAGCAAGAGATTTTCGTAGGATTGGTGCAGTCTGCTGGTCGTAGAGGTGTGCGTTGGAATCGACGTAGCTGCCGGTAAACCCTCGTAGCATTGGTGGAGCGACTGGATTCATGACTGGGGTACCTGGGTCGGTTTCATCGAAGAAGTCATCGAGACTATCCAGTTTCTGCACGATATCTCCGATGTTGCCATCGGTCTGTGTGTCAATCGACTTCATGGTATCAGCTCTCAGTGGGAAAAATGAGTCATTGAATTCATCGACATGGAATGCCACTTCAGGCGTCATGACATCTTCCGCGTACATGTCATCGGCTTCGACACATGTGTAGAAGACAGCGTGGACATTGTTTCGAGTCATGCTTGACTGAGTGGCAGGCATGGGTACAGACCATCCCGATGGTTCAGGAATACCGTAAAGACTTTGAATCCGCTCGTACTCCTTCCGAATGGCGCGAGAAGAGCTAGCCGACGCCATACTCATCCGAAGATGGTGGCGTTCCATTGGATTACCGGAGACAGTGATGATGTGATCCAAAACCTCCAAAGCCTGGGGACAGAGCTCAGTTTGCAAAAGTCGGAGCAGTGGGGAGATCAGATCTGGGCCATGACAAGTGACCTCAGTCCGGCGCATGTCTACCTCAGGAATTAAGACACAAAGAATCCTCATGGTTTTAATGCGGAACCAATCAGAAGTGTTGGTCAAAAGGCCCATGAGGAAGATCAAGCACTGGAAGTCCAGCTGTGGGAAATAGTACGACTTGATCTCAGTGATGATGTGATCCAAGAAGACGCCGGCGGTCTTGTACTGCTGATTCGCAAAACCAAACAGTGACGCTGCAAGTCGAGGGCATCGCTCATTCTCTGCCACGCGGGCAAGCAAGCTAGCACGATTAATGGCTTTCTGGTCGGTGAAGCCTTGCTCGAAGCATTGGAGGAAATGAGGCAGATTAGCCAGCACGGTGAACAATTGCCTAGTTCCGTCTCCAATGAGGTCATTGTTCGGTAGGCCGCTCAGAGTATGCAGAAGATCAAGGGTGCGATCAAAGGACTCGGACGATTTCATTCCCTTGAAAACAAGATCCTGAAGACCATCAAATCCGCCCTCCCACTTTGGTGGCTGGCCTTCAATCAATGTGCTCACGACAGCTGGGTCACTGAGATCGACACGAGAGAGGAATTTGTCAAGCATGCCAATACTCTCAATGAACTCAGTTTCATGAATCGTGTTGAGACAGGCACAAGTAGTCCAGAAAAGCTGAGGATAGTTCAACAAATCCGACGGATTCAACGAACTGATAATAATTTTCAACGTTGTGAGAATCTCCATCGAGAAAGTCTGATAATCAGTCTCCTCATCGGCAATAGTATTTGAAAGCCGAGCCAGCATATCCGCCAACATCCTCGAGTCCAAAGACGTTGAAATGCAACGGAAGATCTGGAACGAACGGCATGCCAAATGTCTTACGGGACAAGATGTAGCCCAATTTAAGGCCTGCTTGGCCCACAACTCACCAATGCCTTCATAGGCAAAGCTAAAAAAGGTGACAACATCGCGGGTAACAGTGGCCATAGAAGCAGGTACCCGACGGTCATCAGATTCCTCATCCTTGCCATGATTCTCTTCATATTCCCACACAACGGCGGGATCACTCTTGCGGATAGACTCCACAAAGTCCTCGACGGATTGACGCGCACCTACCGGTGCATCGTCTTCAAGCTTAGCCGCTATCAGTTCGTGGATGAGATGGACCAGCATCTCCCGAGCCTGCTCCTGCACAGTGACTGTATAGTGGTCCCAAAGGATGAGGACAACATGGATGAGCTTGACAACGTCATCTAGGGCGAGGGTGACCGGTGCGACCATAAGATCAACGAGGAAGATCAGGGCGACTTGTCCCAGAGAAAGACCAGCTTGCTTGTTGCCAACGGGGAGCACGGTTGCGAGATCTGCGACGTAAGGCAAGCTTTTGATGTCGGGCGGAGGTGGGGTGAGTTCCTTTCGTTCTTGCACCATGTTTTTGGGTACAACCTGCAATAGGAAAAACTCAATGACCTTTGAGCCAGCCGGAGTACCAGACAAGAATACGACCATTTGCTTGGCATACTCGACGAAGTTTTGCTCTTTGCGCTCCAGACAGATGCTGATGATGAAGTCTAGCACTAGCTGGACATTGCCTCCGTGAGGGCCAGTCGCTAAAGCCTGCCACAAAGCCTGCACTTGATTGGGCAGTATCGTGCTACAGCGAATAGTGATCTCGAAGAGATTCGCAAGCAGCATATATGACCTAGCAGTAGGGCCACCATTAGGGTCAACCTGGAGCTCCATTGTTTGAACCCACGGCAGGATGGCAGCAACCATGTTCCGTTGACTGTCAGGCCGAAGATTGCGGAAATGCAGAGAGAATTCCGAGAAAATGGTGAAGGCTAAATCAGCATGCTGGCCAGCCAATCGCTTGGAGATTTCGAATTGGGCAAGCTTGTAGACAGCGGTTGTCTTGTCGGAAATGCTGATATCAAAGTCTTGAAGCCTGGAGTTCTTTTGCTGGCGCTCCTCGAGCTTCCGAAGAAGTTTGGCAGACTTCATTCGAATCTCCCGCTTCTCGTTACCCAGTGTAACCAAGACTGCACCAAGGATTCTCCAGAATCTGAGAGGATAGTCTGGGTACTCAAAGAGCACTTCAGTGACTACTTCGAAGTAACTCTCAATAGTCTTTGGTCGCTCGGTGATATAGCACATCTCAATTGATCGCTCCATCAGATAAGAGTGCTCCTGGTTATGAATGATCAAATTCTTCAGGGCCCGCCGGCCTGTAGTATGCCACTTGTCACTAACAGTGCTGAAGATCATCTCAATCCATGACAGCATGCGCATGACATCGAATTGAAGGACCGAGCCACTTTCAGTAGCGATGCTAATGGGACCGGCGCAAAGAGAAGCCATGGCGCTCAGTGCCGCCCCCCGAAGACTCTTCTTTTCAATCTCCATAGCAGCAGCCGTATTCCTCATTTCGCCAGCTTCCTGGGTTTGTGAGAGAGAATACTTCCGCATATTCTCTTCCCTTGCAGAGATTTGAGATTGGTTTGGCGAGTAGCCGCACCACTCCTCCATGAGCGAGAAAGCGGACTTTCGAGACTCAAAGGGCATCCAGCGAGAAGGATCCTTGGCACGATTGATTCCTTCAAAAACTTCCTCCATTAGTCCACAGAAATGGAAGCGCAGGCGCTGGAATTCCCAGTCATTTTGGACCTCGGCGTCACTGAGGAAAATCCGGATGTCCTTGGCGTATGTGACCAGGTTATTGACGATCCAGTCGTCATTGTAAACCTCGGGTTCTTGAAGGAAATGGGAAGTGAGTTTATAGACATTCGTGACTTCAGTGCGCAAGCGATCAGTCTTTCTGTTCCGGCGCGGGCTGCTGGGGCTACGATAGTGATTGCCGATTCTCATCTTGGCTTCTTCGTTGCAGGTTGTAACAGCGTATTGCAAAGACTCTAGAAGTGTGCGGTAAAGATTCTTGTGAATAGCACCAAGAGCCACTACAATGGCACTCCTGATAGAATCCCGCTCAGCGGAAAGAAGTGGAATGACAAAGGCGAACAGACTGCGAGCAGAACTGATCTTGTTTTGGGGCTGCTGAGCTCCCTTGGAAGCTTTTCGGGCATGTTGAGCATTGGCAAGTTGGCTCTGAGACTGGGCTCCGACGCTGGTGACAGTCGTGCAAGCCATGACCAAGTAGAGCTTCCATTGTTCGACCAGGATCTCAGCCGTCACGTTGTTTCTTCCAATGGGAGGACGGTTTGAATTTGAGTCTAAAGGGGCGAAAGGAGGGAATCGTGTACTCTCAGCAAGAGATGTGATGCTCTTATGCATGTGAACAAGGCGTGCACATACGATCTCTCTGCCCAGTGTGACAGCAAAAGGGCAAGTCTCAAAGCTGACACGGATGATGTTGGGGAACACTTTGGCCCACAATGTTGAATCGTAAGACACTTCACTGCTGCAAAGTTCGATAAGTGTATTCTGAGATGCGCTGCTTCGCTTGCCTTTCTGAATTCGACTTCGCTCCGCCACAGTTAGGTTCTCATCATTGACATCAAGGATTTGCTGAGAATCAGCCTCGAGAATGCGAATGATTCTGGTATTTTCCTTGCCAAGAGCACTGTCGAACTCGGTGATCAAGCGTAGAACAGTTATCGCAAAAGCTCTCACTCGTCTCGATTGCGAACATAAGAAGAACAGACCATGTGACTCGATCTCCTCGACGTGGGCAAGAACGCTTGACAAGTCGAGATGCAAAGCTCGGCTGCCGGAGATGGATCTCTCCAGCTGGTCCATAGCTGCACCCCTGGTTTTTTGCTTGATCTCATCAATCCAAATCTGCAACAACTCGACATACAGCCGCAAGGTTGATTCAATATGGCCTGGTCCGAGCATTCCTTCATCTGACATGGTAGAATAACGCTCATCAAAGTTGAAAATGAACCTAGCAAACCCAATTGTGACTTGCTGTGCATGTAACTGCCTTGCGATGGCTTTCAAGGACTCTGCTGATGAGGTAGCAATGTTGGACTGCACATGAGCAGTACCCGTGCAAAGCAGATTGATGAGAGAATTGAATGGAATGTGATCGGAGAGACAACGTGGAAGGGCCTGAACTGCCACGTGGAGTAAATCGTAGAAGCCCTGCTTCTGGTCCAGTGTAGTGACGTGATCATCACGTCGGCCAAAACTGAATGCTTCTGAAATCGGTGTTTTCGGTGTTGTTCCACCGAACTTTTCATCTAGAACTGCCTGACCACCAAAAGTGTTGTCACATAGTAAGGTGATTTTGCCCAGAACTTCACAAAAACGGAAATAATACTCCTTCACATTTTCACTTAATCTTGCTGTGTTGACAGGTTGCCATAGGGTTGGATCTTGTGCTTCAGTCACACTCGTTGCCGTTGGCTCCGCAAGCAGTTGTGGCCTGTGGAAATATATGGGAGTCGAGACATCGGTGAAAGGATTAGGTAGTGATCCAGTGGGGATTGGAGGACACAGCTGGTCACTTGTTTCCAAATCAGACATGGTAGCCAAAAAGGCACGGATGCCAATGACCATCTTTTCGGGTTCCATCTGTTCAATCTTCAATTCTCTGCCAGATAGGAAGAGGTCGGAGTTGATCAACGGGAATATGATGTTTCGGAAACAGACATCCGGATGCTTGAATCCAATTATTTGAATCAGTTGTATCAAGGGATCGACAAAGACCGGCTCTGCGCTTAGGTAGGTACGACGACCAGTTGGAAGAGCAATTTTGGCCACTTCTTCAACCTTGCGAAGTGTTGTTGTGGGGGAGTCAGAGAAACGGAAGAAGTATGTCCAGACCAGACGACAGATTGCATGGAGTGCGGGTGCACGCGTGGGACGATCTTTCAGTCGTGGAGGCAAACTCGAGATCATCGGGAGCCACTGAGAAGAAAATGTCTCCTTGTTGGAGATGCAGAGTAACAAAACATTTAATGAAAAAGAAGCTGCCCAATGACGAGGTTTGGTGAGAAGCTGCACCAGACGTGGCTGGACTAAATCTAGGAATTCCTTCCAGCGAGGCAGGGAAAGATCGCAGCTAGGGTTGGCAGCAACAGGCAGAAGAAGTTTCTCGATCACATAGCAGTAGGCTTGCTTTATACGCTGCCCGTGGGCATTGACAAACAACCGTGCTAAAGATCGCATAAAGTCGCAAGACTTGGGCCATCCCTCAATACTTGTGGGAAGACGCAGATATCGCATGCAAAGAATCAATAATTCTGTCTTTGCGTCACCATCTCGAGATGGACCTTTGGCAGCTTCATCTTTCTGGTAGCGATCGAGTTCGCCCAAGAACCTATTGGCGACGCTGGAGAAATTCGATTCGCTCATAAGGCCCAATAATTGACCGTATATCCTCCAATTCGCCATACGGAGCGGTGATGCAGAGATCTGATCGGGGTCGGATGTTTTCACTTGGCCAAACACGATATCCTCGAGGCGATCTGCCATGTCCAGTGTGATTGAGGCCAGGCTACTCTGGTTGAAGATCTCGATCAAGACTCTGCAGACTAGATAGACCGAGACTGTGGCCCGTCGCTCCACCAAAGCAATATCATCATGACGAGCAAGGAAAGGCGTCGATTGCTGCGGCCGTTCCGCTGGAGCAAATTGATCACCGGGTTGTGTCGGTTCGGTGTTGCGACGAAGAAGCGGCCCATTCTCGGACCCCGGGGATGGCTTCTGTTCGTTCCCCATCTGTCGTGCTGTGATGGCGGCATCGCCCTTGGCCTTACGCCAGAACATAATCGTATCGATTAACGGTTTCGGTTTCAATCGGGCAATGTGACCTAATGCCGAGATCAATTGATCAAAGGTCGGGTCTGCCCCAGGACCGCATACTTCCTCTACTGGAGCATCGGATTCTCCCAGTTTCATAATCGCCTGATTGATCTTACTATCCGCCTGCCCAACAAACGAGTTGAAGAGATGGTGAAGCGCATATTCCCCTACCGTCTTCGAGTCCGAATGATGCTTCGAGTGTGACCGACTATGTGATCTTTCCCGTATTGTCTTGCCCCCGAGTTCATTCGTTTGTGGAGGACCTCCGCCGGGCTCGGGTTCATGCCATCGATATCGTTGTCTTGTATGGTGCTTAACATCGGAGGTAACCCATGGCCCGCGGCCATCCCGGATGGGGTGGAATAGCCCGAATGAGAATCGAGGGGATCGAATTTCGCAGGGAGCGTCGCCTCATCAAAAGCGCCGCGACCGAGAGACGCGATCAGTTCCGGGCTGAGCGGGCTGGTGGATGCGGTTGAACCGGCCATGCTCGGGTTCCGCGAGTGCTGCACACCGTGTACGATCGAAGTCTGGCGGTGATGACCGTACGAGTTCGAAGGTCTTCGTTCTAATCCTTCATATCCTGCGGGCCGACCGGCCGAAACGTCGGGGCTCTTGGAACCGGAGTGACCACGCCGCGTGAGAGTAGGGGCAAGGGTGGAGGGGTCCGCGGCTCTTCCTCTGACGGCGGAGGACTCGCGACTGTGCATAGGAGTCGATTGGGCAGTCCTGGTTCGGCGATCCGCTGGAGAAGCTAAGTTATGGTGCGACGCGGATTTTACGTCGTCAGGGATGAGGGGTGTTGGCTGGCCGGGGCCAGCTTTGTGGGAAGCCACTATTTTGGTCAGACCGTTTGCGAGACGCGAGATGCAGTGGACTTACTGTGTATCAAAGAAACCTCATTCCTGCAGGCAACCGGTGCTTTGTATACTGATTCGAGGTGATGTTTTTATCGGGGTGCACGGGTGTTGGAGTCAAGGGAGATATTATTAAGCCTCCTTCAGGAGGATTTCTTCCTTTCTTTCTTTCGCTACAAGTATACTTTGGATCTCTTTTACACGGAACCGTCCTGAATTTGAGTCTTAGCGTTTAATGCCAGTATCAGAACTCTGGGGAGTGTCGCTCGGAGGGAATGGGCCTCACGAGTCAGAGTTCTGTCTGACGTACAGTACAGGAACAGGCAAAGATCTCAGCTCCAGTATGTATGTTTCGGATGCCGAGTGGGGGGTCTAAGACCTTTCTTCTGAAACAGATCTGGTCCTGCTTCTCCACAGAGAACCAGTGGAGGAGCCATGGAGCATGCTCTCGTCCACTCTGCGAGAGTGACGGGGCTATCTACCGTAGTCTACAGGTTCTAACTTATAGGCTTGGGGTGCCAAGTGACTTTGGACACGAGCTAGCTGACCATTCAAATGCAAAATTGACAACATCGACTCGATCGACTCGATCGACTACCCCCCAGCATCGCGACATAGCGTCTATCTGACACGAGGCTCAAACTTGGACCCGTTGTTACAGATCCCTATCATTCCAAGCCTCAAAAGACATCCACTGAGGGGTAACTAGGAAACCCTTGGGTGCCTACCAGAGATACCAAGTTACCGCTGGAAGACTAGACTGTCAGTGAGTGCACATGTAGAACAACCTCGGACTACCTATGTCAGGTGGACATGGCTGGCTGTGTAGAGCCCAGTAGCACAGTATCGAAGATATTTGAGTATCAAAGTATCAAAGATAATGGCAAGCGAAGATGCTCCAGTCCCAGCCTAACAAGACCAAAGGCACCCCCAGAAAGAAAGAGAGCAACGGAGATAGGAGAGTCAGTTCAACTCCTAGGAGAGGCCTCATTCCGCTCCAGCCGGACTCAAAGAGGCAAGTTGCCACGGGTCTGGGGACCCAACATCTTCACGGAAAGGATTCCGCGGGAGTTTGACAGTTCGAATTCGGCTAACTCGGAGAGCGAAGTTGATCGAAACTTGTGATCTCCCGACGAGGCTTGCCGCCCTGGGAGTTACCCGCTCTCCGCCTTCGTAGGAGGCAAAAGGTTGCAAGTGTTGATGGTACGGCGAGTAGAGATTGATTTCCCGTTAGATTTGCCCCGGAGATTCCCCCACATATATATACACTTATATACGGGGATGTGGCTGTTGTGATTTTTTGCTACTTCTACTTCTTTTTTTTTTCTCCCTCTCTCTCTCTCTCGCTCTCTATTTTCCCTATCTAAATCCCCCGAACCCTCTATAGTCAGCGGTGAGTGGCAGATCCACACGGAGCCAGGGCATTCCGACTTGCAGATCAGACCACCGTTGCTTTTATCTTCTCTCCTTAGCACTGGGCACATTTCAAGAGGGGTTTGACCTACTTGGCCATTTTGGTTTCTACTTCTTTGGAAACACACTCCCTACCTCGGGAAAAAAAAAACAACCTTCCCCCCCCCCCCTGGCCTCCCCTGTCGCAATGGCGCAACTGGACACACTCGACTTGGTGGTCCTGGTCGCTCTCTTGGTGGGTAGCGTGGCCTACTTCACCAAAGGAACATACTGGGCCGTACCAAAAGACCCGTATGCTACCTCGAGCGCTACTCAGAATGGGGCCGCCAAGAGTGGCAAAACTCGCAACATCGTGGAGAAGATGGAGGAGACGAACAAGAACTGTGTGATTTTCTATGGCTCGCAAACTGGTACCGCGGAGGACTATGCGTCGCGTTTGGCTAAGGAGGGCTCTCAGCGCTTCGGCCTCAAGACTATGGTCGCCGACATTGAGGATTATGACTACGATACCATTGACAACTTCCCTGAGGACAAGGTCGCATTCTTTGTGCTGGCTACTTATGGTGAGGGTGAACCCACTGACAACGCGGTGGAATTCTACCAGTTCTTCACCGGCGAAGATGCCGCTTTCGAGAGCGGTGCCACTGCCGATGACAAGCCTCTCTCTTCTTTGAAGTACGTCACATTCGGTCTCGGTAACAACACTTATGAACACTACAACGCTATGGTCCGTCAAGTCGACACCGCTCTCACCAAGCTCGGTGCGCAGCGCATCGGTGACGCTGGCGAGGGTGATGACGGTGCGGGTACCATGGAGGAGGACTTCCTCGCCTGGAAGGAGCCCATGTGGGCTGCTCTGTCCGACGCTATGGGTCTTCAGGAACGCGAAGCTATCTACGAAGCCGTCTTCTCTGTGAGCGAGGAGGACGACAAGTCCCCCGAGGACGAGACCGTCTACCTCGGTGAGCCGACTGCTGCCCACCGTGAGGGACGCGCCAAGGGTCCCTTCTCTGCCCACAACCCGTACATTGCCCCGATCGTCGAATCCAAGGAACTCTTTACCGTCAAGGACCGTAACTGTCTGCACATGGAAATCAGCATTGCCGGTAGCAACCTCAGCTACCAGACTGGTGATCACATTGCTGTCTGGCCCACCAACGCTGGTGCCGAGGTCGATCGTCTCCTCCAGGTCTTTGGTATTGAGGACAAGCGTCACTCGGTCATCAACATCAAGGGTATTGATGTCACTGCCAAGGTTCCGATTCCGACTCCTACCACCTATGATGCCGCCGTTCGCTACTACATGGAAGTCTGCGCCCCCGTCTCTCGTCAATTCGTCTCTTCTCTGGCTGCCTTTGCCCCGGATGAGGCGAGCAAGGCCGAGCTCGTCCGCCTCGGTAGCGACAAGGATTACTTCCACGAGAAGATCTCTGAAAAGTGCTTCAACATCTCCCAGGCCCTCCAAAGCATCACTTCCAAGCCGTTCACTGCTGTTCCTTTCTCGTTGCTTATTGAAGGTCTCAACAAGCTTCAGCCCCGGTACTACTCTATCTCATCCTCCTCTCTGGTTCAAAAGGACAAGATCAGCATTACCGCTGTTGTTGAGTCCGTTCGCCTCCCCGGTGCTTCGCACATGGTCAAAGGTGTCACCACCAACTACCTATTGGCCCTGAAGCAGAAGCAGAACGGCGATCTCTCCCCCGATCCTCATGGCTTGACTTATTCGATTACCGGTCCCCGCAACAAGTACGATGGCATTCACGTGCCCGTTCACGTCCGTCACTCCAACTTCAAGCTCCCCTCCGATCCCTCCAAGCCTATCATCATGGTTGGCCCTGGTACTGGTGTTGCTCCTTTCCGTGGATTCATTCAGGAACGTGCCGCTCTCGCCGCCAAGGGCGAAAAGGTTGGAACCACGCTTCTGTTCTTCGGATGCCGTAAGAGCGACGAGGACTTCCTCTACAAGGACGAGTTCAAGGTATGTACTCCCATTCTAGTGATATCATTTTAAATAGTTAAACAGCATGCTAACTTGCAATCACAGACCTACCAAGACCAGATGGGTGACTCTCTTAAGATCATCACCGCCTTCTCCCGGGAAGGCTCCCAAAAGGTTTACGTTCAACATCGCCTGAAGGAAAATGCCCAACTAGTCAGCGATTTGCTGAAGAACAAGGCCAACTTCTACATTTGCGGTGACGCTGCCAACATGGCCCGCGAGGTCAACTTGGCGCTCGGCCACATCATCGCCGAGCAGCGTGGCCTTCCTGCCGAAAAGGGCGAGGAAATGGTCAAGCACATGCGCAGCAGTGGCAGCTACCAGGAAGATGTCTGGTCATGATTGATGAATGATTCTTTCTTTCAATACGCGTTAGATGAGCATATATATTCATGTTCTGGTTAACATTCTTTGCCTTTTATGCATGCTTAGCATTTTACTTCATTTAGTGATGATTGATTATAGCCTGAAAACTCCTACAGGGGTTTGAGCGGGAAATGACTTTAGACTTGTGATTTAAACAAATTTAATTCATGTTTGAATAAATCCTTTTGACATTCACATCAGTTGAGACTCGCAGTAGGTTTGCTGCAACCTACTACCCATTTTTGATGTAGATTTCCCACTAAATTTATACACAAATACATATTTATACAAGTCGCAGGGCTATTTTTTTTTTCCTCTGTGGATTTTTCCTTTCTTAGCTAGGAACATGGATGTATTGGTAGACTTTGCCAGGGGATTATAGGTGCATCTCAGGGCAGTTCTGCAGTTGATGTTTCCGGAGCGGACTTGAACGTCATGGCGGAACGTCAACTCCCGCCCCGCCCCGACTCAATCCCTTTCCACGAACCCCAGAACATCGTGAGATGTCCACCGGAGACAATCAAAATTAAATCAGACCCTAGTCCTCTCATTTAAGTCTCAGGTGCGCCAAGCGGAAGCCTGCTCGACCCGGAGCTGTCTCATCGACAGCTGACCCAAAATGGCCTACGTCGTGCCCATCCACCGGGCAAGCAGCATCCGGCACGCTGTAAAGCTAGACTTTTTTCAAAAAGACGAAAAATGCCTTGTTGCAGCGTGAGTTCCAGTTCCTTATACCCCCAGGAAACGCAGGATGTCGCACCCCAAGCGAGAAACAGCGAACAGCCCTTCAATATGGCATGACATGACGTTCTCGTAAGATCACAAGAGCTCCAAGTTAACCATTCTACCACTACATATAGCAAGTCCAATCGTCTTGAATTCTACACTGTCACGCCCGATGGCCTCATTCTGGCTGCGACGCGCGCGCTCTTCGCAAAGGTTACAATGCTCGCACGCCTGCCCGCACCTTCACATTCGCCCACCGACCACCTCTTCGTCGGAACAGACCAGTTCAACTATTTTACACTGACATGGGACCATACAACGCAAGAAATCAAGACAGCTCGCAGCTATGTCGATGTCGCCGAGCCCGCATCCCGCGAATCGCAATGCGCTGCACGATGCCTGCTAGATCCCTCAGACCGATTCATGACACTGGAAATATACGAGGGTGTTGTTGTCGTCGTGCCGATTGTACAGGCGACCAAGAAACGTGGTCGGGTCTCGACGGCGGCGTCGATGCCGGATGTGCCGCAAGTTGGAGAACTGGATAAGCCGACGACGTCGCGGATTGACGAGCTGTTCGTGCGGTCTTCTGCTTTCTTGTGGTCTGAGTCGAGTCCTTGGCTTGCGCTGCTTTACGAGGACAACCAGGCGAAAGTCCGGTTGCGGATTCGCGAGTTGGATTTCACGCCTGGTAGTTCGGGGACTTCGGCTGATGCTACTTTTAAAGAGGTGCAGGATAAGAAGCTTGAGGGGGGTGTGTTTGGGCAGGAACTTGATCTTGGGTCGTCACATTTGATTCCTATTCCTGGTCCGCTTGGTGGGTTGATTGTTCTTGGGGAAACAACCATCAAGTACATTGATGACCATGCAAATGATGTTATGACACGGAACCTGGATGAATCGACTGTTTTTGTTGCTTGGGAGATGGTTGACAGTCAGCGGTATTTGCTTGCTGATGATTACGGGAAGTTGTTTTTCTTGACTTTTGTCCTGAATCACGCTGGTAAGATTGATGACTGGAAGCTTGAGTATCTGGGAAACACGGCCCGAGCTGCAGTGCTGGTATATCTCGGCGGAGGAATGCTGTTTGTTGGATCGCACCAGGGTGATTCGCAGGTGATTCGACTCAGTGATAAGTCGTTTGAAATCATTCAGACTCTGTCCAACATTGCTCCCATTCTTGACTTTACCATTATGGACCTGGGTGCCCGGTCGAATGAGGGCCAAACGCACGAGTTCTCGTCTGGCCAGGCTCGGATTGTCACGGGGTCTGGTGCTTTCGATGATGGTTCATTGCGGAGTGTTCGCAGTGGTGTTGGCATGGAAGAGCTGGGTGTGCTTGGTGAAATGGATCATATCACGGATCTTTGGGGTCTCCAGACTCGGAGTTCTGGGGATTTCTTAGACACGCTCATTGTTACCTTTGTGGATGAGACGCGTGTCTTCCAGTTCAGCCCCGATGGTGAAGTCGAAGAACTGGATAGCTTCCTCGGACTGACTCTCACGGAAAACACTCTTCTTGTTACCAAGTTGCCAGGTGGCCGAATTTTACAAGTCACAGAACAACGAGCCCTAGTGGCTGATCTCGAAAGCGGGATGGTGACCTTCGAATGGGCTCCCGAAAATCGAAAGTTAATCACCGCCGCATCTGCCAATGATGATCATATGGTTCTCGTCATCAGCGGTCAGGTTGTAGCATCATTCGATGTCAGAAACAACGTCCAACTCATTACACAGAAAGATCTTGGCGCTGATCAACAAATTTCCGGCCTGACTGTCCCGTCATCACCCACGGGTATCTTCATTGCAGGCTTCCCTCAATCGGCCAATGTGTCAGTTATATCAGTGAAGGACTTAACTGTCCTGCAGACAAATCCACTCGGCCCCACTGGAGAGAGTTTCCCTCGATCAGTTCTCGTGGCTAATGTCCTAGCGAATAGCCATCCTACGCTATTCATCTCGATGGCAGATGGCTGTGTCATTACATTCTCATTGAATCCGAATGACTACTCTTTGACAGGCATGACCAAGCTCGTTCTCGGATCCGAGCAGCCGATCTTCAAGAAGCTCCCCAAGGGCGATGGTCTTTACAACGTATTTGCTACATGTGAAAATCCCAGTCTGATCTATGGCTCCGAGGGCCGAATCATCTACTCTGCCGTGAATTCCGAAGGAGCATCACGCGTCTGCCATCTCAATGCAGAAGCATACCCCGAAGCCATTGCAGTGGCAACAGAAAAGGAACTCAAGATTGCGTTAGTAGACAGAGAACGCACAACTCAGATCCAAACACTACCAATTGGATCTACTGTCCGCCGAGTGGCATACTCCCCATCCGAGAAAGCATTTGGGATCGGCACAATTGATCGCAAGCTCAAAGACGGAGAAGAGGTCGTCGGCAGTCATTTCATCCTCGCAGACGAAATCATGTTCCGGCGCCTCGATTCATTGGAGCTGGAGACAGAGGAGCTGGTGGAAAGCGTCATCCGGACTCAATTCGCCACTGGTAAAGATGAGAATGGCCGCGAAACTTTCAAGGACCGCTTTGTTGTCGGCACGGCGTACGCAGACGAATCTAAGGAGGGATCCATCCGTGGACGGATTCTCGTTCTAGAGGTTGACCATGGCCGCAAGCTTAGCAAGGTGGCTGAGTTGCAGGTTAAGGGTGCTTGTCGGGCGCTTACGATGATGGGTGATCTTATCGTTGCAGCTCTGGTCAAAACTGTGAGCATTGCATCTGAATTCATCTCTAAATATGTACTAACAATGTTTAGGTTGTTATCTACAGGCTCACGAACAGTAACTCGGGACCAATGAAACTCGAGAAGCTGGCAGCATACCGCACATCAACCGCGCCTGTAGATGTCAATGTCGTTGAAGATATCGTCGCGGTATCTGATCTTATGAAGAGTGTGTGCCTGGTCCAGTTCACTCCCGGAAAGGACGGGAAGCCAGATAGCCTGGTTGAAATCGGCCGTCACTACCAAACTGTTTGGAGTACGGCAGTTGCCTCCATAGGCAAAGATACTTTCCTTCAGAGTGATGCAGAGGGCAATCTCATCGTCCTATCACGGAACTTGAACGGCGTCACCGAGCAGGATAAACAGCGGCTGGTGCCAACGAGTGAGATCGCACTCGGCGAAATGGTTAACCGCATTCGACCGGTCAATATCCCGAATCTTGCCAGTACGACGGTCGTTCCACGAGCGTTCATGGCGACGGTACGTTTTGCTATTTTGTTTCACAATCTGAGATCTATACTAACCAGTTTGTACTACATATAGGTCGAGGGATCCATCTACCTCTTCGCAGTGATCAATCCCGAACACCAAGACTTCCTCATGACCCTGCAAACAGCCGTCTCCGCCAAGGTCGATTCCCTAGGCAATCTTCCATTCAATAAATTCCGTGGGTTCCGCACGATGGTGCGCTCATCTGATGCGCCGTACCGCTTTGTGGACGGTGAGCTCATTGAGCTGTTCTTGACCTGCTCTCCAAGCATGCAGGAGGAAATTGCCGAAGAAGTGGGCTCTATGAGTGTAGACGAGGTCAAGCAGATCATTGAGGCTCTGAGGAGACTTCATTAGGCTCTTCAAATTCTTTGTTAGGTATCTATGTGATATGTTACGATTACTCATGACTTTAATTTTCGTTTAGAAGGCTTGGATAAGTCTCTGCTTGAATGATGACCCATCTTTAAATACAACTCAGATATGATTTCAAGTAAATGTGAGTCTATTGGTCTACTGATCTCGGTAGAACTCAGTATCAGATCCAGATATAGCAAGGCACATATAGTGCTATTAAAATGTCTAACAGTAACATTACAAGAATAAGTTAAACCCAGCCACCGTGTAAATGCATAAACGAAGCCACCCATAAATATCGATAGCCCGGATACCAAGTGTCAAAAGACGAGGAAAGAAGCTCAAGCATCCTTCTTAGCAGTCTCCTCATCACTCCAATCCAGCAATTCCATAATCTGATCCCGACTCAAATCCTCAGCCCGCTGATCCTTCCGCACGCTCTTAAGATAGTTCTTCTGCCTCCTTCTAGCCATCTTATTCCACTCAGACCCAACCCCACTAGCATGCGGCAACATATCCTCCTCATCCTCAAGCTCAACCTCATCATCAGACCCCTCAACCTCCCCAAGAATCCGACCCTTCCCATCAGCAGCAGCGGCAGCAGCCCAGGAAGAGCCAGACGCAGAAACGGTATTCGAAGCCTTTCCTCCGCGCAGCGAGTTGGCAGAAACCTTCGCCTTGCCGAATTCAGCGCGCTCCTTTTCCTTCTTCTCCTTCTCCAATCGGCGGTCTCGGTCATGCAGCCATTTGAATCCCTTCTCGATGTAGGGTCGGACGAGGATGTAGAAGATGACACTGCCGATGACCTTTGTCCAGCGCTTGCCGCTCATGTCGGCGATTGATTTGTAGCTGTTTTTGCAGAAGCGCGTTACGACGAGCTCGAAGAAGGCGTATAATTGGGCGAAGAAGTCGTTGGCGGCTTCGACGGCCTTTTCGCTTAGGTCGGGGGTTTGAGTAGAGGATGCCATTTTGTGTAGGTGGTTAGATTTCGTGAGTTGTAGTTTGAGGCTTTTTTTTTTTTTTCGTCGAAGGTTGATTTGGGTTTTTGAGTTGAGGTAGGAGGAAGGGAGCACAATGCAGTGGTCTCTCTCCCGTACCTTGGGATTAAAGAGATGAGGAGACTTGGAGAATGCGACAGTTTCCTAGCCCCTGAATTTGAGAGAAGAGGACAGAGTAGAGAGAAGAGATGCTCTTCGATTCTCTGAACTTCCGCGGTTCCCGCAACGAGAGTCGCCTGTTTGGGTCTAGCGTGCTGTGCCGGATTAGCCGTTGTTCCGCCACACGCGTTGGCCAATCAGCGGGTGTTGGTTGGTTCGCGACTTCTACGACTATCAACACCATGGAGCAGCATGAAGAGGCTGGTCTGGAGGAGGTGAGTACTGCATTGGTGGGCTTTCTTGCTAGCGTTACACTGCTGAACTTTGCTTATAGCGCCTGAAATCGGCGTTGTGGTTGTCTATTGGCAAGATCGTCGACGAGGAGACCATCAAGCTGGGCGTAAATGCAACACCGCAGTTTATCGGTGCGCTGACGGAGATGGTGTGGGCTCAAGTTGGTATGTTTAGCTTTGTACTCAGAGATGATGTTACTGAGACTCATTTTTTACAGAGACCGTTAGCCAGGATCTAGAGTCCTTTGCCAAGTACGTTGTGATATGAGTTGGCTTTGACCTGTGACGTGATGTTCTGACCTGCATTTGAATAACTCATTTTGAAAAAGAGCTCTGTACTGATTTGTCTATAGACATGCTGGCCGCTCCACTGTCAATGTATCAGACGTGATGCTCCTCGCTCGTCGCAACGAGGGGTTAGACTCAATTCTTCGCGCATTCGTTGAGCAACAGCGTGAAGAAGTCGTGGAATAGATGACTGTGAGCTGGCCATTGGGTCAGAGCAAGAACCATTTCTACAATGTCATACCTTTCTGGTTGACACGACCTATAACTACAGCCCTCGATTCGTGAAATGACACATGATGACCTATCTCTTCCGCGGTTATCTTCAATTTCATGCAAATGTGAGGATGTGTTGAGTTCCCCCGAATGAATTCGTCTAACAACGTTCAGTTCGCTCTAATGTTCTGACACTGCGGGATTGGCAATGACTACGAAAGTCACACTGTTCGAGGCCATTTGCTTGGCTTCTTTGACACTATCTCGGACACAGAATGTCCTGACACTGTGTTGTTACGTTGTAACAATTCTGATACCCTACCAAAGTCTGATCGAATCTTTGAATTATGTCCATTTTTTTCCTGGCCCGTATCTCGACGACAGCATCATACTATGCACAACCTTGAAGCAGACTCCATTTCGATTTAATCCTAATGTCATAAATAGCAGAGCCTATTTCCCTTCACAGTAGACTAGAGCTATCCAAAGGCGTGTTGCATAGTTCCTTACCTTGCACTGTAATCCGCATGTCATCAACTCGCCACCCAACCCCAGCCACCTTGTCCGTACTGCCACAACTATATTTAAGCATATACGGGCTACAACCAAACTTTAATCCAAGCCCAAATTAGCAAGGGATTGCGGTTCAAACTGCACTTTTAAAGCCTTTAGACGATACCTTGAAGCCCCATAATACCAAGGGCAGCATTAGGACGCTTCTGCCTACACACGACACAGCAAAATTTTGACCCACGGTGGCGGAGATGTGGATATGGCAGTGGAGGACAAGTGGATGCGGACGTCATTTTCTTCAACGGCGTGGGGCTTCTCTCGCGTGCGCTGGAGCAACTACCGTGGTACCGTATGCAAGGAATTCAGGAAAGGTAAAGGTAATAGTTTGCATACATGCACTGTACTGCATGTCGTCGAGAGCATTTAGAAGCCAGTTTCTCAATATTTCACAAGGGTCCTGCTCATGCTTTTTCAGAGCTGGTCAGAGGTAGGCCATAGGTCCATTCCTTGAACAACCACTAGCAGCGCTATAGAGTGCGCATATAACGTTCTGCTTCACTGCGTGTTTTCGGTTGGGATAATCGAGTCGATCCTTGCGTTTCTATGCTATAGGGCTTTTATATTTACTGTTCAAGCTGATATACAAGAGGATCACGTGAAGACATAAATTACTTAGTCCGAGCATCTAATCGGGCATCAAACCCTGATTCGTGCCCCGCTGTTATGAATCTTCCCTTGGTCACTTATCCCACTGTTTATACTCTATTATGCGAGACCAAGGTAAGTGGTAAAAGCATGGCGTGAAATATCTCTGACCGTAAGGAAGGGTCTTCTTTCCTCCTACTAGATAGGTCGACTGTTTCCCCTTTCGCCTCGCTCAACCCCGAAAATTATGGTGCCTTATTCGGTCGAACCTAAGGCTTACCCGCTCTAAAAAACTTGCTGCTTGGATAAAACATACCGCTGAAATGATGGAGGTGGTAAAAAACACATCAAAATGTGTGGATACTAAACTTCGAGACAACTTGCGCCCATTCTTGGATGCACAGAAATACACGGATATAAAGGTTAGAAGGATAGTAAGACCCCTACTATGATAAACAATCATTAACCACTAGTAGGGTCACGGATATACGATATATCGCATCAAAGGAAGAGCAGAAATAGGTTTAACCCCTCATTCCCGCTACTTATTCTTTCCGCTTTCTATTGATCTGGGGATTGACTGAGCGCCTAGCGAAATATAGGTCGCAGGAGAAACGCTTCGACAAGGTCATTACATCCATTTCACTGGTGCTCTAGTTCTTGACGCGCAGTTGGACTGTTTGATTGTGCTTCTACCAGAAACAAGTTCAGAATAGTCTCAATTTTGGCGATAAGGCTGTATTATGATACTAATATTTACCATTATAAAGCTCTCATGAGTGAGCAAACAGCGACAAGAGGTGAGCACTAAAGCGGAAAGGGAAAACCAAGAGTTGTCAGACATCATCGTGTCTATATGCATTTTAGGGTTAAATTACCTCAAGTTAGGTTGGATTAGGGGGCGATGGCACATATTTGAAGAGGCTGGTGGGTATAATTCGGGTAAGGCGGTTGGTTAAATGCCATGCCTTGCATGTACCAGGCCTAGTTTTCCGCTTAAGTACTCTTTCGAACTTAAAACCCAGTCGATACCTCGCTTGGCTCGTATACGCTAGGAATAACTTATATTTCACAGCCACACTATGTACGGTTTAGGCAATAACAGTGTGGCTGGGTTAATAGACTTCGCATCACATGTCACATGAAAGCTACCATTCTGGCCTGAAAGTTCTGGCCTGCAATAAGGCGCAGGGATCCACTCGACTCCACTCAAATCCATGGGACTGACATCATGTGGGGACAGACTATCCATTTTAGGTGTGGCGCAGACCGCCTTCGGCCAGTCAATAACCAAAAGGACCGGGATCGACTCTCGCCATCCACCGATCTTCGTCAATTGCGTCGACTCAGGGTCTTCCCTCTTTATAACCCGTCTGAATCCTGCTGCCTTCGTTTTCTGTCATATATTCTCCTTCTCCCCCGGATTCTTGTCTTCGCATATACCCATACTCAAACCGCAAAAGACACCAAATACAACATGGGAATCGGTGGGGTAATTCTCCGGTTCTTTAATCTGGGCCTGCGTGTCCTCCAGTTCCTCGACGCTGCCGTCATCCTTGGCATCTTCTCTTATTACCTGGCCATCCAAGCCCAGCATGACCAGCACATCGCTACTTGGATGAAGGCCGTGGAGGGTCTAGCAGGTGCTGCTACCGCCTACGGCCTCCTGGGCATCGTCTTTGTCTGCTGCCTGGGCGGTGTGACATTCTTCGCCTTCCTGGGCGTTGCCCTAGACGTATGTTTCACGGGCGCGATGGTCGCCATCGCCATCCTCACTCGCAAGGGTGTCAGCAAGTGCACCGGCACTGTAGAGACACCTCTTGGAACGGGTGATGCCAATGCTGAGACGCCTTCCAAGTCTCTCACTTTTGGTATGGCTTGCAAGCTGGAGAAAGTTGTGTTCGCAGTTGCGATCATTGGAATGTGAGTTTTTACCCCAGAACAAAACACCCCCATCCCCATATTCTTTAAATGTGACAGACCCACTTACATGTCTCAGCTTCCTCTTCTTGATCTCCATTCTGTTCCAGGTCCTCCTGGCCCGCCACCACAAGCGCGAAAAGCGTTTCGGCCCTTCGCCAAACAATGGCTACACCTATGGTAGCAGTAAGAGTTTCTGGCGCCGCAACAAGAACAGTCCCGAGGCTGTCGGCGGTGCTGATACTCTCCCCGGCCACCCGACCCCGACAGACGTCGAGATGGGCGCCGAGCCAACCAAGAACGAAAAGTCTTGGTTCGGTGGCTCGTGGGGTCGCAATAAGAACAACACTGCGACCACTCCTGTCCAAAATGGGAATGGCTATGGCTATGGCAACTCGGCCTATACTGGTAACATCTAGAGTTTCTATTCCTTACTAGCTTGCCAACTTATTGGCGTGGTTCGTGGCTTGTGGCTTTGATAGATGGAGCTTGGCGAGTCTGACAATGACATCATTGTCCTGCTACCCTTGCTCTGACTCGTCTTGTTTTAGTTGAGAGTTGAGCTGGACTGGTTGCACCAGTCGATGATTGCATGACCCTTTGTGTTAATTTGGCCGAGATACCACTATTTTGTTTGTGAGATTGGACCGTGTACAATATGATGGAGGATATCTGGCGGCATACTTGGGTCTTTCGGGACTGGCTGGACGTCACTTCGATAATAATAATGAATCTCTTTGCTGTCTACTCCACCTGTTACGTAGATTTGGTTTCTAGAACTTATCATGGCGATAAAATTGCCTCCACCTGGTGAGAGCTAGATTTCTTGGCCACTTGGTGATGGCAATGTGAGACATTTTTAGTGACCTAGACTTACTTTCCTTCCTCTTTTTGGATTATACGTCGTGTTGCTCTACATTTGCCTCGTGGCCTCACAATAGCCTTATCTTCTCAATGACATTGTTTTCTCTCAATGATCCGAGTCTCGGCCGAGCTGATAACACAAGATTGCTATATAGCCTCACATGATTCCAATCCGTCTCTCGATCTGCTAAAACGAGATGTAACAAGCCCACGAATAATATGTCGACCAAAATAAAGTCCACACAGAACATCCTCCAGGATCAGATGTGACAATGGCAGGGTACTTGTCAATTCGTTTAGCCGGATTCCGAATACCGCGGTCCGGAGGCACCCGATCAAATTGAGATAGTCAAACAATATATGAAGAGATGTGGTATCTCAATAAATTCCTAGAGCTCCCAGTAGATCCGACTCACATCTCATCTTATTCCTCGGCCGAAGTCACGGCCGTGCGAGATCCCGTCATGATTAGAGCTAAGGCTAGGGCGTTCCCCGCAGAGATGCACAGATTATTTAAGACCGCGCTATTGTACAAGGGTAACTAAACAACATATTCGAGGGGAGTTGATTTTTCCGCAGTATTGCAAAATGCTCTCTCCAATGCGTGCTCTCGCTCTCGCCACGCTTCTGCCCGCAGTACCAGGAGTTTTACTCGCAGACTCAACCCTAAGCATCAACGGAATAACATACCAAACCCGAGCACACTGGATGCGCCTCGCGAACGAAGCCTTGAACCAAATAGCCGAATCACCGTGCCCATTCGCAGCCTTCGGAACAGCAATTGTGAACCACACAGCCTCGGACAAAGGCGAACTGGTTTGTTTAGGAGTCAACGAGAATGGGAAGACGGGAAATCCATCATTACACGGTTCGAGCCACCAGTCCTCACTGTCATCGTAGTAACGAAACTAACATGGGAGAGGGCATGATATAGGTGAAATTGCAGCTATAAAGAACTGCACCGCCATCCTAACAGACCCGCATGGAAAATACCGCCTGACGGCAGCAGAGGCACAAGATGCTTTCACTGATTTGACTTTGTATACCAATGCCGAGAGTTGCCCCATGGTACGTGGACTACGAAAAACACCTGCCGAAATTATTCTATGCTAACAACGACAAAGTGCGCCTCTGCAATCCGCTGGGCCGGATTTCGAGAATACGTATATGGAACCTCAATCGACACTCTCGTCCAGAAAGGATGGGGACAGATCCGCATTTCTTCCATGGATGTTTTTGAGGCTTCTTATGATTTACCGACTCAATCGCGGCTGATGGGCGGGGTTCTTTCAAATGAGACCGATCCCTATTTCCTGTGGCAGTATGATCCGTCGTATCCTTGTCCCAGTGGTTGTTCCAGGAATGGAGATGGTTCGAGCTGTACGGTTTCTTCTACTTAGGTCTCAGTATCGGGAATTGTCTTTGCGAAACATGTATATGAGGATCAAGGTAATTAAGTTCAATCAGTTACCATTTCGTTGGTTCACAACTTCGAAACCTGTTTAGCATGGCTTTTGTTTCATGGATGCCCGGGATTCTGCAACGATTTTGCTACCTGATATGAGATGGAATGATGCTAGCCAAATAAAGAGAGACTGAACTTTAAATCGCCAATTTCATTGTTCCATCTTCAGTCTTGTGTGGCTTTAGTCGAACGATTAAGCCATCCTGCATAGGGAAGAAATGCGTCGTCACCGTCCAGTCTGGCTCAGGTGACGCCCATTCCATGTCAAAATCCCGCAGTATCTGTGGCACAATCTTCCCCATTTCCATAAGGGAGATATTTTTTCCTATCAATAGCACCTTAATTAGCTGATCAATGGATCATACCTAGAAGTTAGACTCACCGATACAAGTACGCGAACCTTGCCCGAACTAATGAATAATGCAAATTAGCGTCCGAACCACGGATATAAGAACAAAAGATATAAGTGCCGATGTCCACGTACTGCCATAAAATAACGATTCATCTCCTTGAGCTGCTCTTCAGATGAGTCTATCCAACGCTCAGGACGAAAACTCCCGGCGTCTGCTCCAAAGACTGCTGTATCGCGGTGAACCACCCAGGGATTCATCCCGACTATCGTGCCAGCTTCGAGGAAATGGCCGCACACTGTCGCGCCTTCTGGTGGGACAACCCGCTCCAATGGTGCCGCTACTGCTGGATGCAGGCGGAGTGCTTCTTTCATGACTGCCTGCCTAGAAAGAAGGGTTGGTATTCGGAACTCAGTAGTAATGGTGAGCTTACTTACAGATAGGGTAGCTGTAAGCTTTCTGTGTAGCTGATATGCCTAGAGAGGCGTCTACCAGAATCCGCTTCATCTATCTCCTGATGAAGTTTTCTGAACGACTGAGGGTTTCGCATGAGGTAGTAAAAGATAGCACGGAGTGTGATTGCAGTGGTATCACTACCTGCATTCCTATACCCGATGCCTGTCAGTGGTAACTTTCTATCATATAGGCAAAGAGAACTTACAAATTGGCCAGGAGATAACCAATCATATCAGACTCACTAACGTTATACTTTCCCTTATCGGCGTCAGTCTTGAGCCATGCTAGAAAGTCGTTTCTATGGCCATGATTCTCTTCGTCATATCGTTTCAATTCTTCTGTTGCAATCTGCTCTGTCAATAAGCAAGTACTCAAGTTTGAGTGAAAGAAACTTGCACTCACCGAACACATATAACCAAAAGGATCAAAATATCCAGGCAACAACTTCAACATTGCCAAGAATGTATCATTTCCAATGAGATATCGATGCAAAGAAGGTACCTGAGAGATGATAGACCCATATGAAAGAGCTTTCTTGAGAGAGTCTATCATTCCATTAATATCATTGTGCTTCTCCAAAAATCCAAAGCGCTTGTTAAAGGTAATGGCACCAACAGCATCAAAAGCCCACCTAGGGACTATAATTAGCAAAATATCCCGGCTACCGGAATCAAATATCAGAGAGGGTCAGTGGGCCGCATACCAGTGCAACCAAGCACCGAAATCAATATCTTGCCCTTCGAGCTCGTGCATAGCCTTCAAGAAAATATCAGAGCATTCGTCCACTGCAGGCTCCAGCGTTCGTACTGAAGTCATCGAGTACATCTGGGAGACAGGGATCCTGATACGCTTATGAATAACAGGATCCCTTGTAGCAAACAGCGTATCTATCAGTTTTCCATTGTACTTGAATCCAAAAGGAAGATAGAATTCGCCCTACGCCGCTCGGAACGATCAGTCTTTGCTATCTGTGCCCAGAACCTTCACGCCAAGCAAAGAAAAGAGATTTAACCAACCTTGACGAAATTGGTCGACACTGAGTATATCGTTGGAATAGCCACTGGGTCAGATATATGAACGTGGCGCGGTCCTATGCGCACCATTGGGCCATATTTCTTGTGCAAGTCCAGGTTCTTGACATGGCACTGACCATCGTAGACCATGTAGAGCTTGTACAGACTTGAGAAACGGGCTATCCAAGGGCCTGGTAGACCATAAACGTCGGATTTGAATGCTGTTCTAAGGTAGTCGGTCACGATGAACAGGGTAAGGAGTGTCAGGACCACCTTCATTCCGAGCCACTGCTGATCTTGGGTCCATAACTCTAGCCTGCTCACGATCTTTGATGTTAGTATTGTCATTTTTGCATGCTGAAAGAGACCCAAGCTGGACAAGAACTGATTCACACTATTGTAGATGTAATAAGATCTCAGCTGTTACCCCTCGATAGGTGGCTTAGTCTTGGCGCTATGTACTGATATTCTCAGATGCGATTGGTCAATCTTTCAGCTGGAGTCGAAGATAGTCAGACTTTCAGAAAATGTGGTCAAGAAGAGCCGAGATAAAAGGTGATGTGATTCGTGCGGAGGAGCCAAATTCAGGGTTGAGTGTCTACTTTGCCGACGCTCTGGTAGTGCCAGGTTCGAAGTGAACTTAGTAGCGTTGACCTGACCCAGCCTAGAGACAAGAACATCAAAGCTCATTGGAACGTGATTGACAAAAAAAATTGAATTAAGGTGCTTTAGAAAAAGAACGTTATCGGTCATTCTGTACAGCCGCAAAATGGGTTGTCTTTGCTACAGCATCCATGCTTTCATTTCAAGGAACAAGTGCACTTCTTGACCATAATGCCAAAAAATTAATATAATTGAAGAGGACTAGAGAAATGAAGAAGCATCGATACACAATCATTAAGAAATTGACATGACAAGAGCGTTGGCATGGATACATCAACTGGATCATCGCTGGACTGATCATGGGTAAAAAGATTCAAAAACAATACATGGCGCCTGAACATGCGCCGAGAAGAAAAGTCATCAAGCCAAAAGATGTGGTTCAAAATATAAACTGGCTTCGTCTACCACCTGGCGCTGATGACGCCGTTGCGGCACCAAGTGCCAGCAGCAACGGAGCCCATGAAGACAGGGTGACCGTAGTTGCACAAGGCGAAGCTCATTCCATCGGGAGAGCAGAGGATCTCGCCGGATTTGCAGGTCCATTGGCCGACGTAGTTGCTGAAGAGGTTGTTCGTGGAGGCCTCGGTGGTGACAGTACGCTGAGCGGCGGTAGTGGAAGTAACGAAAGAGGAAGCGATCTTGGACATCTTCTTGTCGGTGCTGGCGGTGCTCATATCAGTGGTGGTGCTTGAGCTAGAGCTGGTGGTGTTCTTGGTAGCGCCCTTGGTAGCGTTGGACGAGGCGCTGGTAGTGGTACTGGGGGTGTTGGAGGCAGCGCTAGAATCGTCCCCGAGGAAGGGAGCGTTGCTCTCGCACTTGTAGCCCTTGCCATCGGCCTTACCAATTACGTTGGGGCCAGGCTTGGGGAAGTTGACAGCCTCACCCTCGATGGTGACACACTTGCCGGTCTGACCTACGTTGGCGACGAAGAGTTCGGGCAGGCTATCGAAGCTTCCGGCAGCCTTGCTTTGCTTGGTGTGAGCCTTAGGGCTGGCGTTCTCCTTGGACATGGTGTCGGTCTTGGGCATGACGACATCCTTGGCCTTACCGACCTCCTCCATGACCTTGTCAATGGGTTTCTCGGCATCAGCAGCCATCTCCAGCAAGTGCTTGGAGACAGGCTTCTCCTTGGTGTTGGTGGTAGTATTGGCAGTGCGTTCGCCTCCGCCAATGGTAATCATGGCGCAGTTCATGTACATTTCACGGTTGCCGACCTTGTTGAACCAGGTCCACGCGAACAGAGCATCGCCAGCCGGAGCATCGGAGGGGATGTCAAAGTTGTACTTCTTGGCAATAGGACAGTCGCCCTCGACAGACTCGATGACCTTGAAGGTCTTACCCTGATCGTAGGTAAGGGCAAGCTGGCACGAACCACCATCGTGGGTGGCACTGCCCTCGAGAGTCATCTCCTGGGATGAACCGGGAGCCCATGTGTCGACAGCCTGGAAGTCATCCTTGGCGTAACCTTTGCATGGGTAGTCACTGCCAGAGCTTGATAGCGGGTTGGTGTATGAGTAGTCCTTGTCGCCCTTGGCGTCCTTGTTCAGGGGACTGCGAATGGGGTAAGGCTTGCTCAATTGCATGTGGGCAGAGACTGTGGAGGCCAAGAGGCCGGAGAGAATGAATGTTCCCTTCATTGTGATGGAAGTGTTTTCTGTTGACAGTTAGTTTCATATTCTTGCCTGCGTCACAATATAGCAATGCTCGACATGGGAAACCACGAATCACTCACAGTGTCTTGGGTATAAAGAAGCTTCGTGAAGATTTAGCAAACTAAACACTTAACCACCAGGGTCAATTCGCAGAAAATACAGAGCTTGGGTTGGCGAATTGCAGGTGCCGGACGATTTGAATAAATACATGCCCAGTGGACACCCACATTCTTTCGAGTTGTTGAGAGGAATGGCAGATGCGATCATGTTATGGTCTTAGCGCATGCGATGATAGACAAGAATTGGCCCCCGCAACGTGAAGAATGCTACCAAACAAGCCATACTTCACATAGACTATACCTCTCTAGCACCGGACGGTAGCCTCCTGTCACTAATAACTCATATCAGAGCGCCTCATTCCAGATGGCTGTTCCCACTCTGAACTCTATGGTGAATTTGAAAGGCCAACATAGAGAACTAAAGACCACTCATTCTCTTAATTGAGTCTGGACCCAAGATGACATGACCAACATATCAGACCCTGATTGAGGGCAACCACTTGGGCACCCAGGGGCAATGGATTGCACAGCCAAAAGAAATAAGGTCAGGGATCAATTATGAGAGCCGCAGACTCCATTCCAACACACAATAATCTCCGAGCCAAGCGTCCGAAAAATTCAGCCATGATGTCAGGAGTCTTCAAAAAGGCCGCGTCACAAACGCCATGTACTGGACAGAGCAGTGCCGCCCGATCCTCACTCATTCTGCTCTGTGCAATGGTGAAGTATGTGATTCAACCGGTTTGTGTCTCGAACTTTGACCTGGCGGAAGCCCTAAGGGGTTGGCCCCTCAACTCCTGTTCTCCCCCTGCATGCCTACTCAGGGCACCAATTACATCCCTCTGACCCAAGGGCTTTGTTTACATTTTTGGAGTTGCTCGGGGCTTTTTTCTTTGTCAGTGTTCTGTCTGGAAAGCTTGGTGCTGCGTGGTTCATGAGATGCGATGCGATGCTGTGGGGTGTAGCATGGCTTGACGTATGAATTGAATGAAGTAGACAGTGGCTTTCAAATCTAAACAAATTGTATTACTGCTCTGATTTGTTCAATTTTACAATAAACAAAGTGCATTCTATGTGATCTAAGTCTATCAGCGGTGAATCTATATATATTCATGTCCAAAACATTCGACAGCTGTTAACCCATGCTGCGTTCACAACTTCCTCCATAGTAACACCCTTCAATCCTGCAACGACTAACCCAACACGTTCCATAGTACAACTTTCATTACGAGTCTTAACCATTTGCCCCAACATAAACTTGTTATGCTTCCGACTCGCAGGCAAAGGCCGACTAGATTCCAAATAGCCCGCAATCTTCGGATCATTGCCCAAGACCTCACACCAAGGCGCATCAGTCTCAAGCTGCAATTTATCCAAAGGAATATGCCGAACCATATCCAATTGCTCATCACTCCGGAACGAAACCCCATTCACACTAATCTCCAACCCAAGCTCCACAAGCTGCAGCATCTCCTCCTTCGTGCCTGCAAAGGAATGCACCAGCCCACCCTTGGGCAACCTCTCAAGGAAAGGAGTAATAATCGAAATGAAATCCTCCGCCGACTCTCTGACATGCAAGAACAGCGGCAATTGAAAATGAACCGCCAACTCTAACTGTTCCCGGAAAGCACGCTGCTGCGTCTCTTTATCGGCTCGATTGAGGTACTCGTAATCCAACCCGATTTCACCAAATGCCGCTAGAGGCGACGGTGACTCGGCAATAAGTGTTTCGCCGAGTGTTTTTAGTTCGCTTAGATACTGTAACCCGGGCTGTTGGTAGATCTCGGCGGCGTGGTAGGGATGCACGCCAAGGGTCATTTTGCACATTGTGGGGAACTCCCTCACTGCTTGCAGGTTTTGTTTCGCACCTTCAAGTGTCATTGTTGTAAGCATCACTTTTTCGCAGTTGTATTCTTTGGCTCGTTGGAGGACCTCGCCGAAATCGGCTGGGTGGTATTGTTTCCCTCGGTAGATGCCTTGGAATTGGTCTGCGGTATATGTTACCGCAACCTGGTATGGGTTAGTGAGACTTGTATCTGCTCAGCAATTCGTTTACTTACGTCGAAGAACTTCATGGTGGGATTTCTTGGTTGGTGGGTTGAAGAGTAATAACGGTGAAAAGTCGAGCAGTGTCTTCTGTGTTCTTGGCGGGTTGAACGTCCAACACGCTCGATTTTCCCCGGTTGAATTCCGAAGCAATTCCCGATGAAGAACTAGTAGTTTTGCGTAGAACTTTGAAATGGACGAGGCGACAGAAAAGACTAATATAAATTCGAGCGAGGATCCCATTGAAATATATTAACATCGGGTACAGACACCCGATGTCGGCAAACTGGGCGTCTTATGTACTTGGCTCTGAAGAACCACAAGTTGTACTATTACTATATTTTGATAGACAGGTCCTTCCGCATCGGAGACAGTAATGGCCACGGAGAGCCACCTGTAACCTTTATTTCCCCAATCTCCCCCGAGGCAGTTCCCGCGAGAACACCAGTCCCAATGATTCCACCATCACTAGCTTCGCGCAAGAACACACTCTTACCTCCTGCTTGCGGACCAGCGCGGAGTATGAGACGGTCGATATGTCTTTGCACGTTCTCTTTGTAATGAGGATAATGTTGAATGACTCCACCGGAAAAGGCCACGGCGAGTTCTTCCGGGCCACTGTTCCAGCCAGGTGAGCCTGATCCTGTTTGTTTGCGGTTTTGGATTTGGGGTGACTTTGGCACATCGCTGGAGTCCTTGCACAGTTTAACTTCCTTGATGCAATCGAGAAGACCAACCACGGCGGCTGCAACCAATGAAGCGGCTCGATCGTGCACGGCTGATGCGATGGTGCGGATATCACGAGCATATTCAGCGGTCCAACTCCAATTACTTCCCGTTGGTGGTTCGAGCTTCTGAGAAAGCTTGTGTGCCAGTGATTCGTCGGGCATCGATGATGCAACAACCAGGGAAAGAAATTCCGTCGTAATGGAATATGGCTCAATAATCTTCACGGGTAACATCGAGTCCGCTACCCCCAGGACTCTGTGGAAGTAGTCATAGCAGATGATCCGAACTAACTCGCCTGTATACCCACCTCCAACCATATATTCTAGAGGCTGGAAACCCGGTCGCTTGCAATGCTGGTCGAGTTCATGGTCCCATTTATTTCTAATGCGCAGCTCATCAAAGGGAGCAGCAGCTGTGGAAAGAGTCCACTCGGTAGAAATGAGCGTCTCTTTCGCCTCCGGATATTTTTCCCGGATTTTTTGTGTTTTTGATTCATGAAGATCACATATCTTCATTGGCGCAGTGGCATTGCATCCTGCACCGACAATCAGTCCCATAACCACACGGGTATTGGGCAATGAAGGGATTGAATAGGCCAATGAAGCAAGGGTCGCGGTAGTATCATTGATCATGACAGCGATTTTTAATTTAGGTAGTGAGAACAACCTGCGTCGTTTCGCAGGCATTCGCTCAACATCTCCATGCGATGAATACGTGTGGCGCTCGTATCCATTCAGAAGTGCTTGGCGGAGGTTGAGGTCTGAGCTTAGAGAAAAGCCTTTGCCTGTTGGCATCAAGATAGCTTCATCGAGAGAGTTCTGTCTGTATGAAATAAGCCAGAGAACGGAGTGACTGAAGAGCGGGTTGGTACTTTATAGGTAAACAGAGGGAAATCCCCGTCGTTATTTGGTCCAGACTTTCTTCATTCGGATTGGCGAGTCTGTCCGCCACAACCTCGGCAATACAGTCACCAATCCAGGTGAACAGGTCCAGGGAATGGTCTTTTCGTAAATGATCTTCAATAGGCCAGGCTTTTTCTAACGTTCGTCGGACACGCGCATGCCCTTCGACTTGTTTATCTCCCAAGAGATCAATAAAGGCCACTCGTAGATAAGACAGACCAACATAGACACCGAGATAGCGTCCAGTCTCATGGCCCGTTGGGAGACAAGTTATGGGTGTTGGAATGAAGTGTTCAGTCGACTCCAAGGCCAGATTTGTGTATGATGTTGATAGTCGACAGGACAAATCATACAAGGTTTCGATGCCCACCTGGAGGGGTTGCAGGAACTCTTTCAGATTTGGCTTTACTGTCGCAGGTTGCTCCACCGTTGAGGTAGCCATATTGATCCGATGATACACCCAAGATAATTTGGAAGATTGCTTTGCAGGCCCAATTTCTGGCCTTGGATGATAACTAAAGAGAAGCCAGTTGCTGACGAAAATATGCCACGAGGCTAGAAAGGGTAGAATACCACCACGTGACCTTCATGCAACGGTGTCTGTATAGTTGGGTTGGGCGTTGATTGTCATGATTCCGGGGGGTTTCAAGTCCTTTTCGGTGACAATTTAAGGTCATCAACTTGGTGGAGAAGTTGACTCAGTTCCTGGATGCGATCACAGGCCAAGCCCAGGTTACCAACCTCCCGGCCCTAGCTTTCCCAGATTCGACAGGGTTGATGTATAAAGAGGACAAGCCTGCGAATTTTTATTGGTTATCTTTTTTTCATCTAACATATTCAGAAATGGCTCGGTTGAGTTCATGATAGGTTGGTGACTCGTTGCATTTTCAATCATCTCGAGGCATCTCGTGTCCCAAACCCAAGCTCCGACTATAGAGAGAAACTCGATATTGAAAGTGTATAGATCGAAGCCATACGCACACACACACACCCTAATCACGAATTCAACGCTGGCCACGAGGTTACATTGGCCGCAAGAATTTCCCCGCAACAAATATTACGCCCCACTCGTGGACTTTGACTGAATTCGAGTCTTATTAATCTGATTGTCTTCCAATTCACTCCAATGAGTAGAGAAAGCTCAAGTTCGAGGTCCTGGCCTGATCAACATGTTGAATCTCAAGATCCATATGCAAGTCCAGAAGACCCACCGTTGCACGCAGTAAATGTCGCCCTCAGATGGAATGAATCAAAAGCCACAATATGGAAGGTGACAGCGACTTTCTGGTGCGCGTTCGTGATGGGATCGAATGATGCGGCTTATGGAGCCATCATCCCTTATGTTGGTGTCCCTGTCCAGTTCCGCTACTGTACACACTAACGAAGTATGGACAAATTAAGCTCGAGACATACTATCGCAAAAGCTATACAATCATCTCTTTGGTATTCCTTTCGCCGTTCTTCGGCTATGCCCTATCTGCAATGATCAATAATATGATCCACCAGCGTTTTGGAAGGCGAGGGATTACCATTATTGCGCCGAGCTGTCACCTGATAGCTTTTGCCGTGATATCGGTTCATCCGCCATTCCCTGTGTTGGTGGTTTCGTATGTGCTTGTTGGATTGGGCAGTGGATTCCATAATGCCGCTTGGAATGTCTGGATTGGAAACATGGCGAATTCGCATGAAGTGCTGGGGTTCTTTCATGGGTTTTATGGCATCGGCGCTACAGTTAGTCCTCTTGTCGCTACGAGTTTGATCACAAAGGCAGGGTGGCAGTGGTACTCTTACTACTATTTGATGGTACTGGACCTTCCGTCCCTCAGACATTCGGCAAAATTGAACTAACATGGAACGATAGACCGGAGCAGCTGCTATAGCACTGGTATATGCTGCCAGTGCCTTCTGGGCAGAAACCGGCGCAAAATATCAATTAGAGCATCCAAGTATCCCTGGTCGAGATGGAGGAGCATTGTCACAAACGGGAGAATCCCTCACGTACAAGGTTACCTGGATTTGCGCCGTATTCCTCTTCCTCTATGGCGGAATCGAGGTAGCAATCGGAGGCTGGATTGTCGTGTTCATGACCGATGTCCGCCACGGTGGTGCCTTTGAATCTGGAATGGCAGAAACTGGCTTCTGGCTCGGTATCACCATGGGTCGATTCGTACTAGGCTTTGTCTCCCCACGAATCGGAGAAAAGTTGTCGATTGCGATATATCTCCTGCTGGCCATCACCCTTGAGCTTGTATTCTGGCTTGTGCCCGAATTCATTGTGTCGGCTGTTGCAGTGGCACTGGTTGGATTCTTCATGGGGACGATCTTTCCTGGAGTTGTGATTGTGATGACTCGTTTGCTTCCGAGAAATCTTCATGTTGCGGCGATTGGGTTTGCGGCGGCTTTCTCTATGGGTGGTGGTGCTGTGTTCCCCTTCATGATTGGTGCTATTGCTCAGGCTAAAGGTGTTGTTGTGTTGCAGCCTATTCTGCTTGCGATGCTGGCTGTGTCTTTGGGCATTTGGGCAATGCTTTTCCGGATTCCTCGTGAGATCTCTCACCAAGTCTGAGTAGACACCAAGTCTGAGTAGAATGAAAGGAACAGAGGAATATTAGTTGAAAAACAGTCATATATGTTCCTGTGTAGTACAATTGGACTTTCATGTATCGCAACACTTCCATGACAATCCAATTCTTCCCTTGCCAGGTTGTGTACAATAGGTTAAGTTTGTATACAGTGCCACAGATCAGGTCTTGAATAGTCTGCTCAGAAATCTTCGAAGCGAGTATAGCGTTTCATGCAGTATGTTACCTGAATCTGGTCTCGCTTTCTCGATTTTCTTCACCGTTTTGTGCTTGTTTCCAAGTGATTCAGTTCAGAACGCATGGTGTTTTATCTCGATGACATCAGGCACATATCATTGCAGGGAAATGAACATATTTGGGTTGAGACTCAATCTCGAAAATCCCAAAGCGACAGAACGCAAGACCGTGAAGAGATGCACTGTCGCGGGATCCAAGAACAGACATATTGGGCGGTAATGCGACGCGTTAGCGCGTCATGAACCTCCCGCCCTTCCCCTCGTCAACTCTCCCTCGTTTACAACCAAAGAGTTCGAATGTGTCGGCAGTTTATTCGACTGCTGCAGGGTCTGTCTTTCCAATATGTCAATTCCTTGGAAGCTGGCCTGGGTCGCCACACGTCATTGAAATTCCACCGATCGATTGTGGCGACCAGATCGCTCGCCCCAATCCGGACAATTACTCATGCCCCTACTTTGCGCTTCTGTTATAAACGCGTTGCGCTTCTCCCGCTGGCTTCGAAGTCCGTCATACCGTCTCGTACCTATTCACAACATCTTGGTCGAGACACGGATTCTTTGGACACCGACGAGATGATTATGGCTACTGAGCCTCATGGATCCGAGGCAAAGCCTGCAGATATTCTTAATGACGATATACACTCCCACCAAGCCGAGGTGGCATTGGACCCTGAGTCCGAAGAGGACATTCCTCTCGAAGCAGAGGAACTGAAGGAGGCCCTTGGACGAGCCCCACCAGTGAATAGCAGCTATCTTCCTCTGCCCTGGAAAGGAAGGTTAGGATATGTGAGTTTTATATCGAGTTTCATGCTGTGTAACACCCAATTCTGACCCAATTAGGCTTGCTTGAATACCTACCTTCGTTATGCTACTCCGTCCGTATTCTGTTCCCGAACATGCCGAATCGCATCGATCGTTGAGAACCGACACCCCCTCCAAGATCCCGAACAGCCTGCGCATCCGACCAAGAATCGTCCGGATCGGAATCAACCAGCCGATATTGCTCGTGGTCAAGCCTTTGTTGAGGGTCTCGGTCTGACAAATGCGCGTGATTTGGTCAAGATTCTTCGCTGGAATGACAGATACGGCATTAAATTTATGCGATTAAGCAGTGAAATGTTCCCATTCGCTAGCCACAAGGAATACGGCTATAAATTAGCGCCATTTGCCTCGGAAGTTCTGGCGGAGGCAGGGCGGGTGGTTGCAGAACTAGGCCATCGAGTCTCGGTTCACCCTGGCCAATTCACACAGTTCGGATCCCCAAGGAAAGAAGTGATCGAGAGTTCCTACCGAGATCTGGAATACCACTCAGAGTTGCTCCAGCTACTTAAACTGCCGCCTCAGCAGGATCGCGATGCGGTAATGATCCTCCATATGGGCGGCGTGTTTGGTGATAAAGCCGCGACACTTGATCGGTTCCGGGAGAACTATGCCAAGCTGTCGCAGGACATCAAGAATCGATTGGTGTTGGAAAATGACGATGTCAGCTGGTCTGTACATGATCTATTGCCAATCTGCGAGGAGCTTAACATCCCTCTTGTCCTCGACTATCACCACCATAATATCATTTTCGACTCTAATGCGCTTCGCGAAGGCACGGAGGATATCATTGGACTCTATGATCGCATTTCAGCAACCTGGTCTCGAAAGAACATCACGCAGAAGATGCACTACTCCGAGCCAACTGCCCCAGCAATCACCCCTCGCCAACGCCGCAAACATAGTGACCGAGTAAATACTCTGCCTCCATGTGCAGACACCATGGACCTGATGATTGAAGCCAAAGACAAAGAGCAGGCTGTCTTTGAGCTGATGAGAAACTTCAAACTTCCCGGTTACGAAAAGGTGAACGACTTAATACCTTTTATGCGCCCGGACGAAAACCAACCCTTTAAACCACCGAAAAAGACGAAAAAGAACGGTGGTTTTGTGGACCTTGAGGGCTCAATACCCCCGCCTCGCACCATTTCTGAGGAAGACCTCAGTATGGGTGGTCCTGAGGGCAGGGTCTACTGGCCCCGTGGCATGGAAGAATGGCTCAGGCCCGCGAAGAAGGTTGTTAAGCCCAAGGCAGCCCCAAGCCCGAAGAAAAGCACACCGAAGAAGGTGAAGACCGAGTGCATTGCAGACGATGTACCTCTCGACGCAGCCAAGACAGAAACCCCTAAGAAACCCAAGGCTGCCAAGCGCACGACTCCGTCTAAGGCTCGTGGCAAGCGCAAGGCTTCGGAGATCGAGTCGACCCCTGAGCCCGAGGGGTCTATCGAAAGTTCCGCAGATATGGACAATGCTCAAACTGGAGAATCACTTTCTCGGCGGAGTTCACGTGCGAAGAAGGTGAATTACACCGAGGACAGTGCTTAGTTGACTGGCTCTGTCTAGAATATTGTACGATAAAATTTACTTGTAGAATAACATGCACCAATATCGCTACATATGGCTCTGAAATCCGTCAATCTTCATAGTAAAAAAAAAGTCTTCTATACCCATTTGTTGCTATTAAACACACCCCAATCATGCATATTAAGTGTTTCTTGTTTTCGACTTGAAACTACAAGCAAATCCTCCCTAAATATAGGATATAGCATCATAATGCCCAACTTGTCGAAATCTCCGAGAAACCTGAAACGAACGCGGTGAGAGGGGCTCCGAATAATCATCGTCATGGGCGATCTCTTCCCCGCAGGTCTTTCCGCAGCCTTATTCCACTTGGCTTTTTCTCTCATTACCCAGTCGGTTGACTAGATTCGCTTCCATCGAGATCCTGGCTCCCAAACCACGTTTCCGCTGGCCAAGTCTCCGGCCGAGGACTTCCGTCTCACAGCGCCCGCCCACCCTCTTACCTTCGTTCTCCCGTGAGCCTCAACCCAGCAAGTTCTCACGAATCCTCCGCCTGCTCGTTGGCACACACGCCAGCAGACGAGCCCAGTCCCGTCTCTGGGGCCTCCGACACGAGACCCTGCCGGCCCTCCGTCACCGGGCACAATCACGGATCTATCGAGCAATCGTCAAACGCCAAGCACGACTCGCAGCGCGCGATCGCAGACTCGGCGGAGGAATCGTCTCGTACCTTCTCGGCCCACGACGAAAATTCCGTACCTGGAGAGCCAACTCGGCATCCGTTATCAACTCCGCTACAAGACGCTCGAAGTCGATCCGAGCCCGTTCCGAGCCGAAGGAAGCCGCGAGAGATCCAATGGCGCAGCCGGGGCCTTCATCGACGTTCGGAGCTGGAGGCGCTGATGGCGCCGGTGCCCCTGGTAGCCGTCGCAAGAGGGTCTACGAGTACTTCAAGGCTGCGAATGAGTTGCGCCAGGCCTACACGTCTCAATGGTCCGGACAGAGAAATGACCATGATGAGGATTACTACAACACACCCGGTGCATTCCCAGACGTCGAAATTGCGCGATCGGGCGATGAAGAGATGGTTCTTTTCCCAAGTTACGCTAGAAAATTGACGGAAAGGAAGAAGAGCGATGCCAGCACACGTCCGCGACGTGAATCCTGGTCAGAAACCATCGATGAATACCGGGGTTCTTCCCATGGCGATGATAACGGTACACCTGGCTGGGATGAAATTGACACTGAGAATGCGGTCGTGGCCGTTGACGTGCGTGGCTGGATCTACGCTCCTGGCCGAGGACCGTTGAGTCGAAAGCACCGTTTGATGATCGCGCTGGCCAGGAAGCTAAGCGGTATTTCTGCGCCAACTGGAACGGCGAATGATGAAAACGACGATAAGGTCTCAGGCAAGGGAGATGATGAATATGTGGACAAGCAGGTGCAAAATCTAGTCGATACGGCTGAGAAGGAAGCAGATCCGGCTTGGAAGAGCACACATACAGAAAAGCCGGATGGACCTGTACAACTGACCAAAGATGAGCTTTCCATGGCAAATGCTCATCTCATGGAGCGACTCCGTCCGTTCCTGACAAACCCTGTCAGTAGTATGCCCGTCACTGTGTTCTTCTTTGATGAGAATGAAAGCAAGTCTCGGAACATCACGACAGATGAATCGGGTCACTTCCATCTTCGGGCCGCGTTGCCATTTGTACCAACCCACATTCGCGTGCTGGCATCGGAGGATTTGTCTGCTGCACGGCCAATTGAGATCATCGATCCTGTTGGCATCAGTTTGATCAGTGACATCGATGATACAGTGAAGCACTCGGCTATTGCTGGTGGGGCCAAAGAAATGTTCCGCAACACATTTGTTCGTGAGTTGGACGAACTCACAGTTGAAGGAGTCAGTGACTGGTATGGCAGTTTGGCCAAGCAGGGTGTTCAAATTCACTATGTGTCCAACGCTCCATGGCAGCTGTATCCTCTCCTCGAACGATACTTCAAGATGGTGGGCCTACCACCAGGCTCGTTCCATCTCAAGCAGTACTCTGGAATGCTGCAGGGGATATTTGAGCCCACAGCAGAGAGAAAACGTGGATCTTTGGAGCAGATTCTGCGGGACTTCCCTGAACGCAAATTCATTTTGGTTGGTGACAGCGGCGAGGCTGATCTGGAGGTGTACACTGAGATCGTCCTGGCAAACCCTGGCCGCATCTTGGGTATCTTTATCCGTGATGTCACGACCTCGGCGCCCCAAAGATTCTTCCAGAAATCTGTCAACCATCTTGATTCGTCTAACCGCAGTCGCAGTTCACCGGACGTGAAGGATCAGTCAGATGCGGCCTCCAACAGACCAACTCTGCCGCCTCGTGCATCTCCGTCTCTGCCAGGGGTACATATACCTTCACCGGACGCTGCGCCACAGGACATGGACCTCGAAGACTTGATTGATCTTACAGATCTTATCATTGACAACAAGCCACCTCCGTCTGGACTTACCCACCCTGACCAACCACGTCCACCTCCGGTTAAGCCAGTCAAGCCATCTGCATTGCGTATGGTTTCCACACCTGCGGACCTTTTGAAAGCCAGACCGGCTAGGCCTTCCGCGTTGCGACAAAGCACCACAGCTGGTGATATTACGAGGGAAAGCAGTCCCGCACCAGCACGTCCTTCACAAGAAGTTCCTCAACGCAAGCCGGCTCCTCCTGTTCCACCTAAGCGTGGATCTGCACCCAAGACCGAGTCATTGATTGACGCAGAGCCCTCGCCAATCACTCGCAGAAGCACGACTGGGCCATCCACAGCTGGGTCATCTACGACTGGAGACTCATCATCATTGCTCGGCAATCTCAACGATGATTCATCAAGTTCCCGATCTTCGTCCCCACCAGGCTCAAAGCAACAGCCACCTTTCCCTCCACCCCGTCGTGCAAACACTGCATCGCCAACCGCCCAGTCCGACTCCAGTGGATCATCGACACCCCGCCCCGCAGCAAGTTCCCTTCAATCCTACCCAGCAGCGGCCGCTCAAGCTGCATACCAAGGATTCCAATATGCAAGCGAGCGGCTGAATCTGTCGCCAGGTCCGTCTAATGGGTCACGGCAGGCTCCAGCTGGACCAAACAACGAATCGGGAATGCCTCCCGTACCACTCCCGAACAAACGCGAGGAGCTCTGGCGCCGTCGCTGGGAGCGTGCTTCTGAGGTCCTTGAAGACCATGGGGTTGTGCTGGGTAGTTGGCGCGTTGGAACTGATGCCCAACCTGTTTGTAGCTGGTTAGTGAAGGAGGCGATGAAAGATATGGAGGCTGTTTCTAGGAAGAAATAGGGTCATCCTTGGTAGATTACCTTTTGCTTGAACGTTACATGTCATATACTCCCATCGGGCAAAACCTTTTTTTAAGATATATATTTCTCTCTCATGTGTAGAGTGAAGGCTCACGTAGCAAGCCTCCTGGCTGGGTAAATCGCGCTCTGCCTTCTTGGTTATCATGAAGGCCGCCCTGTCCCCACCGCCGACCATCATGTGGGGAGGCGAGCAGAACGAGGTACAGTGGTGACAATCCTAGGTCGCTCATTGGCGCAGATATCAAATCAATTTGCATGTTGTCAATGTGTCGATCAGACTATTTCACGCAGTCTCAGGGGGATAAAATGCGAGTCAGGGCAGAAATACAGTACTGACATCACCTCGGACCTCGGCTCAATTAGAAACAGCGCCAACATGATTGGAGATTTACCAAACCTGGGGTATTGAATCTTCCCTCCTTTCCTCACCTCCCACCTCAAATATGTCGGAAACTCTCACACGCGCCGAAGTCGCCAAACATAACACCGAGGATTCCCTCTGGTGCATCATCGATCACAAAGTCTATGACCTAACCGACTTTGTTGACGCCCACCCCGGCGGCGGCGTCGTTCTCACTCAGGTAGCCGGCCAAGATGCAACAACGGAATTTTACAACCTGCACCGCCAGGAAGTTCTAGAGAAGTACCGCAGCCAACTCTGCATCGGTACGATTGAGGGCGAAAAGTCTGAAGTCATCGAGCCCACGCCTGGAGCTTTGAGTCCCGTCCCCTACGCTGAACCACTGTGGCTGCGTCCCCAGTTCAAGTCACCCTACTACAAGGAGACACACAGACGGCTACAGAAGGCTGTGCGCGAGTTCACGGATAAGTATGTAACCCCTGAGGCACAGGAGAAGGAAAGAGATGGCACGTATATCAGTCAGGAATTGATTGATCGCATGGCTGAGACGAACGTGCTTGCTATGCGACTTGGTCCTGGAAAGCATCTCCATAACCGGACGCTGCTTGGGGGTGCGGTTGATGGAAAGGAGTTCGACTATTTGCATGATATGATTGTCACGCAGGAACTGGTCCGGGCTAATGCCCGTGGTTTCCAGGATGGAAATATGGCTGGCATGGCTATCAGTTTGACTGCTGTGCAGCAGTGGTTGAATGATCCTCTTCTTAAAGAGCGGGTTACGGCAGAAGTTTTGTCGGGCCAGAAGAAGATGTGTCTTGCTATCACCGAGGCCTTTGCTGGTAGTGATGTTGCCGGCTTGAAAACTACTGCTGAGAAGACTCCTGATGGCAAGCATTACATTGTCAATGGAACCAAGTGAGTTGACAGACATTTGGTTATGCATTTGAGAATGCTGCTGACGGTGTCTAGGAAATGGATCACGAACGGCATGTTCGCTGATTACTTCGTCGTCGGTTGCCGTACCGAAAAGGGCTTCTCGGTTCTCTTGATCCCTCGCGGCGAGGGCGTTGAGACCAAGCAGATCAAGACTTCCTACTCTACTGCTGCTGCTACTGCATTTGTGCAGTTTGAGAATGTCAAGGTTCCAGTTGCAAACCTCCTTGGCGAGGAGCACAAGGGATTCATTGTCATCATGAGCAACTTCAACCACGAGCGGTTCATGATGGTCGCAGCTGTTGTCCGCATGTGTATGACTGTTGTCGAGGAGACCATGAAGTGGTGCAACCAACGTATTGTCTTTGGCAAGAAGCTGATTGAACAGCCCGCTATTCGTCAAAAGTGAGTGCGACCACCGGATCAAAAGCTCGAATTATCTACTGACATATGACAGGCTTGCCCGCATGATCTCACTTACCGAGTCGAACCAGGCCTGGCTCGAGTCTATCGCCTACCAGATGTGCAACATGACATACGCCGAGCAGGCCAAGCACCTTGGTGGACCCATTGGATTATTGAAGTCTCACTGCACACAGTCCGCCGGTGAGATTGCTAGCAATGCTACTAACATCTTTGGTGGCCGTGGTATTACCCAGTCTGGAATGGGCAAGGTCATTGAGATGTTCCATCGGACCTACAAATTCGATGCTATCCTCGGTGGAACTGAGGAGATTCTGGCGGATCTGGGAGTGCGCCAGGCGATGAAGAACTTCCCTAAGTCCATGTTGTAGACATCATAGGCCTCTCAAGCGAAGATACCAATATGAATTCCATATATATTTCAGTGTTCAGAGAGTATAAAATGGCTCGGCCAAAAATAGTCAAACGAAGTGGGGCAAACAAGCTTGGACGGCCGATCTTTGTTCCGACGCCACAGTTCCCCAAATAGGGCTAGTGCGGGTAATGTGAGGTCACCTTGGGCATGTTATCAGCTGCTTGTTGCCTTGAGTCTCCCAATACTTTTCCTCGTTCTGATCGAAACCCATACTCTGAACATACTCAAGCTACATCAAAATGGTGAACACAGAAGTTCTGAGTCAGGATAATGTCCTAGACCTCGCCGCGAAAGCTATCCAGCCTGCAGGCGATAACCAGCCGAGCCTCAAAACATCATATGAAGCTGTGGCTCTAGTCGGACATGCATCCATGTTAGCAGTAGGTTTTAGCCTGGTTGGCCTTGGAGAAGATCATCACTTAGGTTTGCGCCTTCTATCCTTGAATTTACACCAGACTCTGCTAACGCTTACAGAAACATCCACAGATACACCCTCCCTCCCCGCACAATGGAACGCTAATGATACCCTTGCTTTTCGATACAAGCACGATCAGTCATCTATGGAATACTTGCTCAAAGTAAGCCGACTGGGAAACAATGCCGTTGTCTACGCGCTAGCCTTGGGCGATGACCGTACCAGCTCATTCGATATCCCCATCAAAGACTTCATCTCCGCATCTGCCCTACCTCTCTCATCCTCAGACAATGTTGCAGGTTCTCTACGGGACGTGTTCATTTCACCAGCTCGACTGAGCGATCTGATCGCACTGTTCAAGATCAACGTCATCCAAAAACTCGCGCCCGGATTACACAAGGAAGGATACGAAGAGACCCCCCAGATATCCAGGGAAAGACCACAGGAGGGAAGAGCGCAAGATCCTCTGCGGGATGATTTTCCTCGACCTGCTCGTCCACAACCGTTTGATGATCCTCTATCGGCAGCTCCGCGCCGTCCCAACCCTGTACCAGACTTTGCCCCGCCTGGGTTTGAAGATGAGTTTGAGATGAACAGGCCCCCAAGAGGATACCCAGCAGGACTTGGCGGAGGTAGGAACCCGTACAATATCGGACAAAGAGATCTTTACCCGCCTGGAATGGGACCCAATGATCCGTTCCGCGGAAGCATGGGCCCTGGCTTTGGCCCCAGTGGCGGGGGGATGCATCCCACCTTTGATGATCCCCTCTTTGGTGGGGGTGGTGGTGGTGTAGGTGGCTATGATCCCCGTGCACCACCTGGTGCTAGATATGATCCTGTAGGCCCCAATGAACCACCGGTTGGGCGCAACCCAGGACCATTCGGTAATCGCGGACGAGGTGGGGGAGGATTTGGAGGAGGATTCGGAGGAGGCTTCGGTGGTGGGTTCGGAGGCGACATCATCTAAAAGTACTACCAACCTTAGTTTGATAAGTTGAATGAAAGGTCCTGACAATGAAGTCACCTAAAAAAAAAAACTACCCCCCCTAACTAGCCCCAACAATCCAGTTCATGTACAATGGCGTAGGTGAGCCTTGCAAAGTTGTAGGCGGTGTGGCTGAAGCTGTGGCGCTGTGCTTTCACCTCCCAACTTGACCTTCCCGAACTCCCATCTCTTCTCCCTTTCTCGTGTTCCCCAAGTCCATCCCCTTATCCCTTGAATCGCTCTGGGAAACTTTCCGAATTGAATTGCCATCTGGAGTGTAGTTTCCCCTCATTATTTCCAACCCCACGATACCTGCGCTCATCCACCAAATCCGTTGTTTTCTCACGAGACCGCCCCTCCCCAGCTGGCCCCTCCTTTTCAGCCAGCTGTGCACGCCGACGCAATGGATAACAACATGGAAATCGATACCGCGCGGTCCCCCGAGCCACACCACTTGTCGCCAACAAGCGACTCCGGCTCCATACCGACTCTGGACGGCTGGATCGAGAGTTTGATGACTTGCAAGCAATTAGCGGAGGAAGACGTGCGGCGCCTGTGCGATCGGGTGGGTTACTTTCTTCCAGACTCTAGTGAGGTCTTCAAATTGATTATGTGTGTGACTTGCAGGCAAGAGAGGTATTGCAAGAGGAATCGAATGTGCAGCCAGTGGTATGTTAACTCTCGGTCGGGTTGTTGTCATGCCCGCCCAGCCCACTGACATACCCGATAGAAATGCCCAGTGACGGTGTGCGGTGACATACACGGCCAGTTCCACGATCTAATGGAGCTGTTCCGCATCGGCGGTCCTAACCCGGATACGAACTATCTTTTCATGGGTGAGTTGTCGGTCGGATGACGGTGTTGGGCCCCCTTCCTAATTTTGTTCACCAACTCTAGGTGACTACGTCGACCGTGGCTACTACTCCGTCGAGACTGTGACTCTCTTGGTCTGCCTGAAGATCCGTTACCCCCAGCGTATTACCATCCTCCGTGGAAACCACGAGTCCCGACAGATCACGCAGGTCTACGGTTTCTATGACGAGTGTCTTCGCAAATACGGCAACGCCAACGTGTGGAAATATTTCACCGACCTTTTCGACTATCTCCCCCTCACTGCTCTCATCGAAAACCAGATCTTCTGTCTGCACGGTGGACTGAGCCCGTCCATTGACACCCTTGACAACATCCGGTCCCTGGACCGTATCCAAGAAGTGCCCCACGAGGGACCTATGTGTGACCTTCTCTGGAGTGACCCCGATGACCGATGTGGATGGGGAATTTCTCCCCGAGGTGCTGGATACACGTTCGGACAGGACATTTCGGAAGCCTTCAACCACAACAACGGCTTGACTCTGGTGGCACGTGCTCATCAATTGGTGATGGAAGGATATAACTGGTCGCAGGATCGAAATGTCGTCACGATTTTCTCAGGTATGCTTGCTGTCGCCGGATTGATCTGATGCAGGACACTAACCGGATTTGCAGCCCCTAATTACTGTTACCGCTGCGGCAACCAGGCCGCCATTATGGAGATTGACGAGCATTTGAAATACACATTGTGCGTACCGCTGCTGCGTATACTAAAGATCACTTGCTAACTGACGTTCTAGCCTACAATTCGACCCTTGCCCCAGAGCGGGAGAACCGATGGTATCCCGACGCACACCCGACTATTTCCTGTGATAGATTTCCTCATTTTTGTCCTTGGGAAGGCAACTGAACTGGTGGAGAATTGGGGCTGCATACGAACAGGGCTCTCGCCTACTTAATTCTGTATGGTTCGATGCCTGGCCGCTTGTTGATACCAATGAAAATAAAACACTTGCGAGAGCCAGTTCTATGATTTGTAGCAGTTGCCCAGGCCGGTTGAGTTGTTTGTGAAGGATTACTACATTATGTAGGTCAATACCATTATGTTTGAGAATGTTTAGATTTATCGTCGGTGCAAATGTTAGAATACGGCTGCTTCCCATTTCAAGTTATGCAAGTCTGGTCACAAAGGATAGCTTCAAGTAAATGTTGCCCATCTTGTCTGATCAAACATAATCTTATCAAAGGATGTCCATTGATGAATGAATGCGCTGTAAGGTATTTGGATGTTTCATGGGCCCAAGATAGATATAGACCTAACAACAAGATGGGCTAGTACAAGAATTTAAAATCCTGTAAGCTGATGAAAATTCATTTGAAAAATCTCGCAAAGATAAACACAGTTCACGATTTCTTGAATATCGAAAGAGGATTGTACTATACCCATACTCCAATCACGATCCTTTCACCGAGTTCCTTCAAGGCCTGGCTGGTCTTTTAGAAGTGAGGTAACAAAGATTACCCTGGCAAAATGCAGGGTAATTGAGAGAACGGAACCTAAAAAGCAGCCCGCAGTTAAAGAAGAAGCATGATAAGACCCTTGTCAATATTGACATGTCCAGAGTGATTCATCACGTAGCAATAACCAATTTATAAAGTGCTCAAGTTGACACAAGTTGGACGATTTTGAAAGATATGTCTCTGCGCTGCCTATACCTAACAGCCTTTAATTCCAGTCCATGCCGAGTTCTGGAGAAGATGAGGCAGGTGGTCCATATAGACATGCAATTGGATGGATCTGAAGTATAGAACGGGCTACACTTAAATGCCCACATCACATTTATGGTTATTGGTAGGAAATATTCTAAAGTATTCAAGCCAAGAGAAATCCCAACCTTTTTTTGGACCAGAGCGCATTCTGTAGTTTCAAGAGAACACAGCCGCATCTTCATGAAACCTAACGAGTTTCTGCCTGAAGACCGAACCCGAACCCGAGTTGGAAGTTGATATCATGCAGATCAATGAACCTTCCAACAGCTTGGCCCGCCGGGACTGGTCTTGGCAGCCTCCTTGCCTGGCCTCCAAGCCCTAATCCAAGGCTTGGCTTTGTGTAGGATTGCAGATTCCTGGATTTTCCACCAGGCCGCGAGCTTGGCGGCTATGCTGAACAGACGCAGACGGTGTCCCGAAGATCATTATTAAGGTTCCTGGAATAAGAGAGCCTAATTCGTATTCGGATCTAGATCTTGGAAGCTGGATATACTGGGGTTCTCCTTGTGTTGACAGAAGCCAATTTATATAAAGAGCATTGGGAAAGACCATGGCAATACATTCCTCACCAAGAGCCACCAGCAGCTGAAGACAATTGAGATCAATTGAATTGCAATTCGAATCCTCGCCCTGTTTTAAGATGTTGAAAGCTACGAATCTCTCCAATATGGCACTCTTTCGTCCCCAGCACAAGTTCAAGGTTCATATTTTGCAATTGGTGTTGGCTATCGTGATTATCGCGCTCTCTGTAGCCAGGCTTCTTCTCCCGGGTCAAAAGACGAGGAGTAGGGCAAGCACAATGGGACTTGGAATGGTAAGACTAGATTTATCAAATTGTGGTTAGGATGATTCATACTGACACAAAGTCTACAAACTAGGGTGTCAAATCAATCGTGATTATCCTTTATCAACTCTTAACCGAACACGTTTCTTCTTTAAAACGATGGGCGAGCCTGAAAGCCTTCCTCATCCTCAATTCACTCGAGGTCGTCTTTTGGACCGCCGTAGTGGTTCTGGTTTTGCAAGCAAACCTCCAAGTTTGTATAGGCACAGGCTGCGCTCTGGGATGGGTGGTGATTGTTTTATCTGGAAACATGAGGTGAGTGATTGAAATAATTGGTTGAAGGAATAGATACTTACACAGGAGAATCTAGTGCTCTTTCTATCTACACAACGGTTATTTCCTATCTGGACTTTCGTTACCACAAGAAAAACGGTCAGCATCGAGGATCCACAGAAAAGGGAGCGCTCCCGCTGCATAGCATAAGTGATTTGAGTGATGGGTTGAGAAATTGATCTTCCAGGCCAAGTTCACCAAGGCATTGAATTGTATCGTCGCGTTCTTGGTATGAGTGCTCGCGGCATTTGGGGTTCACAGGATTGTTGAAGCTCCACAAGATCTATTTAGTAGAGGATTAGATTTTTGATATGATAGCGTATTACAACATGAATTAAATTACACTTCTATAATATGCAAGGCAATATAAGTAAAGAGTAGAAAGATATAAACGCAGCTCCCATATTTTTTCGCGCTCATTTTGGCTCGGCCAAGTCCCGGGACACACTGCTGTTCCGGCTCTCGATATCTTGTTCGCCTTGCGCCTGAAGCGTGTTTGCACCTTCTTCAGTCCGGAAGTCTTTCTCGTTATCGTTCGGTCCTCTGTAGTGACGGACCTTCGAGCTTCCGTTCGGAACCCAGAACCTTTGGTCTACACGGCCAACGAAGAAGATAGCGACGACACAGATATCGAGGCTGAAATTGAAGATGTAGAAGCATGCCTTGCTTTGATACCAAGCAGGGTCTGTGATCATGCGAGGAGGCATCCAGGAGGTACCAGCGCGGAAGGAGGCGCCGAGGCAAAGTAATGAGCCAGTAAGAGTAACAATGAACACCTTGGCAATCCAACTGCCAGAGCCGAACTCTTCGATTCGCTTTCTGTTCGGAGAGAGAACAACAAGCAGAACCAGTGGGAGAGGGAGGAATGCGATGACGGAGAAGTATGTGACGCCGTAGAGTAGAACATCACGGTCGATGCGCAGGGTATTCGGGTTGAGAGAATACGAGGTCTGGATAACCACCGTGATAACCATGATAATGGTCAACGCGACAAGACCATAGAGAGTCTTGAATGCCCATGATACCGCACGCGACCAGCCGATCTCGGGATAGACAGCCCGCACCATACGCTGAGCGTAGAGCAAATTCAAGATGAATAGCAACAGCACACCGGCCGCAACGAAGATCTGCGACGCAATGGCGAGTTGGACATTTGTGATTCGGCAGGTCCAAGCAATGCGAATCACATTGGCGACTATTCGAGACATGCAGAAACCGAACGTTACGGCGGATGGGACGAACTTGTGTCCTCGTGCGAGGTTGCGGCGGTATAGGGTCATGTGGCAGGCGGCGCCGGCGATGAACAGGGCGAGGAAGACGGCGCATATTGGAACATCGACGGAGACTGTTGGGCGACCTCCTAATTGGGCTACCCTTGATGCATGTGGCCCTCCCATATTTGACAGTGGATTGTGTAGGACTCGATGTAGGGCACGCGGCCGAGGGGGGAACTATAGGGTTTGTGGCGGATAGTATGAAACGGAGCGGTTTGCTGCGGCTGATGGAGGTTGAGAAACAAATGAAAAGTCAAGAGAGTGTTGCATTCGTGGACTGGCAATACAAATGTAGAGATCAAGAGGCGTATATCAACTAGTCTATATACCAAGCCCTTCGGTCAGCCATAACAAGGAATCCCGTGCCCGAGATTATTCCAGAAGCCGGAGAAACAAATGACCAACATGAGCAGGCCCAAGTCTGCAGATCTCGCTGTTTTCAACATGATTTGACTCTGCCCACCCTGTCTTCGGGGCAACTCAGAGCGCACGAGTGTGTTGTGGCTTTCGGGGTCGGCGACTGTCGCTCTCCGGAAGAATGGACGCCGGACGCCGAAACCCCGACCCCCGATGGGATCAACCGCAAAGAGTTGCATGTTCCAATGTTGAATAGGGAGAGATTTCAATAGTTCATCGGGTATGAAAGAAGATCAAGATATAGTTCTGTTCTGGGTTTTGAGAGCTAGAATTGGAAAACGAGTCACTGGACTGGATTTCCATTCGGGCTCTCCTGTGGCTGACACGCGCATGTTGTATTGACGCCTTATCAAGGGTGAGCTTGCTATGTGAGCTTTGTTTCGGCTATTGACTCCTCTTGTTCAAGTCAGCTCGAGCTGAGACTTGGTATCCTTGCTAGGAGTATGCCCAACGCCTTCAATTTCGTTGCCATGACCTGTATGATGTCGATCCTTGCTCACACCGAGGCTCATATTGCATTGGATTAATAGACTCACAACACCTGCAAGTCTGAATGCAGTACTTGATACCACATCAAGGTTCAAAACAGGTTCGTTGATATCGCGTTACCTGACCGAAGTGAAGGTTGCGCGCAGTCCACGGGTGTCATTGAACGCTGACTCACAGCCACATGTATGGCTTATTCCTTTGTTGTCATTCAAACCTTGGATGCTGACATCCTTGACTGTGCGTTGGTCCGAGATATCGTGCAAGCAATTGTCTTTGCGAACCTCGGCTTTTGAAAAATGAAGTATGGTCTTCTTATGCGAACGTGCAAAATGTCCGATGGCATCCCGAAACCAGAATCAAAATTCGTGACCAGATAGTACACTGCTCAGATGACACCCAAAAGGAATATATCCCTGGGCTCGATAGCTGGAAAGCAGGGGGTGGTCGATCATTTACAGACATGCACAAAAATTTGCCGATGAGGGAGTGCTGGATCCTGTCTCTTCTTTAATAGAGATGAGGGAGATTGTGCGAATGCCGATTGGCTATTTTCCACACTCACTTATCAATTAATTGCCCAGAGATCCGCCTTGGCTCCGAAGATCTAGATGTCAATGGAAGAGACCCGGAAATTATGAAAGATATCTGCCAAGCCATTTTGAGCATTCGATCCTGAAGTCCCTAGTGGGGTTAGACTATGGTCAGCATATGGGACTCAAGATATTCGAGGTGTTGTGCTTCTGATTGACAATTTCGACGAATGTGAATGTAAAGATGATATCCGAATGCTTCACTTGTCCTTTTGTGAATTCACCGTTGACCCCGAGAAGCATTCTAGCAATCAAGTTTCAATCAACGACAAGGAAACGCATATGATACTTGCCAGTCAACGTGTGCAACTGTTTTGCAGTGAAAACCACTTAAATGAACTTAGATGAAGATATCTGCAGCCTGAAATGTTTCTCTAAAGCGACAAGTCAGAGATGAAACCTATTTCTGGTAGCTTTAATAATCGCTAGTAAATTCAAGGAAGGCTTACCTTAGGTGCCAGAGTAAGTTCTCTGGAACTTACTCTTGTATATTCTAATACGAGTGACAAGGTAAAACATAAGTTATATTTTGAGAATTGCTAATCAATCTCCAACTACCAGGAGCTTTTAGTCTTGGCTGGCTGCTGTGAAGACGATTCATATTCCACAACCACATCGTCTGTCCGACGAATATGTCCCATTGAGTAAGTATCCCGTTTCCCAGGCCCGTTCGTAGGAAGTATACTTTCTTGGCTATCTTTACCTGTCACAGTGCCAAGATTGGTGAACCCCAGCTCATCCTTTCCCATTGCATTTGAATGTTTGTTACGGTTATAAGAGGAGGGAGGGAAACTATCGCTTCCTTTATAGTGACCGCCTTTTCCTTGGCTGTAGGAGCCGAACACTCGTTTTCCGAGCATTATTTCGAGGAGGGGTTGGAGGGTAGGGATGCAGGATGCTATGACGACGACGTTGGCTTCGATACTAAAAGAGGAAAGGTAAGTTATAGTAGGTGAGGATAGATAGTTCGGTTGAAGAAGATACTTACTTGGTCCACATAACAAGGTCGGCAGTTCCATCTAGCTTTGGTCAGTGATTGTTGTGCAAGGATTGATAATAGGGGACTAACAGGTGTAGTCGGATTTGTCGGCAAGTCCATGAAGCTGAGTACATTTGATGATTGCCATTGCAGAAGCTCTTTCTCGCCAATATGGTCAGTGAAATCCCCGCGGGCATTGAGTCGAGATCCAATGACTTACATGGCACCAAGTCCCAGAGCAGCACAGAGCGCGAGTCTCTTTCGCAGCGACATTTGGAGTTTCAACAAAATAGTTGTAGGGTAGATAGCCAGGTATAGGTCCACGAATGCAGAAAGTGCTAGTTCAAGTCAGTACGAAGAAGCGTAGAGATTATCGAAAACGCTCACCTCCCGTGAAGATAGCATAGTTGATGAGAATCCATGAACTCTTGCAGGTCGCCTCACCCTTAGCTACAAGTGACACTTGCCACAAAGCCCGAGGCGGATCACACATAGTGAACAGGATAAGAATGCAAATGACCGAGACGGTGGCCGCACTTCCGACCAAAACCCACAGTATAGTCTTCTGCACTCGCCCAGGATTCAGGATCCGGTTCAACATGGCTGTCACAGCCACCTTGGGGATAGTAAAGGAGAGGATGCCAAACAAAAAGCTGATGCAATTGAGAAGAATGGCCGTCTCTAGATTTTCTTCGCTCAGATATTTGGCATGTTGTCCATAACCCACCATAACACCGGCTGTTGTGATACCGCAATATGCAAGGCCGAGTATCTAACAAGTCTTGCTGTGAGAAGACTTACATACGAAGTATAAGGATTGTTTATCTTACCATGGATATCACAATCAAATAGTCATCAATTCCAAAGTTTCGCAACAGTATCATCCGGATATAGATCCTCGCCGAGACGATGAGGGCCGTCAGCCCAGTCAAAGTCCATAGCACAGCCAGAATCTTGGGGCCTTTGTTATCATAACGGTTCTCATCAGTAAGTGCCATTCTGTGACGCTTAATATGACAGAACTCTGCAACGAGCTTAAATATTGTCACAAAACAGATTCAAAGGCCCCTGTCTAAGGGCCAAGGAACTGGAACCCACTGGTCTATATAAATCCATGCAAGAAAAGACCTGTCAATATTGACATAAGCACCAAAAGTTCACACAGCATAGGTCAACACAATGAATCCTTCGTTAGGCGGCGATGATCACCTTATTCAGTAAACCGCATGCACATCCACCCTAGACACAATATCATTGGGCGTATATGCACCGACGGACCCGGGGAATTTTCCCGCCTCTTGGCTCGACGACAGGGGCGTCAAACGTCCGTCGCAATGCTCCCTGCAAGCGAGCGTGGAGCCAAACTTGTGGCGCCAGGGCCCACAACGCCAACGGTGATCACCCCATGTCAGCACGTAGACTAAAGTAGTCGGCTCATTCCGAACATCGTTCAATTCGCATTGGCTCAAACCACTTGGTTTTATCTTGTGTTTGCGAGGGACCGAGGTAGGGATCAAGTTCATATATTATTGCCCTGTTCAGATATACAGCATCCAAAGACAGACACCTCACCATTGACTCCTAAAGAAGCGGGATTCATAATAGATCCCAGTTCATTTGGCCCCCAGAACCATCCCTGTTCTCAGAAATAGGTGCAGCTGTCAAGTTCGGCTTGTGGGTCCCAAACCCTAGACAAAAGTACAAGCGTCACTTTTTTGGGGGCCAACATGTGCAACTGACTCGCCGACCCGTTCATTTCTCGGATATGAGAGTCGAGAGGTGATAGAGTCACTATGGGGCCTTTTGAGTGTATTTTATATGAGATAAATGTCCATTGAAATCAAGAATTGGGTTGTCTGGAATGAAGAGAAACGAACGTTAGCTCAGTAACTACCGGGATAGCCAAGTACATAGGAATCCCATGGACCTTACAACAGACCCCTTATCCCAGGCTAATGAATAACTAGTCTACCACTGCTAGAGCCCCTGAGGTTTCTGCTTGGATTTAGATTGAAAAAGGCCTTGGACAAAGTGCAGGCGTTGTACTAGTCTGGTTCCATAAAAGGCAATGCCGTTGACCTGGAGCGTCTCCCCACCTCCTTGCCCTGGGACTGGCTGGAAGACACGGAAACGAAATGATTTCCGGATGATCGTTATCGAAGAGGGACCACACTCAGACCCGGTACGTATACGATCGTTCCATGGCTTTATTTAAAGGTTGGACAAAGGTTGGAGACAGTGGAACTTGAACCAGCCCCTGGGGAATCCTTCATCTACATCATTTTTTGTTTCTCATTTCCCCCAAAGCTCATATCAGTCCCCAAACTCTTCAAAATGACTAAAGTCACTATTCAACCGAATAGAAATATCCATGCGGATGGGGATTCTTACGCGAATGGCAAGGCCCATGCAGATGGTCCTGCTCACGCCAATGGAGCGCCTACCGGAGTGTCCAAAGAAGCATTCGTCGATGGGAACGTGGCCATCTCTGCAAATACACCTGAGCTGGTTCCCGGCTTAGTTGAACAGGTTGCCTGCCTTGGTAGGAATGCCAGCTTGCAAGACCACAAGGAACGTTCGGCGCTCTTGGACGCTGCCCGATCCCTTGTGTACGCACTCGAGACACCTCGCGAGGCTATGATTAGATACTGCTGGTCTCAAGTGAGTTGCTTATTTCTAGACTCTGATCATCCATAACGGTAATATCGCTGACTTTTGTTGAATAGTCAACATTGTATGCCGCTGTCGAAACTGGTGTCGACCTGGGCCTCTTTGCTATTCTGTCCGAAGACGAGAAGCCCAAGACTGCTGCAGAGCTAGCAAAGATCACAGGTGCCGATTCAGTTCTTCTTGGTATGTATCTCAGTCTTCACCCCCTGACTGGCTGCTACAAATAGTTGACCATCTCTCTCACCAGCTCGAATCCTCAAGCATCTTTGCGCAATGGGAGTCATTCTCGAAACCGGTCCCAACGAATACCGCCGTACAGGCCTCTCAATCTCACTAGCTATGAAACGATACAACGATGCGTATCCCTGCATGTGAGTAGCAATCATCAACCCTTCCATCATTCACCAAAACAACAATATACTCACGACGAAACAGGACAAACTGCATCACAGCCGGAGTCCTAGCCCTCCCCGCGCAACTGAAGAAAAACGGCTACAAGAACCCCTCAGACGGCAAAGAATGTGCCTTCCAACGAGGCTTCCAAACAGACCTCCACTTCTTCGAGTTCATGAAGGCAAACCCCGAAGCTGCCAGCCAGTTCAACAACCACATGACAGCCTACCACCAAGGCCGTCCCAGCTGGATGGACACTGGCTTCTATAACGTGAAGAGCCTATTCACCAATGTCAGCCAAGACGACGTCCTCCTCGTAGACGTCGGCGGTAGCATGGGCCACGACCTCTCCGAATTCAAGCGTAAATGGCCCGAGGCTCCCGGTCGCTTGGTGCTACAGGATCTTCCTGATGTGATTGCTCAGGCTAAGACCATGCAGCTGAGCTCTTCCATTGAGGCCGTGGAGCATGATTTCTTCACTAAGCAACCTGTCAAGGGTAGGCGATTTTTATCCTGTCATTTTGTTCATCGATGAGACTAATTTTTTATGTCGATAGGCGCTCGCGCATACTTCATGCACTCTGTCTTGCATGACTGGACTGATGATAAGTGTCGTGAGATCTTGACGAATCTTGTTGCTGCTATGGAGCCGGGATACAGCAAGGTGTTGATCAACGAGAATGTTATTCCGGATACCAATGCCTACTGGGAAACTACCAGTCTGGATATTATCATGATGGCGGATTTCGCTTCGACGGAACGCACTGAGGGTCATTGGCATAAGCTTGTACAGTCGGCTGGTTTGAAGATCACTAAGATTTGGACTGCACAGAGGGGAGTTGAGAGTCTTATTGAGTGTGAGCTGGCTTAGGCCATTTGTGTTGAAGTGCAAGGTGTATTTCTCTCATTTGATCTAGCTTGGCAGTAGATAGATTTGTTTTACGTAGCCTGTTCATATGGGGGTTTTTTTTCTTTCCCAAATTGACTAAATCTTAACTTTGTACTATCGCCATCAGCTCAAAAAGTATGATTCGTGGTGTTTCACCCTGCTCAAGTTTTCGAATACAAGGAATTCAAACGGTCAAATAGAACCTCGTAGATTTACTTATGTACATTAACTCTTCGGTCTATTCAATGAATAGACAAGCCCTTTGCCTTCTTCGCCCAAATCTCCTCGACCTCCTTAGCATGCTTGGAGAAATTATCGACCAAGCTATCCCACATCTTGGGTTCATGCTCATGCTTCTTCTCACTGTTCCAGGCATAATCGGTGATAGTAAATGGACGGCAAGACTCAAACATGAAGGCGATAGAAGCTTCAGAAATCTGCATCACTGGTGGGGAGCTCTCGGTTGCTTCTTTGAATTCCTCATAGGCCACGCCATGGGGGACCACTTTTTAAGAATTAGCTTTGGATCCCGATATTAAGAAAGGTTGTATCTGCAAGCTTACTTCCGCACTCGAATGATACACTGCCTGGCTTGAAGGCGTCTGAGCGACCGCCGTAGCCGCCGTAGATGAGACCCATTAGCTCGGATGCAGCATTGCGATGGTAGTATGGGGGTCTGTAGGTATCTGTTCAGTGTGTTAGCAAGCTCGATATATTTACCGATCTGGTCGACTTACGAGATGCAACATCCCAACGAGGTTGGAAAGTAAGGAAATCAGCCAACGGAGCATTCAGATCACGAGACTTGGCCGTGAGAACGCAGAAGATCGACGGATCAATATGATCAACAGAGATCGAGCCAACATTGACAAACTTGGTCAGATCGTATTTATAGGGAACCTGGGAAGAAATCAGCAACCTGCATGCTCCTGAAAGAAGGGGTCACTCACGTAGTTTCCATGCCACGCCACAACATCATAAGGACTGTGGTTCTGCAAACTCTTGAAGTATTTACCACCAAGCTTATAAATAATCTCCCAGGGCTCTTGCGAAATCTCGTATCTCGCAACGGGACTCAAAAAGTCCCTTGCATTCGCGAGTCCGTTAGCACCAAGGGGACCGAGTTCAGGAAGTTCGAATGAGGATCCCCAGACCTCGAGGATATATCCACGCGACGGTCCGTCGGGCAGTTGAACACTGAAGCGAATACCGCGCTGAATGACGACCAGTTCACCCGGTTGCACAAATAATGGTCCGAATTCAGTCTGGATATCCAGTGCACCTTGCTGAGGGACGATCAGAAATTCACCATCAGAGTTCACGAACGCTTTCTTGTTCATGCTCGAGTTTGCCGTGTAGACGTGCGTGGCAAGGCCTTCACGCAGGGTGGGATCGCCCGAACCAGCTACTGTCTTCAGTCCCGCGACAAAGTCTACTTCTCCACTCTCTGGAATGTCGAAAGGGTGCCAGGCTAGCTGGGTGGGAGAGACGTGAATGCGCGGGTTGAGCGGTAAGAAGTTTGCCTCGGTGTCTTTGTTATCGGGCATTTCGGTCTGTGATTGAGGGTCAGGGGATATGCAAAACGTATACAGAACATGGTATCAGGCACATACGAAGCCCTGGTGGGCGACAGCAGGACGGGCGCGGTACAGCCACGCCTTCTTATTGCAGTGCCGGGGCGCGACAAAAGCTGTAGCGGTCATTTGCTCTGCATAGAGGCCAAACCTCACATTGCGAGGACTGTTCTGGCCCTGAGGGATGGTGCCAGGAACTGCTTCGGACACGAAGCTGTTTCACGGTGTATACATCAGCCAGTTGAATCGCTCGATGTAGGTCTTGGATACATACGCATTGCCGAAGCCGGCTTGATACTGTTGAATTGTTAGTGTGGATTCCGGTCTATTGGAGATGGGAGTGAGATACCTCATAAGGATCGTTACGTCTTGTGTTGAAGGAAGGGATGGTTCCATCCTTTTGTGTTTCAGCCCAGTGGAAGATCTTTTGATATTCCTCTGGATCGGACAGTGAATCAGTTGAAGGCATGGTATGATCGTCACCCGATGGACACAGTATGAACTCAATAGCGAATAAATTACAAGTCTGATTTCTCTGAAAATGATTCAAATTCCGGGGCAGCAAGAGTCCTATATACCCCAACGCAACCAGAGCAAAGCAATCTGTGGGGTCAACACCGACCAGAATCCAACTCAGAACACCGACACCTCAGCCCAAAGCACCGCTCATAATTGGATCCGACCCTCCGTGGAGAGCGGCAAGGGGCGGATATTGGACGCATTGCCACGAGTTGCGTAGTTCATGTCTGGCCTAAAGAGGAGCGTCCATTTATACATCGGCAATGAGAAGGTCGTTCGAAATGCCGATACGACCGGGCGGTGGAGTCAGCTGGCAAGTTGACTGGTGGAGAGGTGCGAGGCAAGGAAGTGCAAGTTGATCAACTGCGATGCGACCAGCTCGACCCCACATGACTCAAAGCTGAGTAACAAATCTGTGGGGGAAGTTGGCCTCGTCTAGCGTTGTTTTACGGGACTCGCAGAGATGCTCAACTGCCGTATGGGCTGTCTTCTATCATTTTGTAATTACTTGGAATTGCAGGGGAGAACAGACGAGAACTGACGGAAAATGTACACGAATAGTAAAGAGACAACCGAGGACGATAAATAAGCCACTTGGAATATGCAATGGGATACTTCTATACTAATTCAATAAACTGATACGCCCGGCCGTCAAGGCAAAGACAATAGGCATATACACACTGGCACCGACGTTCTTCAGCGCCTGACAATGATCAACTCTGCGACGAGCAGCGAACTGGGCATCGTCGATTTCCTGGCTCTCCCCAACAGGACCAAATGCGAATCTCTTCTCAGGACTCCACGGCCCATCACCATTGACAAACTTGATCCAGCGCTGTCTCATCTCCTGTCCAACCATGCTCGCAACAGGATTGAACGACAGATCAATCCCATCAAACAGGAACAGCAAATCGACCGCGTGGTGTGCACGGCTCGATGGTTGCCAGGGGTTAGGCTGGTCAACCACATATTTATAGACACGCTTGTTCGCTGCTTGTAGCTTACTAGAGACTGTTTCAACAGGAAGGGTATAGCGAACATCGTTCACAAGATCCAGAGCTCCAAGCTTCGCAGCAGTCGGACGATCTGCCACAACGTGATACATCTTGCGAAGCTGAGTTCCCCATTCTTTGTTGCTGTCAAATGCAGCTGCGATGGTTTTTCCATCGAGAAGTTCGACACCGTTGCGCCAGATAACAGACTAGGCCGTTCATTAGAGAGAACGATACAGCCAAGAGATTGGATCTTACTCACCTCATACTCAGTGTCACCTATCATCAACTCCTCCACCTGTTCCGGTCGAGTCTCCCAGTCAGCCAAATCTGGCTCTTCCTGAATCCACATGGTGTTCACGTTGCATTCTTTCAATGCTTGGATCAACACCGGAACAGATGACTGTCGCAGTGATGGCTGTCCAAGTGCTCGAACCTTCTCTTCGAGCAGCGAAATAAGGCCATCACCCTTTTCCACCGGCAATGGAGAAGAGAGGTAAAGAGATCCAGATGCCAATACCGCCCGCTTCACTGGTAGACTAGTGATCAAATGGGCGTGAGTATAGACGGCGCCAGCACTTTCACCCGACAGAGTGATATTTTCCTTGACATAATCAGCATTGCCATGGATCTTGTTAACTTAGTTGTAATGTTGACATACCGGATCACCCCCAAAAGCATCAATATTCCGTCTCACCCAGTCAATACCAAGACGCTGATCTTTCAAAGCCAGATTCTTCTCTTTCCCATCCCCAAAACTGAAAATATTCAAACGGTAATTGATAGAAACAAAAATCAAAGGCTTTCCAGCCTTGATAGAGTCCGCGACAATCTTAGTTGGATCACAAATCTTGGAAGCAGCAGAACAAAAAGTAACAATTTGCGATCCGCCATGAATCCAAACTAGAACTGGGAGAGGGCCAGCGTCAGAGGACTTGGGGGGAGCAGTGATCTCCAAGTTCAAACATTCAAACTCATCCTCTGGCTCGGGGGCAATCGTGAAATCCTCTGGGATACGGAGAAGATGGCGGACATCTACATCCACTTGAGGGCATCTCGGTCTATTGCGGATTTAGGAGGTCATTCAATTTAAGGAATGAGGTGATGGCCTACCCGTATTTCGACGCATCGATCATGGCCCCGTTGAAAGTGTTCACAGGCTCGGCCCTTTCAAATCTTGCGGGAATACTGGCATATTGAATACCCAGGAATTGATGGACTGGGATCGTCTGGTCATTGCGTTGAGTTCCCTTGAAGGTGGCATTCAAGCCTTGGTGGTGGATTTCCGGGGTTGACATCATGTAGTATGTAGTATACAGAAGTATATGGAGTTAACGTGTAGAGGAAATGTATAGGGCTCACGGCTAATGTCGAGTCACCAATTCCCGAGGTCCAAAATTGGTTACATGGGGAATGTGGAGAATGTGGGGTTCGGATGGATGTGAGAGATTTCTTGGTGTTTACTGTACAGTACATAGACTCTGCGCTATTCATGCATAGACAGTATTAGTTCCAGCTAGGCAGGATCCTCGGTGATTGGAGTATCTTCAGACGGCTTCGGCTTCCGTAGAATCCATCCACCCAAGAACAGAAAGACTGGAACTGCCGAGACACCAACACAGAGTCCCAGAGCCCAGCCCATAGTGCCCCAGCCCGCCTCCTGTCGAATAAAACCAGCAAAGAACGGCCCAATCAGACTCCCCGCCGCGAATCCCATATTCGAAAGACCAAAAGCCAAAGCCATAGCCCCGCCGCGGCCGAAGATATCAGGAGTTTCATCTTCCTTTTCTTGCACGGCGTAGAACACTTCGGCCACGATAGGAGGCATGGCAATTGCAAAGCAGAGACCGACGAGAGCAAGAAGCGCACACAGTAGAATCTTGTGCTGCATGGTGTTATCCGTGACGAGACGCAGCAGTGTCATCACGGGAACAGAGGCGAGGAAGACTCCTGCGGTCATGTAGCGGGATGCCCGGGGGAATTTGTCAATGACGAATCCCGTAACGGGATCCAGGATGTGGGGGACCATGAGTGGGATGAAGATTAGTCCTTGGCCGGTCTGCTGCCAATTGAATGTTTCTTGTACATAGAGTGGCAGGACACTGTCGAAAGAGGTCAGGACCAGGGATATGATAAAGTATCCCCAGAGGGAGACGATAAGACGGGGTGATTTCAGTAGAGTGCCGACACGATGCAGCGCACTTCGCGAAGGAGGTGACTTGGGCGAGACATCGGTATCCGATATGTTGGAAGCGGACGAGCTCTGCGTATGCTTCGTTTCTTGTTCGGTAGTTTCCTTTCGATTCGCAGACACGGGTCTCTCCGGCGCAAGCCATTTAATCGCATGTCGACGTTCAATGAGGATAACCCGGAGGAAGATATCAACTCCAATGAGACCAAAGGCAAGACCGAAAACAGCATAGTATCCACCGTTTTGATACACAACACCACCAAGCAAAGGTCCAGCCAACGTCCCAACACTAATCCCCATAGACACATACCCAATAGCCTGGCCAAGATCCTCCTTGCCAACAGTATCAACCATCAGCGCCAGACCAACCGACCAAACCACAGCAGCAGCAGCACCTTGAAACACACGACCAGCAATCCACAAGCCAATATTCGAGCCGACGCACAACAGCGCCGTCGCAGCGCCCAGCGCCACCAACCCAATTAACAACGGCCATCGACGCGACTCAGACCGATCAGCCAGGTATCCGACCATCGGCGAGAACGCCAACAAGGCAGCCGAGTACAGCGCCAGCAGGATCGAAGTCCAGCTCTGGATACTCCCCTCCGACAGCCCCACTCTATCATGCAGGGCCGTCGGCGTCACCGGGACGATCAGTCCATACATGAAGATATCCGTCGCCGCCGCGAACGAGACAACAAACATGATGAACCATTTGGACGATCGCAGCTCAACGAATCGTGGCCGTGTCGCGCTTTGAGAGGGCCATAGGCCCATTGCAGGAGAGATAGGAGGCGAAGATCGAGTGCGGGTCAACTTGCCACATCAGATGCAAGGCGCGTTCTGGAATGTCGGAGATTTATGTACTGTAGAATGAATGGGGGGGGGGGGAAATTGGGCGCTGCGTCTGGATGAAATAAAAAAAATGCTCTTCGACATGGCCGATATGAAATCTCTTGTTCTTGTTCTCGCATTTCATCTCCGCTCGGAGTCCGCGGATCCCGAGGATGATCGGGGCTTGAAGGGTTTCACTATATGGTTTGATAATGGGGTTTAGTATTCTCATCTTGACACGTGCAGTTCTGGTCGTTGCCGGTCTGGATGCAAATGGCTGAAGTGCACATATTGCATTTACTGTAAACCTGGTGCGATGTTGAATCGCTTCTCCGAGTCAATGCCTAAAGCATACAAGCAGCGGGCTGAGAATCCGAGCCGCTAACAGGACTTCTTATATCGGGTCACAGAGGATAGGGCACTCCTATAACTTATACTGTAGACAGCAGAGTCCGATGATCTGATTCACGGCGTGAATGCACATGTCCACGCGGAACATGGGATGTATTTTCAACCCGGCGGTTGTAATTAATATCTATACAGCAACAATCTATAAAAACAAAAACACCAAAGCACTGCAATCAAATCACAGACGAGCCTTGGTTGCTTGCTTCTTCAGCATGGCCTTCAGCATCTCCTTGACCTCCCTGCGCAAAATTTTGCCGCTGGGACTCTTGGGAACCTGATCAATGACAATGATACCACCACGCAAGCGCTTGTGGTTCGCCACGCGCTCATTCAACCAAGCATGGATGCCATCCACAACAACCTTCTGCTCACGGTCCCGAGCCCGGCGGTTCAAAACAATGAATCCAACCGGCAGCTCGGTGGCGCGCTCGTCGACCCACATTCCAACGACGGCCGCATCCTCCACGTCCGGGTGGTCCGTCAGCTTGCCTTCCAATTCACTCGGAATCACCTGCAGACCCTTGTACTTGATCATTTCCTTGATGCGGTCGTGGATGGTGACATAACCCTCGTGGTCGATCGTTCCAATATCGCCAGTGCGGAACCAACGCGTGCCATCCTCGTCAACGTGGAACGCGCCCGCCGTGGCCTTCTCGTTGTTGTAGTAGCCCATCACGACGTTCGGGCCTCGGCACCAGATCTCAGCAGGCTGCGTGGACCCGTCTGCGTTGACGGCGGCGTCTTGCATGGTGTCCGCGTCCACGAAGCGGAATTCCATGTTCGGCGAGATGTTGCCGACGCCCGTGTGGCGCTTGTCCATGCGGTCGTTCGGGAATGTCGAGGCCAAGGGCGATGTCTCGGTCAGACCCCATGACTGCGTGCAGAAGACCTGTGTCTTGCTGATTTCCTTGAACTTGGCTTCGAGGGCGGTCGATAGTTCGACTGTGAGTGGGGCGGCGGCGGACATGATGCGCCGCACGCTGGTGAGGTCGTACTTGGACACGCGCTCGTCCTTGACGAGCATCAGCGCGATGGGGGGAACGACGGAGAGCTCGAAGGGGCGGTATTTCTCGATGCAGCCGAGGAAGACGTCCAGGTCGAACTTGGGCATGACAACCACTGTCGTACCCCAGATCAGGCACTGGCAGATGAAGAGGTTCAGACCGTAGATGTGGCTGAAGGGGAGGAAGGCGATGGCGGAGTTGCGCTCGAAGCGCTGGGCAGGGTTGCCGGATTCGAGCATGTGGGCGCGCCATTGTTGCAGGTTGGAGGTCATGTTCTGGTGGGTTGTGATGACACCCTTTGCTGGGCCAGAGGTGCCGGAGGAGAAGCAGACGAAGGTTGGCTGGGTAGCTGCCTCGGAGGGACTGATCGAGAGCAGATCAGCTTCGGCGAAGGTGCTGGCCAGATGTTCGCAAGTGACATCGCCATTGGTAGGTGTGCCGTCCAGCAAGATGATTCGCTCGACGGAGGTTCCCTTGGCTGCCTTCTGGGCTGTCTGCAACAAGGCGCTGTGTACAATGATGAATCGCGCACCGCTGGTGTTGAGCTGGGCGTTCAGCTCAAGGGGGGTCAATGCTGCGCTGGTCGGAGCAATGATACCTCTTGAACCAACGACTGCGTGGCAGGCAATGGGGTATTCAATGGTGTTGGGACTGAGCAGGGCCACCACATCGTTCGGCTTGAGGCCAATGCTCTGCCGAAGGCCATTGGACAGAGAGCGCACGCGCTTGATGACATCGCCGAAGGTATATTGCTTTCCAGAGCCTGCGTCCACATACAACGGACGGTCCAAAGGTGTGTTGAGAGGGTTGGAGAACAGGTAAGACACCAAATCAACAGACTCGACGTTGAGGTCCGGATAGGACGAGCGATAGACGGTTTTCGGCATTTTGCGCAGGGTGAACTGAACGAGGCAATGGTCTCAAATCCAATTGCAGCGATTCAACAGGTATAAGTAAACATCCAGCTATCAGGGGGACAAGAAAAATCGGCAGCTGGGTCTGTCGATCTATTCCATGACAATCTTTGTCCCGCAATTTATATGAGGAACAAGCCTCTGATTGGCCAAACTCAATCGGCGTCCAGATGTCGGTTAGATCGCTTTTTCAAGGCGCAAATCACCTCTTGTTGGTCGGAGGCCACGCTGGTGGTTCTGTGCTGGACTGTGATATCACCGTAGAAGTGCCATTTCTCTGTTGTCTGCCGGTTTCTCCTCCTCCTCCTGTCTACACCTGAGTCTCCTGCTCCATAAATCCCACTGGATGGCGGATCTCAGCCACGGTTCGCCGATCTCACATAGTCATTGGTTGGGAAGAGTCCACTGCATTGGTCATTGCCCCTTTCCCCCTTTTTGTGTCGCGACCCGCTTTCAGCCTCGGTTGACAAACAGAATCCAGAATCCACTGTTCTAACTAGAAGTCACCAATGCTAATACAAGGTCATCCAACTGCATGCAAACAACAGGGAGAAATAAAATAGACAAAACAACACAACCTTCGGCTAGCCCCATGACTAGAGTCTCTCGGACCCTGCTCTATCGTACATAATATACAGTGTTGTTACAAAAGTATTTGTCCTTGACTACTCCCAGATCTGACCGCCTCGTCTACCGCCTGCCATATCACTACTGAACACTTTCATTTTATCAAGCTACCTAACAGCGACACTATATTTCAACGTCCGTTAGCGGTCCTAAGGACTGAAGTACGCTTCATGGGGTAATTCAAGTCATTAAATGTCAATAGTGACATACTGGCTATTTAGTGACTAAGCATTCTGGCAGTAGCTGCCCTTGGCTAAGTACAGTGCTCTAGATCAAATACAGTGGGGTTTCAAAGGTTTTTGACCAGTGCTACATGATGCCCCACTTTAGAATTGACCGCCCTAGTTACCGCCTACCTTATTAGTACATCCACGTACTCGCCTTCTATTGCGCCAGTATACACACTATAATATTGACCTCTTAATTTTCCTCTCTAATCGTGTCTTCTATAGTACATGTCATTAAATAAGATAGCTGGCACACTAGCTATTGAATTGAATGAATTTCGAAGGGGTTGGCCGGCAGTAAATAAACGTGGGTCATGACCGAAGTGCCACTGGTCAAAAACCTTTGCAATACCACTTTGTGTGCTCCGTACACATCACGGTAACTTAACTCCGAGACATCATGATCTTTTTGGGTAGTCCTCGGCAGAACAAAACCTGCTCCTGCGTATGCCCAAGGGCCCGGCCTAATCAGTTCAAGTCAAAGGCGATTTTTTTCTCCCGAATCCTATATCCTTCAAGTTGTCAACTGGTCGAAAGAGCGCGATCGGATTTTCCGTCTAGGTTGAAAAGCCACACATCGGCTTGGTTACGTGGCGATGGAGATTGTCACCATTCCTCGAAAGCTCAGGCCCTTGCTCGCGTCAGTTGCCAATGACACCTGCCACCACACGCATGAGGCTTGTCGGATGATCTCCACAACTCGGAGCTTAGCACGGCTAAGCTAGCGGCCTGACCGCTAAGGGAGCGTCAGTTTCCTTGGCAGGGGCGGTTAGGGAAGGTGATGACAAGGATTTTCTACATCGTACACCTGTGTGGTCACCCCATCGGTCTCGATGGGCCATGGAGGCTCATACACAGTGGCTGAATCATTTCGTTCTCAGCAGATGAGATGGCTGGTTCACCCAATCGGATGGTCAGAGTTGGACCCCGCAAATGCACCCAAATCACCACTCAAGAGCTTTCGATCTCCCTCCAATGAAAGTAACCCGCTCACAAGAAGTCTCGGGGTGGCCGCCGCGTCATTGTAAGTTTGTGGGTGTCACCGAAGGGCACGGATATCACCAGCATCGACTTTGCATAAGTGGAGCTGGACTTTGGATCACAAGCTTTTTTACCCCCTTGGGATTGGAAGTCCCGATCTACGACCCGATCTCGGAGGTGTCGAGAATCCCCCAGTACGAATAGAAATCACGACTCTACGTAGAACTAAACTGTTTCAGGTAGGCCTTGGCCCCGCCCGCGGGTAACCCGTTTCGGGCTGACGGGGAGGAGGCGAGGCGGGGGCCGCATTATTGACCCCACGAGGGAACAAATGCTCCCTTAGTGGCGGGGTTGAATCGCTAAGCTTCACGTTGTGGAGATTGATCGGGAAGCCTCATGCGGGTAGATAAGCCTCATTGGCAGCTAGCGTTAGTAAGATCCTGAAATTTCGAGGAATAGTGCCGGTGTCCGACGGAATACTACCTGGCTTTCAATCTATACCGGGGGGGGGGGTTAAAATCCGGTCGCAGCTGCGTGAACTAGCAGGCTTTGGGGCTAACCTTGGAGATAAACTAAGTACCTAATTCAATTGTTTTTAAGGCTTTCCACCCTTCACTCCAGAGTGAAGGAATCCGAATTCCTTATCCCATGACAGCGACTTCAATACAATCGCCACGCAGCACGGTTGACCGTGCAGAGCGCCGCAAGAAACAGAACCGCCTCGCACAAAGAAATCACCGTAAACGAGTCCCCCTATCAAGCAAACAGTAGGCTTTTTATTGAAAGATTATGCTGAAAAATGTCTCACACAGGGAAGCTTGTTAAACAAAAGCTGGACACCTACGACCAATTTATGAACATGTTCGAGTCGTGTCGCACTGATAGTGACCAGCGCCATCATCATACCCCCCACCAGAACACAGGGGTTGAATTACCAGATCTCCCAAATGGAAGCATTAGTGTTCCACCAATAGTAGGCCATTCAATTACTTTGCAATCCAGCACAACGCGAAACTGAAAACAATCGCCTCAGAAACCCCTAGATCTGACATCTCCCACGACAACAAGACTGCATGACGATGACGATGTCGAAGAAAGCGGGACCAACAATACGCCCTCCGCACCAATATGTCCAGTTTCAGAATTAGATAATTACGGATTCGTCTTCGCTAATGAGCCATGCAGTCCCCTGCATGAAGCAGTTATGAAAGGGGACCTGGAGATCGTGAGTTTACTCATCGAACACGGGGCCCAGGTAGCTATCCAGGATAATTTGGGGTCCACCCCATTACATTTGGCTTCGAGGATAGGAGACGAGAGGATTTTGTCGCTCTTACTCCGCCACCAGGACGTTGCACAAATGGGGGTCACCAATGCAGAAGGGTTGACACCGCTGCGGTTGGCAATTCGGAATGGGCATGTCGGCATTGTGAAAATGCTGTTAAATGCTGGAGTGGATGTGAACGGCCGGCTCTAAGGTCGCTTACGTTTGAAAAGAATTCATGGATGGGAAATCAAAAAGCATGGATGGGGGTTGAACAGAAAAAAGAATAGAAGAATTAAAAACACGTGAGCTTCTTTCTCTCGGCACCATCGCCTAATGGAAAGATTAGAAGAATCAAAAGCGGGAATCTTCCAGGGGTACAAAATACGATGACATGAAACAACTCAATTCTGGTCAAATAGTCGCAGAATGAGAGCAACGAAGAAGAATATTAACCTGCTCTTGGACGGTGCCCGCAATCACAAGGTCATCGACAAGCAGGTTTATGTTCAACATCCGTTTGTAGACACCAGCAAGCTCCACTGCGGCGAGAATGGAACCGCTTCTATCTTAGAATGGTTTGTTCAGACCCTCAATCGGATCCAGACCCACCGAGCGCCAGGCTTCGCACACAATCTCATGAATTCTGCGTTCCGATTGTTGGTAGGCTTCCCAGGAAGAAGGATTCTCAATGACATGAGATGTCTGGACCTGGCTGGGATGGAATTCGTCAGGTTGAATAGGAAGTGCGGGCAAAGCGGCAAACAAAGAGCTTTGAATGGGCAGGTGCGGCGATTCGGGTGCCAAGTTGAGAAGAGCCTCCAAGGTCTCGCACATACATGAACTTAGCACGGCAATGATTTCTGCAGAGAACACTTGGTCGCTGTACATCAGCTCCAACATCAACGCGCTACCATCTGCCTGTGGTTCTGTAACGATCCATAAATCAGCCGAATCATTCTCGGCGGCGATAAGTCCCACGCGGTGATCCTCTTGATCGAGGTGTTGATGGTGCACGATCGAGCTAAATCGTGTCCATGGGGCCCAGTCTGTGCATGAAGTGATGAGACGATTGTATCCAGTCCCCTCGAAAGGAAGTGTTGCGAGGTGCTGATCATGAACCTGCTGAAGGAGGCCTTGAGGGGCATTGCCACTTGTGGCCGTGCGTACACGGACTGGGAGAAGGTTGAGGCATGGTCCAACAACGGTGGATAGGTCTTGATCTGAAAAATGGCGCCCGGATACCAGGGTACCAAACGTGACGTCGTCTGTTGATGCCCATTTTGAAAGAACGTAGGCCCATGCAGTCTTGACCACCGTGGCGAGTGTGAAATTCTGAGACCGCTTTTTTGGAAGTTTGATCTCCCGCATGCATATGGACGCCATAGGATGCTGGTAGATCGGTTTGCAATGCAAGACAAGGTCGGTCGGTTTGGATTGTTTGAGGAGGTCTCGCCAATAACTTTTCGCCTCTGTCGTGAAAGATGCATTGGCAATTTGCACGTAGTCAATGAACGTAGTAGGCGGTGCAATGATGGTCTGGCCCATGATTGCTTGATCCAACTGTTTAGAAAATATTGGAAGACTGATCCCGTCGTATTGTATATGTGAAACTCCAAGAATGAGTCGAGTTGCGTGACCCTTCTGACTGATAATGCTGTTGTCAACGATGAAGGACGTGCCCTATCTTGCATAATCCATTGCGTCGTGCTCGCAGCAATATCTGTAGAGACATGGCGCTGAAATTCAAGTCGTCCACTTGATAACAAAACCTGCATAAGGGATCCCCTGAAAGGAACGAACGCAGTTCTGAGAATAGGAGTTGTCGCAAGCAAGGATGCACACGCTTGCTCGATGGAATCCACATCGGTATATGGAGCAAGATCCACCCAGAGATGATTGTTCCAGCCACCTTCAGCTAGTATTCCAGAACAGAACATTGTATGCTGGAAGTCCGTAGTTTCACCGATGTCTTCAATTTCGACTTCTGTACACTGAGCATAACACGCTGTCCGCGTATCTTGACCTGATGGTCTTTTCGTCCTATCATGCGCGTCGTGCCATCCGGCATATACTGCACTAAGTCACCACTTCGGTACAGTCTGCGAGTTGCTCCAGACCATCTTTCTGGAAACGGAAGGTAGTGTGGCTCCGTGACAAACGCCTCCGCCGTCTTTTTCGGGTCACCTAGGTAGCCACGAGAAACGATACGACCTTCAACAACCAATTCTCCAACGGCACCGAAGGGCGCAAACTTGTTGGGATCATCGGGCTCCGTCACTCACAGACGACCACCAATGGCACGGCCGACATTCATAGGATCCGAATCTGGAGACACTGGATCACTACCCATGCAATGAATTGAGCTTTCTGCCGGCCCAGTCGATATGACAAGGTCTGTAGATTGCGCCCAGCTCTGGACCATCTGGCTGGTTGGGGGCTCTCCGCCAACAAGAAGAAACTTGATGAATGGCATGGAGCTCGGGGGGATACTTGCAGCCATGGAGCAAGTCAAATACGCCCAATTTGCCTTCATCCTTTTCGCGGCTCCTGCTAAGTCGTCGAGTCGCTCCGTCTCTGATGGGGAGCAAATGCACGCGCCTTGCGTGATTGAAAAGAAACTGTCGGCAACGCTGACATCTGCCAAAGGAGATCAGTAACAAATCTTGAAAAGAGGAAGTAGATGGCTGTGTTACCAAATGAATATGCTGAAAATTGCAATACGCGAGCGCCGGGGCCCATGCGCCATTTAGTCCCATGGGTTATGGCGGTGGTGCAAAGTGAGCCATGCTCCACCGCAATCGCCTTTGGTTTCCCGGTCATCCCAGATGTAAACAGGATGTATGCCAACGAAGTTGGCTCTAATCGAGGAAGCTGGGCGATTGACTTAGTTGTTGTGGCGGGAAGAGCAGCAAGTCCTTCAGCGTCGATGGCCAGCACGGTACAATCCGCGCCCACGACCTCGCGCATGCGATTCACTCAATTGGAGCTACACAAAACCAGTTTCGCGTCGCACGTTTCAAACATGGCCCGTTGGCGCTCTATGGGGTGTGCTGGGCTGGTGTTGGCGCACGCACCGCCGGCTCGAAGAACTGCGACCATTGATATAATCGCAGCCGCTGACTTGTCAAAGCATAGGAACACAATTTGTCCATCGCAAAAATAACTTTTAATCTTCTGAGCTAGCCGGTTGGAATGTTCGTGCAATCCCTGATATGTATAGTTGCCATCCCAGGAGCAGATTGCTGGCGCGGCTGGCTGTAGAGGGAGGCAAGGTTGAGAACTGTTGAGTAACATGCTCGAATTGCCGGCTGATATGATGAATAAGGCGATGGTCGAAAGAATCCCCGTTATAGGAAATCCTCAGACGTGTGCACCCAGTCCTCATCTGTAACGAGAAATGAGGTAACATTGCCAAATCCTCTCGGTTGGATTCTTTAGAGACGTAGTTCCCAGCAACGAGGCTGACCTGGAGACTGTAGGTATCTTGCCAAGGTAACTCGTCAAGAGGCTCATTATTGCCGATAGTTCCTCGCCGGATTTCCCTCAACAACATGTAGATATGACTTATGTGGGCTTCTATCGTTGACTCTTTTTGAGTGGTCACTGGGATAATGAGCCTTTTAACTCCTCTCTTATTTCCAGTTGGTTGAGAGAAATCGTTCCACTCCAAACAAGCGGAAAGGGGTCGCGAGTTATTTTCTGCATGGCGAGTCAAGAGGCAAAGAAGAGCCGCCGTCGTACATGGACCTGACGCTTCAAATGGCCAGCTAAGTTGGACGACGGAAAGGTTGCATTGATGATCTGCTGTAGCCTCCATGACTGCCGATAGAAACGAAATGTATGGGGTAAGTGAATTGCCACAACATAGTAATAAATATGATCTTGGAAAGGTGTCGACCCTCCGGCATAATGGTGTTTTGGGACTTGCTAGTATCTTCTGTCATCCTGTTTTACAAAAAATATTGAAGCGAGAACTGTCATCAAGAATTGGCATTGTCAGCCATGAAGGAGATGACAGTGATTGCTGACTGTAAGGTAAGCGGGGTGAGTGAAAGCAATTTTGTTTATTTTGTTTCAATTTTCCCTCCCCATCATCCTTCCTACTGAATTGAATTGGCTCTGCTCTCCTCTCTATTATGCAATGGAAGGCCACCAATCTACCATGATAACACCTGAGTATGTATATGAGGAATGTAGGTTTACGTTCTCAATGCTGATGGCAGCGCTTACAAAGGTCCATCATCGAGATACCGAAGTTCGAAGGCCCTTGGCCTGATTCTTCAGGGAGGCGCTTTCTCTATATTGAGCGAAAGTTTTGCTCAGACACCCATATCACTACTGCAAAACTATCCCTGCTCCATGTCCAGAGTGACGTCATCCAAATTCTTCGTGAAGGGCCACAGATCCAATCCGCTTTCTGGGCAGAAGGATCGAACTATATTGTCCTTTTCGAGTCGACCAAAGCCGGGAATAGTAAAATTTCTGTCCTGTGCTTAGATAATGACGATGCGCCGGTGAGTTTCGCGTTGGCTGGAACTCTGCCGGGCGAAGTGAGCGGGCTGGGAGGTGTAGCAATATCGGACCAGAAGATTACTTTGGCTTTTTCAGCGATGGCGGCATCCAACGGTGAAATCTATAACGCTAACGATGCACCACACTCGTGGTCCTCCGGTCGTGAATATACGAGAATGCCTGTGCGCACCAGTAACGCATGGATTACATCTGAAAAGCTATCGGTGTTTTGCACTATTTTGGACTTCTCAGGAGGTTCACCTTGTATCGGTGAATTATTTAATACTCTCTCTGAAACTGATCAAGAGCATAAGACTTTTGGGGGAATACATCTCACAAAACATGGAATTGCCGTTGTGGCTGGAGCCCACTTACCAAATATCTCAGAGATACCATTGGCCGAAGTCTATTACATTCCAATGGCTGCAGTGGTCCAACACGATCTGTCTGCGCGGCAGAGACTACAAACTCCTGGATTCAATGGGTTTTCCAACTCTCCGCAGATCTCTAAGGACGGTGAAAGGCTCATTTATTTGCAAAAGAAAATTTCATGGTTAGAGGATGATACAAGCCTTCTTGTCATTTGTGAGGGTCTTAAGTCTCAAAACAGAAAACTAAGGTTCTCAATCCATGAGCTTCGCCGCGAAGATGGCTCTTCCAAGATGCTGCTTTCTCCGCTAAGAGTCTGTTTTACGGCCGACGAGACCTCCGTGTTCTTAATCTCTGAAGACCGGGCTGAACTTCGGCTATTTCGTGCTTCATTATCCGCGGGGGATAGTCTCATAGCAAAGCCTCTGACTAAGGGATGGTCAATTGATGCTTTACACGTTTTGCCGGGCTCAGTTACATCCATATTTGTTGCCGGAAGCACAATTAATCTCTCCCGCCGCTGGATGATCCTGGACACGGAAAGTCTGACTCTATCTCCTATTAAGGAAGGAACACAGGAGGAAAATGATTTGAAACTTGACAAGACCACATTCGAGTCCATTGAATGGCCTGGTGCGGATAACGTGCCAGTTCAAGCATGGTTGGTAAAGCCACGAGATTTCGACTCTAACAAGCAATACCCCTTGTTGTATTGTATACATGGTGGTCCTAATGCGGCTTTCAACAATAGCTGGGCATCCGGGTACTGGCGCAATTGGAACTTCATCCTGTTGGCAGAGCAGGGATTCATAGTCGTGGCGCCGAATGCTTCTGGGTCGTCGGGCTTTGGGGCAGAATATGCTAAACGAGTGGTCAATGACTGGGGTGGAAAGTCTTATATCGATCATGTTAAGGGTTTCGCATATCTTCAGGCTGAGCTCCGGTATGTTGATACAGATAGAGCCATCGCGCTCGGAACCAGCTTTGGTGGCTTCATGGTGAACTGGATCCAAGGCCAATCACTTGGACGTCAGTTCAAGGCCTTGGTATCCGAATGCGGGTTTATGAACACTTCCACGCAATATGTGAGTTTATATATCCTCTCGACAGTTGAAAATGGTGAAGGCTGTAAATTTGCTACCAAGGTATGGCATTTGGCTGACTTCGGTATAATAGACATCCGACTTGATCTGGTTTGAAGACCATTTGGGTGGTCCCATGTATAAATCTCGAAATGGCTACGATAAATTCAACCCCATCAATCATATTGAGAATTGGTCAACACCTGCTCTGATCATCTCCAATGAACTGGATTATCGAGTTCCCATTCTTGAAGGCCTCGCGGCGTTCCAAATTTTGCAAGCAAAAGGAGTTGAAAGCCGTTTTTTGAGCTTCTCCGACGAAGGTCATACGACCGAAAAGCCGGATAATAGACTACATTGGTGGCATGTAGTAATAGACTGGTGTACTCAACATACCATACGTCATGCAGGTGAACGCACTTCGACTTGATTTGGCCAATGGCATCAATATTGTACCTGGATGTGACAATTTTATTTTAGTTTCATACTACATCGAAATTGTCCGAAGCGCCCCCTCATCCTAGGCTTGTCTTGCCTTTTATAAAGGATTAGCTCTTAAGAGCCCCTGATTAGTCTATCAAGATTCCCCGCCTTTAAATATAGCAGATTTAAATGCTTCTGATAATGAGGGGTGGTGTTGAGATTTATGGTGGCCGGCCATGGTTTATGCCATAAATGAGCCCATGACGGCAACCGTAGTGATTTATCACCTGGGAAATCTCATTAGGACTAGCTTAAGGCAGAGTTTTCTGGTATATAAGGAGATTCCCATAAAAATGAGAATCTCCAGACTTAAACACCTCGGTAATCTATTGTTAGATTATCTATATTGTACGGTCGTACCCGTCATTATTCCCTACTTGCATCGTAAAACTTTTAACAAGGATTATAAAAGAGTCATGATCATTCATTCATGCAAGTCGCAGTTAATGTTTGCAATGTATATTGATTATCGGAAAAATGAAATTGATTGATAAAAAGACATGCATAATGCATGTATATTCACCGTTTGTTCCTCCCAGAAACCATCATAACTCATATGCATGTTAGTGACATGGCTTGGATGGATTAGCTTCCCAAAGAATAAGCTGCCAAAAAAGGAATGAGCTGCAATCCCAGATATTCAAACAGCAATACCCTAACAAAGAATGCAAATAGAATTTTAGTGACTTGATATACTAGTGGTTCAGTATGGAGGGGTATGGGTTGCAAAGCAAGAGGTTCTGAAAGCTTTACCTAGGACAGTTTCTCACGTAGGGAAGCCCTGGGTTCATGGATAACTTGCACAACGCAAAAGAAGAATCAGGAGCGTTCAAAACACGCTTCAAGTCACAAACTGTCCCCAAGCAACCGTGATAATATCCGCAATAAAACCTTCAAGAGACATGGCATATTCGATGTAATCTAGCCATATCACCAAAGAAAAGCACGAAACTCCATCCTCAAGTAACAAAGCCCTCACGGCCTCTTAAATATCCCCCTCTCATAAGCCAACTCTTCAACATCCTTAAGCCAATGCCCACACCGATAGAGCGGTATATCAGGATACAATCGCTTGCCACTAAGAGTAACCTGAGGACGTGGGGGTGGAACAGCTAAGCAACACTCCTCCCGAAAACGGTCTAGATCCTGTTCATTGATCGTGGCAATCTTTTTTTGTGAGTCTGGGACATATTCTGGTAGTTCCGTTGGGTTGCGAGTTGGTCGGGGTGTGTAGTCCATGCCGTTGAGGATGGTCCCTGTGACATGATGTAGCCAGCCGCTGTCGGCGGTTGGATCTGTTTCAATGTAGATCGATATGTGGTTCCTGATGCCAATTGATTCGGTTGTGAAGACATTTAGAGACATGTCTGCCTTTTTTTGAATGCTTTGAGGTGGGTATGATGGGGAAGGTGAAATTGAAAGAGAACGATGAGACTGGCACGTGTCTCACTCGGTTTCTGAGGCTTGGGCTGGCTATGCATAAATGAAACTCAAGTGAGAAATACCATTCTGCTGCTATCCCAGTACATTTGATGTAGAGATGTGAGCCCCTTGGAAATTGACGAAGTTTCACCAGTCTTTCCCACATTACATTAACACTCACTACATCAGTTTCACTTAGTAGCAGTCTGATAGTATGGGCGTACTCTTCGTTAAAATCCGATATGTCCAAGATCCCTGTCTATAGATTGCCACAGTGTAACTGGTGCTGAAACTTGGGTGTATCTTTTTCTATGGATATTGGACAAAGTGTAAATATATCAAATGGAATTGCAAGGGAACAAGAGTCAGAACGCCTTCAGGCATATCGCCATGTATGCAAAATTCTCGTAAAAAAAAGATTGTTGATGCCTGGGGTATACCGCGAGTTCCAGCCGCTCATGATTGGAAGTTCATGTTGTAGCCACCGGTCTTGGGGTCCTGAACAAAGTTGAAGTTATCGGTAGACAGACCAAATGGCTTCAAGATACCATTTCCAAGCTGTGAGAAGTCAACATTTGCATCGAGGTCTGGCCAAAGAGCCAAGGGTACTTGTACTCACATCCTTCAGCTTGCCCATCATATCACCCATCTCCTTCTCCCGCGCCTGCTTGATCTGCTCCGGTAATTCACGCAAGGCCCTCTGTACAATCCTCTTATCATCAGCAGGGAGATTATCCATTGCAGAAAGCGTCTGGTAATCTTCTACAGCGCCTTGTAAGCTGCCCCAGCCACCAATTTGAGACTTTGCCTTTGCGCGTCGCATTAGTGATTTGGCCTGGATGCGCATCACATTGCTTCTCTGCTCGTCCTGGTCTTTCAACCGTTGTAGTTCTTTTTCTTCGGCCTCCTCGTCGTCTCCCGATATTTCCACCACACCCTCAGTGCTTTTTCCGTCGGAGTCGGAGGTAGTCTTTTCCTTCGAGTCATCCTTGATCTGCGCAGATGGCGGGATCACCTTATCTAGGCGATCGATGGAGACAGTCGCCGAGTCTACCGCGGCTTTCCAGTCCTCCATTTTTAAATAGCAGGCTGCGATATTACTATGCAGCACGGCGACATCGTAATCGAGGTAACTCGGGCATGAGGCAAGTGCTCGGTCGTAGCAGGAGATGGCTTGATCGTAGCTTTTGACAAGGAAAAGCTGATTTGCTTCGGATTTGATATCTTGGGATTCCTTTAGGAGTTGCTGTTGTGATGATTGCAATTAGAAAGGAACTGCGATAAATGACGAACAATTATCGGACTCACGGCTTCCTCCTCAGCTGGAAAGTGGGCATCATGGAAAACATCCTCATCGCCACTATCATCGGCATCGGCATCGACAGGGACACTGCGCTCGGGATTGGAGTCAGGCATGATGTGAGGAAGAGTTGAGACTCTCACTGGCTGTTGCCAAGGGCCAATCACGGGACTGATAACGAATTCCCCGCGTCTTATCGCCTGTCAACATCCCACTCGAACTGCTCTGAACAGACACCCTAGTGCGCAATGGCTTCCAATAAGTGAGTAATATTCTATGCGCTTGTGTGACATCAATTGACATAGTAAACAGCCTTCCCCGTATCCGAGCATGTCTCTTCGACATGGATGGCCTCTTGATTGACTCAGAGGACCTGTACACCGTGATCACAAATGAGATCCTCCAGAAGTACGGCAGGCCATTGCTACCTTGGTCAATCAAGGCTCAAATGCAGGGTCGCCCTGCACCTGAGGTTTGTACACTTTGCTCAACATTATACATACCCACACTAACACGATCCACAGGCCAGCAAGATCTTCCACGACTTCGCCCAACTCTCCATTTCAGAAGAGCAACTGAACGAAGAACGCTCCGCTCTCCAGCGGAAATACTTCCCTAGATCCCAGCCTCTGCCAGGTGTACGCACACTTCTTAATAACCTCGCCTCAACCAAGACAACCGACGAACCAGTGTACATCGCGCTGGCCACCTCATCCCACAGCGGCAACTACAAGCTGAAAACCGACCACCAGACTGAGCTAATGTCCGTCTTCCCAGACGCACACAAGGTTCTTGGTGATGATCCTCGCATCGGCAAGGGTCGCGGCAAACCCCTGCCTGATATCTACCTGCTCGCGCTGGAGACTATCAACGTTGAGCTGCGCAAAGAGGGTAAGACCGAAATTAAGCCCGAGGAGTGTCTCGTCTTTGAAGATGCCGTTCCGGGTGTGGAGGCCGGTCGCCGGGCTGGTATGCAGGTTGTCTGGTGCCCGCACCCCGGCCTCCTGGGTGCGTTCAAGGGTCGCGAGGAAGAGGTTCTTGCTGGCGCTACTGGATCGCATAAGGAAGAGGAGAAGACTGATGCCGAGAAAGAGGCTGAGCAGCTTCAGGCTTGGCGTTTGCAGGGCTCTGGTAAGCCCGGAACTATTGGAGATGGGTTTGGTCAGCTGTATGCTACGCTGGAAGACTTCCCGTATGAGAAGTATGGGATTAGGATTCCTTGAGTGGGATTCAATAGAGATAAATGGTTGAGATGTAAAGATCTAGACTACTTAGATTTGATGATTGTATAGCTGTGATTGATTTGAAGCGTCAAAGCATACTCATCGCTCAATTACTACATTCAATGTCATCTCCCTTTACCACATAATGGAATTTTTTCAAGTCTTCGATAATTTTCAGAGGAGCCCAGCTCCGTTTCCAAAGACCAATGTCTATTCTTATTACCTAGTGGTCTCATGGCTCTCATCTTGGGGACTAGGTTCTCGCGTAGGGTATTCCTTGTCATCAAGACCTTGATCAATCTCAAGATCCGGGCGTAAGAATGGCATAGACCAAACTTTGAGGCTGTTATCGACTTTACGAGCACTCATCACCGATCCATCCTCATCGGCGGATGAATCGTCGGAAGAATCATCCTGGTCGTAGTGCCGTTGCCCAGAACATGTAGCAACAACACTACCCATAGGGTGAAGAATGGTGCTCGACACGGTATCTATAAAACATCAGCAAGGTCCTCCAGAATCAAAGGGCTCAAGAAAACATACCATCATGGACCCTAAACTCCCAATCAGGATCCTTGTCTTCCGCCGAGAAAATAGGATCCCTCCAGACCCTCATCATCCCATCCGTCCCCCCAGCCCAGACCTCATGAGACCCATCCGGACCAGAAGGTACAACATCAATGTTCATGCGCTGATTCGTAAGAGCCTTGCGACCACGCAGGTGACCAAGCATCTGGCCAAGAACCCGGATATCATAAACCAACACACCATCACTCTTGCGCTCGGCGATATACAAATACCTGCCACAGGGGCTCCAAACAAGCTGCGTGACACCGCGGCCACCAATATCACGGTTTGCTTCTGTTTTCGCAATGCTAAATGTCCCCAGCGATTCGCCCGAGCCATTCGAGCTATAAAGTCCAATATTTCTGGTGAATGTGCCCGCAGCGAGGACTCCGTCTCCGCTGGGATTGACTGCCAGAGCTGATACAATGCCCTTCATACCGACGCCGCCGCCGACAATCTGCTTGCGTTTGCTGGGTATTGTTGGGATTGATGTGATGGGGCCTTGATTGCCTGGTCTTGAGATATCGAAGAGCGAGATCAAACTGTCTGAGCCTGTGAGGAAGTGTGTTCCGCCTAGAATTGATGGGTAGATCATTGAGTGGGGGGTTATGTATGCTTCTGTCATTGGGTTTACCAACGAGTAGCTTGCCATGTTTGTTGGGGCTAGGGCTGAGGAGAGGCGGATTGGATGGTCACGGACTGAAGATAGGAATAGGGTTGTTGATGGGTCCGTGAGGTTGTAGAATGGATAGATTGCTGTTGCATAGGTTGGTTCTGCTGAGGGAAGTGTTGAATATGGTGATAGTATGTGGGGTTGGTTGGTTTCTAGTAGATCTGGTGGTCTGTTGATATGTTAATTGGAGGACCAGCAGCAGGAGTGGCATGTAAACTTGCAGGATATAAGTTCTTATACAGTAGTCCGCAGAGTCTGTCAATAATGTGGTGCCGTCTGGAGTCCTTCTTGGGAGTGAGCAGCAGCCCTGATATACGTATACAACGTGTCTGGATGCTTACCACTCTGCGCTTCTGTAATAGTTGCGAGCAGGGTCCAGACCAGGGCACTTCGTCCCATCATCAGGCTCGCTGTTTATCGAAACAGAGGAATCTCGGGAACATGATGGCGAAGACTTTCGCAATAGCTGTCTCTCGAGTTGAGGCTCTGTCGATGCTACGCAGACGGGTGTCCACGGGTTGGTAAGCTCGTCTTCCATGACAAACAGCCCCTTCAGAGAATTACCACGATCGCAGGTATTTGCCTCAATGCCTTTTTCCGGTTTCCAAGCAACGATACATGTATATTGTGTCCTTTGTTCTCTGGCGAGGATATCGGAAAGAGTACGCTAATCCTGATTCGGATATTGTCAACAACACGAATTCTACAATTCTGAGATCGTAACCGAATGATACACTGCCTATCAGTAGCAGAAATGACCAAAATATCGTCTCTCATACAACCCAATCATTGATGCCGAAGTGATTATATGCTCGGAGCGGAAGAACCATATGCCGAGAAGCTTCCCGCAAATCGCGACAATTGCGACGCAAAGTATTGACAGCTCTTGTCTATTGTTATTGTCACCCATTGAGGATGTTTGCCCCAAAGACATCTGCGCCTGCCTCAGGTGGCTTGTCCTTAACTACCGGCGGCACCAGTTCGTTATTGTTAGTGCTCCCAAATTTCTTTCTTTGACCGCATGCTGGGCAACGTATCAGACTGAATGTCAACCCCTTGCTCTGATCTGCTCGAACGACTGTCCTTGTATCTCCTCGAGTGACAGGTCGCGTCTCTCAAGTTTTCCACAGCGGAGCCATTTTGATCTCACCGAAAAAAAAGCTAACGGCAAATCTTCTCAGCGGCAATACACAAAGCGCAACCACGCCCGCTGCTGGCGCAACAAATACTACCGGCGGTCTTTTCGGAAACACCTCGACGGCACCTAAGCCTGCGGGAAGCATGTTTGGAGCTGCAGCCCCTCAACCTGCACAGAACGCTGGTGCTCCTGCGCCCAGCGGTGGTCTTTTCGGCAACACAGCCGCCACACAGCCTCAGACTGGCGGCTTGTTTGGTGGAACTCCTGGGGCAGGCGCTGGCGCTGGCACCAACACGACTCAGCCTGGAACTGGATCCAGCTTATTCGGGAGCAGCATCGCTGCTGGTGGTAACACGAACTCCACCCTTCAGACTGGCAAGTCACCATTCGGTGGTGGCCTAGGTGGTGGTCTTGGTGGTGGCCTTGGGGGTGGTGGACTCGGCCTCGGCGGTGGACTGGGTGGTTCAACACTGTAAGTGGAGGGTTAATTTGATCTGTTGCGCTTATTCTGACAAGTTCCAGTGGTGGTACCCAAAACAATCAACAACAGTCCCAAAAACCCAGTCTCTCGGTCTTCAATACTGGTACGACACAGGGAACCCAGCCCTTACAACAAAACAACACCACCGTCGTTCAGGGTGTCAAGGTCGACCTTACCAACCTGCTACCCACTACGAAGTTCGAGAGCTGCGCCGATGAGATTCGCTCCGAGATCGAGGCAATCGACAACCACATTCTCACTCAGATGAAGTACTGTAACGAGGTCTCGGACCTGCTCCCTACTATTGAAAACCAGGGTTCTCTTATCCCCAACGACGTTGAATTTGTGCAAGGGAAATTAGAAACGATGCAGAACGCGCTGGAAAACGACGCCCGCGACATTGATGGTCTCCGCAGTCTTGTTGCTCGCGATGCGGCCGAGGCACAGGTTGCATTCCGGGCTATTGACACACTAAAGCTACCTCTGCAGTACCAATCCAACAGTGGTGGCTGGTGGTCTGTGCAAGACCAAAAGGCCCCCGAGATCCGCTCAACGCGCAAGAACACCCTCGCTCTTCCCGACGACGTCGAGGGAGACCCGTCCGCGACTACCGTCAACGGCGTTCCCGTCAATCTGGTCGACTACTTCTCACACCGCTCTGATGAAATGGGAGCAGTACTGGCTCGTTACACTGGAAACCTCAAGGAAATTGAGGACCACCTCCACGGCGTCGAAGCCACCCTCAACCGCCAGATCAACGACTTTGTGAGCTCCAAGTCTCGCGATGGACCTGGATCCACTGCTCCCAAGTCCACTGTGAATGAACTCGCGGCAGTCCTCGGGGATGTGGAGGCCGGTATCATGGGCGTCGCAGGTCGTCTCAGTACAGTTTCAGAACAGGTACAGGACATTTCCATGGGGGCCCTTGGAGATGGACGGCTCAACCTGTGATGATAGAAGCATAGCGTTTGATTTGTACACTAATGGCAGCTGGTTATCAGCACGGGAAACATGACAATCTTGACCTTTACCACCGTCTCCACTCGAGTTTGGAGTATGGAGTAGCGTAGAACCACCATAGTAACCATTCTTGGGCTTACACTGCCGACACTAGGGGTCTGTTATCTGATTTAGGATGGCCCAGCCGGAGTCCGAGAATGACCCGAATTTGTTATCGATCTCCGGCTGCAGAAGTGCCGTCAACCCCGGGAAGGCTATTCTAGACTGAGTACGTAAGCCCCCAGTGGAGCACTTGAGTCAACGCAAGAGTGGCGGGCTCTTGCGTGATCACCTGGTTTAGCGTGATCTCCCTCGAACTGCTAATCTGAACCTCCCCCTGAGCATGTGTATACGCGTTCGACGCCATACCGCTATTTTGAGACTCATGAAACAGCGGTCAAAATCCCTCCCCCTGGATCACAGTATCATGGACTATCTATCCCAAATTCCGATATATCTTGTTCCCATTCGAGGGAGATGGCAAATCTCGCCTTCAACGTCAGCGCAATGGCGTGATTAATCCGGGGAAGCGGGTCTCTTCAAGAATTCCGTGATTCCGTCGACTTCCTTGAGTGATTGTGTAGCAGGATGGCGCAATTGGGTTGAGTCATCGAGGAGATCTATCAAGAGAGAGAGAGAGTTATTTAACCCATTGCTGTCCTGAGATCGAAACTTTGTTCTATACTATATCGTTTACTTCCATACTTGCACACTTGCATACCTCCATACTCCAATACATTGCATTCTTCCTTGGTCTCTTCACAATGGCGCCATCTCTGATTGAGCCCGTCGTCACCTCAACCACACATTTCACCGTGACAGCCCCCAAGAAGGACTTGGCCGACAACAAATTTGGTTACCAGCCCGGCCGAACACCAGTCAAAACACATGACAACTATGCATACGAGGACTTCCTACCCACATTCCCCGATATCCATTGGCCTGCGCTAGAGGAAACACCCTACGAAGACAAGGGCCTACGAGGCGATCCCAAATTCCGCAACCTTCTCCGAGACGCCACAGGAGTCTTCGACCACAACCCCAAAATCGGCACCGAGGTCCAAGGAGTGGACCTCTCAACACTGGACAATGCCCAAAGAGACGATCTCGCCCGTCTCATCGCCTACAGAGGCGTTGTGTTCTTCCGCAACCAAAAGAATTTTGATATCAACGCCCAAAGAGACCTAGGTCGCTACCTGGGGAAACTACACAAGCACGCCACAACCTCCGTGCCAAGCAAGCCGGGCCTAGAAGATGTCCACGTCGTCTACACCGGCGACAACTCAAGCGACAACCGCGCACTGTTCACGCCCAGCTTCCTCTGGCACTCAGATGTTACATACGAGCTCCAACCCCCTTCCTACACATCTCTCAAGCTCCTAACCGGTCCGCCACGCGGTGGAGGCGGCGACACACTCTGGTCAAGCCAATACGCAGCCTACGACGTGCTATCCTCCCACATGCAAACATATCTCAAGGGCCTGACAGCCCTACACTCTGCAAACATGCAAGCAAACGACTCCAAGGCTCTCGGGCGTCCAGTCCGTCGTGACCCAGTCACAACCGAGCACCCCCTCATCAGAACGAACCCGGTGACAGGCTGGAACGGACTCTTCTTCAACCCTGGATTTGTAACCAAGATCATTGGGATTCCGTCTGCCGAAAGCGACACCATCATTCGATACTTGACGGATGTCATTGCCACGACGCAGGAAATGCATGCGCGGTTCTCGTGGGGCGAGGATGATGTTGCGCTTTGGGACAATCGGTCCACGAATCACAGTGCTTCTTATGGATTCACGCCTCATCGTCGCCACGCTGTTCGCGTTGCTTGCCATGCTGAGAGGCCCGTTCTGGAGGAAAGTGGCAAGTCGCAGGAGGAGGATCTGAATGCGCTTTATGGCTTGCCGGCTGTTAATAAGGATGGGTCTAGACAGTCGAATTATAATGATTGAGCTTGGGTTATTTTATGGGCATTGAAGGGTGCGGGTTGTTTATTGGGAGTTTAGTTAGCGGCTGCGTTTATCAACTTAGCGGAATTCCATCTGTTTCTTTTTTTGACCATTGTTTCATCCTGGTAGATTTGTCTAAGGCTCTTGCAAAACGCGGTTATTTTGGTATTACGCCAGAGTATCTTTGGTAGCCCTTAGTTCCAAGGTTCATTCTGGCCTTATGATAGAGTTATGCAGCACGAAACGCCAGAATTGGCATTGACCAGTATCGACTAGCACCGTTCGCCAACGCTACGGACTAGCATAATATTGCCTTGACTCGGATAGCATGACATCGCAAGCTACTCTTACTTATAGTCCAAGGCAGGCGGTTAATCAACCCCGTAAAGGCTTTCTACTGGGTCAAATTGCTAGGCAATTACCAGAATTTAATCAGCTGCCCGAACGTATACCATTGTCTCTCTATTGAGCGCAGATTCTTTCCTAGGGTTGTTCGTCACATTACAAATCGGATTGTAGTTGGTCTGGCTTACAGTCAGGTACCTGGAATATAGGATCAAACTTCACTCATGGTATTGTGCTTTAAACCAAGTTAAGAGATTGAATATCAGATATGATCACCCGCGACTTGAAAACGCAGGGGGTTGTTTTCTGCTTCACGAAGTTAGGAGCCGACAGTACGCTGATTCCCAACACCTGGTTTCTCTTTTGCTTATATCTCTGCCTCTCCGCCTCTACGTCATCCGCGTTATCTCCGTTATCTCCGCCAACCATGGCAGATCCCAACCCTAACCCCGTCCAAGCCTCGGCCATTCCTAAGCTTTGGTCAGTTGGCTCTGTCGAACTCAAGGAGCAGGCTGCTGAGGAAAACGAAGCTCGCCCGGCTATCCCTTACAGGGCAGGCATCGGCCTGCCGGTCCAGAAACACTGCTCCAGCTTCCCTCAATACATACCTCCCAAACAACACTCGCAGTATCTGGCAGATTTGTGGCATCCCTATCAAGCACAACAATATGGAGCTCAAGCCAGAGTGACCCATCATGGCCATCCTCCCAATAATCTCCCACCCACTGCTCGTAACCTCACGTGTCCGGACAGTCCGTATCAATTTCTGCGTTCTAAGGAACTTGAAGATCCTTTTGTGGATGTTCCTGCGAAGGGAGTCGGGGCTTCTTCTCACTTTCACTGCTACCCTCCTCCTGTCGAACTCTTCAATCCATATGTCAGCCATCCAGGTTTGGGTCACCTCGACCACCGCGCTCAACTTGAGCTTGCAAACATGAAGCGCCTGTCTCGTCGAAAGGTGATTGAATCTCCATTGGCTAACAAGCCTCGTCGACGGAGAGCCGCCAAGGTCCCCGAGCCTGCCGCCGGTAGCTTCAATTCCCGTGACTTGGGAAAGGCACCTCAGGGAAAGAGCAACGCCCGCGTGTCTCCTGACCTCCGCCCTGAGTCTGCTCTGCAACGCAGACCTCGCAAAGAAACTCCCCTAGCCATCCCTGTCTCGAGCTCGGCTATGCTGAATGCTACACCCAATCCTGTTTTTGCTAACGCGGATGTCAGTCAGCTTGACTTGAACAGTGTGGGAACTGTGGCGGACCTTCCTCGTGTTTGCACTCCTGGGTCCACGTTTTCTCCTGATACGGAAGCCTTCTTGACATACTCGGGAAGCCCTGGTTGGTCTCAGAATCTCACTTGCAGTGAGGACTGGAGCAACGCAAGCCTGCCAACCGGGATGCGTGGCCATGGAATTGAGAACTTCTCCCAAAGCAGCTCTTCTGGGGATACGCCAATCTCGCAATTCGAGAGATGGCTAGACGGATTGGCAGATGACGAGCCTGTAAGTGCTTTACAAAATATTGCTAGGACCGGTTACTAAACAATGTTCGATTCACAGGGCCCATCACAGGGCCCATCGCAGGGCACAGCCAACCGAGAAATTCTTTACATCCTCACTCTACGAGAAATCATTGAAGTCAGTTCAATTCGCAAATACTTACAACATTGCCAAGATTTTACTCCAATTCTAACCAAAACCAAAGTTGTCCAGCCTCTTCAACTCTGGAGAGCAGCCAAGAAACTGAGACAGTCCACAGATGGGAAGGGTTGCCGGGTCGCAAAGAATGCACACGAAAGGCATGAGGAGGAGACTGGGGAAATACTGATTGAGATACTGGAGGAAAGTCGACATGACGGTTCACCGGCCTCGTCTTTCAGTCTTGCAATACTGAAAAAGGTTCTAGCTCACATACTTCAGACGGTGCTGCACAGCAAGTCCGTCTTCTATGGATCGTTCCCATCAATTGTCGGATTAGTGAATGAAAGAGGAATTTCTATCGTATCTGCATCTCTACCGGAGAGGCCAAACTCTCTGTTTGTCCTTTGTACCAGACATCCTTTCCCTCAAGAGAGAAAGGCGAGTTACTTTAACAGCCGAGGCAATGGTTTGCTTCCAAGCTTGGACTGCTCGCATCCAAGTCAACACAAATATGGCAAAACAGTATTAGACAAGACCATTGGAGTTGTCAATTCCCTGCCGATATCTATGCATTCCGCTGCTAATGACTCTGAGCCGCCAGGTTTGACCAGTGACTCCAGTTCAAATGAAGCTGGGAACGCTAAAGACAATGTGACGTCTAGCGACTATATGTCATTTTTGGTTGAAAATGATATGGTGGTGCTTTCTCTTTCTCCGACTGTGCAGCTGGAGAATCTGTTTACTAGGCTTGCCTTTGACCCACCACCGGTTCTCTTCATATCAAACGCGTTTCACAGAGTGGAGGATCATTGGCTCTTTCTCAGAGACTCAGACTCCTGGTATCCCTACCCACCTAAGCTGATAGAGAGAAACTATGAATCACCCCTCGAGTTATTTGGCCCAGGCCCTCCAGTCGATGTCCCCTTTGATGCAGATATTATAGCAGCACCCAACACCGGCATAGTTCTATCCAATCTGGAGGAACTGATGGCAATGTACCCGCTAGGATATCAACATCGAGACCCTTGTGTCATGGGAATTGACGGCTTGATCTCTCCCTTGAGAGAGAAAATCTACCGCCTCATGCCACGCTACGAACACTTATATATTCTCATCCTCAAACCACCGCAGGATGAGCCTTCCGCACCGCACACCTCTTTAGGCATACACTCCAATGAACAGGTCTCCCTGCGACGCTTCTGCGACAGTTTCGGGGACTTCGCCAAAGCCACTGTGGCAATCATTCCCACAGAAAGAGGATCGATCGCAAGATGGGTCTTCGGAATAGGAAGAACCCACATCAACGACTCAGGGTTCATTCACCAACTGGACGACAGACTATACCAAATGACCTACGGTGAAGTAGGAGAAACACGCGCAGAAGTCCTCCTCCGCACAATGGGTCTGAACGCCTACGCTGCACGCATGTTACTGAGTGATAATCGCTACGGCTTTTCGACCCCGGAGCCCATTGCTGGCATTGGGTATGATCGTTATAACCCCGAGCATGCCGATGAGTGGGCTTTGGAAAGTCTGTTTGCGATGACCGTCGAGGAAAGACGGAGACACTATGCTTATCCTATTGGCGAGAAGGTTCTTGGGAGGTTTGAAGAGGTTCTTGAGTGGAGTGCTTTGCTTGGTCCTGGGAATTTCAGTGCGGATCTGGACCCTGCTTTTCGCGCCTGCATGGATGCAGGCGAAATCCAGGATGTTGCTTCCCATTGCACTTCTCTTGTCGGGCAGTATGACTTTGACTCTCAACGAATGCAAACGGATCCTGATATGGAGGTCACTCCTAATGAGAGTGAAACACGACGGTTGGATATGGACCTTGAAGATGTCAGTTCAGTCAGCCAGCATGGGCTGGACTTTCAACAAAAGAACATCAATCCGGATATGAGTATCTCCCCCAGTGAGAATGAAATGCGACAGTTGGATATGGATCTTCGAGATGTCAGTTCTGCCATGAGTGATATTATCTGATTATTGTTGTATTGTGCTCGAAGACTTCAAGGCTTGTTTGTTTCGAGGGTTCGAAGATTATATCTTTATCAAACTGAGACAGCATCATGCGGCCGCCCACTCATGTTAACATTGACGACCAGTATTCATATCTCCTAGTTTTACAAAAGGGTTCACAAATTACATTCCCTGTACGGCCGTTTCCAGCGACCTGGGGCTCTAATCAAAGTCTGCTGGTAATTGCTCATCAGTGCTGTCATTAGTAGAACTAGGGCTGTAGGATAGACCGCAAGGAGTTAACGATATATAGACGATGTTTGATTTGAACTCGAGGCCGCTGGAGACAGCCGTGCTCTTTATCTCATTAAATCCATTCCTCTGGAGCACCTGAAGATGGTGAAACCCGAGGCGTAGGCTCAAATAATGTACGAAGTAGCACATGCTCCTTGAGGATTCTGTGTAGTGTTTGACACTTCACAGAACTGTGGACAAAGTTATTTTACTGTGATACATGGAATGGTACAGTCGAGAGGAGATGATCATGTCTGCAATTACCGACAACCCAAGGGGAAAGCCGCAGTTTAAATTTAAAAGTACATTGGGACAAAGACATGCAAGACCCAAGGCCAATCCAGCGCTTCAAAAACTCATGTATGCAAAGTAGGAAAAAGGACACGAGGACCATAATACAAGACTAGACGATAAATGAGATACCCAGTGGCATCAAATATCACACAAATCTGTATCACGGCTTCCAAGTTGTGATATGATCTTTTTTTTGTATGTTTTGGAATGGTTGAGCTCGTGCCGTCGCGTCATGGTATAATACACGCCGAGTCATAATTGACCATCCACGCTGTGCCACATTTTACAGTAGAGCAGTGAGGCGAGTCAATTAGACAATCGACAGGTTGGAAATCGAATGGCACGAGTGAGAAATCGAGTCAATAGATACGTGAGCAATCGCTTAGTCGCGGATCTTGGCGAGGATGCTAGAAACGGAGTCAGTAAATGTCAAGGATAACCCTCAATTGCAAGTAGAGAACAGGGTGGAAACGTACTCGTGATCCCGGAAGAGAGTGTACTCCTCCTCACCGACCTTGATGGCATTGCCACCGAACTGGGGAATGAGGACCTTGTCACCGGCAGCGACACCCATGGGGATACGCTGGCCGTTCTTGTCAACGAGACCGGGGCCAACAGCGAGGACCTGGGCCTCGTTCTGCTCCTTGACGGCGGCCTCGGGGAGGAAGATACCGGAGGCGGTCTTGGCCTCGGGCTTGATGCGCTGGACCAGGACGCGGTCCATGAGGGGGGCGAGGCTCTTGATGTTGCGGAGGATAGACTGGTAGATTGGTTAGTATGTCAAATGATCAAAGCGGATGTGTAGTTGATGCGATTGAAAGCATTGCGCATGCGCGTGATGAATATCGGGTGGTTCGGCTTGGGGGGGAAAGTTTGGCGTGGAGAATCGGGGTGTCCAGCTTGCTTGTTTTGGGGTTTGGGGGATTCTGGAGAAGGCCGATGGGTTGGAGAGCTGATTCAGGGTGTTGAACGTACCATTGTGAAGAATGATTAGATTCTGTGAAGTGATTGGAGTTGAGGTAGATGGAGAAAGAAAGAGGATGGAACTGGTCCGGGGGAGAGAAGATCTGACTGGAGAAATTTCCAGAATGCCAAGACTTGAGCTACTCCCGAGGGTCGGGTTACCGGCTCCGTTTCTATACTCTTGACTCTTTGCTCGTTGAACGATCACCTTGCTTTTTATTCGCTTTGCAGATGGTTTATACGTCTTCAGTTGACTCTGAAAAGTGATTGCTCTCAAAGCTTAAATAAGCTGGACAGCTGTCAATGTTATTGCTACGTATTCCCTAATATGCATCAAACGCCGCGATATCCGATCCTCAAATGTCAATCCAAAGCTACCATCATTGAAACATGAGAGATTTCAGGTTAAAGCTACCATCTGCGCCCCCGTCCTCGTCCTCCGTAACCACCGCGCTGATCGTATCCACCATAGCCCATCTGACCCTGACCACCTTGACCGAAGCCCTGTCCCTGAGGTTGGCCACCAAATCCAGGTTGACTCGGCTGTCCTCCGGGCATCATGGATTGCGCATGCTGCATGAAAGCCATCGGATCCATGGAGGACGGGTCCAGGCCCTGGGCCATCATGCTGGCTAGCATACCCTGCATCATATCGGGGTTCATATCTGGCACACCGCCGGGCATACCAGCCATAGGCGGAGCGGCAGGCGGAGCGGCAGCAGGTCCTGGGGGTGCACCAGGCATGGGGGGCATACCCATAGTCATGAAAGCCTGCATATCATCCATCTGTCGCTTCTGGCTGCCAACCTCCTGTCGAACGCCTTGCTGCTTAAGGCAGTAGCCGGACCATGTAAATTCATCGAAGCCGTAGTTGAAGTAATCTGATAGATCTGACCCAGGCCGACGCCAGGGCTTGTCGTCGGATGGTAAATCGGCATCCATGTCCGTGGACATGATCGGCTTGCCTGTGGTCGGGTGGACGGGGTTCCCATTGACATCGATGGTCGAGCTATGAATGGCTGGGTAGGCGGAGCCTGGCTTTTGGTCGGAGGGGGGTTTTGTTGCGACTGGTTGGCCGGCGACTGGGGTTGAGGTCTCATATCGGGGTGTTGCGGACGGCGTTCCTGCCTTCGATATCATTGACGAGTCGGCGGAGCCAGGCCTTTGTGGTTCTTGTCGTAAGCTTGCATGGCGTGGGTGGGAGCTAGCGAGGGATCAGTAACTGCCTGGAGCGCGACTTGATGTTAACTTACGCTTCTGGTGCTGGTGCGTCTGCAGGGGCCTCTGTGATGATGTTGAAGTCGTCCTGTATTGCATTAGTACTTGCTGGAATTTTTAACCTCGGAAGAGAGGTGGTCCTTACGTCGTCGTCCTCTTCATCCTCTTCTTCCTCATCCTCGTAGTTCATATCATTGCCCTCCTGCGATTGGCCTGGAGCTGCATTTTGTGCGTGGTTTTGCGATTGTGTGACTGGCACCGCATCAACGGGGTCATAGAAGTCGTCTTCTTCTTCATCCATTGTTTCTGAATTTCAACCTTAACAAATATACGCAAAAAGTTCCTTCAAAGAGGATCGAGATTGAGCTCAAGTTGCGCGCGACCCGAGTTTGTCTTGTTTGCATCATTGTATGCGAGTTGATCAGTCAGTTCGTAGAGCACCGAAAGTCTGTGTAGAATTAAGATTTGTATTAAGTTGTTGCATCTGAGTCTTGAGATACAGCTACATGTATTACTCCAGGTCAAATTTCTGTAGAATAATCCTACCTGAGCTTGCTAAACATCGATGGGCTGGAATTCAAGGTCACGTGCCGGTCTCGAAGATGTCAAGTTACGGAGCTTCCAGAAGTTGTGTTCTCTGACCATATTGCTAAATTCAATTTTCAAGCTCTATTATACACCATGGCAGACGAAGAAAATAGCGGAACCTCTACGCCACGGTCCTTCACGGGCCAGACCGTCTCCGCAGAGGAAATGCTCAAGTCGCAAACAGTCGGTCTCGTCCATCTCTCTGACTTTCGCAAGCGGCGCGCAGAGGTATTGGAGCAAAAAGAGCGCGAGGCACATGACAAGTCGCTGGGGCGACTGGCATCCGGTAATTCTCGAAGCGCAACTCCCTCAGCAGGCGAAGTGACTGACGGGTAAGTCAAGGACCACTTCAATCTCTAGTAACATGAGCTGACCGCGGCGCAACAGATCAACGCCTCCTCAGAGTGACGGTCCCCCGAAGAGAAAGAAGAAGAAGTCTCTCGCCAAAAGCAAGCTTTCATTCGGCGATGATCAGGATGATACTGGGGAGGAATCCGCAGCTACGCCACGCGACTCAAGCGTCTCACGGTCTGGCTCCAAGACACCCGCTGAGGATAGCGCCGCTCGCCGCATGAAAGCAAATCCGAATGCGCCTCCCCCGCCAAAGGCTTTGACCAAGGCATCTCTGGAAGCCGAAGCGCAGGCCCGCGATGTTCTACGCAAAGAGTTCCTTGTCATGCAAGAAGCCGTCAAGAATACCGAAATTCTGATCCCATTTGTTTTCTACGATGGAACTAGTATACCTGCAGGATCAGTCAAAGTCAAGAAAGGCGATCATGTCTGGCTGTTTTTGGACCGGTGCCGAAAGGTCGGTGCAGAGCTAGGCGTGCGCGGTGCCAATGGCGCATCCAAGGCAAAGAAGGACAACCGGCGAGAGTGGGCACGAGTCAGCGTCGACGACTTAATGCTTGTCAAGGGCGATGTTATCATTCCTCATGTGAGTTCATGCGGCTGCCGTTCGTTTTTGAGAACATCCTCTAACATTACCGCAGCACTATGAATTCTATTATTTTATTGCCAATCGCGTTCCTAGTCTGTCGCGTGCTGGAGGCTTACTATTCGATTACTCCAATAAGCCTCCAGCTGCTAACCCTACAGACGATCCCTTGTCCCGTTCTAGTGACGATCAACTAGAAGGCGCCGACAAAGACTTCTCAGAGACCAAGGTCGTAGATCGACGGTGGTACGAGAAGAACAAACACATCTATCCAGCCAGCTTATGGCACGACTATGAGCCTGGGAAGGAATTTGAAGAGAAAATGACCTCAACAAGGCGCGATGCACAAGGAAATACTTTCTTCTTCTAGCTTCAGATGAGACACATATGAAAAATCACGATGTAATATACAAATACCATATGAAATCAAATGCTCAATTCAGTCATGTTCCGCGCAGTTGACTCACTTCAGTCCGGATGTCTCGTGACTTCAACCGCTTGCCATCTCAACAACTGCACATCACGACGACCACGCAATGGATTTCTCATTGAAGTGCAATTCTTTGAAATGTCGGACAGAGTTGAAAGAAAAGGCCGTGGTGACAACCTGCTCGTACATTTTTCTGCTCTGGCAATCGACGAAGTACTAATGGGTCTAGTCATATCTTCTGTCATGACTGCGCAGAAGTCCTTGGGCTTTCCCATCCAACGACCAGCAACCGGTGCTGTCCTGCTTGTCAGACGGTGCTCCTCAATCCAGATGACGCTGTTTCAACTGTTTTGAATCCAACAGAGGACTACAAAACAAGCGTGCTTAGTGGATTGGATCCAAACACAATCATGGAATGTGCAGGTCGTGCATTAGGATTTTGGGCCTATCAAAGCACACAGGAGATGTTGGTTTCCTTGTTGCTTTCTCGTGGCTATGGCTTATTGTTTGAAGTTTCTATCAGGAGTTCCGAGCAAAGACACTCACGGAGAAATATGCCACCCTCAACACGCAGATGGACAAGGTTATCCACAATGCCAACACAGAGATCTTATCTCTTCAGAGCAAACTGTCTAGTCAGTTCTATAGGGCGGTCTCTTGTTGTTGTCTCGGCTAATTCGTCAATTCTAGACATGCAATCGGCCCAAGAAGATCTCCAAAAGAAGAATCAAGAATTGAATGATCTATACCGAGACAAGAACAACAAGCTCTCACAGATGACAAACCTATACAATCTCCTCAAAGCGCGAGCTATGCGGTCCCGCATGCAGACCGCTGCTTCAGACACAGTATCTCAAGCTCTGAACTCACTTCCTTCTCTGAACGTACCGCCCTCTGTCTCTGTTGGCCGATCTGAAATGTCGCCAGTACTTCCCCTAAAGGTATCGCGACACCCTCAAGCCCAATCGTTCCCTGTCGATCCTGAGGGAGTTGAGCAGTTGCATCGACACCAGCGAAGTGGCACGGGAAGTTCCAAGAGGGCAAGGACAAAGAGACCTAAAAGCGCGCCGATGCTACCTCCAGCAAGGCCAAATTGGAATGGGCGCTCTGGTATGTATTGAGTGTGAGAGTGCAGTCTTCAAAGTTGACTTTTTCTGGTTTCCAAGAGCCCGATCACAATCCACAGCATCGTACCAGGCTCCCCCGTCTGTCCAGGACTCCGACTATGTTGTCTGAGTTTCCGCCTAGTGATGCTATTATGCAACGATTTGGGAAGTGAGATGAGGGCTGTCCATGTGCTTGTATTTCATTATTTATTTCGTATCGGAGCCTTTGATACACGCTTATTTGATCTATTTGACAGGCTCGGTGATATCACAACGCATTGTGTTGGGGGAAAATCTGTGTTCTTACACTACTTCCTTTACAAAAGACAATGGACAAATTAATGCTCCTTGTCATGATTACCTTGGAAAGCGTGTTTTCTTTTCCGACAGACTCGTCAGATGAAATTTATATCTTATTCATATAAACGGGCAAGCCAGACGGCCCCTCACTTCTTGGCTTGCACGGCAAGGCTGTGCTGACGCCTAATATACACCTGGCGGACATCTTCGTATTTACAGCGGTCTGCACATCATTGAACGAATCGTGTCAGTAAGAGAAAGTCTTTTTTTCTCGAAATGGTTGCAGCTCATAGGTTAGTTGCTGGGCTATTACCAGAAAGGCGAGGCTGACTGCATGCAAATTGGGTTTACTCGGATTTGCGTTGGGGGCCAAACTTTAGCAAAATGGGACAACTGTGAGTGCGTTGGTCTACAGCCCTCTGTCCGATCGGAATAAGAACACCAATGGCCGAGACGAAAGGCCATACAACAGGCGAAGTATAGAAAAATGGAGCCGATAGTGGAGCCACCTCCTTTTCGACTGAACGCACCGTATTTATACAGCTGCTACCCTCGGAGTTTCAGTAGTTACAGCCATGAATGAATACCAGGCATCCAGGCTTATCAGCCTTTGTGCTCTTCAGCTTCTCATCCCCACCATTCTCTTAACTACCACCTCGAAAAGATCCTCCATTCGCTACCTAGCAATTCCGTGTATGGTCTGGGTTTTGAAACAAGGGATAACCCCAATTCCACACCCAACAACTCTGCAGAGCAATTCGATTGGCTACTTGTTCATTTCTATTCTCTCGGCGACCAATTTCTTGCTCATCAACCCCAAGGATAGCAGTGATTTCGTCAACGCCGATGGCACCCCGAAAAGCTTCTTCCCTCGCTGCTACGAGGCGGTGCGCCTGGTGAGTCTAAGCCGGGCAATTAATACCCCCCGCCAAGTCAAGAATGTTCCAGGTCCACCAGCCTACTATGCCAAACGTGACCCGAAGGCGAAGGGGATTCCTCGAAGTCGCTTCTTGGCTCGCGAAACTTCAATTGCTGCATGGCAGTTTCTCGCAATGAGCATGTTCGCAAAATTAGCGGCTCGGGATGCGGCGAGCAAGCCTGTGCCCGTTTCCTTCGAGGTGGAGTGGTTTGTCCCAGTGGACCAATGGATTGAACGAATCATCTCCAACCTCATCGCATGGTTCATTGTAGCCAGGATCCTGATCGACTTCAATGCTCGCGTTGGTGGAATTGTCTGTGTCGCCTTGGGAACCGACTCCCCGGCTGATTCTCCGCCTACATTTGGGAACATGGCGGATTCATATTCTCTGCGGAACTACTGGGGGTGAGTATCTTCCTCGTTCCCTGCTGGGTGTGAGCTCGCTAATAGTATTCAATAGGAAATTCTGGCATCAATTGCTCCGACAGCCTTTCACGTCAATCAGCAATTTCATTGCGCGCGATGTGCTCTGCCTGCCTAGATCATCCCTGATAGAACGATACACCAATGTTTTCATCGTATTCTTCCTTTCGGGTCTGTTGCATTTCTTGATCGATATAGTGTCTTGCATTCCAGCCCAGGAGTCAGGTGCCATGTTCTATTTCCTGTCTTTTGTCTTGGGATTCATGATCGAGGACGGTGTCAAAGCGTTTTGGAAAAATATGTATCCCCAAGCCAAGGATTCCATGGATCCGCCTCCCCTGTGGCAGAGAGCTGTCGGATTTGTCTGGACTATGAGTTGGATTGGTGTTATTTCCACCCGCTACTTGCTTCCTATGCAGCGGCCGGAGGCTCAGGCTGTGCTGGTGCCTTTTAACGTTGCAGACTGGATTGGTCTTCCTGCTCTGGTGGGTATTGTGGGCGTTGGTGCCGCTTTACTCAAACTTGTGTTCGAGGTTGAGATATAGCGGGTCTAACCATTTCGTCCCCTTGATCCTGCCTGAGGATGGGTTTCATTGTCCATTAAACCAAGTAAACAATAGATTTCTATCGTGAAATATATGATGAATGACCGAGATGAGAACCTAAATATACCGAACAGAGCCCCATCTTTTATCTCATCATTCGGACTGTGGTCTCTCAACAACCCAAATCCCAGTCTCCGGATCGTATTGCAAAAGATACAATGTCTCCCCGCTGCAACTGAATTCATGGGCAAGTTCAAGGTTAGGCTCGTTATAATGACCCATAAACTCAAGCTCTAACTTCAATTGTACGCCGATCTGCAGTGATTCGCGCATATGGATAGTGAACGGCTCTGCACGAGCCACGCGTCTGCTCCCCTCGAGTCGAACAGACTGAAGAAACGTAACAGGCGTCCCATCACTATCAACACCGGTGACTGTCACCCGGTGTCTATCCTCTGACTGGGCTTCCACGTTGATAACCACACGCCGTCTCAAGATGAACGGTGGAATGGAAAGACCCAGTTTCTCCATAACTTTCGCCATCAGAATATCAGTTTCGGAGAAAACCCGAATTTCAGCCATCTCGTCAATAGGTGTCTCCTGCAGATTGCAAATTGCCAGCTTGGCATCATTCCTCTGTCCAACAATCTCCGGGATTCCATTTGCCGGGGTGACTGTCAACGAAGATCCCAAGACCAGACACAAATCCGCCGTTCGAGCATTTTCCCGTGCGAGATTTAGGTCTCGGGCGGGCAATTGCTCGTCGAAATTGACAATACTATCAAGCAGGGTTCCACCACAGCGGGCGCATTTTCGACCTGTCCGGTGGTCGTGGTCACCCCTTTCGTAGGTTGAAACAGCGCGGAAGTCTACCATCTGTGAGAAAAAGCTTAGATTATAGTCGACATTCTAGTTTGTCTTACCTCTCATATATTCTTTGTTGCAGTCCTTGCAAGATTCCCGGTTGCTGTTCCCGTGCAATTCGGATATCATCTCCTGTAAGACAGATGTAAGTATCTATGTCAGGGCTGTCACTGGTAAAATGGGATGAAATGCTCACGGGCAAAATCCCACTGCGTCTATGGAGTCCATCACAGTTCTGACTGATGAGATGTTTCAGGATTCCGCGGTCCTGCAGTTCAACCAGGGCCATATGTGACGGGGACGGGATAGCCTGGAGGGTATTGGCATGCTTTGTGCGTGGTTTACCCTGGGCTCGAAGGGTCCAGTTGCCATCTGGGCCGCGAAAATCAGGGATCCCTGTACCATTTACTCGTTAACTGAACGGATTTCATAAGCAACGAGTTTCCTTACCGGCTGACGTGGAGACACCGGCACCAGTGAAGACGATAAAGTGTTTACTCTTGCGGATTTGATTGACCAATGCCTCGGCTTTCTTGTCCACTTGCGAGGGAGATTCACGCCGCTCTGTGAGGGCAACTTTGGGTGCACTACTGGCCATTGTGGTTTGTGAAGATTGTGAGCAGAATGAAGATTGGGTTACCTTGGCACAGAACTAAACAACGCGGCAAACAATGTGGAATGTGGGGGGATGCGGCTCTGCTCTGCCAAGTTCTGCCAAGCTCTCTCAGGTGAAGTAAATCTTGTCTTGCGTCCTGACATTATTTACTTGAAGTTGACATTCTGTTCCACATCTCATTGTCTCTCGGTGGAATAATCAAACGACTTATGCCCCCTCAGATCTATCCCGCGACGCTTTAGATTCATGCGCCGATGGGGTCGCCCATCGCTCGTTGAAACAATCTATTAACGGAATGCAGTTTTTCGCAGCCAGTACCACGATATAAAAGGCAATGGCATTCAGGACGATACTGATCGAGTGCTGGAGTTCATCGTTCATCGTCGCGGAGGAATATATGTTTGCAGCCTAGAGCTTGTGAGCTGAGTAGATCAATGGTCTGCGTATTTCTTACAGAAATCAGGCCAAGTCAGAAGCTATCGCCCTTGGAGAAGAACAGTGATGGGAGTTGAGTAGTCAGAAACTTCAGGGGTTGGGGGCTATATCGAAAGTATCGGAGACACCCAGGTGCTGTTTGGCCCCCACAGCTGTCTCGGAACTACAGAGATGTGATGTCTATGCTAATTTACAGGTTGCATATCTCCAAGCTGGAGTATCACATCTAAAGGGTAATAGGTTCATAAACGACCCTCAAGCACATATAGAAACATGTATTTTGCAGTCACAGAGTTATGTTGCTACCCCCAATAGATATACGCTATTGCAACACCACGCTATGTGGGTTTTCTCGTTTCTCTGCTCTTCCCTTGCCTCTCTTTGAAACTCAACAGCCTGGGTCTTCCCTAATGCTACAATCAGCCTTCAATCTTCCTCTTGCTGCTGTCACATCTGCAGACCAGCAGGCAATAATTCAAAATGTCGATCACGTCTCTTCCAGCTGAGGTGATGTCCCTGATATGTAGCTATTTGCAGCCCTCCGGGTGGGGAAACCTGATGCTATCATGCCATGCCCTGTACGATGTTGCTTTCGAGGATTTCTGTAATCAGTACTTTAAGAACATACACTTTCTTGTGACAAATGACAGTTGTCGTGAATTAAAAGCTTTGGCAAGGACTGACGGTGTTCGCAAAAGGATTCAAGGATTACGGATGATACCATCTGTATTCGAGGGCTCTGATGCAAATCATGCAGATACTATACCTCAATCTGATGTTCCGTTCAGAGGTTGTCAACTGCTTAAGGATGACGATCTGCAGTCTCGCTTCCCGATATACAAATTCCTGGTCGAAGACACGGATTGATACCTTCGAGCAGCGAACTGAAGTCTGCTGAAGCTGACGGTCCCACGTTCTAATGCAGATTTGGCAAGGCCTTTTGGCAGTGTTCAGACAAATAGCATTGCTGGATATTGTATACATTCTTCTTTATTTCATTGAGAAAACTGTTAAGGATAGACAAAAATGACTAGATCTGGAAATTGAATGTTGATTGAAAATAGAAGCATTGGCCAATATATATCTTCACCTATCTAGTATCAAACGCCCATCTCCGAATCGGGCGGTTGATAGTGTCCACGAAAACTTGTATATGTCACCGAAATGTCGATGAACAGAAGCAGGTATACATAGCAAACTCTGAAACGGCTCCTAATTCGAATTAAATAATGTAGGCATGAGGTTAGCCACCAAAACTAAACCAATAATACATGTAACCCGATTATCATAAAGTTACGCAATTAAGTCTACCAGTAACCAAACAATAATCCAAAAGCAATAGGACTTCCAGTAGAGGTCCCAAATAGCCCGCTTCTCCATCTCAAATTAAATCATCCCACCTCCATCTCTCAAAGAAATAGTCGTACTATAACCCCAAACCCCCGTTCGTCCGATCCTTATCGGGCCCTAATCTCGGAGCAACGGAAGCAAGCCTCCCTCGGTCTCAGTCTCCTCCCCTCTCCAGCTTTTCGATCCAGATCCAAATCCAGATTAGATCTAAACCTGGCACGGTCCCTACTTTATCTCAAGCCTCCATCCGGCAGAAAGAGCTTGTGTGGAGTCTGGAGAGCTTGCTTGTCCTGGTTCCTGGATTTGAGCTTATTTTGGATACTGTATTTTACGATTATGTATTTTATCTGTATTTTTCGATTTTTAGTCCTCCACATTGGATTTGCTTCTTTCACCTTGTGCGCTTGCCAATGGTGTCAACGGTTGACTAGTGATATTACCACGTTTACACATTTCTACTGGAGCAAATAGTGGGACATAAATGCCTCGTATCATTGATATTATCCGATGGGACATCACACGATCTAAATCCCCCGGTGAACATAGGAAAATGAAATCTAAACGGAGAATCATATACGACGGCACCATCGGGGACCGGGTCTTTTCGTCCGGGCGGGAAGTAACGCCATAGCCTCAAAACAGGACAGACGCCGGGACAACATGTCGTCCCGGAATCCCGCAAAAAAACAAGTTCATATCATGCCATGCATTATACCACAAACCGATGCAACGGACACACGCTGCAGAAAACAAACAAACACAGAGAGGTATTTAAGCGCCGAATTCCTTGATGTCGGTCTTCTTGCCCTGGAGGGCCAGAGGAACGATACCACTGACGTGCATCTCGGGGCCGTAGACGTGCATGTCGAGGCCAAGTTCGATACCGACGGACTTGATGTTCTTGAGACCCTCCTGGTAGTTGGGACCAGCACGGCGGACCCAGATCTGGACCTTGTGCTCGTTGAGGACGGGGGCAACCTCGCGGAGAGCGCGGATGACACCCTTGAAGGTGCTGGCAACGTTGGTGAAGTTGGCAATACCACCACCAATGAAGAGGACCTTGCCCTCGGGGTGGATGGGGGCACGGAGCATGAGATCCAAGACAGTCTTGGCGTAGTTGTAGGTCTGGGTCTCGGTGGGAGCACCGGAGTACTCACCGTAGTTGGCGAGCTCGCTGACGAAGCCAGCGGAGGCAATGGCGTCGGCGTAGACGACGGAGGCACCACCACCAGCGACGAGGGTCCACACGCGACCCTGGGAGTTGAGAACGGTGAGCTTGAGGGAGGCACCGGTCTTGGCGTCCATGTCGGAGATGAACTTCTCCTCCTTGGTCAGCTCACGACCGAAGGGGGCGGGGAACTCCATCGGCGGGCCAGCGTCGACGTTGACCTTGCCATCGGAGGAGGCGAGAACGGGGAGACCGAGAGCAGCGGGGCTGCGGGCAATAGCCCACTTGGTACCACACTCGAACTCAGCAGTCTGGTCGAGCTTGGCCGCGAGATCCAGGAAGTGGACTTCAGCGGAGGTAGCATCGGCGTTGGGGATGACAACGAGAGGGTTGATCTCGAGGTAGGTGAACTGGCAGTCGACGTAGACGGCGTACAGGCGGGAGATGAAGTCCACCAGGACGTTGTGGACACCCTTGGGGACCTTGCTCAAAAGAGTCGCGGCAATCTCCTCGTTGGAGGGGTACTGCTTCAGGTTGACGGGAATCAGAAGCTTCTCAGCCTTGGCGTCAACATCACCGACATCAACACCACCCTCGTGGGTGAAGAGGATCCAGTCACCCTGCAATTGGTTAGCTTGGCTCCATTTCAGCCCAGTACTCTCATGCTTGCTAGCTTACCTCACGGACGGAGTTGATGTTGATGTAGTACTCGGTCTCCTGGGGGTGGGGCACGAAGGGCTCCACGAGGAACTGACGGAGGACACCAGTGACGGTCTCAACCTGCACATCCTTGGTGGCGCGAGTCTCAATCCACTCACGGGCCTCAGTCCAGGTCTTGTTGAGGGCGAGCAGACCGCTCTTACCCCGACGCTTGATCAATTGATCGGGCTTCGCAACGAACTTGGCGCCGGGAGTGAGGAGCCAAGGGAAGGTCACCTCGGCCTGGTCGAGAACATCCTTGACGGTCTTGTCCTCGGGGAAGTGCAGCGAGGCCAGACGAGCAGGAGGGTTGTGTGTTGTGGAGAGAGGGAGGGGAGTAGGCTTGATAACGGGAGCGCGAGTGAGGTGGAAGTTGAGGATGGCCTTGCCGTCGGCCTCGAGGATAGATTTGGCGGACATGATGTGTGGATGTGTGTGTGTGTAGAAGGAGGGGGATGGGAGAAAGGAAAGGATTAAATTTTTGAGGGATTGGGGGAAAAGAGGACTGGAGTGTACGGCGTACAATACCAAAAAAGTTGTGCTGGAGATTACAGCGTACAATTCGGCCGGTCCCACTATGTTGAGGATCGTCTGGTGGGGGTTCGTTGGGATGAGCTCCAGGTACGGGCATACACGTTTACGGCCAGGTTACTGTTCCCCGATACCGCTCTAATTTGTTGAGTGGCATGGACGGGCAATTGATCCGCGAATGATATTGGGGATTGGCTCTGATTGTAACCGTCCGAGATGCGACGTCAAGAATGAGACTCTTCTATTCCAGACTTTTTGAATCAGGCCTAAACCAGCCAGGACATGGTGAGAGAATCTTGAGATCATTGAAAATAACCATCAAACCATACAAAAGACAGTACAGCATGTATGGTGGGTGTAAGGCGGTGGGGTAGTATCGACCGTACCCAGTATTTTGGGGTACGCCAAGTGTTGAGCTGCGAAGTCCACTTCTGGGACGAGCTGTACGGTGTATCTGCGAGTCCTTACGAGACTCCCGATTTTTCTCAGCAGTTTCCCCATTCTTCTATCTTCCCCCCTCCTCCTTTCCTTCTCAATTCTTTCCACAGCGGGTGTTCATATCGTGAGTCTCTCTTTTTTCGAAATCTCTCTATCCATCACTTATACCCCCACCACCATCTTGTCTTTTTGCAATTGTCCTCTTTCCACGCATGCTAATAATCTCAAAGTATCATCATGTCTACCTCTTCTCCTGCCGATAACGGCGTGCAGTCTGCCAACGACAACATCACCCGTTTCGCTCCTCCTAGCCGTGTCCTCTCTCCCCTCCAACACAGCCTTTTCCACAACAAGACACGATGCTTCGTATAGTAAGTTGGACCCCCCTCATGCTCAATTGGATTGTGGGATGGGACTGACCGAGTCAGTGGCATGCAACCCCGAGCCGTGCAGGGCATGCTCGACTTCGACTTCATCTGCAAGCGTTCCACTCCTTCCGTGGCCGGTATTATCTACACCTTCGGCGGTCAGTTCGTCAGCAAGATGTACTGGGGTACCAGTGAGACCCTCCTCCCCGTCTACCAGGACGTTGAGAAGGCCATGGCCAAGCACCCCGACGTTGACACCGTTGTCAACTTCGCCTCTTCCCGTTCCGTCTACACCTCCACCATGGAGTTGATGGAGAACCCCCAGATCCGCTCCATCGCCATTATTGCCGAGGGTGTCCCCGAGCGTGTAAGTGATGCTAAAAGAAGCAATGGAGAACAAATCACTGACAGTGGATAGCGTGCTCGTGAGATCATGGTTACCGCCAAGGAGAAGGGCATCACCATCATTGGTCCCGCCACTGTTGGTGGTATCAAGCCCGGTGCGTACAAGATCGGTAACACTGGTGGTATGATGGACAACATCGTCGCTTCCAAGCTCTACCGCAAGGGTTCCGTCGGATACGTCTCCAAGTCCGGTGGTATGTCCAACGAGTTGAACAACATTATCTCCCAGAACACCGACGGTGTCTACGAGGGTGTTGCCATTGGTGGTGACCGTTACCCCGGTACCACTTTCATTGACCACTTGCTCCGTTACCAGGCTGAGCCTGAGTGCAAGATCCTCGTCCTCCTCGGTGAGGTTGGTGGTGTTGAGGAGTACCGTGTGATTGAGGCCATCAAGAACGGCACTATCACCAAGCCCATTGTTGCCTGGGCTATCGGAACCTGCGCTTCCATGTTCAAGACTGAGGTTCAGTTCGGTCACGCCGGTGCCTCGGCCAACTCCGATCTCGAGACCGCTGTTGCCAAGAACAAGGCTATGCGTGAGGCTGGTATCCACGTCCCCGAGACCTTCGAGGATCTCCCCCAGACCCTCAAGCAGGTTTACGATGCTGAGCTCAAGAAGGGTGTCATCACTCCCGCCCCCGAGCCCATTGTCCCCAAGATCCCCATCGACTACTCCTGGGCCCAGGAGCTCGGCCTCGTCCGCAAGCCTGCTGCCTTCATCTCCACCATCTCCGATGACCGTGGTCAGGAGCTGCTCTACGCCGGTATGCCCATCTCTGATGTCTTCAGAGAGGATATTGGTATCGGTGGTGTCATGTCTCTCCTCTGGTTCCGTCGCCGCCTGCCCCCCTACGCCAGCAAGTTCCTCGAGATGGTTCTGATGCTGACTGCTGACCACGGTCCCGCCGTTTCCGGTGCCATGAACACCATCATCACCACCCGTGCCGGTAAGGATCTGATCAGCTCCCTCGTTGCTGGTCTCCTGACCATCGGTTCCCGCTTCGGTGGTGCCCTCGACGGTGCCGCTGAGGAGTTCACCAAGGCCTTCGACAAGGGTCTCAGCCCCCGTGACTTTGTCGACTCCATGCGTAAGGAGAACAAGCTCATCCCCGGTATCGGCCACAAGGTCAAGTCCCGTAACAACCCCGATCTCCGTGTCGAGCTTGTCAAGGAGTTTGTCAAGAAGCACTTCCCCAGCACCAAGCTGCTCGACTACGCCATCGCTGTTGAGACTGTCACCACCTCCAAGAAGGACAACCTGATCCTTAACGTTGACGGATGTGTCGCTGTCTGCTTCGTCGACCTGCTCCGCAACTGCGGTGCCTTCTCCCCCGAGGAGTGCGAGGACTACATGCGCATGGGAGTCCTTAACGGTCTCTTCGTGCTGGGCCGTTCCATCGGTCTCATTGCCCACTACCTCGACCAGAAGCGCCTGCGCACTGGTCTCTACCGCCACCCCTGGGACGACATCACTTACCTTCTCCCCACCTTGCAGAAGGGTGGTGCCGAGGGCCGTGTCGAGGTCAACCTGTGATTTTGTTTGTGACGTTTTGCAGCGCCGTCCGCTGGCATATAGTCCGTCCGATCAGGACGGTGGAGTTTGGATGGTTCATCCCTTGGTTTTTCTTTTGCGTTTCTTCAGCAGTTGTATCGATGTACTGCGATCATGTGGCATGACCAAGTCGACGGGGTGACCAGAAAAAGGCATCCCGTTTACGGATCTGATTTAATTCGTTTACAGTAGATGACTAGACCTTTTGGAATAATGAACGTGCCTTTGCCGCATGAATACTTTGGAAGTAGACCCGTAAACGATCAGTGTCTGCATTGAGTAGATTGAGTTGACATACAACTTTCGAGTGCTCGCGTGCCGAGGAAATATGCTTATCGCTTATCGGCCACTTTTTTATCTTTTCCACTTCAGCTTCACGCAACCCTCAAACCTCAGGACCAGTTCCATTGACTCAGCGAACAGCCATACTCCCGACTTCTCAATTGCGATAAACCAATTCTCTCAGCCAACAACCAATAAGCACAACAACCAACCACAAGATGGTCCGCCTGAAAAGCCGCTACCTCCTCATAGACATCCTCTACCCAGACCCCAAAACCTGGCCAACAACCAACTCCTCGAAGCCCCAGAACCCAACACTATCAATCCACGCCCCAACCTCCGACACACTCACACCAGGCTTCCTCGCAAAGATGGTGCGCGAGACAGTATCCGAGCTGTATGGTGACTGGGGCGTCGGCAAGCTCGGCGGTGCCAGTGCTAGCGGTTTAAACAGTACGTCACACCCAAGCTATGCCCACAGATCCAAATGCACACACACATACGCATACACATACACATACACATACACATACATACATATGCTTACGCTAACACCCCACGTGAAACAGTAAAATACCTTTCCCCAGCAACATCAACCGCTATAATTCGGTGCCCGCGCCCCTCCTACCGTCTCGTCTGGTCGGCATTGACTTACATGTCCGGCGTGCCGGAAACGAATGCCAATGGCGATGGGCAGAGACGGACTGGGACGGGGCGGGAGCGGGGGTGTGTGTTTCGCGTGATTCGTGTTTCGGGGACGATGCGGAAGGCGGAGGAGGAGGCTATTCGTCGGGCGAGACGGGAGATTGTGCGTGTTAAGGATGCTGAGGAGAGGGGCGTGTTGGGTGGGTTGGTTGGTGGGGTTGGGGATGTTCTTGGGCGTGTTGACATGGATGTGGATGTGGATGTTGGGGTTGGGGTTGGGGATTTGAGTGGGAGTGAGGATGGGATGGATTGCGGGGATAGTGATTGATTGGGAGATAAAGAGAGAGAGAGAGAGAGATTGTGCTTTGGTTTCGATGTTATGTTAAAGTGATACCCCCGGTTTGAGGTGTGTTTTGGTTCAGTGGTTATAGTCAAGGTATAGCTATAGTACATTGATATTGGATGTGATCAAGTTATTATGGGGCATTTTGGAGGTAAAATGGATGCGGTGGTTATATGATTGCCACGGAACATGGACATGGGACGAGTATCATGACTTGCGATGCACCTTTATGCCATGATCTGGCATGTTGGCCTTCCACTTTTCCACTTCCTCGTCGTAGAAGTTACCATCATCATCACTAGCCATGGCGTCGTCTGTTTCGGGTGCACCGGTCTTTTCAACCTGGCTTGCGGCATTGCGCACCCGTACTTCCTCTTCCAACTCCTGCTCTTCAAGTTCATCGTATTCATCTTTCGCATCAAGCCACCGCTCCTGCACATCCCGGACATCAGTAATGCCCATGCCCTCGCGGACTGCAACCTTCCAGACGGTATCATTCGCGCCCTCGGCGGGACCAAACGCATATCCGGAGATACGATCAATGGCGTTAAGCAGACTCATCATACTCTTCTTATCTTCAACGGCCAGCGTCTCGAATCCAACGAGTGCGAATTCCTCGACGAGGTCGATGATCGTCTGGTTCAAGGCGCCGAACTTCGCGTGAGATAACCGGGACGATTCGGCTTCCAGATGTGGGAGTAGATAGGATAGGTCTTGCACTTCTGTGTAATAGTCCAAATTGAAAGGTAGAGGGGCGTAGTTTGAGAGGTTATCAATTTTTGTAAGGACGTTCAGGTGTGGGAGGTCGAGTTGGAGCATGGCGCGGAGGGAAAGGAGGAGGGCGGAGATGTACATTGACGGGAGAGTAAGAGTGTATGAGTCGACGAGGTGGATAACTATAAGCTGTTGGCCGAAGCCCGTGTTAGTAAATTGCATATATCGAGTGAGCTGAATGTGACATACCCGAACGCCCATTTTCTGGATCCTGAAGAAGATATTCCGTAATGAAGAGTGGTGTGTGAAGAGTTCGACTTGACCAGGACAATCAAATAGAATGTAGTCATCTACAGCCAAGAGTTAGGTTCTATATCTTGGGCCAGGCTCAAGAAGACATACCTCCAAGCTCCTTCAGCCCCTCCTCTAACCAGTCGAAGTTCTTTTCAAGCTCCTCAAGAGCGTATAAGACACCTCCATTCGGACCAAGCTTGTCATCTTCCATAATCTCCTCCAGTGTCACAAGGTCGCGTACGTCCAGCGCACATGGATACGAGGTCTTGTCGTTGGCGGGGTCGAGGTTCACGATAGAGCATTTGCGGCCGATTGCGCCTAGAAATTGATGCATGCCATTGCAATAGGTCGACTTTCCGGCACCCGGAGGGCCAATAACCAACTGTGCAAAAGGCATTCTGGCTGTGGTGATTGTTCAATACGTACAAAGCCGTCAGTCCTGATGCAAGGTGAATGATGTCAAGCTTTTGTTGTCGCTCGTTTTTTCTTATCGATGCGCGGGGAATCAAAAGGCGGTGGCCCGTGACAAAAAAGGATATGGAGCTTCGTTGCTTGCGATCCTTGCATTTCAACTACCGCGCTCAAGATGTCTTCCTCGGCCAGTAAGTATATTCCCGATAGTCAATCTCATCCGCTTGAAATGATGTCTTATTTGTTTGATTTATGACAGACCAATTTATTGTGGCATCTCCGCCGACGGACGCCATCTCGGCCCTCAAGTTCTCCCCCGACCCCAACTCCACGCGAATTGTGGTATCGTCATGGGATAAGAACGTCTACCTCTACGACTTGCGCGACGAAAATGGCACTGTTGGAGAGGGCAAGCTTTTGCAGAAGTTCGAGCACCGTGCGCCGGTACTGGACGTCTGCTTCGGCGAAGACGAGAATGTGATCTACACAGCTGGCTTGGATTGGAACGTGAAGAAGTGAGTCTCCCCACCGAGCTTTAAACTAAGGACTCTCATGATGTGGATGATACTAACTTAACAGAATCGATCTCAATACTTCTGAACAGACCGTGCTTAGCACTCACGAAGCTGGAGTCCGCTCCGTCGTGTACAGTCGTGAACATAACATCGTCATCTCCGCCTCGTGGGATTCAACCCTCCATATCCACAGTCCCGATGCTGGCACAAATCCCGATTCCATTGCGACTATTGTTCCCCTCCCCTCGAAGCCCTTCTCCATCTCATTGACCGATTCGCGCTTGGTGGTTGCCATGGCGTCGCGCGCATTGCACATCTATGATCTCAAGGCCTTGGCCGTGCTTTCCGCGCAAGCAGATAGCTCAGTACCCAACGGAAACCGAGTAGAGATTGAGCCATGGCAGCGCCGCGAGAGCAGTTTGCGGTTCATGACTCGCTGTGTTGCCTGCATGCCCGACGGTGCCGGATATGTCTCATCAAGCATCGAGGGCCGTATTGCAGTCGAGTGGTTCGACCCTTCACCTGAATCTCAGGCTCGCAAGTATGCTTTCAAGTGTCACCGCCAACCCGCCGATGATGGCGTCGACGTGATCTACCCTGTCAACGCTCTCGCTTTCCACCCTATTTACGGCACCTTTGCATCCGGTGGCGGCGACGGTGTTGTTTCCTTCTGGGATGGAATCACTAAGCGTCGTATTCGTCATTACCCCAAGCACGATACCAGTGTGGCGGCTGTTGCCTTCAGTGGCAATGGCAAGCACTTGGCCGTCGCTGTCAGCCCTGGATTCGAGGATGGCAAGGACGACGTCGCCGAAGGTACAGTGCAGATTTATGTTCGGGAGCTGGGCGAGACGGAAGCCAAGGGCAAGGGCGCGAAATAGATCGACACTTAGATCTGTCCATTTGTCTTTTCTGCCATGCAAGCGTCCTTTGATACCACACAGCAAATTCAATCAAAAACAATTGAAACAAAGCTTCAAGCATACCCTTTAATCCCATTTTCTAGCCTCCCAAGGTTGAACAAACAGCAAATCTTGGTATCATCTATGTTATTTACGTAGTCTCGTATCCCACAGTCTCCTCTTTTGTCTCCAAGTTCAAAGACCGTAGTACACCTCTACTGCGCCTTGCGAACAGAAACAGACCCATCAGCCATACCGAAGTAAGCAGCAACGGGTCTTTGTCCACCAATACCACCAGCAGCGGAAGCCTCCGGCCCGGTCATACCACTGAAGATACCGACCTCAAGCACACCACCGATCTCCTTGATATTGCGGGACAACACATCAACTGCCCAAACGCCATTCTTGCCGTTACCCTCCTGGCCAGCGGCGACATCGGCCTTGATCAACATGGGAGGGAAAGGAGCATCAATGATGAAGAAGCCCTGATCAGTCTTCAGAGGGCCCTCCTTGGCACTAGCGGAGGATCGAATGGTAGGCTCGACACTACCGAGCTCCTGCAACTTGACAATAACGCGGTGGGCAGCAATGGGGGCGACTTCAATGGGAATAGTCTTCCAGTTTGAAAGGAGGCGAGGCTGGAGCTTGCGGTGATCTAGCAGATATATGAGTCAGTAACGAGCAAGACAGACAGCGCAAGTGAGAATTGGCAATTCTCTAACTCCCACTCCATGTAAATCCAAATTCCACTCACCAGCAACGCAAATGAATTCCCGAGCCTGCATGGCGACAAGCTTCTCCTGGAACAAGCAAGCGCCACCACCCTTAATGCAGTTCAGATCATCATCGACCTCGTCCGCGCCGTCGAACGCAACGTCGAGAACGGTGCCCTGGGGGATCCCGTCGAATTCAACCGGCGTCAGACCGGCATTGATGATTAGCTGCTTGGACTGGTAACCGGTTGGAACGTATTTCGTGGCGGAGGTGTCCACACCGAGAGCCTTGATGGCGTCGACTACATAGACGATAGTCGTACCGCTGCCGATGCCAACCCAGCGGGCGTCTTTCGGGTAGTGGTTGCTCACGGCGACCTTTGCGGCGGCTTGCTTGGCTGCTTCGACGCTGGACATTGTGGATTGGAGTCTAGAGAGACCGGGGCTGGGAGTAAAAGTTGATCGGAGTGAGAATCGGAGGGGTGGAAGTGTGGGGGTTCTACGGAAAAGAGGGGAGAGGCGGATTGGTTGGACCATGGGTCTGTGGTTTATACGGCTTGTTCAGCGCTTTTAGTTCAGTCAAACAGCTTAGTGATGACTGGCGAGTCTAGATGGCGTCGTTGGTGGGGGTTTGTTTACTGGTTGGAGCGGTGGAATTTTCTGCCCAATGATGCTGACATCCTACGATGAAGTCTTGATGTCTTGACGTATGCGCCGGACACTGTGCTCCGGAGTGAAGAAGCCTAGCTTTCTAATTTCTTGTATTACGTTGATAATAGCCTACTATTTCCGACTGCTTCCATGTCTTTTTTTGTTTTGTTTTGCTTTTTTTTTATAAGGAATGACAGAAAGAGTATAAGTTAAGTTAGTTGGATCATGAAAGTTTAAGCCAGAATTGTCAGGCAGCAATATCACCTGCGCTGACTAAGATCGTGCATCAACGAGAACAAGTCGACATGGACAGCTCCAAGGTAGAGCCTACATAGCTGGCAGTGCATTCTGTAGAAGTTCAAGTCTCCTAATACTCTGTGTGTGGCTTGAGACTCGAAATAACCTGAACTCCTTGCCGCACTGCTCAATACCTGGAAACACAATGACCGACTCCTTCCCCGCAGCCTTGACAGGCCCAACGTCGAAGGAGCGCAAGTATGACCGACAGCTCCGTCTGTGGGCAGCAACTGGTCAGCAAGCGCTGGAAGATTCTCGTGTGCTTCTGGTGAATTCGGATGGCCCGCTCGGCCACAACAACACGGGTGTGTCCGGCGTTGCGGGCGTTGAAACACTCAAGAACCTGGTCCTTCCTGGAATTGGTGGTTTTACTATTGTCGATCCAGCTACTGTCACAGAGAGTGATCTCGGTGTGAATTTCTTTCTGGAAGAGGGGTCCTTGGGCAAGTCCCGCGCCGAAGAAACCTGTCGTCTGCTGAGAGAGCTTAACCCAGATGTGCAAGGATACTTCTATTCCAAGGTATGTAGATCATCAAGTCAAAGTGCAATACGAATTATTGACATTCAACATAGAACATTGCAGATCTTCTGCAAGATCCAGACTTTCTGCCCCGTCACAAGCTGGTGATTGTCTCGGGGCCAACCAAGCGCTCCTCTCTAGCGCCTCTCTGCCATGAAGCCAAGCAACTGGGGATCCCAGTGCTTTATATACACTCAATCGGGTTCTTTTCCTCATTTTCGGTACAGCTTCCTGCCGAATTCCCAATCGTTGAAACACATCCGGATCCAGAATCAACTCAAGACCTGCGTTTGCTAAACCCTTGGTCTGAGCTCATTACTGCCACAGCCAGTTTAGATGATCTGGATAGCTTGGATGACCATCAACATGGCCATGTGCCCTACATTCTTCTACTGCTCCGCTTCCTGGAACAGTGGAAGCAAGCACATGATGGCAACGCGCCCAGCAACTACAAAGAGAAGACCGAGTTCAGAGAATTCGTCCGATCCCAAGCCCGGACAAGCAACCCAGAAGGTGGCGAAGAGAACTTTGATGAAGCAGCTGCCGCAGTGCTCAAGACCATCAACCCCTTCAGTCTGCGCAGCTCGATCCGCGAGATTTTCGATATGAACGAGTGCAAGCAGCTCTCGTCAACATCCCAAGATTTCTGGGTTATCGCCTCAGCAATCAAAACCTTCTACGAATCGCACTCCGTCCTCCCCCTACCAGGATCTCTCCCAGACATGAAAGCCCAGTCGGCAGACTACGTCTCCCTCCAAAACATCTACAAGACCAAGGCACGCCAGGACATCGAAGAAGTAACCAAGACAGTCCGCCAACTCGAATCCCAACTCAGCCGCTCAACCCCCGCCATTCTCGACCGCGAAATCGAAGTCTTCTGCAAAAACGCAGCTCACATCAAGGTCGTGCGAGGCCGCCCCATCCCGCAAGTCAGCATCGACAGCGACATGGCAACATGGAAAGCAATCCGGAACCAGCTCAGCATGCCCGAATCGCTCATGCCGGCGTTCATAGCCTGCCAGATCCTCGACTCGGTCGTTGATGAGATCCAGTCGAATGGCCAAGAGGAGAATCTGTCAGTCGACGACTCCGGTCTGTGGAATAGTCATACTCAGCGCATTCTGACGTTACTGAATGGTGCTAATGGGGATGGATTGAGCGAGGATGCCAAGCAGCAGATTACGGATGCCATTCAGGAATTGCGCCGGGCTGACGGTGGTGAATTGCATAATATTTCTTCGCTTACTGGTGGTCTGGTTGCGCAGGAGGCGTTGAAGGTCTTGACTCGGCAGTATGTCCCGTTGGATAATACTTGTGTCTTTGATGGGGCGCGTAGCCGTAGTGAGATGTACCGCCTGTGAGAAGTGTCGAACTGCTTATTTGTGGATGAATGAAATGCACTTCATATCTCATCGCTGGCTAGCGATGCAAGCTTTAACAAAATTATGATTCATGATGCTGAGATCTCGGTACGTAAATTTGTGGCCAACAGCCGTTGAATTATTATAAATGTTCGATAATATGTATTCTATATTTTACGTAAGTATTACTTTAGTGATGACTGCTTTGCATGGCTGCATATGTTGATAAATTTGAGCCAGGACAATAGTCCTTGCCTGAGTATATACGGTAGACCAACAGTAGCAGTAGATCTCCACAACTGAAGTAGATCAACCTCGAATAAGCCAGATCACAAGATATTCAATGCCCTATATTGGAAAATGGGGATATTCCGTACAAATAAAGGGATATGTGACAATCAGAGGCATTTCCAGCTTTCAACTGACAGGTAATCACCGAGGTAAATCAGTTCGAGTCCTGATTGAGACTGGTTGGTACTTTACTAGTCACAATGGTAGCGCGTACTGAACAGTAGTTTCGGACGCAAGATATAGCGTTGAGCCACATGGGCAGTGTTTGAACAATAAATGGGTTGTTTCAGGCAACACATTCGATCAACGCTTCTTAAACTTGGGGCCACCAGGGCCCCGACCTCCGCGCTTGTTGCCCTGAGGACCACCCTTAGTCTCAAACAGCTTTTCTTTCCCGAACGCAGAATCTGCAATGCGCAAGTAGCTGACAACACCCTGATCAACCACAGCCATGACGACATTACGGTACCCGTGACGCAGCCGCATGTACATCATGCGTTGCATCTTCTCTCCGTGCGGAGGATCTAGTGGCGTACTTTCAAGTAAAGCACCGAGCTGAGGAAGGGTAGGCATAGTAGTTTGGTCGCGAGTGCTGACAACAGCGACGCGGAAATCTGGTGGCGGAGGAGCGGACTTTTTGAAAGGAGTGGAGGGCTTATAGATGTGGAAGACGACGCGGAAAGGTGGTGTGGTATCCGAGGGTTTGGATGGTGGTGCGGTGACAGGGTCGTACCACGGGATGATGGCAAGTTTTCGGTATACGTCCATATAATGGCGGTGGATGCCAAAGCCGACGATGGGGCCGGTGGCTGTGGAGGCTGTCTTTCGAGGGTCATGAATCCATTTGAATAGAGATCCTAATATACCCGCAAGACCGGGGCCGTGGAACTTTATTGGAGAAGGTTCAATGGCAGGAGCAGTCTCTTCTGTCTCCTCGATTTCATCTGACCACGCAGGAGCTCGAAGGAGTGCATAACCAAGACGCTTAAGACCAGTGTACACAGAGAAACGTTCAAGTGTGAGACCACCGTGTCCGACGAAGGATGCATATGCAGCTTGCAAACTCATAGGGATAGAGACGGCATCGATATCAGATGTGCTAGGCCATCTGATATCTAGACTGCCTCTCTCAAGCAAATATAATGCCTCTTCCGGTAATAGCCAAACACGGTTCTTCCGGTCAGCCTGACCCATTGTCTTGAAATACTGTCCTTTTGGAGTTGGTACCAAGACGCATGCATCGGGAGAAATATTGACAGATTTGGGCACGGCTTTTGAAGCGTCTGTTGGGGGTTTCTTTTGGGTTGATTCCGAGGCCTTTTCGTCTTCTTTGGTTTGCTGTGCTTCTTGTTGCGCATCCAACTCGGCCTGTGCGGCATATCCGCCAGGCGCATAATATGCTATAATCTGAGTCTTCGGGCGATGTAAGCGTGGGAATGAGAGCGCATTGTGCATGGCATCCCGCGACGCCGACAGGACATCGGCTTGGTGTTCTGTTGGATTGGGTTCAAAGTCTTTCTCTCCGCGGCGGGGAATGCTGGGGGATGCGGAATCAGACAAACTACAGGGCAGAAAGTGTTAGCAAGAGCAAAGATGGGCTTCAAGGCCAGTAACAGTCGACATGGTCGCAATGTCAGGTCGTGCGCGTACAAGTTTAAGTGGTTCAGGAAGCGGAAATCCTGGGTTTCATCCGACAAGTCGACCTCAACCTGCCCGGTTGCGGGGGTCTGGACAACATCCTCATCTGCATCGGCCATGGTGAGTCAAAAGAGGCTGGGGTTCAAATGCTGCGAAGTCTAGAAATCCGAGGGGAGAAAAGTTGCTTATCGATAAGAACATCTGCCGGCAACTTATTTCCAAGGTTAACTTACAGTATGTTTAAACGCCTATGATTGAACATGGTATTTATTATATGCAAGTTTCATTGATATTCACTGCATCAGTCTATGGCACTCACTGTCTGCTTCTAGCAATAAATCCTAAATTTGTGCGAAGTCACCAAATGTTCTACTGCTTCTCCAACATCACAACCTTGCTACCCAAATCGCTATCGAAGGGGAATTGCAGACCAAGATTCATCAAAGTGGCACCTGTATACACAGCATTGCCATCAATCTTGTAAGATGACTGTTCATCTAGCCCTTGCAGCCTGATACGCGGCCAGGCATGGTCGATGTTCGCACTGAGCTGGAAGACAAACAACACAGCCTGTTTACCATCTTCAGAAATGAACAAGACAGCAGGCCAGTTCGACTCCTCTGGCAGATTCAGGCGCCACATATCACCAGTTAACACAATGGGACTAACCTTCTCGGCCAAAGCAATAAGCCCTGGCAAAGCAGCCTTGTCCTCGGCCGGCATCTCAGCCGGATCAAGCTCCAGCCCAAACGATCCACCCATCATGGCGACGTGACCGCGGAACTCAACTGGAACGGTACGGCCAGTCTGCTGGTTTGGCACAGCAGAGAGATGAGCACCCATAGCGCTGGGCGGGTATGCGAGCGAAGTACCCAGTTGGATGGTAATGCGCTCGACAGCGTCAGTATCATCTGATGTCCAGATTTGTGGGAAATATTGCAAAACGCCTGGATCGAAACGACCACCACCTGACCCACAGCCTTCCCAGAGGACGTCTGGGAATTTGGTGGTTAAAGTGTCGAAAACCCGGTACATGCCGAGCATGTAGGCGTGACCAGTAGCAGGAGTGGGCATCTCGTGGATACCTCTGTTGTTGTCCCATTTGACATAGCTAATATCTGCGCTGTTCAAGATTTCTGACATGAACTTAATTATGAAGTCTTGAACCTCAGGCAGCGCAAGGTTGAGCACCAGTTGGTTACGTGTCTCGGTGCGTGGGTAGGGTCCTGCATGCAAAGCCCAGTCGGGGTGCTCATGGTACAGGGTCGAATTGGGACTGACCATTTCAGGCTCAACCCAAATGCCGAAGCGCATGTTTGTTGAGGAATTTGCGGCCTTAAGGGCAGTGATGTTACTCACGATCGGCGCGAGGCCATTTGGAAATCGGGTTGGGTTCGGCACCCAGTCACCCAGTCCTTGCTCATCAGATGTTCGGGGGTACTCCTTGCCGAACCAGCCATCATCAAGGACGAAGAGCTTCGCGCCTACTTCGGTGGCCTCCTGTGCCAAGTTGTAGACGCTGCTTTCGTTGATGTTGAAACCGAGTCCCTCCCAGCTGTTGAGAAGGGCGGGGCGATCGCTAGTGGCGAACTTGCTCTTGATAAGATGCTTGCGATACAAGCTGTGCAGAGAGCGCGACATGCCGCCAATTCCATCCTTGGAGTATACCGAGACACATTCCGGAGAGGAGAGGGTCTCCCCGGGTGGAAGGTTCCAAGAAAGATGGCCAGGGTTGAAACCGACCAAAGCGCGAGTGAAGCCCTGTGAACCTTTCTCGACATCAATCGAGAATGAACCAGTGTACACCAATGAGAATCCCCAGGCTTCGCCATGAGACTCGGTAGCTGAAGGCTCGACCAAGGCCAGGAATGGGTTGTGAAGGTGAGAGGAGTAACCGGTAGCACTTCCAAAGCTCTGAATACCGTATTCGACCTTGCGTCTCTCGCGGTGAGCCTCCCTTGCCCAATCTCCACGAAGACTAATCATCTCCAGGTCTTCAAACGGCAAGTCCACACTCAAACTAGCCAGAGATTCGATTGTAATATTTGCTTCTCCGTGGTTGGTTACATTGACACTGCGAACAATAGCGTCATATTCAGGGAAGATCGAATACGACAAGTCGGCTGAGACATCGCTGTACTTGTCATACAAAGAAACAACCAATGTACTGACATCCTTTTCGGAGCCCAAGGTAGCTGGCAAACCAGCCAGAGCAGGCTTTCCCGCAATGATCTTGTAGGATTGATATTGCAACTCGGAGACAGTGTACCCTGCCGACTGGCGAATCCGAATAGCAGGGATGCGGAAATCGCCTCGGCCTTGGTCTGGGAACTCGCGGCGCACACGCCCCGGTGTTCCAACCCAGCCATTGACATCGGCCACCGATTCTAGTGGAATGTCACCTGTGACCGAGCCACCGAAGTGATCACCGTAGAGGTCTCCCGTGGTGTTGTCCACATGGAAGCGATACGAGACAGTTTTTCCATTGAGGGCAAATGAAGTCCCATCTGCCACAATTGCTGTTCGATTCGATTAGCTCTGAAGATCAAGGGGACACAAAAGCGAGCCACGAACGTTTGGAATCCTGGGCCACGACCGCAGGAAACTCAGTGAGCATAGCTACGAAGCCCGAGGCCACCGCAACACTCCTTGAAAAACGAACCATCTTAGCCTCTGCTCTCTTGTCTAGAACATGTACAGGTCAAAAGAAGGAAAAGAAGCATACCTATATATGCCTCCCTTGCGTCAAGGTTACATTAGCAGAAGTGGGTAAAAGCTCGGAGTAAAGCAAAGTCAATAAACATGCAGAACTTGGCGTCAATGGCACGACACGTCGTAGAAAAGTGGAATTGCCGAGAATTCAAATCCAGCTCTGCTGATCCCAAGCATATTGAGCGATATAAGTAGTTCTGTGGAGTTGTTGGGGGGTGAAAATGCGGAGGAAGCCCCGGGGATACTCCGTGTCGGCGGCTTTGGGGGCTTCTTATTGGTTTCGGGCGTCTCAATCCCGCTGCACTATGCACTGCTAGTTGGGGGTTATTTCTTGGCTTTGGAGGACTCGGCTAAGCATTTTCCACTATATTGTATCTTTGATGTATTGCTAGGTGGAAAGATCTGTAACCAACCATATTCATCGTAGACGTCATATCCTGACAGTGTACCGTTTTTAGAGCGAGCTTGTCTCATATGTATGGGACCTGGTCCGAGTCAACTGGTCAACACCAATAACAATGATCAAAATCCCCTAAGCGGGCTATATGTTTATGAGAAAACACTGCATCTTTGATACTATCAGATTTTCTACATAGTGAATATACAATATAGCTTCTGGCCAGCATTATTTCGATCTGAGTATTGGTTTACTATAAGTATCTAACCAATTCACGATTGACCACCTGATACATATCGTTGTTTCACTCTCTCTGAGTTTGATTTGGCAATGAGACTAAAACAGTACCATCTCTTCTCACTCAAACATTGAAAGATTCCCATCCCGTAGCATAACAGACCAATTCGAAAGGTGAGTCTGTTGTAGATTGTGGAGTTGCGGGGAATGGGGAAACTCGGCAAATCGGCGGCTTTCAACGTCTCTCATTGGAAAGCAATGTCCAATCCCGCCTTCCCACCTATGCTTCTGGACATACTAGTGATGGCATGAGTCATTGAATAGCCCTTGGTACGTATAGAATGAGACTGGCCAAAGCCTGTTCGATCTGCCGGTACGAAGTCTCTTCCTTACCCGGCAAACACGTTCTAATCACAAGCGCTTAGCGAACGTCGGCGGAAGTGTGACATTCCTGCTCCTGGTCGCCCATGTACATATTGCTCGGGTCGGGGCCTGCCATGTTCTCGAAAGACTGCTTCGGTAGAGGCGTCCGAGACATCAACACCGGAACAAATAAGCCCTGCAGGCCGAAACAGCACCGACCAATGCACTTTACCTGATCAGTCCCTCTGTGCTGAGCTAGTGCAACTCTATTTTGAGTATGTGCATGACAAGTTCCATTCACTTTTCCACCGGCCAAGCTTGATGGAGGATCTATACAATGGCCAGGCGCCGGACATTTTGTTGTATGGAATGCTTGCCTTATCTGCGCGGTAAGGATCGATCACGTCCAATTCATCGTTGTTTCTCACTGGAACAGATTCTCGGTCCATCCGTCACTTGCCGAAATTGACCCCCGGGAAAGAGGGAAGATTTATGCTTCACGGTGTCAGAAATTGCTGGACTTGAATGACGTCTCCTTGACAACAATCCAAGCCTGCGTCCTGCTAGGTGCCATTGGCGTTGTAGACGGCAGGCCAGCTTCGGAAACTATCTATTATGCAGTTGCATGTCGTATTGCACAGCTAATAGATCTTCCCAATTGCTCTGCTGCAAACCGTGTGGAGCAGGAGGTCCACACAAGAGGTTCTTATACATTGTATTCTGTTCTGCAGCAATATGCTAACCCTAGATAGTATGGTGGACGCTGTGCATGATAGACGTTTGGTCTTCAACTGGAGTTCGACTCCCTCGCCTAATGATCTCGCAACCTGACATACCTTTACCAATGAATGAAGCCACCTTCCTACACATGGGCAGACATCAAGGGTTCACCGTGAAGGTCGAGGAAGATCGTGCATCATCACTACTAGCACAAATGGTACGGCTCAATGGGATCCTTTCCCAAATCAACGACTTTAACATCCAAGCCGCCGAGAACAAGATCAAAACAGAAAATGCCATCGCTACAATCGAGACCCTCTCCTCGAAACTCGATGAATGGATTACAGTTCTACCAAGCGATATGCAAGATACACGCGAAAATCTCCTGCACTACGCCTCCCAGGGACTCGGCCAACTCTTCGTCACCCTATACCTCGGATACTACCACTACGGCCAAATGCTCTTCTACCGATTTCTCCATGAAGACTCACGATCGTTCTCGCCAAGTACACATTTCTACGCCAACACATGCAAAGATCACGCAATCAAATTGTGTGAAATGATCTACAGCTCAGAAGATGTGCCTGGCTGTGCAGTGCTGTACAACATGGTTGGCCATGTCCTTGTAATAGCCTCGACGGTCCAAATCCACACGCTGCTATTTGGGGTTGATAACGAAAGCGTAACTCTCGCCAGGAACAGACTTGAGAGAAACTTTTGCATTCTGACTCGACTTCGGAAACTATGGCCTACACTGGATGTTTGTATGGAGCGCTTACAGGCTTTTCACCGCGCCTGTAGGCGTTCTGTTGATACTAGTTTTTGTATGGATGAGTGGATGGTCAGGTTTTTAGTTGAGTTTGCGAATCCGGTCAGTGATAAAGATGGAAGTGTAGATCGGATTGAGGAGAGGCCTTGGGGGTTGGAGGAGATTGGGATTTCATTGTGAGGTTTATTCTATTCTAGCCTGATAGCCCTGCAAACCCCAATTCCTGCCTGGGGCGGAAATCCACTCCCCACAATGAAAGACCCAACGAAATAACCGCGCATCTTCACGATTCCTTGACCCGGCTGATTGAACATTCTCGAAATGGAGACTGCAGCTCAAAATACCGTAGACTACAACGAATCTCTACGCAGGGTATCTTGAACCCCCGCACTAAGAAAGAGACCAAAAGCTGACCAAACATCAGATATCAAACAGCCTAGAGAATGCCCTGGACACATTCGGGTCGTCATCCAGACAATATCAGGCTATCCTCGTCATATTGAAGGAATGTCTTCGTGATATCGAAGCTGAGCGCCGGGTTCAAGATAACGCTCAGGTGGTCGATGCCGATATGTTAAGTCTTGCTATGGGATTCCTTGAGATTGGAAAATAACGGTTACTTCTGCGTTGATTTCGTCGATTTCTCATTTTTTGCTGATGTTTGATACCCTTATCTTTCATGTTACTATGGCCTGTTTGTTAATTCATTCGTGATCGATGTTCGTGGCAACTCGTGCATGTCAAGATCAAGATCACCCTTGTCCACGGTGGTGATGGATGATAATATCCCAATATACAGATTACATAGTTGAATCTATCGTCCAGCCTTTACCTTCAGAAATTGTATACATAGACTTAGCAATAATTCATAATTCCATATATTGACATGTCTCGTATCAGCAATGCCACTCAACGGCATGCGTATATGCCACAGGATGAAGAGCCGGGTAGAACCGACCATAAAGCCAAAAGTAATATATCCAGGCATGAACTCATAAAAGGTCAAGTCTGACGAGTTCAGTCGCCAGTCTCACAAGTCCAAACCCCGAATGACAGGCAGCCCAAACACTCCCATTTTGCCCAAAACAAATGAACAACCGATTTCCGGGAATGCCATGCAATAAACTCCATCTATGTATTCGGAAGACGTGTCATGATATAGAGAGGTTACGATCTGTAGCTCGCCTGGGAGAGGGTATGGTGGTAGCTGTCTGTTATAGACTCCAAGGTCCCGTTCTTGGTATCACCGACGCAGACGGTCCAGTTGTGAATCGGGTAGTATATAAGATAGTTCGCTCGCAGCTCCTCGGAGTCAAAAATGACTTTGTCCAATTCAGTCGATCAACGGTTTCTTCTGGTTGCCGACAATGGCTGCCCCGAGATGACTTAAGGCGTTGTGGTCATTTGGTCTAACGATTGCAGGGAGGGGGAGCATGGGGTTGTCTGGGTTGACATGGGCGGCATCTCGAGCAGCTTGTTCGATTGCCTCCATTTCTTCTTTGCAGCCGGCGTGGTCGAGCGGACAGACTACAATTGGTTGTCGTATTGTGATGTCTCTTGCGGAGGTAAGATGGGCCTGTCAATGTCAGTCTTGAATGAACAGGGGAGCAATGGGAAATGAAAACGAACGCGAACGGTGAGATAGTACTCGATTTTATAAAGACTTGCGGTTGTTGTGAAGCCGCTCACCCCGTATGTTGGGAAAGCCGTTTTACTTCGAGGTAAGATTCCCTCTGTGTCGCGGATATCTTTGGCGGGAAATACCAATCCGAGGTTTGTGAGATAACCCGATTGGGGCAATTTGACACCAATGGTTTCGGTCTTTTTGGCCAACACCTTGACTTTTCGTTGTGGCTCATCGCCCTCGTGGTTGAAGATGATTTCTTCGTCGATTCCGATAGTGATCTTACTGATCGTCACTTTGCGGGCCTTGCCCATCCAACTCTCGTTTGGAGATAGTTTGACATAGACACTGACGGGATCGAGGGGACCGTACGACCAGCGTGGTAATGAGATGGCCAAGGTAACCAAGTGATCTGATACCCGTTCGGCGGACTCGGGGCGATTGTACATGCCGAATGTGGAGAGTGTGTCATAACGTGCGATGGGAACTGGAAAGGTATATTTGTGCTGTTCTTGCTGTCCTTGCTGGACCATGACTACCATCTCATAGTACGTTTCGGCAGTGCGACTAGGAAGTTGTACGCTGGCTGGAGGTACGCGCCGAGAAGCATCACGGCCACCACGACCAAAAGGAATAAAGAGAACAAAGGGTAAATCCATAGATATCACTTCCTCGTATTCTTTGCCCGCCGGGCATCGGAACAGAAGCATCTCCTTGCCTACGATATCCGTGATCTCTTTCCGCGGAGGTGCCAGGCGCTTCTTTGTAAGAGAGTCGGCCGAAGGATGAATGGTCTCCCGGCGGAGGAGAGAAATTGTGACGAGTGAAACGTTGACAGGGGCCGTTATACCGATGCTGGGTCGAATCTCGACTTTACCTTCGACTCGAGGCTTGGATACGTCAGTCAACTCCGGTGAACAGGGGGGAACCGAACGCCTCGCGACGTTGTAGCACAGGGCGCTTACCATTGTCGCAGATATGCCCGGATATCCGATCAGGAAGTTGCCATTTGCCGGCCCTGAAACGCGCACGAAGGCGGCCATCTCGATCAAGTCGTGCCTGTCGCACCATGGGCGTGCGGCGGGGATTCGAGTGGGGTATTTGCGAATCGGCCGTGGGAACCCTTCGCGCGGTTCATAGGGAGGAGTGTGAGGGTGAGGTGGAGAGAGGTAAGGGTGGGCGTAGAGGAAGCGTTAAGGTGAAGTGACTGAAGCTGGGAGGAGCTGGGAAGCTGAGCTCGCCGGGTTAGTGGGGAAGGGTTGAACCCCCAACTTGGAGCCTCACTGTAGATCCATAGTCGTCTACTGTAATTCGAGAGTGTGTAGGATAGAGATAGATATTACTATGAGTTCACACTGGTCTCCTGGATCTATATCCCCAGATCTTGTCTGTTTCTCGCCCAATTTCCAACCGATGTCATCATCGTCATCTTACATGAACTGGTAGATCACTATCACGGCGCTTATATCAAGTCCACTAGATTCGACATTCCCAGAGAATAGACCTTAGAATATAGAATATAGAACGTGACAGACAAAACAACAATATAGACTATATGATCTCACGATCCAGTGCTTTCCCCTGGACCCGAATACCAGCAAGCTGTGGTTGCCAGTGCAACAGAATGACGCTTTTTCTCCACCCATTCCCTTCGTCCCTCCACATCACTCCACGCCACTGTACCACGACACTTCTAGAACAGGCTATTCCCTCCAGCTACAGCACATCTACAAAATGCCTCCTCGACGCCGTGCAGGAAACACTGCCGCAGCGCAATCTACGCTGTCCTTCGGCAACCAGTCCCGAGTTACCAAGCCAGTGACTGCGCCAATCGATAAAGCGAAGGCCCTTGACTCAACACATTCTCTCTCCCAGAAGTCGACCTCCGCGACTCCTGAGCCCCAACATGTCTCCATTAGTCCCGTTGAGCCACCCAAGCCCCATGTTGCAGAGCTAGTGGTCCGCCCGGAGCCCACGCTCGAAAAACCAGCTATCACTTCAGCAGAGGACAAGCGGGCCTTGAAATTAAATAAGCAAGATATCTGGCGGTACTGGAGGGCTCAAGAGGAGAGTCGCAAGGCACCTCGGGGTAAGTTGCTCTGCCACAAGGGTTACAGGGGGCGTTCAAAGAATGGAAAGATTAACTCAACTCAATAGTTCACCAGCAAGGCATGGATGTGGAGGAAAAGATCCTACGCCATTTTGATCTGTCCAGTCAGTATGGGGTAAGTGCTCTTTCTTGCTTCCCAGACTTGACATGACCAGAAGTCATATCTAACGTCTTTTCTGTAGCCTTGCATTGGAATCCCTCGGGTCAACCGGTGGAGGCGCGCAAACACTTTGAAGCTGAATCCGCCGATTGAAGTTTTGGCTGTCATTCTCAAGGGCAAGAATACTAAAGAGCGAGCTCACATCGACGAAATACTGTCATGAGAACAGGCCTGACAAGTTTGCATGGGTTCGGAGTTTGGATAATGTATACATATTAATGAGAAATGACCATCTGGGGCATCCCAGCACTTTGACAACTTCCTCCTCTCAAACTCTCAACGATCTCATCTCCATGCTGGAGCATTTCAATTGCAACTGATAGTCACGTGTAAGATATCGAGGCTCAATCTCACCTCGTTCTTGGCTTCTCTCTCGCATGTGAACCCCTTGACCCGAGGCAGATTAGTCTTTCAGTTCTCGTTTGAAATAGATTGAAGAACAATCAGAGTCAATACAAATCCTATTGATAAGAGACCTTGAGCCCTGGCCATGTCGATCCTAATTATCAGAGGCCTCCAAGCGACAGGACAGCGGAGCCAATCGATTATGGAAGCATAAGCATACTCGAATCATCTTATCGTTTTTGAGTCAAGGGATCATTCAGCGCCATCTCATTTCGGCTCGAAATCTAACCGTCTTCGAGACCGTGCCTGACTTCACCCCGGATTCACTCGGCTGGGGGACTCCGCCCCCGCAATCTGAAGGAAATCATTGTTTTCCCTCCTGACTTTGTCGTCTTTGTTCTACAACTTCAAATATTTCGAGTCGATTGACTTCTAAAGCACACAGAAAAGTTCGGAATGACCCTAGACAAGGATCTTACAGCCTTCTGACGCCTCCACGGTCATCATTCGCCTCTGATCGCCTAGAGACCAGAATGAAGTCTAAACCCAATGCAGTTGTACCCCCGTCTAGGTCTATGCGCTGTTTTCCCTGGAACGTCAAATGTGGCTCGACGCCTCTTTGTCAGCCTATTTCCAGCCCCCAAAGGCATGCCATGTGATCACCCCGATCGCTCCAAAGGCGAAGCTGCAGACTTGTCCCCGCTAAGATGTCTCACTTGGTCGGCTACGGGAAACCCCCGCCTGTCCCACTGTCTAGTCGGGAATCCAGACATCTATGGCAGATGAACATCGTACAATATACCTTGTGGAAGTCAGCGATCATGATATGCAGGTACAAGGTTCCAAAATTCATCGTTTGGATGTCCGTTGTTCGAGTATCTTGTTGGCCCATGGATCCCCCGGACTATATCGAATGATCATAAGTCCGGTTTAACTCGAAATCCCGGAATTTCCAAGCACAGTGATTTTCCGTTCAAGAACTGAGCCCACGAGTCTACAGCATGTCCTCGTCCACATGGTTCCTGACCAGTTCCAAGATCCAACTGTCCACCTCCTGAGTTTGGGCCCTTCATCCTTCGCTTTAATTTATTGAACTGCACTGTGCTACCCCAAGGTGAACTGAATTAACACTGAAATAGATTAAAATATGCGGATTGTCGGACCACACGCCAAATCGGGATAGTCTGATGCTACGTTCCCTCGGGCCCTGCCGGGGTCCAATCTTTCCCCGGATTTTCCTCTACTTCTCGACATCTGTCTCACATTTCTCCATTGCCACTGTCTACAGTTACTGGACTGGGTAATTGACGCAAAGCATGATTGTCCACGTACTCCACACCGCATAATGACTTTTTTCCTGCTTTCCAACCAATCTCCTTGCGTATGGTACATTCTGCAGTGGGTTTCCTGCACAACCCACATATGTGCTACACAACCAGTACCCTATCATCGTGTCCCTTAGTGTCAAGGGTCTAGCCTGACATGGTGGGTATTAAACCTCAAGGTCTCCAGTCGGCGGTATGACTAGCTTTGTATGGGTAGTGCACCACAGAATGGCATTGCCACTGGCCCAGCCTTTCTTAGATTGCCTTGTCGACCCTGTCTAGTCCCATTCTGGCAATGCGGACATACGTACTCCGTACGATGGCAGCAGACTGAGCTAGTCCTTTGTCTTCCTCCATTCATTCGGCTGCGGGGACTGGATCCGGCGTCAACCGTCTGTCTTGGCCATGCAATGAGCGTCCAGAACCCCGGTTCGGTGGTAATTACGGATCTGAGTCAACCGCGGCCTTTCACTCTCTTGTGGGCGAAAGACTCTCTCATTAAGCATGCGGAGACATGTGATGGGGCCATCCATGAACGCTTGGTACAACCCTGAAAGGGGTTACTCCAATCGTGGACCATCAGAAACAGGTACAGGCGAAGCTTATAAAAGGCCTGTCCCATCCTCTAGGTCTGGATCTCCTCTCGACAACACATCGCCTTCGTTCTCCTTGACAGTCGTTTCCAGCACGCCGTTTAGAACTATAATCCAGACCTTGTCTTAATTATCTCTTCAAGATGCAGTTCTCCCACGCTCTCATTGCTCTCGTTGCTGCCACTCTGGCCAACGCTCAGCTGCCTGACGTCCCAGCCTGCTCGGTATGAAGCCTCATAACAAGCCAAACTTACAACAAACTTATACTAACATTTGCTTCAGCTGAGCTGCTTTGTCACTGCTTTGACCACCGATGGCTGCTCCGAGCTGACCGACTTCGCCTGCCACTGCCAGAAGACCTCTCTGGTCAGCACCATCACTCCCTGTGTCCAGAAGGCCTGCGAGGTTAAGGACCAGATCTGTATGACACCCCACCCCCAGCTCACCCAATGATCCAACCCACTAATCAACAATAGCCGTGTCCAACGCTGTTGTGTCCCAGTGCTCTTCCGCCGGCCACCCCATCGTTGTTCCTCCCATCGAGACCACCTCAGCCTCCAGCTCCGCCGCTGAGACCAGTGCCAGCTCGAGCTCCTCCAGCTCCGCCCCCGCTGAGACCAGCGCCAGCGCCTCTGCCAGCGCCAGCGCCAGCGAGAGCTCCAGCGCCGCCGGTTCCTCCAGCGCTGCCGAGTCCTCCTCCGCTGCCTCCAGCTCCGCCGCCGGCTCTGCCACTGCCACTGCCACCGCCAGCTCCGGTGCCGGCGCCAGCTCCAGCGGCGCTGCTGCCTCCACCCCTCTGGCTACCAAGACTGGCTCCGCCTCCGCTTCCGCCAGCTCTCCTGCCTACACTGGCGCTGCTGCCAACGTCAAGGGCAACATGGCCGGTGTTGCTATGATCGCCGCCGCTGCCGCTTACGTCCTGTAAATGTATCTATACCTAATCTGACCCTATCCTTGCTCTCTTTGGATCACTTGTCAGCTTTACTGGCTGATTACATTTGGAATCCGGGATTTGCTCTCGTGTTCTAGGCTTGGTCTATCGAGGCTGGTGTGGTGTATATCCCTGTATAGTTGACACGCTTAATACAATCCATGCTGTGTGATGATTCTAAACTTTGATTCCGTTTTGCCATGCAGGCTGCGTAATTTGACGCATGCGTCTGAACTAGGCTAACTTCAGTCCTGTCCTCCCTATATATCTCCCTCTCCTGAATCGAAGTCTTCTTGTCGTGGTTGGCATCTTGAATCGAGTAACCAGTCACATTTTATGATGTCCCTATGATCATGAGGAGGGTGTTGAAATATAAGCCTGACACCTTGAGCAGCGTTGCTTTTTGGTCGAATGGTTTAACGTCCTCTTTGCAAGATAGGCAACTGGCCATGATACTCATCAAATTATTTATAGTTGCATATTACATACTGTGTATTTGCACAATAATACCAGCACGCATTTGATGAGTTATTGACCGCTACTTTTACGCCTAGATAGAGAACCTCAAACTATACTCAAAAAGTTTATAAACAGAGCATGTTCATCTACCATCGCTTCAATGTTTAGGGACTAAGGATTCTTCTTTTCACACAATCGAGAGGCTCAAAACAAGCCTTCGCATTCATAAACCCCTCTATAGTAGATTGATGACTGGTTGAGCGTCAATATATACCAGGAAAGCAACCCAAAAATATCCGAACAAAACATAGTTACTTATTACAATAGGATCCAATCCTCCTCCAATTTGCCAGGGAAATTATTCTCCTTAATGAGAACGCGCAACACGAAGAGAATTCGCTACTTTGAGGAACAATAATCCTACACAAATGAAATGTATATTGCGGCCATTGACACTTCAAAGCTCCAATAAAACCAGTTACTCTCTTTATGATATACGTATACCCCAGCCGAGGAACATGCTATTCAAGATTGTTCCTATTTATTCAAGAGTCCCGAGGAACGTTTCCCAAATAGCCATAGATTGTTGTGCCTACGTCCGACAATACACATATACTATGTCCATTTATTCCACTCTGGCTTGTCAGATAAGACGCTACCCAACCATAAATTATTAAAAGACAGATCAAGTCTTAGGCGTAATAAAGCTAGTGATAAAAGCATGAATTTATACAAAACTAAAAGATAACCCTATGTTTGTCTCAAGACCACCCGTCCACCCCCCAAAGCAACCAGATCTGCAACAGCTAATCCTAAACAAAAGCCCCGTTCAAGCCCGAAAGTATGAAATAGTAAATGCAATATGTTACAGCCAGTAAACGCCGACCTTTGAAAGTGAAATAACGTTAAAAGGAACCGTGGGACGTGAAAACGACATTTCACGGGACCCATAAACGCATGAATCCCCCAACTTCCTGACGGCAGGTCACACAGCTGCCAAAGTTATTCATTGCAAGGCTGACACGACAATCTTCACAAATGCAGAGACAGCGACAGGGCCAGGTGATGATAGCTCGAGGGCTAGTCTGACAAACCACACACGGCGGTCCATTAGGACCAAGACCCGTTGCGCCGGACTCCCAAGACGAAGCACCGGCATGAGGTGAGATCTCCGCTCGACGGGAGAGAATGAGCTTCTCCAGGATTTCGGATTCCTCGTCCGCGGTGGGTCTACGCCCACTCGGGCCTGATTCCATGGCGTTCAATTGGTGCAGACGAGACGAGAAGATGATCTTGGATTTCTCCCGTTCAATTTCTTTCTGATAGCGACTGCGAGTCATAATCCGGGGACTGTCCTGACTAGGTTTGAGATGTGCGGCTAGGATGCGAGCTTCTTCTCTGCTTTCACGGTCACGAGGGTCGAGAAGGCGTGCGAGAGTGCTCATGTCAAGAAGAGGGTCGTGAAGCGGGGCGGGGTGTGCCTTATCTGCGTATGGCTCACGTTGGGTCGGAGTGCGGCGGCCGTCGTCGGATGGGTAGTCCTCCCATTCCGATTCGGAAGCATTGGTGGACATAGAAACCATACTAGTGGTATCAAAATCATCGTCAGCGGCCGGCTGGTAGTCTGAGCTGTGGTCTTGGTTGCCCCAGGCGCCGCCGGATCTCCACCAGCCGTACAACCTGTCATCTAACCAGCCTTCATCCAATCCCAATCGCTCGATTCGATTTGTCCGCTCTCGCTTCCTCATCTCCAGCTCAACATCGAAGTCACCGTTCTCGGGAAGTTTGATTTCTCCATCTTCTGAGAGGATCCAAAAATCCAGAGTACGAGATTCACCTGGCTGCTCCGTCTCACTCGCTTGTGGACGGTGTCCAATCAGACGTTTCAGCCACATTGGACGTGCAGTGAGTCCTAGTCGATCAAGCACTGCGTTCAATCCGAATCCAACCCAACGAAGAATAAGTAACGCAATAGCACGGAAGAACGAGGCAACATGCCACAGGCGGATGGACACGCGCACCGCCCCAACTCCGCCAAGCTCGGCCTGAGAACGAACGGCGCGATTGCCATTCTTTTGCTTCTCGATCTTCTTTTCGCGGCCGTAGCCAGTCTCCCAAATGGGAGGCTCGTGGGGAATGTCAAAGCTTGCAAAGCCCAAAGCCTCGATTGGACGAGTGTTTGATTCACTCTGCCAATGCTCATGAGAGGAGGACTTCTTTCGCGAAGCGTCGATCTCTGCGAGTCGGTCCTCTTCCAGCCATGTCATGCGTCGCGCAATGACTGCTTTGCCTTCGTTCAAGAAGACAGCTTCGCTAGCAGCAGTGAGAGCGACATAGCCGATCCTGAGTAACGTCGTATAGAAATCCTCGTGTCTATTAATGCGAATGCTGCGAATCTGGTTGGATCCTTGCATATTCTCATGAGCTAACATGAACCGCTCACGAAGTGTGACAGGTTGTTCGTCCTCTGAATGCATCGAGAAAGCAGTGATGGTGAGAGCGATTCCATAAATCGTCACGCAAACAACGATTCCAAACAGTACAAGGATGTGGGGAATAAATCCGACGATGCATACTGTTGGAAACTTGAGGACTCCAGTTTCAATGCTAACGGGCGGACCGCCCTCCAAGCCCCATAGCATGGCTGCCATGAAGCATGCTCCCCAAAAGGCAGTATTTAATAATCGATATCTGCTCTGTTTTCCGACAACGTCTAAAAGATGGGATGTAAGACTGTTGCAACACGAGATCAGTGCAATGAGTAATAGTTCAGGCGTCACATTCATGCGCTCTAAGACTTGTGACCTGGTAAGCATTTGAAGAACCGAGGCTGATGCTTCACCAGTTGAGCTTGTACTGAGGGGATTTTGCTTTGGAAGACCAAACATGCCCAGTCCAATCGATTTGCTGATCATCGACTCGGCTTCAGCAAATGCAAGTGAATGCTCAAAGATGGACATTCCTGTCTCAGTCATAACAGGCTTTCCTTGCAATGCGCATGACAGAGTCTCGGCAAAATGGCTCCCGCAAAGAAGCAAAAAGGTCGGCCACAGCAAAGAAAAGGAACCGTATGGAATCGGCGACGAGGTGCCTGTGCGACCCATCTTCACCGCGCTGCAGGATCGTTCCACGGACTCCCATCCCAGAAGCTTGGAACTCATCGAATAAAGAGCACCCCCATCGCTGGAATAGTCAAATATGAGTTGCTTCCCGGGCTTGCCATATCGAAAAGTCGAAAAGTCAGGCGATGTCTGGCATCTGATTCCGCGAAGCAGACTCATAATTTGGAACACAAAAAGAAGGATAGGAATCAATCGGAGAGCCAGGCGTCTTTCCCAGCCCAGTCGAAGATGGCGCCGAGTCGACGCATAGATTGTGATGCGGTTGAGAATAAGTGCCTGAGCCGATTAGCATCATAGATCCCCATTGTTGACATTTCAACCTACCTCCACCAAACACGCGAATGACCACAGACTGGTCAGGTACCCAAAGAAGCCGCCAACTTTCTTGATCGCACTCAAGAACTCAGCAATGTAGTAGCCACCATCTTGGCCTACTCCTCCGGCAGCCCCATCTCCTGCCATATTCGCGGCCGCGTTGGTTGCCGCTGCCACCGCATCCCCAGCTCCGGCAGTCGAATCTGCTCCGCTCCACAAACCCAAGCCTAAGGCACTCATACCTGGAATTCTGGCGAGTGTCTGAGGGACTGTCCGGAGGGCAAAGGTCTCGGCGTGTTGGAAGGCGCGCAGGGGGGTTGTGAGGAGTTGGAGGGGCAACGACGATAATGATGAAGCTTCTGGTAGACTTGTAGGTTCTATATGGTGTAAAACAGATGCACTAGATGTGCTGGCAACCGTAGAGGCTTCCAGGATGCCAGACATCGTCAACGTGGGATGTGACCCTTATCGGTGATCCGGGGGAGATGCAATCAATGCAAAGGCCCGCCTGTGCATACGGAAGGTGTGGGCGCACACAAATAGACGGATTAATACGGGAATAGTGAAATCAAACTAGAGACTACAGTGAGCATCGCCCATGTGTACTGCATCCCGTAGTCTGTTATGGGTAAGAGCGGACTTCACGGCACTTGGCCTGCCCAAGTGGCGATGGGGGCATTCCGGGGGGGCTGAGTCAGCGCCGAGGCTTGGAGTCAATACTCTACAGGGCGCGTTGGAGGCAATTGCTGGGCTATGAATTCGGATTTTTGTTTTATCAATGATCTTGACTTAGAAGAAGCAACAAAAGCGTTATGGTTGTTTGTCAGGGTCATGCAATTGGATAGTTGTGATGTTATATACCCGGCTTTATACGTGACATTGACAGCCCTGAATAGCCACTAACTAATATTCAAATATGTGATGTTCCCCTTATAAAAGACCAAGACCAATGGTAAGTTGGCAAAGGTTCAATCATTGGGTTGTTTGTTCTGCCATCCGTTTTAGACGTTTTCGACCATAGAGCTAAAGGCCGAGCGCATATGCTAAGATGGGGTGGGATTTCTCCCTAAGGGCGTGGATAAGAGCGCAATAGAAGAAAGAAGAAAGAAACAAGAAACAAGAAAAAAAGAAAATAGGGTTCAATGTGGTTCACATTTTGCATACCATAGAATACATGTCCGGCATAATGCCATCGTGAACCTGCTTTGAGCCAATCCGAAACTCCAGTGGTATCTTTGTAAGTGAAATGCCGTAGATCGTTGCGCCGTGAATATTTGCAAGGCTGATAGGAAGTGAAACGAGAATACTTGAAGCCCCAGTCAGCGATGACATCAAAAGGCTGAAGGGCGAGGTACGTACACCTCAAGTATCCAAGTAATCAGCAGCCATCAAGAGCTCCAGGCACAATTCAGGTGGGATGTCCATGTCTGGCACGTTGGTCTGGTCTTTATGCTTCTCATTGTAGCAAAAGTATTCGCAGACTTTTTCGAGAACGACACCACTGCAGAGAGAACAGTCATGTTAGGATAGATCAAGACGCGTGAGGAGATAATCAGGGACATACGTCATATCCTCCAGCACACATCGCCCAGAGATTCCCTCCGAGAACTTGCCTGTGGGTGGTTAGTCAAGGCCGACTACTCAACAGGATCCCAAATCCACGTACTGGAAGGGTGTAGCATGCGGCGGATGGTTCCTGAAACACAAGCAGTGCTACGGGGAAGAATGAATTCAAACCCATCGCAAGACACTAGCGTCACGTATTCCGACTGTGAGGAATCCATGGTGAAATGGTTGAAGCAAGTTGGCTGCGGTGGAGCGCGGAAGCCTTTTTGACCTCCGTGGGGTGGTCCGTGCTGAAGCTGCGTGATTTGATATTGGGCAGTTCGCGGTCTTCTGCTACTTCAACTGTCTTGAGATTCAAGAATGAACAGTTTACACAGAGCAGCCTTTTCGGCGAGAGGAATGGCATCGCCCATTGGTATTTCACCTGGAAATATATACCTGCGCAGCACTGGGTGCCTCAGTCAACAAGCACGACGTCATATCCATCCCAGATCAACTAAGCGACTCTTCTCATCATCGCGAACAAATTACAATAATAACAACGTCCAATTCCAGTCTTCAAACCGACTAGCTGGTCGAACATGCATGATCACAGGCGGAACATCAGGAATTGGTTTTGCTATCGCCGAAAGATTTCTACAGGAAGGGGCATCGTCAATAGTCCTAGTGGGAAGATCTCAAACTCGACTCGAACAAGCAGCCTCAAGACTAGCTTTCTTGACCGGTGAATCATCTAGCCTAGAAGAAAGCAATGGTACAGTTGCAACACGTGCCCCAGAGGAAGACATGCAACCAAGCACACCCGAAAATATCCGTATTCTTGTCGGAGATGTTGCAGAGGTTGGATCATGGATGCGAGACCTTGAGAAAGAAATGGTATGTAGAATGCAAATCAATTTCAATTTCATACATCTGACTGCTACTCGAATCCAGGCAAATGTCGATATTCTGGTCAACGCAGCCGGAATTTCCATCTCAAACATCCTACCCAGATGTGAGCTAGATGATATCTCCAAGACGTTGCGTACAAACCTTGAAGGCGCAATGATCACGTCAAGAGCATTAATTCGCGCTTCGATCCGCAGCCGGATGCGCAATCGAAATGATCCAGCTGCCGGAAAAAGACCATCAAAGTGCATTATTAATGTTTCCTCTTTGCTAGCCCTCAAGGGTGGAACTGGTGCAGTTCCATATGCAGCTTCCAAGGCAGGTCTGCTCGGATTGACCCGGTCTCTGGCTGTTGAAGCATCGGCTTCGCTGAAGCATATTGTTATTCGGTCGAATGCCATTGTGCCGGGGTATATTGAAACACCAATGATTGCAGGTATGTCGATGGTATTCTTATTTCTTTGAGAACTTGCTCATCTTGATTTAGATTTCACACCTGGAGAAATGACCAGGCTCAAGGATCTCATTCCTCTCCATCGTTTTGGAGATCCGCGTGAGATCGCTGATGCTGCTGTTTTCTTAGCGCAGAATGAGTATGCCAATAATTGTGTGCTTAATCTCGATGGTGGATTGAGCGCTGTTTAGCTAGACAGCAGCCGTTTACTATCGGCACTAAGGTACATCTGAAGGAATGTCCACAGCATTGAGAGAAACAACACAGATGTCAACAAGTCATGGTTCATCGAGAATGTATTCCAGCCCGTATCTAAGCTTGTTCGCCAGAAGGAAGTTTTGGACACTGCTTCTTCTGTAGATCAAAGAAAATTCGCCTTTATGCCATATAGTACAGGGTGTCCGAAGTAAATGAGAAAAGAAAATCGTGAAACACAATTGAGAAAATCACCGGCTTGACAACGAGAGACCAAGCTCAACAACATGATATGACTGCGAAGTCTAGTGGATAGTCCGGCACCACAGCTAGTCGCCAATTATGATGGCGCCTTCGTCGTCATCATCATCAAGAATGATAGGCTCGTTAGCGGATGTGCTGGCGATACGTTTGGCATTGTGCTGCCCTAGGTCAATTGAGCCCTCACGCTTGCGCTTTCCAGTGACACTCTCGCCATTGGTAGATGCTGCAGGCTCGGGACTGGATTGCTCAGGTTCGGGATTGGATTGTTCAGGCTCGGGATTAGATTTCTGAGGCTTGGGTTGCAAGGGAATGTCGATAACCTTCTGTAGCTTTGCAGGCTTGGTGTTATCGATCTCCATAGCACCATCGAGAGGGAGGCGCCTGAGCGTCAATCAGCAAATGTGACAAGGGGTTATGGTTGCTGAAGGTTGATGAGCTTACTTTTCAATTATAAGGATCTCGATGTCCACGCGCAGATCTTGATCTTCATCAATTCTGTCATCCGTCACCGTGAGCAAGGAGCCCTTTCCGATGCCCCAATGCGACAACTTCTTGTCCATGTTATCCTCACAGTCCAGGTCGTAGATTACTTCATTGAGCGCGCCATCGAGAATAGCAAGGGATATTTCAGTATAACCCAACTCCTTTTGAAGAATGCCTTCTACTAGATCCTTCACGGTCGCCATTTTAGGATCGATTTCCACTCGGATCTGAGGCAGCGAACAAGAGGGGCAATCGGGATTTGGGGGATTCAAGGACTCTGAGTTGATGACGCGAGCACCAGACCTCTCCAGGAACACCTTTCAATAGGACTCATTAGCTTGTGAGTTGAGTGGCAGGAGTTGAGAAGTCTTACCGTTTTGGCATGCACCATATCCTGCTGTAGCACCTTGAATGACTGAAGTACACAAAGTCCAGCCGTCATCGCATTTGTTGTAGCAATGGCCGGGATAATGTTGCCCGCCATTTCTGCAAGATTCTTTAGCTATGGCCTAAGTGAGTAAACTAAGACAAGGCCCACTCACGCTTGATGTCGAATTTGGATTTTGTTTCGATGTGGAAGGCAGTCGCTCGGAGATTCGCGGTCGCTGCAACGAAATCCAATGTGTCCACATCATCTTTATCGAACGTAAGAACTGGAGGCTCTCCGCCGGACGTCTCAGCCTGGAGTTCCTTGAGACGATTGCTCAGCCGATGGAAACTATAGTTCAAGTTAATATCCGTGTGGCGGTTTGGATCAGATCAAAGTAAGTTCGTACCTGTCCCGGAAAACAGCAAAATTCTCTTCAACTGTCCATATTGGTTGGTCTTCCGTGGCAATAGCAGGATCAATAGACGGGAGCTTTTGGTCGAGGACTTCAAAGTCCAGGGACTGAGGCTTCTGGCGTATCTTCCACATATCACTCATATTCGTCAGGCGGTCGATGTCCTTGCCAAAGATCTTTTGGAAAACCTTTCGATATCCTTGGTCAGTTCCTAAGGCTTCTCGAAGCTCCTTCATATCGAATGCTTCCTTGCGCAGTTCCGCGATCTCGTTTGCTAGCTTGAAATTAGTATGGTTTTCAATAGGGAAGTTCAGGTGTAACAAACCATTATCTGCGTTCTCATCGGCTTGGATATCTGTCGCTCCATCTTCGCCGTTGCCAAATAGCTCCCTGTTCAATAGTCAGTATCCACAAGAGATGAACCGGTAGTTTAGTCTTACGGAAGAAGCCAGCTCTTTGCCCAGACGATGCAGTGAATGGGCTGAGAGGGTGTGCTGCGAATGGTGCAAATGGCAAACGTCTTCGGTACTCCTTTCGGGGTGCAGTCGTAGCACTCCGTTTCGCCCTAGTATATTATCATGTGAGTAAAGCCCAGATCTATCGGAGAATTAACTGCATTTGTTGCACACCTTGCGGATAACCTGAACCTGGCCATTGAAACCTGTAGTACCGCTCTCAATCAACGGCACATTTGTCGCGAGACACATGCGGTTCACATGGCGCCGCGCGCCAATGTTGTCTAGCGCATTGAAAACGACGGCGAAACTTTCAAACCACTCGAAGCTGAATTCCTTATCCATGATATTGGCGTGGTAAGCCTCGAGCTTAACGTTAGGTCGGAACTTTTGCGCAACTTCCTTGGCGACCTAGATGACAGTTTCACATCTCAGTAAGCCAATTCTTCTATCACCGGAGCCCCCTCCTCAGGTGAGTACGCGGTGTTGGATTCCGGGAGATTGGCAAGGGAGCGGCGCAATCACGCGGGGAGGGTCGATAAGACGTACCAAAGCCTTGGACTTTTTGATGTGCTCGTGACGGAAGAGGAATTGACGGTTCAAATTGCTCAGGTCGATTGTATCCAGGTCGACAATGTGAATCTCGCCAAAGCCGGTCAGGACGAGGTTTTTGAGCAGTTCACAACCGATGCCGCCGGCGCCGACGAGCAGGACCCGGGACTACAGGGAAACACGAGACTGTCAGCAGATAATCGCGAAAGTACGTGGAGAATCACACGTATTGTGCGCCAGGGGCTGTCCATACTGTCTTGACCAAGGTGGTCAGGTCCGCCCCGAGGGACCGCTTCACGGAGCTGTCTTGCATGATCGAGCAGAGAGTGATCGTAATCTGAGTCTGGTATGTGTAATGGATCAAAGGAACATGTCGCGTTGCGAAGGAGAAAAGAGAGACGCAGAAAAAGGTGAAAGAGGTGATGAGCGCAAGGCAGCAAGTGAAGGTAAAAGTTGGGAGGGAAACACTGGAACTGGAGAGACGATCTGAGGCTGATGACGGCACGAATCTGGGGAAACCACCACACGATTTGTCTCTTTTTTTTCGCCTTTTCTTTCAATTCCCAGTCAGATACTCCTGTGTGAGCAGTGATTGTGAATTGGCGAAGGTCTCTGCATTCTAGGTCCATTCATCTCCGGCGCCTTGCATCTCCCATTCTTGTTCCAGAAGGTCCACCAAAGCACTGAAATATCCATTTCTAGTTGGAGTTGACGTCCGGGAGATGAATATTAGTCTCACAGATTCAGTGATTCGGTCCATATCTACGAAATGGACGAATACAATAATGTTTGATTTTATACTTGCATGATCTACAGCCCTGTCCGGAGCCAAGTGGTTCGCTCTAGCATTGCAAATGGCCAAGTGCCTCATGCAAGACCTTTAGTCTTTGACATTCAAGAACAGCAGTACACTTCCATAGGATCAAAGTAACAATGCACTTCTCCATATAAAAAACATCTCAGGGCCAAATCCGAGTGGCCATTTACCCCTGCTTACCTAATCTTGACTCTATCCAAAAGCCATCGGGTGGAATTTTCGGTGTGGCGAGAGAGACTTGGAAAGATCACTCAAGTTTGTTCCATAATCAGTCAGACTCGGATTCCAGCAATAAGTCGTCAATCCAACAAAGTTCCCATTCAACCCTGTTGGAGTAGACTTCAAATCTCCGGTAATCGCGTGGTTGACTCACCGCAGAGTCCCCTGACTTGATACAAAGGACATATCTCGGTCATTTGTCGCTACCGATCTCCGTATTAATTGGGTCAATTTCTCCCGGGAAGTGACATATCATGCCTTCAAGAGATCCATTGCCAGCTCAAAAAATTGTGCAAGTGGAAGTGAACTCCGATGATGAAGCAGACCCTGAGTTGGTAGAGCTTCTCCGCCAGCATCTCGGATTAGGTGGCGGACAGAACAAAAATGCTCCTCCAGAGACGAGGGTGCTGGAGGGTGCGCAATATGTCTTTGACAATGCCATTGATGTGGCAGTGAGCCGCGAATTCGTCAAGGAAGCCGCCGAAACAATATGGCGTATGATGCAGAAGAAAGAGTACTCTACACAGACTTGGTCGGAGCATGAACTACACCCGCAGACTAAGGATGAGAGTACGGTTGATTTCATCTTCACCATGGATTTGTTAAACTTCAGTTTCTTTTCTGATGAGGAAGAAGAGCCTAAGCGTTTCTGTGTTGAATATCGGGGAAAGCTCTGGACGGGATATTGGAGCCTGGTGGCGATTCTACAGAGAGCTTTGGACGAAGGTCAGTCTTTGGCAAACGGCCCTTTATGAATCCAAGTCTAATCGAAAATTGCAGATATTCCAATCACAACCCCTGATTTCTGGGTCGATGAAGAAAAATGTACCGAGGACCTGCTTAAGCATGTCTTCCGGTCAGCAACAGACGAAGAGATCCCCATGTTTGAGCAGCGTGTGCAATGCCTACGCGAAGCAGGTGAAGTCCTTTGTGATGTATGTCCCCAACGCAGCTATGCTCCAGGAGAAACAATACTGACTCTCGCACAGGACTTCGGAGGCAGCTTCGCAAATTGCGTTGACAACGCCAACTTCTCGGCCGCAGGACTAGTAAACCTCCTAACCGAGAATTTCTCCTGTTTCCGGGATGAGGCAATTTTCCACGGAAAGAGAGTCCGGTTGTATAAGCGTGCTCAGATCCTGGTTGCCGATCTCTGGGCCTGCTTTAACGGCGAGGATTTTGGTGAATTCCACGACATCGACAAGATCACCATGTTTGCAGGTAAGCTATTTTGTCCTTACAACCTCTTCTGATAGACAAACCTGACATGGATACCAGACTACCGCATTCCTCAAATGCTCCATCAACTAAATTGCATTCGCTACGCTCCCAAGCTAGACAGCCACATCCGTGATCGGAAACCCATCGAGCCAGGATCGAACTGGGAGATTGAGCTTCGAGGAATGAGTATCTGGTGCGTGGAATTGATCAAGCGGGAGATCGAAAGACGGCACCCTGAGGTCAAGATGGGTGGTAAGAAGGCCCCTACTCAAAGCCTTCCTGGGTCGAATGAAAACGTAGATGATGGGACTGAGGAATCGGAAGACAAGGCCGTCGCTGAGACTGGCAAGCGCAAGACTTATGGTATTAATGCCATTCTCATCGATTTCTTCTTGTATGATACTATGAAGAGCTTGGAGGCGGAGCACAATGAGTCCATTCCTCACCACCGGACGAGAAGCATTTGGTATTGAGTTCGGGTATTGTGCCTTGGGTTTTGGCGCTATTGGCGCATGGATTCGGGTTGCATATTTAGCACTGTGGCTTGAAATATTTTGGTTGCTCTAGAGTGACTGCATCTAGACATAGGACATAGACTTTACGATCATCGGGTCTAGATTGGTTAGATCAAGGCGAGATTATTTTCATGATCATAGCAAGGCATGGCCAATTCTAAAAGCATATTTTGATTCTGTCATTCTAGGGTATCAATTAATCGAACAGCCTGCGCCTCCTTCATATCAAAACAATCTGGGGGAGTCAAAATGCGATCAAGCAGCAGCCCCTTGAATGCGAGCCATAATATCCGCTTTCCACTCTACGAAGTCCTCCTGGCGGTCATCGCTTAGCCAGTCGACACGGTCCTGCATCATTGTGCCGAGACCAGGCAAAAGACCACCCCGGGGAGCAGAATCGGCTTTTGAACGAGCCCCTTGTCCACCAGCTGAACGCTTTGGCAACTTGACACCTCTAAGTGCAGCATCTTCCTCATCGATATCCTGATAGGACTTGCCTTCCTCGTCGTCGCCGAACAGCTGACCGGCGTAGGGAATGTTCTCAAACCACTCTTGGCCATTTGCCCACCCATGTTCCATGATCAGAGCAATCCACTGGTCAACATCATCGCGGTGTCTGCGGTCATTAGCTTTGAGTCCGAGGCTGTTCAATGCCGTCTGGCGCATCTCAATGAATGTTTTCTTGTCCATTTTCTGTGCTTCAACATCTTGCTCTTCATCAGGACCGGGGTTACGGCGCCGAGCTAAGACAAGGAAGTAAACGGCAACAACCATTGCATACACCAGCTCTCTGAAATCATCATCTTTGTCAGAAGCCTGAATGGACACAATGGGCTCCAAAAAGTCCAGTGACTCCACGTCCCATCCTTCTTCATCATTGGACATGCTCGAGGTAAGATAAAGGATGGAGGAGACACCAGAAAAGATATGTGGAGGCAAAGTCCTTGAGATAGGCGGTCGTGACCATGAGTTTGTACGTGGTGCGGGAGTAGACAGAATCTTGCACACAGTTCGAACGGCAGTCATAGCCCAGGCTGGGGCATCTGGAATGCTGGTCGGCCCAGTAAGATCCATAGGCCGGTTGGCTGAAGACTTCCTTGCCAACTTCGAGGGACTGCCAAGGTTGTTTGCTGTACTCATGCTTCTCTTAAGGGGTGTAGACTTCGACGGTGAATGCTGTAGTCCTCGAGGTGTTGGTGCCACCATCTTTGTTGGACTGTTCATCATTGCCGCCCCTTTCGTTGGCGTTGTCTGGCTCGAGCCTGCACGGGTTGGTGTTCCTGGGGCCGAACCACTTGCTGAGCGCTTGAGGCCTGCGGAGCTGGCCGTTAGGGATCGATCGAGATATGTATAAAGCTTCTTGTAGATGCGTGGGGGGCATGGCGCATGTCCCAATAATGGGGGAAGTTTGAGAGTTTTGCTTAATCTATAGGTATGGAACAAAATCAATTAGTGCCCCATTGTCAAATGGAGAGTGAGTGAACTTGAAATACCTTCTGCAAGCGATTTCCGCACAAGCGTAGGGACGTGCAATTTCCTCTTCGGGCTTCAAACTGCTCGAGAAGCTACGAGATTGCGCAACCAGGGACATTGCATAGCTGAGAAGCTCTTGAGGTAAGTCATTGGCATGTGTCGGCACCAATATGCCAAGGGCCTGCTCAACCGGCCGGTTGTTCATTGTCGAGTGATATGCAGGTTGGAGTTGAGCGCTAGTGGTGTGTGACGAGAGAGGCGAGGGACGAGAGGTAGTAGTTTATGGCTTGCTGGGAGGTTTAGAGCTATCGAATGTTTGGAGGACCGATTCGCAGGAACAGAAGGGATCAAACTGACAATAAACATCGGCGCCGGCGCATCGATAAGAAAATGCTGACTCATCGCCATATCGGCCGGGGATCTTGACGCCGCATCTAGTCAATTTTGCTTCTCATCCACGCTCGAGCTGTTCGATTTCCTCAAAGATGTCTGTCACTGTAAGTTTGCAAACTATTTAAACTTTGAGATGTGTCTATAGTCGCCCATTTTGCTGGTTCTGGCGCTGACCGACTTGCACAGTTGCATACAACCCAAGGCGACCTGAAGGTCGAGCTTTTCTGCGAAGCTGTCCCCCAAACCGCGGAGAACTTCCTTGCCCTTTGCGCGTGCGGCGCATACAACGATACACCCTTCCATCGCTTGATCCCGGGATTCATGATCCAGGGCGGAGACATATCCCTCGGCCCAGCCGCAAAACAGCAAGACTCCACCAAACCCATGCTCGATTTTGACATTCCAAAAGGCGGCACATCAATTTATCACCCATCAGCAATGAACCAAGAAATACACCTTCCTTCACTACGCCACAATGCACGAGGCATATTGTCCATGGCATCTCGCCCTGTGAAAGACGGAACTGCGCCAGGATCCCAGGGCGCAACCGGTGCAACAATCAATGGCAGTCAATTTTTTATTTCATTCGTGCCAGCCCCTCATCTGGATGGTGCCAGCACTGTATTTGGGAAAGTATTGAATTTGAGCCCGCGGGATGAAGGTGGGGATGTACTCACGAAGCTCGAGAAGGCAAACGTCAAGGTTGACAAGAAAGGCAAGGTCTCTCAGCCGAAAGAGGGTGATGATTTTGAAGAGTTCCGGATCAACCGTGTTACGATCCATGCCAACCCGTTTGCGAAGTGAAATGGTCGATGCCACACGTGGCATTTGAAGTCCAGGTCTCATGAACAGTGACATACATGGACACACATCCTCAACCTGAAGCTGGAATCGCTACAATACTCCTCTTCGTGCGATAATTAAGCACTCGAAAACCGGTCCTGTGGTCCTATTTCCAGCCCCGGTGTCTTCTCCGGTAGCTTTCCAGAAAAGCTTCAAGTGGTGATCTGAGATCATGCTAAGCATGGCCCACCGTACAGTAACCTCTGATCCTGGGTATACAGTGGGGTTGGGTCAAAATTATGAGCGAATACCTTGAATCAGAACAATCCGCAGAGGTTAGGGCGAAGATACACTCTACAAATACCGCGAGGATAGCGACAAATGATATTGAATAGCGGTCAAACTTCTTATTCTCCCTCTTCTTGGTCACAAGTCTGGTAATTTACATGGAGAATCAAATACAAACTCCCGTTCACAAGGTCAAATCGCAGCCTCCATCAATAACTTATAGGTTGAGGTTAGACCCACGATGACCTCGAGCAACACTCCCTCGAACGGCCTTTGAGAGAGAGCACCTTCCGCAGTAACTATAAACGAAAAAGAAAATCCGTCGGCCTTGTATATCAATATGGAGCCGCTTGATACCAAAGTTTATGTAAAAAATTCAGTGAGACCTAATGACAAGTGAATAAGGATGTCTTCAACCACAACTGGCCGCAATTTCGACATACCCAATCAGCAAGGAATGTTTTTCATCTATGCAATTATGAAGAAATCAACATCTTTTGAGGAGTCTGAATTTACTAATTACAACGAAAGATGACCAAAATTTTTAAATGACTTTTGTAACGTGACACATTAAGGAACCATCACCTGATATCTTAACATTCAAAGCAGAGAAAAACATGTCGCAGACGCCGTTATGCAAGGAATCCAAAAGGAAGGAAAAGCGTCTCATGTATCATGAAATGGATATAAATCATCATCGGAAAGAAAGAAAGCATGCGAGAAGTGGTATCTTCATTTACTCCTTCTTCTCCTCCTCATCCTGCTCATAGCCCTCAGTCTTCATATCAGTCAGACCGAGATCGTCTTCCTCCTCGGCAGTACGAGTGTACTCCTCGGTGGTGATCTGAGGGTCGGCAGCGGGCGAGCAGAGATCCTGGACGTAGCTGTTGGCCATGGGATCCTCGAGAGTGATGACGAACTTGAGGTCGCCCTTGATGGCCTGATCGAGACGATCGAAGAAGCGCTCCCACTTGACCTTGTCGTCGGAAGGCATGGAATCTCCACCACCGTTGACGGTGTCCATGACGTTGCCCTCCAACTGGTCCTTCACCTCAGTGAGAATACCCTCAACAGTGGTGAAACGACCACCCAGAGTACCAGGCTCAACGGAAAGGTCCAGCTCCTCACTGCGGAGCGCGCAAGTGTCGGACTTGAGGATATCACGAGACAGATCAACGATGTTGTTCACCTGAAGAGTGATGCGCTTGCCCTTCTCGGGAACTTCGCCGCCGGTCTTGACATCACTGCTGCGGAAAGCGCAGTGAGAACAGTGAGTGGCGAAAATCATAACGTCCTTGAAGTGGGGAATGTAGATCTTCTTGATGCGAACTATATAACAAAGAAAATTAGTGAATCTGATGGCGAGAATGGGTCAACTTGGATGCGTACCTTCACAGGGCTTAGTGCAACCGGGGCATTCGGCGGGCAAGGTGTAGACCTGACCGTCGACAATGTCGAGGTCATCGGGGTTTCCAGCATCCACTTCAGGGTTTTCGGCGGCAACAGCGGCCGCATCGTTGGAGATACCAAGCTCCTCGTTCTGTTCATGGGTACGAGGGTATTCCTGGCGCTTGTACTTGAGGCCACGATCGGCGGTGTTGGGCGCGATCCACGAGTTGCCAGTGGGATCATCCAGCGAGACGGTGAAGGGGAAGGCGCCATCGCGATCCAAGATCTGTTTCAGACGCGCGATAATGGGAACAAGGGCATCATGCAGCTCCGGGGCTTGCTCCTTGCGGAGTTCCTGCTCTCCTGACAATCCTTCGTGGATTTGCTTTTGATTCCAAGTTAGAATATATATCGAAGACTGAAACATGGGGTATACAAACCTGGATCATACCCTCGACGTTGGTCAACTGACCCTTGCCACGGGGCAGCTCAATATCGTTGGTGATGCTGACGGTGAAGGTAGAGAAGTCGCTGCGGACAACCTGACGAGCAAGATCTTGCTCATTCTCGACCACCAAGGTGTACTTGGAACCGCGTTGCTGGATTTCACCAGCAGACTTGATGCTGTTGTCGGAGAAGTTGCAGTGTTCACAATTGAAGCTCTCAAGCTATGGGTATATCAGTATGCGCGATCCGATCGACGAGGGTATTTGGACTCACAATACAGTCGCTGATGTAAGGGATTCTGATGAGCAAAAGGCGAGTAATTCCCTGTAGAAGTTAGTTTAAGACTCTGGTTGGAATCGTAGAAGGTAACGTACGTTCTCGTGGCAGTTCATGCAGAGACTCTCAACCTGCATGAGGCCAGTGTCATCGTCGCGCTCGACGAGATCGCCAGGCTTCTGGAATTGCGACTCAAATTGCGCCTCGAGCGCATCGTTATCAGCCTTATCAACCATGATGATATTTGGAGTAATAGAAATTGGAAGAAAGTGAATGGCCAACAAAGTTGTGAAGCAAGAATATTCTTATCGCAAAAAAATTATCGGAGCCACGGGAACATTCCTTCCTGTTCTGCGCGGGGCTTATGCGGAGGGGCAGATGCAGCTGACAAATGTGATTACATAATCCCAACTTTTATGCATCCTGGCCCGGGGTCTATTCTCAACAGGCATCTTATACAGCTCCATTGATCCGAACAACTGAATGTAGCGTCTGTCTATCCAAGCTAGCTCTAAGTTAAGAGCGTAGTCATATACAAAGAACCGAGTTCGATGTAGATACAGAACTTACGAAAATGGCTCAAGTAATCCATGCAGGGCTCCACGAGGGTTTGATTAAACCAGAGGACCACAACTAGAGTGGCCAGGCGATTCTTCATTTATTATAGAAGTTGAGGTCGAGGAAAGGAACAGCAACAGTGAAATGGAAGCCAATCCCAGGAATGTCTGATGCGAGCGTGACCGTTGAACTCGGATAGATCCTTCGAGTGTTTTTGATGACGTAGTTATATCGGGTGTCAACTTGAAATCCCCATCTCCCACCTTCTGGGTAGTTAGCAGTGTCAAAACCATGACAGAGGGGATACTTATAGAAGAAAAAAATTGGCCGTTTCAACTACCGAGGCAGAGGAAACGGCAGTTCGTCAGCTATCACCAGTCCAGAAACATTCTGCTCCCATATTGTTATAGAGACAACAGTGGCCAAAAACCTGATCATCGGAGACAATACGGAACTTTCTTGATAGTAGAAGGACCCCCAACTCCGCACTCGTCGCTTGTCAGTTCACTCCAATTGCACAACACTAGCGAGCCTCAACCGGGAACATGTAGCAACAGAAGAACATCGTGGACAAGCCAAAGCTTTGAGCCTCACTCAGGAGAGGTCCCACAACACTCACTGCATGGCGCATACACATTGAAACTGGCCAAGAGCATCGCCGGCGTGGTAATCGGAAAGATGGGCTGATATGATCAGGCGTTCAAAGCGTGGACTCAAGCATTCTCCCACAGAAACAACCGCGATCAACCAAATCACAGGAAAGGCATCAAATGAAGGCGCTAAATGAAAGTTGAGGAATGTCTGGTGACCAGAAAAAGCCAAACGAACAGAGCCCACAGACCCACGAAGACCCACGCACCTCTCACAACGTCAAGTGAAGTCAGCGATGAAACAATAACCTCAACTAGAGCCCACTCAGCAACTTCCATCTCCACAATCTTGTTCGATTTGCCCTCGTTTTCGCCATTGCCGTTGCAAGAATATGAAGCCGACTCTCTCGTGTGTAGTACAGTACCCTTTGGGACAGGTTTTTGTTTCCTCTCCGAGGCCACCCGAAGGTGTAGTAGGAGGGCATGATATGAAGCAGACAAAGAACATCCTGAAAAATCGCTTCCTTCTTCCCGAGGGAAGGACAACGGTGAGTTGTTGAAGTCGGCGCCCATCAATCTATTTGCAAACTGCTTTGCGAAGAGATGGTTAACACGGTCGGTCGGGATCTTCTGACAGAGACGAATCTTGCGGTTGCTGTGATCCGTGGTGCCTAGCTGCCATGTGGCGGAGGAAAAACAGGGACCAAGAGGTGGAACACGGGGCAAGATCCCCAGGAATCTTGATATGGGAATCATGTGCAGAAACAGACAGTTGGTGTGAGCAGAATCACAAAAAAACCACAGGCAAACAAGACCGAAAAACACCAAGCTTTCTTGGGGAGAAACTTTGCCAACTGGAACAAGACAACTGTCCAACTTCGATGTGCTCTGGGCAGATAACATCAAAGAATCATAGGCATCATAAAACAACGACCTCGCTATGACTTTAACTGTGAAAGACACCTGGGTGAGTTTCAGGGAGATGAAAGTTAATTCCGACGAGTGGATCGTTCTGATATGGTTGACACTATGACTGTGCGTAAGGACGGGCTGTGTTCTAGGCTCAGAATCTCGGATCCAAGCTAGTTGATGCCCTAGGAATTCGAGTTTTGAATGTTGCATTCAGTTGCTATCCGTTTCAGCTGTCGTGGTTGTTCCTCAAGGTGACATCTGATACCGAAGTACCCGACATGTTTCACCCGTGTTCTCTCCTAGCTGAGCGGTATTCCGATGCATAGGTGACCATCCATTCGTGACCGGCATGCAGCGTCCAGCATTGGTTAACTGACGCGTATTCTCTTCGAGAACGAACGCATAGTGAACGGTCTTTTGTGCCCGGAGGCTCTGGACAAATCGAATCCCTTTCACCTAATCGGACCATCACAGTCTGTTTCAGCTAATCGTATTATCCGGCATGCACATTCCGTGAGACTTGTGTCCATGGGACATCGAACCAAGAAGGGCTTAGGGTTTGACTCCAATATATTCTGCCCCGAAGCTGTTTCGTACGTCAAGAACGAAACTGATGCAACAGGTTGCCATCAAAGGCAGCAGGCTAGAATTGAAGATCGGGAAGGGTAAACTTGTACATGGGTGCCTTGCGAGGCAAGAGAGTTGATTGGCTTCACATCCAGGAAACAGACAGTAGCGTAACTCAGACACGTTGAGACGAAGAATGGGTCCAATGAAAGTTAAAGAAAGAGTAAGATCCATGATAATCGAGGAATTGCAACCGCTGTTCAAGAAATCTGTTGGAGAATGAGGTGGTTGACAACAAAGGTACACAACAGAAGTGGAGTTCGTTGACGCGCTATCAACGCGGTGATAGGGAGATGCGTGACGGGCGGTCACGGGACTGACACACTCACCACGTGATCATCGCGGAACCCTGCTTACGTCATCGATGAAAAATGCCAAGACCTTCCGTTGCCTTTGGATTATTCATTCAATTCTTGATATCAAGGCCCAGTAGGTCTATTTATATTTTGTTTCATTATGATCTAATCCCACTATCAATCAGAATGGGCGATATTCAACAAATTCGAGATGCATTTGGCTTTGCCAATGAATTTCTAAACCCGGTACTTGATCGAGGTATGATATTCATGATAGCCACCACGCGTGTGATCTAAAGCCTAATATCTCACAAGAGCAAATTAAAAAGACCCAAGGAGCTTCATTGATCAGTATTCTGAGCCAGGCATCCGGTGATGATGTCGCTAGTGATGATATGTCGAGGCCGGCCATCATCAGGAGGGCCTTGGATATATTGGTCGGTATCCATGAATCCTTCGCTGCATCCGAAGGCGCAGATCCATTTCAACAGCTAGCTCCAGACGGCGAAGATATGGCGATGGAGGATGCCAAGCGACGCCGGATGCTACATGCTCTGCTAGACTTGATCTCTCTCGAAGGAATATATCCCTCGCTCTCATCTGGCGTTGGGATTCCCCTCCAGCAACGAGTGATGTCAGTTCTACCTGCAGGAGTCATTGCAAAACAAGCAGAAACCATTGCTAGCAGTGTACCTCGCAACGAAACTCTCCTTCGCCAGATCATAGATATCTTACTAGACGTCATCTTTGATCCAAGGCTGAGCATTCAGCCTGTCATTCGCGGTCGTATCCTCAGCGACATACTTAGCGGCACATCAGATCTTGCCTATAATCCACATACTACGCCACTATATGACAGGAGTATCTATCAGAATGCATTGTCAAAGATCGTCGCAGGCACTCCTACCACAGTCTTGCTACCGACACTGTCTAACTTCCTTCAATCTGACATTGTGCAGTGGTTCAAGTCAACTATTTCCGGCCACATTTCGCACATTCCATTACGACCTGGAGGTGTAGTACAAACTATCATGTTTATTGCCTCGCAATTCGCTCCATCGTTGGGCCAAGAGGCCCAGGACCAATCCAGCGGGCCTCATTTGACAGTGCAAGCCATCATGCAAATTTCACGGCTTCTCTCCTCTGTGCCACAAGATGTTGATCCAGTTGTGTATTTTGGGAAGATAGCCCCGCAACTGCTTGCCTTGATAGACGGCGAGGATCCAGATTTGCGAACGACCGCATCCTATGTTGTTGGCAATGGGATTTTGGGGAAGCGGGCCTATGGAGCACCTGGTACTATTGGCCATTCCATATTCGTGGAGCCGATCTTTAAAGCACTAACGGGAGAACTTGATGCCAATTCCAAGCAATGGATGGCCCGTTTCTCCGATGTTGGGGGCTCTATGCCAGACTTTGAAGATGTGAACCCCAGCTCAATCATCGTGGCTGATGGAGCAATAGTCAGCCTTGCTATTAACCGAATCAGATGCTTGACATTACAGCATCCAAACCCAGGCTTGGTCAAAAGACTCGTTTATCCTATCCTTCTTCCATTGTGGGGACTCGCTTGTGCCTCCCAGGAAGAGCAAATTCTCCCCCTCCATGAGCGGGTGCTACCTCTTTTACAAACATACTTCGGTATCTCCGTAGGAGTTCAACCACTCAAAAAGATTGTCGACAATCTTCTATGGGATGGTGGCGTGACGTGGACATACGGCAAAGACGGCGACAACGAATTAGCTTTGAAGAAACGAGCAGAAGAGCTTAACAACCATTCGAATTTCATTAAGTTGATTGATTCGTTGCAAACACGCGCTGAGCTGTTTGTCAGTCTGCTTGGCTCAGACCCAAGCAGCGAAGAGAGAACCGGGGACATCTTTCTCTATGTTAGTGAGAAATGGCTTGTGCAGCCGCAACAATCGGCGCGATCCCAAGAGACCTTGGTCGGAGGACCCATCGGTGACAGCGATAACCTCATTGGAAACCTTGTCAGTGCTAAGGTTGCTGAGAAATTGCTTGAGAACTTTAAAGAAACGCTGTCTCGGCGCCCACTTCGGGTGTTGGAGCTGATCAAACAGGTTTTTGATGGAGAGCTTCATAAACTCAAAGCACAAGAAGCGTCCATACAAAAAGCAAAAGCCGGGGGTATGTCTTTGTCCAATTTGGCAAACATAGCAGACAGCGGAAACAAAGAGAACACCGATTCTTCAGATAATGCCTCCTTTGAATCATTGACAACAGCATTCAGTTTGCTATCTACTGTCATTGCATCGCCAGACTTCTCACCATCTGACAATATGTTGCCCCTCTTGGAATCCCTAAAAGGAGGCATTGACCAAATCATCCCTCTACTTCCATCCTCTCTCTCTAAACCTGGCATGACATCGTCTATGCTTTTGGAAATCCATATCACATCACCAGAGTCTACCGGTATCAAGCCAACACCTGCCCACATATCAGATCTCGAAACCCATCGTCAAGCTTTGGCGAACCTCAACTCGAATTTACCACCAGTCCAAGCAGAGGGATTGTCCCTTCTATCTAAACTTATCATGGATGCATCCCCCGTTTTAGACGTACCATCGTCCATGTCGATCCTTCTAGCTGTCATCACTGACACGTCTGGGGAGGCTGCACCTGAACAATACATTTACTTGAACGCTATCAAGATCATTGGTACATTGGCGGCACGCCACCCTCGCACGGTAATCAAGACCTTGATCGATACCTATGCCGATAGATCAGAGATTACGAAACTTGACGAGCGACTCAAGGTTGGCGAGGCTTTGTTACGAACAATTCAAGACTTGGGCGAGGCACTTTCTGGAGAGACGGCCAAGATTCTTGGAGAAGGCCTTATTGCCGTGGCAGGTCGTCGCCAGAAAAAGCCTGAAGCACTGAAGAAACGAGAACAGCAGCTTAAGAAAGAGCGCAGCAAGAAGGAACGCGAAGAGCGCAAGGCAAAGGAAGATGCCCTTCCTCCTGGCTGGTCCATGTCTTCGGCTATCAACAAGGCCGCCACCGAACTGAACCTTGTGGAAGAGGATTCAGACACTGAATCCCCCGAGCAAGCTGTTCACGCCGCAAATGTCGTTGCTGCATGGGCTGCCGGTGCCTATACAGACGAACAACCAGACGATCTTCGTATCCGTGCCTCGGCTCTGTCAATCCTTGCCTCTGCGATACAGACAAACATCGTCGGTCTTGGACCTGTTATCATTTCCTCAGCCATCGAGCTGGCCCTTGCCACCATGACTCTCGAGCCTGAAGTCGAGAGTGCCATCCTCCGTCGGGCAAGTGCCGTCCTCATTCTGGATACACTGAAAGCATTGGAGTCCGTACGTGAAACACGTAGACACGATATTGGATTTGGCTTCTCGCTCTATGACCAGCCATCTTCTAGTACCTCCAACACAGCTGTGGAGTCCAATATCGGCAATATTCCCACCATGTTGCGCACCCTTGGCTTTGTCGAAAGTCGGGAGCAGGATGGAATCGCCCGTGGACATCTCCGCGCGTTGATTGAAAGTTTGGAGGCCTGGATGGAGAAGTCTATGATGTGGGGTATTGGTGCGAACGATGACCAGGAAACATCTTATCCACGATTTGGATTGTCCGACAAGATGGAGGGCTTACAACTCAACCCTCTGGGTGATCAGGATCGCGCAGGACGACCTCGGATCGAGGAGATCGAGTAAGGGATATGGAATTATAATGCAGCATACCTCAATCATATGGAATTGTGACTTTCTTCCGCGGTTTTAGATACATTCGGCTGGTCTCTACTTCGAGTGACTCCTTTCCAACCTATATCATGAACCTCGCAGTGCTGTAAAGTGATAAGACATATTTACACGAATAAATCGTAGTATTCTGAGTGTTTTGTGCATTATGTACAGCTTTTTTCAGTCCGACTTCGAACGCCTCGTGTGAATTCATGAAATCAGACTCTACAGAGGTGGCGTAATTGAGTCCTAGAGCTAAGCCTTGGGAGCTATCTATCGAACTCTATGAGCGTAATGATAGAGATAAGAAAGAACAGATGTTGTACAACGCAACGTTAGGTCATGAAAGTATATACAGAGCCACCCATAAAGTCGCTAGGGATGCGTCGGTGACGTCACTGCAAGAAGTCAAAAAGATCGAGGGAAGGCTGCGAGCTTTTCTTTGAGGCCATGAGTGCTTGAAGACCACCTTGTTTGCGTGCCTTGGCTCTTTTCTTGCTGTTTTGGTTGTCGACTGATTTGGATGAATCGAGTGATGCATGTGGCTCGTTGGCATCAACATTTGGACCCTGGCTGGATAGCTTAGCAGCCGAGGGCCGTGGATTTCTGAGAGAGGTCTTTTTCTTCAACTGAAGCACCGTACGTTCGTGACAGCGTAGACACTTGTAGACGGTGGCTGTTGACATAGAAGGCGCAGAGGTCTTTGAAGCTTTGTCTCTTTTGGGTTTGACATCGGTGACTTTGGTCCATTGAGGCTTTCTGGGGCTTCCACAGCCTCCACAATACCCTTTTTTCTGCATAGTGCTCAAAGCCTTGGAATTTTCGTGAAGAAGCTGTGTGTGTATTGATAGCAGATGGGAGGATGTGGAGGGACTGGCGGCGAGCGCGTCCGCCGCCCGATTCAGGAACTCCTGTCTTGCATCGATCACCATTGTCAAGTGAAACCAAGCTTCTGAGTAGTGTTGATTGTTTCTATTGTTGTGAAGTGTGGCTTTCGTGGTCGAATCAACAATGCACTGGCGGGTTTGCACATCAGAGATTTGCTTCCGAGCTTAAAACGGTCCAAGCTCCACCTCATCTCATCTACTTCCTTCACTCTCTCTCGCCTTTCAACCCTCATTTTCCTTCCCCCGTCTGTTTCCTTTTCTTTCTTGCATCATCGTACTTCTGGATTCTCGGGCCTTTGAAAGACCCCACGGACAACGCTTTGTCGGCCTTTTTGCAAGGATCACGTTAAGATCACTTCTCCGACTAGTTGATACCATTCGCGATGGCTACTCCACGCATCGCATTTGAGGGTTGTGTAAGTCATCAAGTTGGACCAAAACGACCACTTCTTTGTGTCCATGTGGCCACCCCCGCCTTACAGCTTTCGTTGCTAATCGTCTGGTGTAGGGCCATGGCAGCCTCCATGAGATCTATGACCGTGTTCAGCAGAAAGCCCAGGCCATGGGCTGGGAGACCGTTGATCTGCTGATCATTGGCGGAGATTTTCAGGTAATGAGCCCTGTCTTATGTTTGGATAAGTTCAGATTTAACGTTGTCAGTCGCTGCGTAACTCCAACGACGCGACTTGCCTGTCTGTGCCGGCCAAGTACAAACAGATTGGCGATTTTCATAAATACTACAGTGGGGAGCGTGTTGCTCCGTTTTTGACCATCTTCATCGGCGGCAATCATGAGGCAGGTAACTATTTGCTAGAGCTCTACTACGGTGGCTGGGTGGCCCCCAATATCTACTTTCTCGGTGCGGCTAATACCATTCGCTTTGGGCCCCTGCGTATCTCTGGCATGTCTGGTATCTGGAAAGGATATGACTACCGCAAACCTCACTTTGAGCGTCTTCCCATGAACGGCTCCGATGTCCAGTCTATCTACCATGTGCGCGAACTCGACGTCCGAAAACTCCTTCAGATACGCACTCAAACCGACATTGGGTTGTCCCACGATTGGCCACGTGCCATTGAAAAGCATGGTGACTTCCGTCGTCTTTTCAACCGGAAGAGGGGATTCGAAGAAGATTCCATGAGTGGTAAATTGGGCAACCAAGCTGCCCGTGAAGTACTTGACTACCTTCGCCCGGCTTTCTGGTTCTCAGCACATCTCCATGTTCGCTTCACTGCAGAGGTGCAGCACTCAAAAGTCACTCTAGGCCCTGCTCCAGCCAGTACATCGAAACCTGCTGTCCCTGAAACACATGTTTCTAAACCCGATGAACCCGCCCTTGGAATTCCTGTTGGTGCTGTTGGTGCTGTTAGCACTGCTGATGCCCCCGCCGCTGGTGTTCCTACTTCTGGTGTCCTTGCGGTTAGCGATGGGGTTGGCTCATCTGACAGCCCCCGCGGCTTGTTTGAAAATGGGGAGATTAGAAAGGCTACCGGTACAGAGGCCGAGCGTCTTGCGGCATGGAGAAATTTCCACAATGTGGCCCAGAGGGACGAAGCAAGCGATGCCAAGAGGTTCATGCAGCGTTTCAAGGATCAGCAACAGTCGGGCTATGTGCACCCTATGACAATAACTGAGACCTCGGTCATCAATGGAGTAAAGCAGACGATCGTGCGCGGTTCCGATGGACAGCAGACCGACATCCCTGATGAGGGTCAAAGCAAAGTAGAGAACACGGACAAAGTTGATTTGGGGAGCAGCCCTGAAAGCGCCTCTGGCATTCAGTCCCGCCCCGAGCCATTGACCCCAGTGAAGGCGAAGACAATCGTCACAGACCAGGGCCCCAATGTCGATAACGATGACAGGATTAGCTTGGGTAGCAGCCCAGCCAGTACCACCAACGCCATGCTTATCTCTGACCAAACCCAGTCCTCCGAAAAAGTGATACCCAAATATGGCCTTGATGCGCCAGCGGATAACAATGATTCTGGCTCTGATGATGACCTGCTTGGGGCATTGGGCACCCAGCTTCCAGGTAGCTTGGATGCTCCACCCCCTCCAGCCCCTAAGCCAAAGAAAGAACTGGCCGCAGACATCAAGAATCTCACAACCAAATTTCTCGCTCTGGACAAGCCAATGCCCCGGGATGAGTTTGTTGAACTGATTGAAATGGAACCGATTTCCCATCAAACTGGGAATTACATCCAGCGTCCCTTCCGTTTGCAATACGATCCCGAGTGGCTTGCGATCAGTCGTGTCTTCGCAAACGAACTTGAAATTGGCAATCCATCTGCACGCGTTCCTGACCACAAGGGGGATGACCACTACAAGCACCGCATTGAGGAGGAGCGTGCCTGGATTGAAGAGAATGTTGTCCAAGCTGGTCGTTTGGATGTCCCCCACAACTTTGTACAAACTGCTCCCCCCTATGATCCCATGGTATCCATTACCACTGAGGATCAACCTCCTGAGTACACCAACCCTCAGACCATGTACTTCTGTGACTTGATTGGTATCGAAAACAAGTTCGATGTCTCGGAAGACGAGCGTCAGGCTCGTGTTCTTGCTGGCCCCCGTCCCGATAACTACCGTGGTGGTGGACGGCACAATAATCACCGTGGGAGTCGCGGTGGCTATGGTCGAGGTCAACACCGTGGAAACCGAGGTCGTGGTGGGCGGGGTGGCCGTGGCAGCCGTGGTGGATGGTAGATCTTCATTCGAATTACAGTAGTTCATCTTGTCAAATTCAGTCTAGGCCTATGAATGGGCAGCAATGTCATAACATCCCCAATCAGCAAACTTGCTCCACAACGTGAATATTTGTACTGTACAACTTCCTCGCTCACGGTCAAATCATTTACTATCTCCATGTGCAGTATCTGTGAATCATTTGATTGGTAGATCCTATATCTCTTGCTCACTTCGTTCAAGATCTACATGTAGAAACACATGAAGGCGGCAAACAAGGCGGTGAGAGCTTTATAGAGGGGGATAATCAGATTTTGCCGGATGGCAGCAACAGACCGCCGTAACGAACGTCATGTGGGGAACTTGACTCTCCGATTCTCGTTCACCATAACCCAGTACCCCAGTCAGACGCGTCTTAGTCTCTGCACCTCTGTGGTTCAACATCCTCCCTTCATTTGTGGACCTTATCTCGCCGCAATGTCGGTCTACTCCAACGATGATGAGCATGATCCTCAGGTGGATGAGCTCCGCGAAACGGCTCTCGTGACGCTGGAGGCATTGATCAGCTCCTGTAACCAACAAATGCAACCGTACCTGTCCAGCACCACCCGATCAGCTCTACGATTCCTCAAATATGACCCCAACGTTGCCGAAATGGAGGACGACGAAGAGATGGGTGGAACACAAGACGATGGGAGCGAAGGCGATGCCACTGAAGAGCCCGACATGGACGAAGACGACGATTTCGAGGACTTTGAAGAAGATGGAGGCTATAGTGATATTGATGATGTGAGCTGGAAGGTACGCCGATGTGCTGCCAAGCTTCTGTACACTGTCATCTCCACCTACGGCCGTGGTCGCGCTTGGGACAACTCCGCTTTGTTCCAGCAGATCGCCCCTGCCCTTGTTTCCCGAATCAGCAAGGAAAGAGAAGAAAGCGTGAAGCTGGAGATTGTATCAACTTTGACCGCTCTCGTGCGGAAGACAGGAGAGGGCTCGATGATCGTCACGTCCAATGATTTCCTTGAAGCCGTCGGGGGATCGAAGAACTCACGCAAGCGCAGACGCCAGGACAGTGATGCAAGCATGATTGACTTTGAACCGAGCATCGGAACATCTTCAGCAATCGATTCTCCTGCTGCTCCATCTTCGCCCAAGTCTGGTTCACAGGCTGACCTGGCCCGCTCTGTCCCTCTGATTGTGCAGAACATCGTCAAGGTGTGGAAGCAGGCTTCAATCCCTCTTAAGCAAGCCGCTATTATCCTCCTTAAGAGCCTCTCTCTCGTGCGCTACGGTGGGCTCGCAGATCATCTCCAACAGATTGAAGATCTCATTGCAGATGCCCTCAAGACTTCATCGTTGTCAGGGAGCGCTCCCGCTCACACTGGCGCCGCCGTCAGTGCGGGTACTCTCCAGATCGAAACTCTCGGCCTCATTGCAGCAATTGCTGAGACTCATTTGTCCGATGCGCTTCTCCCATTCCTTATTGCCCTGGTACCAGGAGTGGTTGCCGCTGTCAACGACCGCAATTACAAAGTCAGCAGTGAAGCATTGGGTGCTGTTGAGCAGGTAGTTAAGGCTTTCACACCTCCCCGTGTATCTGCCAACGCTTCCGACGTTACTCAGCAATTGCAAAAGCTCTATGATGTTGTTCACTCACGAATCACCGACACCAGTGCCGATCTCGAAGTCCGCCAGCGTGCCATCCATGTGTTTGGTGTCATTCTCGCACGTACCTCTGGGCAGCGTGGATCAGAGTTTGTTTCTGCTGACCGGCGATCGACCGGCCTTTCGGTTCTGCTGGACCGCCTGAAGAATGAGACCACCCGTCTATCCGCTGTTCGTGCCGTTGACGATGTGGTTGTTTTGGCATCCCGGAAAGAGGACGTGGCCAGTGAATGGGTCAATGAAGTTGCCCTTGAACTTGCATCCAATCTGCGAAAGTCAGACCGTGCCTTGCGAGGCTCATGTCTAGAGGCTCTTCGCAGTCTATCCATGAATTCGACCGTCAGATCCTATCTAACCCCCAAAACCATGGCATCATTGGAAACTGCACTTCTGCCTCTTCTTGCGGCTCCTGATTTCCACACCCTTACTCCTGCTCTCATTATCATCGCAAAACTTATTCCTGGCAATGCTAAACTTCTTGTGAACAGCGCATTGATCTCTTCCATGTGCTCTATCGTCAAGCAGCCTCTAGTCGGGACTGTGCTCAAAGCTCTGCTTCTCATTGTGAAGGTCATCGGCGACGAAGGCGCCGGAGCTGAGTTGATGAAAACCCTCCTGCAAGATGTGGGCATTACCGGAGACTCTTCCGTGGTCGGCAGGGCCGTCGGAACTCTTCTCGTTCATGGTGGACCAAACTTGGGAGTCACAATGGAAGACTTCTCTACTGAACTGAAAACTGCGCGAGACGATAGCCGAAAATGCCTCGCACTCGCCATTCTCGGAGAAATCGGCTTGCGCATGGGTCCCGAGTGTTCGTTGACTCCCGACCACTTTATTGCACACTTTGAGGCCCAGTCGGACCACGTTCGCTTGTCCGCTGCTACGGCTCTCGGTAATGCTGCAGCAGGTAGCGTTAAAGCCTATCTACCTATCATCTTAAACGGCCTTGAGAAGTCCAACTCGCAGAGCTACCTGCTCCTTCACTCTGTGCGCGAGTTGCTCCAACACCCTGAGGTTGTGCGACCTGATCTTGCGCCGTCTGCTCGCAAGTTGTGGCAGTCACTCCTTGTCGTGTCTGAGGAAGAAGACAACCGGGCGGTTGGTGCAGAATGCGTGGGCCGTCTGGCTCTGCTTGATCCCGTTGCTTACATTCCCCACTTCCAAGTCAGTAGCTTTGATTCATCTCTCGCGGTTCTACATGCTAATGCAAATTTCACAGGAGTATCTCGCCAGCCCAATCCCCGCTGTCCGCGGCGTAGTGATCTCAGCCTTCCGTTACACGCTTGCTGATTCAGGTGATGCTTTCAACAATGTTCTCCGACCGTTAATGGTGCCTCTGTTGACCAATATGCTTGCTGATGGCGATCTGGGCAACCACCGTCTCGCCCTGACTACTCTGAACTCCGCCATTCACAACAAAATGGATCTTCTTCTTCCTCACCTTGATGAACTGCTTCCCGCTGTTTTGGGAGACACCAAAATCAAGCCAGAGCTTATTCGCGAGGTTCAAATGGGTCCATTCAAGCACAAGGTTGATGACGGTCTTGATTTGCGAAAGGTCAGTGTCACTTGCCCTGGCCAGAATACAGATACTAACATATGTTCTTCAGAGTGCGTACGAAACGCTTTATGCGTCGCTTGATACCTCATTTTTCCAAACTCACACTACCGAACTATTTGATCGTGTTCTTGCCGGTATTGACGATGAGCAAGATATTCGCGCGATCAGCAATCTCATGACATCCAAGCTGATTAAGATTGTGCCGGAGGCGACTGAGCGGTTGTTGGATGCCTTGTCAGAGCGCTACACCGCCGTTCTCTCGTTCAAGCCGAAGGAAAATGCTGTCAAACAGGAAATTGAAAAGGCACAAGAGGCATCTTTGGGTATTCTCAAAATCACCAAAGAGTTGAGCAAGGCCTTCCCCGGCGCGGAATCTTCGAGCGACCTCCACAAGTGGAAGGGATACATGGAGTGGGTTCGACGGACCTTTGCTCTGCAGCTTCAATCCTTGGAATTGGATTTCTAGGCTTCGATTTGCTGCTTTCTGGTTGACAATTGATGCTAGACAACAAAAGTACATTGGCAGGCCTTCTTGTCCTAGCCTGTATGTAACTCACGACTTCATGCAATGAAACAAATGATTCTAACATAGCCATTACTCTCCTTCCTGTCCTTCTGGCACCCGATTTTGATACATTATGGTAGATAGTTAGACAGTCGTTATCCAACTGTCTCTTGATAGACTAGCAGCCAGGTATAACAGGGGCTAAAAGATCTTTCGTAGTTCCAATATGTTTATCTTAAGGTCAACCTGAGATACTCGAGCACGAGAGCACATCAGAAATCAGAGGATAATACACTCGCTCCATAACTCTCCTATGTAAATTTCCAGTCGAATCTAATATACCCCTGCTGTATCCACTCCAGCAGTTCTTTATTCACGGCGAGATATTCCATAGGGTGGTTTGGAGGTCTCTGCCGAGTGCCCACATCCGATTCTGATGGCTAAGATGTTTCACCCCCGTTTGTGCATTCTGCAACTAATCCAATCAGGAAAAAGCTTTCCTTGATATGAAACGAGCGATGCTCTCACGCCAGTCTACTTTATAACTTGAAGTTCAGAACACGTCCAGCTTGCTCGAGCTTCATCTTCTGGTTGGGGGAGCAAGATATACCTTTGCTATGATAGATGAAGTAGAATATCTGTCACCGAAAAAGCTCTGTTTCACGCAGTATAGTGTATACTTATGGTACGACAACCATGGCATAGATTTTTTGATATGGCTAGATCCTGCAAGAAGGCAGACTGCAGGACAGAATCTTCACGTCGTGCGTATGTAAGTACGCACGTATATCAATGATAAAGTGGCCGATTCCTTTTGGAACTACCTCGAATTTCTTTCACAAAAACAATAAAAGGATTGTCCTTTGTCAGTCTCTTTCGGCTAGTCGGATCTGTCATTATTATATTCTATTTTGGTATAATCTTGCGCTTCAGGTCACGGGCTACTTTAATCCCATAGACTGCCCTCATCAACAGCCATCTACCACCAGATCTGCTTCCACCAAAAACTGCCGGTGAGTATTCAGTCAAACCATCACAAGCCACACCCTGATATAATTCCAATACAGAATTCACGTGTGTTTCCAGCGAGAGGATCATTTATTCGAGATCTCCACCGCACAATGCCCGTCTTTCGTCTCCAACTACAGAACTCAGCAAACTGGGCCCTCTGGCTTGCGGAACTCAGGTCAGACCTCCTGCACAAAAACGACTATTACTGGGAGATCCTCAGCGGCGGGTTCAAAAGGCCGAGAGACGAAAAGTCCGACATCTACAAAGAATGGAAAAGAATGGATATCTACTTGATGGAAACAATGGCATCCCGGATAGATCGAGATCTCCTCTACCACCTGAAACAAACCAGTCATGCCTGCGACGCTTTCGAAACTCTATGCTTTCTTCATTCCGATTTGACGCCACATGCTCAGAACATGGATAACCACATCTCATCGACCTTCTATCGTGCTTGGGTCAAGCTCGAGTACTGTGTTGGTCAAGCACCACAAGACTTTGTGTACGCTTTCAATCTTCTTGCCACTGAGGTCGATGAGTGGTGCAGTATCCGTAGTCCGGCAGTGTTTGAGCAGTTCCTAATCGCTGTTTCGGCTCATCCTTCCTCGGCGTATTGGTTTGAAAACTTACGTCGCCATCCTTGTTCTGATAGGCAGGTTACGGAAAGATTCCTTTGCAACTTTGTGGAGTTTGAGAAACAGAGGATCTCCAACGAAGCTAAACTTTCGTGAAGTGACAAAGAAGAAAGGCAGTGAGAGAAAAATTGATTACTCGTTGCGAAATTTCATAGAACACAACAGATTGAAATGGAAATTGAGGTAATTTGATGTTGAAAAGTAAAGTGATATTCTGATATGATATACTTGTGGTTTATTTCCATCCTTGACCTTGGTTGCTGACCTGGCCATGAAACAAATATAGATCATCATTGGTGATTTCTTCTGAGATCAATTCACTCATAATGACAAAACTGTCGTGTTTGTATGCTTTGAACGTATGAACATATCCTTGAAACGATATTTAAGTAAATGACACACAAGAAGAGGTATACCGCGAGCGAACGAAAGGATAAAGCACATATACACACGCAAAATACACCATTGAAGCGCAGTAGGATTCATTCCGCCAAAGGACACAATCAGGGTTGTAAACAAAAGGCTTCCGTCGCATAACAAGTGCCATTATCATTCTTGGGGCTCTTGCTTGATATAAAGAGGATCAATGTCAAGAGGTCCCTCTGTTTTCACACTTGCTTCCCTAGCAAGCTCTTCGGGGAAAGGTTTACGTGACCAAACACGACGTCTAAGAGGATTCGCATGTTAGAAAACAGTCGACAAGTAAGTAATCAAAGAAGGAAGAGAGATACTCACGCCCGTTGATAGATATGGTAGCGCGGATTCTTAATCTCGGCCCTCAATTTCGCCACATAGACAGTGACTTCATCTTTGGACCAAGGATTTGGTGCACCAAATTTGGTAAGCAACCACATGCACCAGCCCTCCATACCAGAAAGCCAATGCTGGTAGTGAGCCGTGCCGGCCTCCTTATACTTCTGATCACGCGGCCAGGGTCCAATCGGCCACTTGTACTCTTTCTCGTGGATGTCGACGAAGCCGGCATTGCGCATGCTAGTATCCATGGTATCAATTGTGGGAATAGGACGCCCGGCACGTGCGGTACAGTCGGCGAACATTGGTCCCCAGGTGTGTAGGATGCTGTCATCCGGGAGGCTGCCGTCGTCGCAAGATACGTCAGCGCTAATTTCTAGTTGTTCGATCCAGCCACCGGGTTTTAAGTTGCTGATTTATATTAGTTTACTGTAAGTCGACTCGGAGTGTAATGGACGTTGTAGACTTACTCGTAGCATTGTTGATAGACACGGTTCCACTCTTGCGGTTCAAAGGACGCGGTCATGCCTCGCATGTGAATTAAGTCAAGGGGAACATTCCAGGTCCAGTCTTCGAGGACATTGTCGACCTCTAGGATGCAGTTTGGGGGTACCCAGGTTATTGGAGGGGGAAAGAGGTCGACACCGCGTACGGTTGCTGAGAATGGTAAGCATTTCTTTGACAGAAATTTGTGCAAGAGCTGCAAAGGAGTGTTCAATAGCTCACCTTGGGGTAGGAAGTCGGCCACATCGCTGCGAAATATGAGCGGAACCGGTCTGTGATGAATAAAACGAGGAAATGATGCCACCTACATTGCCCAATTACCTTGGCCAGTTCCCAGATCAAGGATCTGCGGGTTCTTGCAACGAATAGGCGACTGAAAGAGTGGATTTTCGTTATCTGAATCCAACACCAGGGAAACGATGTGCCTACAGGAGTCAACAGGGGCACACTGGTATAGTGGTGGTTCCTACCCAGCTTCATAAGACTCAAACGCCAACTCATCCGATGGGATACTAGTAGGCGGTCAGCTTAGCGGTCACTTTGGAGAGTTTAGGCTTGCGCACGGGTATTCCCTGTTGCTCAACGTTTGATATCTGTAGGAAATTACTATACGCCAAATCAGATGATTTGCCAAGGACTTTACCGACGGCCATTTTCTACAAAACCCCGATATATAGAAGAATTAATGGAGGTGGTTTCTCTATCGTTCGGTTAGATATGGATTCCATCACCAAATGAGCCAGGGTACACGGGGTAAACCTTACGACTGCCAATCATCACCGTAAGTGGTGGTGAGATACACATCCGGATCCTAAGGGGTTAGCAGCCTGTCAAATTGATGTTGCAAACATCACTTACCACCGCCAGGATATCTTCTGGCATGTTTGAAATTTAGTTTCCGAGGATGGAAAGAAAAAGGAGAGCTGGAAGAGGGTGTCAGTTTGACAAACAAGACAGCCCTTAGTCCCCCCATCCTTGCGCGCCCGGTCGAACGGGATTGGACCAGGGGACAAAGCCTGTACTTCCGCCCCGAGTCAGTGCGCCCGAAGACTTTGCCCTAGCCACATTGGTCGAAAACCGTTTCCGTTGGGTCTAGGGTCTAGGGTATTGGTTCTTTTTGGGTATAAGTACCCGGACATATCCACGAATGGGAATGCTCGGGGTAATCGGAGACTTACATGAAATCATGAACATGTCCGATGGGACAAGACCTGTGGTGGGGATTAAAGTGTGAAGAATGCAGGTTGGTGGGTTATACACCCGATTCAGCCTGAGGCAGGACATTAGTGCCTTGGGAACACGTGGCTGGTCTCGGAGCTACCTTTTTCCTTGTTTGTCACATTTGCTTGAGACCCGTGCACTCGCGAGCCCTTATTCGACATGCATCGATGTCAAGGTAGGAGGTGAGATGCATCCTGCAATTCCATCCGGCATACCTGTGCATCAAAGGCTCAAGCCTTGGTGGGGAGGCGTTACTGAAGATCGTCAACAGGGATCCTCTAGCGGGGTAATCTGCATGAATTTCAGCCTCCAACGCGGGCCGATGTGTACGAACTGCAGGGCTGTTGCAATTGATCAGGCACAATTTGTTCATGGTAGGCCGCTAACAAGACATGATACCGATCAATTAATAACATTCATTTTCGTTGTTTTCAATGACCTCGTAATATCCTAGACCAGGAAGTCGATATCAGGCGGAACTTACTATCAATCTCTGTAGATCAAGTTTGAATATACAGACCTCGGTGATGTAGCACATGAGACTAAATTCTCTTAAACCATGTGTCTCATGTGCTGCAGTGCCCTCAGTTCACGTGCCGGGCGTACAATCTGAACGGTAGGCCACTGATATCACGCCCTTACAACAACCTCAGGATCTGTGGTCCTACTCTCAGCTACTCAAAGATAATTTACCGGACTGCTACAGCTGGTTAATACCTAGTTAATCTCGAGCCTGTTGAAAAGAGTAGAAAGAACGACAACCACGATTATAATGAGAGTGTGGATTGTTGACCGAGAACTTGAGGTGTCGACACTTCGTGGTTGTTTCCAATCTCAGCGTAGAAATACCTGCCCGTTTCTTTTCCTCCTTCCTTTCCTCTTTCCTTCTTCACCTCTCCACTCTCCCATCCAACTCTCAACTTCAAACATCTCCGCTCTTCAACCCAACCTTCAACTTGAGACACGTCGGTCAACCAAGACCACGATCCATTTAAGTAAGAGATACCAAGTCACCTCCCTGCCATGCACCAGAAACTGACTGTCACTTGATCAGCTTCACATATCATCCAGCCTCTTACGTGGGCTTCACACACTCTTCGAACTCTGTCATAACAAACTTGAACCTTCATGTGGGCTACGATGCTGCCACCTCCACTGGCCATCGGCTTGACCTCATTCCTGTCATGCCTGCTAGCCATCTCCCACATCTAAACACACTTCCTGTTCTAGTTAGCTCCATCATGAGACTCACTGTCATGGCCACAGCTAGTAGGTATTTCTTCATCTGCATTTCATCCTCGCCTGACACTCACGTCCATCAGTCGCTCCCCTCTCACCTTTGCTGGTGTTATCCTCTTTAGACATAGACTTGACCTCATCCTTGCCATGTCCGTCAACCATGTCTCACTAGCCACCGGTTGGACGCACTTCCCACTCGGGCTGACTATCGAGTCAAGGCCTTTACTCATGACCACACTCTGTAAGTGCTTCCCTCATTCCTTCTCACACTGCTTAACACTTGCTTACACCTTATCAGTTACTCTCATCTCTCTTTTATGGAGACACTTACCTGAACGGGCCATGGGGACCACCATGTGGGCCATTCCTACTCTTTACCACCGTTGTGTCATTGCGCATTGACTACCAAATCCACAACCCTCCCCGAGACATGAGACACCATTTCATCTGCCCTCATACACACACTACGATGCAAAGAATAATTCCTGGACAGGAGGCAACCTAGCTTGCTTTTGGCCTTTAGTATTCGGTGATCTACCACGACTTAAGATCATAAGCAAGCGGTTGCGTTCAATGCCCACAACTGTCTTCCGTGAATGACCTATCTCACCTGAGTCTTGAATACTGGTAATCCACCAACGTTCAATGTCTGAAGGGAAGTAGACTACCATTTCATTCTTCGAAAGAAGAGGAATACAGCTCATCTTGAGGCCTTGAGTACTCGGTGATCTACCGAGACTTATGGCTGCCAGTGAGCATGGCGGGATTTTGAATTCAGCTATTGTCTCTTGGAAAGGGAGGTTCCTATCTGTCTTGAGGCTTTGAATACTCGTTGATCTACCCTGATATAAAGTTCCAAGATGGAAAAGCTCCTCTGCATCTTCCTTTGAACATTCTGTCTTTCTTGAAGTTTTGACTACTCGGTGATCTACCCTGATTTAAAGTGACATGGCAGGCGAGGTCCCCTTCGCTCAACCGAAGAATGAAATGGGCTCAAACCAACCCAACTGAAGTGTCCCTTTCATGTTTCCAATTTCTGATCCTTGTTCTCACTCGATGAAATCACTCTGCGCTTCTCAATGGATATTCATCAAAGCATGACTGCTAGGAGGACAAACTTGCTCAAAATATATCAAATGATGTCCTCTCGCATTGTAGAACCGTTTCCCGGCTACATATTAGCTTCTTCAATTGAACTCCATGTCTCCCATCATTCAAAATATCTCTACGAGTCAAAGCAAATGTAAAATGGAAAATGTCAAGTCAACGCGCGTTGATCGCAACCAAAATATTTCTATCCACCTGTACCTTGCTGCCGTCCTTTTATTTAAACTATCTTCGTTGGTCAAACGTAACTACAAATTATGGAGCATGAGGTGTTCTGGGCTGTTTGGGGCTGGGTTGCGGGTTGGGGGTGGTGTTTGGGTTAGGGGTAGGAAGTTGTGAAAAGATAAGTAGAAATTTGGGTCATTATAGACTGAGGTTCAATATCAAACAAGGGGTATCATACATGGAGAAGAGATTCTGAAAGTCGAATTCAAACATAACGCAAGCATGAGAGGAGATGAAAATTGACGAAATGATGATGATATCATATGGACAAGGCGTAGATCAGAGTGGCCATCCAGGATACTTCGTTCCCTAGCTTTGGCCTAGTCCAAGGAAATCGCGATGATCACGCCCTCCAAAGCTAAGGAACGGATGTTCAACGAGCTCACGAGCACTTTTTCTGTCGGCCGGAATCCAAGTGAGCATGTCTCTAGCGAATGAGAGAAACAGCTCCCTCTCCTCGCCGTCAAGCGATGGTACCGTGTCCTCTAGCTTGCGGTCTGGAATGAGGCTCTTGTGAAGGAACTCGCCTGGTGGAAGAACAGGTTAGTGTAAGCTTATTAGGCAATTAAAATCTGACAAAAGAAGTTACTACCATTTTCGTCAAAGTGAGGACCGCAAAACATTTCCTGGGTATTTTTGCATGGCCCTCCCGGTACCAGGGTAATAGGGGAGTCAAACTCAATCTGCGAGACATTGTTAGACCTTTCAATTACTTCCTTTGGTGGTGGACCGAGTAAAGCTATCATTTCAGCTAAATGTGACGGGGCATCGTAGTGGCGGTTGGGATGTTCAACTTGGGTGAATAGCTCTGTTCCTTCAATGATATTCCATAACTGACAACGCAAGATAGTCAGGGACAAGCGAAAAATTATGATTAGAGTGTGTACTACTTACCATGACACCGAAATTCCAAATGTCCGTGCTGTAGTTCCAGCCATAACCAAGAATAGCTTCAGGCGAGCGATAGTAGTTTGGCTGAATTGGACCTAGTAACACTTCTCCCGTCTTTGATTTGTCGTCTGGGTGAACTCCGGGAAAGTGTACAGCAGAACCAAAATCTGTGATTTTTGGAATCATGTTTTGGATATCTTCAAGGTATAAGCTACCAAAATTGTTATGACAGCGGTATAAGGTGCGGCCGGTTGTTTGGTCGGTCTTGTAGGACATTGGCGTATCGACCACGGCTGTCTTGATGAATCTAGGGAGAACTTTGTCATTCTCAAAACTCATCATGATATTTGATAGCTTCAAGTCTAACGTTTTTGGCTCATTCGGTTAGAGAGGTAGAGTTCGAGAGCACTGTAGACTCAATACCAGTGTGGATAACCCTGCATTCAGCATGCAAATATTCCAAGCCCAACAGAAGGCAAACTATGTATCCTTTGGCAATGGGAAGAGGCATTTTGCAGTCTTCGAAGTTATCTTGGAAAGATAGCATGGTCTCTCGTTGGGGCTCATAGATCAGACATAAATGTGGATCGCCTTCCGAGTTTGAAATCTCGAAGTGACCACAGCAAGGTCGTATGACGGGCCAGCCTCGATGCGACATATTTTGCTGCGTGATCCGTTCCTCGAGACCTCTCTGGCGCTCATTTTTGCTGTGATTCCGGTTATTCAGGATCTTCAATGTCACGGTTTCGTCTTCGGCTCGCTCTCTGGATTGTGAAAGTGTTAGTTCTCGGCCGAATTAAAGTTAGGAGTGTGTGTAGGTACGCCAATATGTTCCTCGCCAACCACACTGTTGACGTTGTCCCCCAGCCCAACTTTGTCAGCAGCTGGAATTGATCGGCGAGTATCTCCCCTGGACGCGCCGGGTAGAAATATTTGGCGATTTTGCAATACCCAGGCAATTTTTCCTCGTCCACAATTGTATCCTGAGGAAGAACAAAGGAAGGGCCAGCAAGAGGAAGCTGAAATGGGAGCGCAGCAAGTGAAGCGAAGGTACGCTTCGTGACACGCGTCGATGACCATAGTCTGAACATCTCGGGATGAGCGGTTCGGGTCAAACGGCGGCCCCACTTGAGGCTCAAATTAGGTACAGTATGGAAGGCTGAGAAAGTAGATGTGGCAAGTGGTGTTAACATTCAGGCAAGATAATGCAGTAGAGCTGTCGAATCTCTGTCGAAGTCGATCTGAAGTTGTCCAGTTGTAAAGGAGGCTCTTACTAAGCTTTGCTGTTGTGACAGGGATCTTGTGGGAAGCCGTATTTCTGAGGCTCCAAGTCTAGGACATCATATTTGGCGTATAAATACTTATTCCCTTTCACTTTTAATGAAAGTCAAGCCATTTTGCGTTTTATTATACCGCAATTTTAATCCACAGTAGCTCGACTGTCGAAATTGCTCTCTTGGTTATCTCTCAGCTCATGGGTTACGCCAGCACAGTACTAGAGCTTTATTAACGTTAAACCAACCTTGTGGACCTCAACACTTTCGGACGTGATTTAAATATTCATTGAGGTCATTTTCAACATCAATATATATCCTTTCCAAGCTTAATGCAAAGGTAAATATCAAATGCGGTTCTTTTTAGCCGCGCGGCTCATTATCGTTGGATGGTTGGCTAACACTGGTTGGCTAAAAATAATAGCCAATATTCTGAATACCTGAAACTCAGACAACTTCTTTTTTATCTTCTTTGTCCACTTCCCATTCACAAAATGAATGCAAAAGGTGCCAACCTTGAAATCCAAGTGAAAATGGTAAGCGATATACCGTATTGCGGAATAATCTGCTCACATCGTCCTGCAGTCTAAGCCGACGCTTGAGGGTCTCCCAACCGAGCTACTGATTCTCATCTTGCTGGAGATATCCGACCAGTCTTCTCTCAAATCCATCGTGCTATCATCCTCCACACTGCACCAAGCGTACCTTACTGCGCGACCAGAAGTCCTTCTCCGCATCCTGCACAGGCAGTATGGACCATTTCTGGGAGAAGCAGTGGTGGCCGTGCGATCACGGGGTCTTTGTTTCGCCTCCCACGAGCAAGAAGCGATCACTTTATTGGACACTTGGCGACGCAGTGGAGAACTTACTGAACTGGCATTGCCAACAACAAAACAATTACATAACCTCGACGGGTTAGAAGAGATGTTCAGCCTGTTTCGGTTCCATAAACAGCTCAAATTCTTTCTAGAAGATTTGACAAGCAAGGCACTGCGTCCTCCGTGGTTGGCACAAGATGACTGGGACACTTCCATCTAGCCCATCAAGCTGTCTGTGTTTGAAAGGCACCGCTTTCTCAGAGCGTTGTGTCGACTTCAGACCCACACAAATATTTTCGGCCCATGTGAACAAAGCCCTGACCCAGGGTATACGAGCTTTAGAGAAAATGATTGGAATAACGACGATGGCGCAGGAGTAAAATCCAAAAGTATCAGGGCATACCGGTTGTTTTTCGGAACGATGCCACCCTGGGAATACGCAGAGATGGGAAGTGTTTGGGTTTACCTCCAGACAAAGTGCTCTCTGTTCTACGAGGAGATCCGGCAAAGTATGGCTGAGGTTGTAGAGAAATACGGATCTAAAGATCCAGGTATGGGCCAAGATTTTGAGTGTCTTCCCCCCGAAGTGCAACCGCCTCTTAAGCTGCTAGAAACCCTCAAAAGCCTTGAATATGGCCTTGATTCCTCTACCGCAGCATTGGCTTCAATTGGACCAGACTTTGTTTATCGCGTTATTTACGCCCCGCCTTTACTCAGGCGTAACATGATATTGGCCAACGCGCCCGGTTGGTCTGCGTCGGTCTTTATTGGCTACGAGATGAAATTATGGGGCGAAGAGGTAGTTCCATTCCTGTATCCTGCAGATCGCCATTCAATCACCGATTATGAGCAGTTGTGGTCAAATTTGTCGCCTACGGAAGTGCCGAATAATTCCTGGAAAACATGGTACCTGGCACCTGAGTTTCCCGGTCAAACTTTCGAGGAGGCAATTGAGGGTTTCACGCGTGAAGACGGCTGGGACTGGGCTCATGCTATATGGGATAATGAGAGACTAGAGAGATGGAAGGCTCCTATCTTGGACAATTTGCCATAGTAATTAGCATTGGTGTAATGATTATTTGAATCCGAGCAATGTATCTTGTTCTTTCTTTTTGCTTTCCAATGTTGGGCTGAAGCGGCAATGGTAAGTCACGTATATGGAAGCCCATGAAAGGGAGAACCTTTGATGCATCACTCCCGGAGAGTCAAAAGTGGTAAATATTCATGAAACAAGATCGAATGATGTATTTATTCAAGTTTTCTCAACCTTGAAAGACATTGTTTTGTAAATTTGCATGTTCTCCCCATCGCCCAGGATGTGCTCTTCGCTGCCCGTATCCGTTACGGATGACAGGGCACCTCTCTTCTTTGCTCGTACTGGTACCACCGTTGATAGCGTAGGAGTGATCAATGTGCGACCATTTCCGCTATTCTGACGCGGTCGTATTGTATCGTTTCCGACCTCGGGTATGGAGTCGAGCGGATAGGTAGGCCCAGTTCCGTTCTTGCGGTAGAAGGTGATCGTTGACGCGAAACTTTTGAATAAAGGACCGTATGTTGGAATGCACGTTATTATTGCCTGTTAGTAGAGACCGTTAGTTTAATGGATGAATCATGATTTGAGGTTCATGGAGAGAAATGGCAACATACACCGAGGCTGACTTCAACGATTGACCAGCAAATGAGACCCTGACTGTCCGTAACAGTCTTCAGGTTCTTGACACTGAAGATGCGAATGATTTGGATAATTGTGACGAAAAAACCCAATGTAAATACGGCAGTTAAGACGAGTTTCTGTCTTCGTTGGAGTTGAAGTTTCCACAACACTGGGAGAGGGAGAATAATGATGGCAATGTCGAATCCGAGGTTGGTTCCTGCGATGGCTACTTGCGAATGATTAGTACCTTGTTGCAACCGTCGGGAAAGAGCATCAAGCATACCATAATAGAATGACACCGTGTCAATGCATGTGCCTTTGAGGGATAAATCCCACTGTTTTGCAACTGGCCGACAGGAGGCCGAAATGACGAAAGTGAATATTAATTGCGTTGCTACACATATAGCAATTGCGATGGCAATGATAAGCCTATAGAAATTCACAAAACCGCCAATCCGCAGATATGAGGCAAGCAATGCAACTTTGAAAGTCAAAAGATCCAGGGTATAAATTGGTCCGCCAACGTATTGAATCTATAAAATTTAGTTCGATTTCGAAAAGATTCCACAGCCCGCCTGGATAAATACATACCTTGCTAAATGGGATAACATTCTCCTCTGGAAAATAAGCTTGACTCAATCCCAGTCCCCATCGAGTTTCTTCGAGGGTCAGTCGTGTTGTAGTTTCAGGTTATCAATAGTGCACCAAACTTACGAGCAATTGTGAGACCTCCATACACAACCGTCAATAATACACTGGCCAAAATCGTATAATCATCCCACCACGCCGGACGCTTCGTGCTGAGCCGAACATAGAATCGCAGACATATCGCCAGCAAAGCAAGAACTGGAAACACCACACAGATAGCAATGACACGCCCGATCTTGGTATCGGGATCTGATTCGTGAAGATTATGAACCCAAGTCATTATAAGGCCACTTGACTGAGCGTGCCAAACATCTGAACGTGGAAAACGCCACTCAGATTATTCAAGAGAGGGTAGCTCAGCTTTATTAAGATATAACACAACCACCAATTTGAGCTGTCTCCATCTCGGATCCTGAAAAGAATAAAATTGGTCTGAGACTACTAATAGTTCGGGGCTTAAACTATGCAGATCTACGATCCGGGCCAAGAGTATGAAAAATGCAGACAGGCGTGTATAATACAGCGTACATATACGCTTCCAGGATTAATTTCTCATACAATCTACTATATGTAACCCAAGAGAATTTATTATCCACATTTGAATCCTTCAACGCTTGGTCCAAACATGTTCGACCAAGCTGCCCAAGCTTGAGCTCCACAACTGACGAGGAGGACTTAAGCGAAGTCTACGATGACTTCTGGTTCGTCGGTGGAATACTGGACTCCAGCGGGTCGCGCGACAGGCCGCGGTGGAGAGGGGGCCGGCCCGCTTTAGGCTGGTTTCATGCTGATCGTTTGGTGATCTGCTTCTGGCGTTCTGAGTGGGCGCAATGCTTAGATTATGTGGGATCCTATAAGATAGGAAAGATCATTTTGATGGACTGAAAATGTAGATACAGGACCTCTGATGCACATAGCTTGGTTGATACAGTGGCGAATTAACTTGGAGTGCATCTGCAGCCTGATATTAGTTTACAGAAATGACCAATGGTGTCCCGGCATGCTCTCCAGTGAGGCATTTAATATGGAAAACTTTGACAACCTGCAGGCACCAGGGGGCTAGCTCATGCTATTGAATGACAACAAGGACCTAAATACGCGCTTCATGCATAAGCACTATACCATATTGCTTGGTTATTTCTGAAATGGATCTTTGTCTAATTCAATACGCGAACCCGCAGGTCCGCAAGTGTAAATTGGTTATAAATCGGAAATATTTTACAGATCCCTTATGAAACCGGGGAATTCTTGAGAGCGTTTTTGTTCAGCACGGCAAAGACGACCGTCCTTCTGCTGCTCCCAAGCGTCGGAGCTGACGGCCGTTGCAGCATAGAAGATGCCGTTCGGGTCATACTTAGCCTTGATTTTCTGCAAAGCTGGATAGTTCTTACCGAAGAACGACTTTTGCCAATTGGGTTGCCGGAAATCGGCCTGTGAAGACATGCACATTAGCTTCTCCAACATTTCCCAGCACATGGTGTGTTTATAGGAGAACTCATACCTCGTTCATGTAAGCTCCTGAGCTCGGTGCCAGTGCCATTAACTTAGGAATGTATACATCAGTCATCTTCCGCTGCTGTTCGAGCATCGCGCTATCGGCATCGAACTTCCAAGGAGTGGTTATGACTGTGTCAATCAGAGTATCACGCCAGGCAGGCAGGACAGAGTTGTGAACATCTCCCACAACCGCCCGAGAAACATTCAAGGCGACACCAATAAATGTCGCACCGTCCTCGGTGATCTCTTGATAGGCCTGGGTTAAGGCCTTGTTGTTCTTCTGAACCACCGACCGGGGAATTAGCCAGCCGCCATACTGGGCCTCGCCGACGCCAATTTCCTGTTGCATGCCGTTGAACTCTTCTAGGTAGCTATCAAACTGCTTTGAGTACAGAGTGTACTTGATATCCAGTTTCATAAGATCACTCAGGAAAGGCTTGATTAGCAAGAGCAGCTCCTTCTCGGAAATGTTAGGACCGGTCATTGGCGAGATTGCAAAGCTGGTATTGGTATAAAACCAGATGCTCATCACACCAGTATCGGTAATTTTCGGCAGTCTGGTATGGAACAACTCAATCGCCTTATAGAACTTGTCCTGGGAGATACCAGTGCTGGTAAAGGTCAAGTTGAGACCCGACACCGGGGTAGCCGCGTGCGCCTTGGAAGTCATCGACCAAACAACACCAAAGGTGCTACCACCACCACCACTGAGAGCCCAATAGAGGTCAGCAAACTCATTGTCGCGAGTGGCGGTGACGAAGTCTCCCTTGGCGTCGATCACCTCCCACGAAAGAACCTGGTCGGCACCAAGCCCGTAGCGGGAAGAAAGGGCCGAGTGGCCGCCGCCCTGGCTATAACCACCAGCAAGACCAACAGTGGGACACTCGCCCCCGACAACCTGGACGCCTGCCTCGTGAGCTGCCTCGTAAGCTTCAAATCCCTGCACGCCAGCACCCATGGTGATCGCCTTTCCAGTATAGTGGCGGTCCTTGTAGTCGTGAATCTTGAGGTCCTTAATGTAGTGTGTCCAGATAGCGAGAGCACCTGCACCGGTGGATTTCCCGTTGTAGTCATGCCCCGTGTTACGAACAACGACTCGAATGTTCTGTTTGGTAGCGAACTGAAGCGCCTTGGAAATTTGCTCGGGGGTGGTGACGTTGACGGAGTAGGAAACATAGTTGCCCAGTGTGCAGGGCTTCGAGATGGGATGGAAAGGATCACAGGTGCCATTGGTAAAATATGGGGCCATGATAGAAGACGACGATTCGTAGCTAGTTTGGCATTAATTTGTGACTCTCTGCAAGCATGTGAAGCTCCATGAAACTTACTGTTCCTCTGGGACTGTCCAACCCTCACGTAGGGTCGCACATTGAGCAGCATCGTAGTTAGGTGTGTGGCATAATTTACCAAGAGGGACAGTTTTCACCAGCCGACCATCAATTGACTGGTTAAACTTGGACCATACATCTTCAGCAGGCCAGCAAGCATCGCCGGGGAAGCATCGGCAAGCGGACGAAGCTCCCGCTGATGCCACCAGGAGGGATGTCAATAGGACCGACAACATTATTTTGGGATTTTATTACAGTATCCTCATATTTGGCGGGGGACTCGCATTTTAAAATGAGTTTACTTAGTTGATTAAGTCCAATGCATGAAGGACCCGCTCAGCAGTGATTGGAGCCCCTTGCGACAATCCCTGTCGGCCCCCAAACATTGTAATATAATTTATGTTACGATTCATTTATTCCGGGTTCGGTTCGTGCCGTTCTTTATATTTCAAGTCAAGCAGTCATTAAACTTTCTCACACAAGCGCTGCTGATCAAAATTTCCCCCAGCAAGCTGATAGTTCGGACACGACCTCGGCAGGGCATTCGCCCCCGAGAACATCGAAAATGTCGGCTTTCTCCGTCTAAGACGCTCGGTATTTACATATTTCGCAGTAAGAACACGGTTTGTGTGTTCTTGTACTGGCGCGAAAAATTCAAATGAAGAGCAGGGATCCTAAGAAGATAAACATGCCCTATATTCTCCATCTGTAGTGAAGGTCTAAATCTGTGGTACTATTTTCCTCCGATAAATGAACAATTGAAGACTCGATGCATATTAGAAAGCTCCACACGGGTTGTAATGGCCGACTCGGTATCTCCGAGATCTTTGGAGTCTTGCCTACCAAATGGAGGGCAAATCTCCGTCCGAAAGCCTGGAGAGTCGCTGTTCGCTGAATTGAAAACACTCGGGCAATCCAGTATCACTCCAGGTTTTTCCAAGAACAAGCTTAGCCACTCCCGGGGCACAGGTGAATATCCTTGCCATACCTACGCAGTGTTAGCTTGAATGATTTTCAGCATAATTTATGAACACAGAGAAGAGACCTACCGTGGCCGTTGAAGCCAGCGCAGATATATTGTCCTGGCAAGGATTCAATCGCGCCAACAAACGGAACTGAATCCGTAGTCATGGCAATAATCCCCGTCCAGGCATGATCCAAGCCTTCGCCATGCATAAAATTCTCAGACGTATGGGCAGGGAACAGTTGACCAAAGCTACGTAAAGCGTCTTGAACAATCTCCTCGCTGTACCGAGTATCATCAGTGCTCAAACGACTGGCAATAGTCTCGGCACTTAATGTTGGGTTTGATCGCGATACCCCAAGCACCAATGTGCCGTCTGCTTGCCGCTGGATGAGGGAGTAGAAATGGAAAAGGCTGTAGCGAAGTGAGAAAGTGCTCTGCAATGCCTTGTCTCCCGAGAATGCTGGAACTGGGATTATAGAATGGGCCTGAGCTCGATTCGGCCGCATGTAGGGATCCAAGTGCGGAAGTAAAAGGGCAGCGTGGGCATTCGTGCAGTGAATGACTTTCTCGGCTGTGATCACTCCCCGCGGAGTGTGTATATCCCACATTCCGGAAGTTGAGCTGGCTTGAATTTCAGTAGCAGGACAAAAGGTGAACAGTTTTGCTCCCTTGGAGATCACGGTTTGAAGGAGGAATTGGGCAAGCTTTGCTGGGTGGCTCGATCCAGCTGGCCATTCATATGCAGCAACTGCTCCAGGGACTCTGGTCTTTTGCTGCGCTTCTTCTGCTTCGTAGAATTTGATATGCGAACTGTCCCCTCCTGCCTTTCTGAAGGACTCTAGACTCTCCTTCTCATAGGCGGCAAACTCTGGGGTCATGCAAACATCAAATGTTGTTGTGAGGTGAAAATCGCAGGGCACCTTATGTTTGGTGACAAACTCATCCACTTTCTGTAGGACCAGTCGCTCATCTTGAATGATCTTCAAGGCCTGTTCCGCGCCGTGAACTTTGGAGTATGCACTAAAGCCTCGGAATGCATCTGGTGTAATGCGAAATTAGAATTCTACTTTCCCAAGAACGATTGCGACAAACCTGGTCGCACATGTCCGGCATTTCGTGAGCTTGCTCCGCTAGCTGCTTCGCGTGCCTCGAGAATGACAATATCCTCCCCCTTGACTCCTCCTTCGATTAGCTCGAAAGCCGTCAAACTGCCAGATATACCAGAGCCGACGACAATATACTTGGACTCGGAAGGTGTTTTCACATTTTTGTTCGCATATAGATGAGGGAATGCCCGAGTCGTGCGTTGCCAATAACTCAAGCCAGGAGTTGGATTCGGCAGACTCCGGCTGCTGCCCTCCTTTTGCCCTAGCGCCGACATTGTTGCTACTGACCAACTACGACCATAGCAGGTTCTGGCCCCGAGTATATATAGGTGACTCCACGTTGGATGTCAGTAATTCTCAGGTTGGCCGTTGTCGGCGTCGACCGTGTTCTTGTTGAGTCGCCGGTGCGGGGGAATAATCCCCTATCGCGGACTACTTCCGGTCCCCAGGCCGAGAGCGATGAGCTTTGCTCCTCTCCGCGCCAATCAGAGGGGAATATCTGGAGACTAAGCTCAGGGTTAAGCAAAAGTGGAGGTACTACGGTTGCCAAGCAAGAGTTCCAGTGTCTTGCTGGCTCTCTCACTATCTAACAGCTCCGGCCTGCCTCCGAGGTTACTCCCTCCAAAGAATGCCACTATTGGTGTTGAATCACCGTCCCAGCCTAAAAGGCCACTCATAAGTCACATATCTCGGATCGACAGCCGATTCTACCCCGGACGTGACTATCTTTTATCTGCGAGGGGTCATGCACGCCTTATCTGTTCCGCTCCGACCTTCTATAAGGGCCAAGGTCGCCACTTAGCTCTTTCTTTCCCCCATTCCCGCCATGGTGTCTTTCAAGTTATGGCCTCGCAGTCGCAGTGCCAACGATGATTTTCGTTCCGCAGATGAGAAGGCTCTGGTGCGCCGTCTGGATATCTTCCTGATGACTTTCGGTTGTCTCTCACAGGGTGCGTTGGGCGAACCCCCTCAAGGCAAGAAACAAGAAACCTGACTTGGCATAGTTATCAAATATCTCGATCAACAGAATATCAACAATGCATACGTCTCGGGCATGATGGAGGATTTGAATTTACACGGCAACGAGCTCAACTTGTGAGTCAGACGTACCCACATTCCCCGGATTTCGCTGAGACCCGCTAGATTCACGACCTATTTCAATGTCGCCTACTGTATTATGCTCATCCCGTCGCAGATCATCCTCACTTATGTGCGACCGAGTTATTGGCTTCCGGGGCTGGAGATCATCTGGGGTGTGTTGACGGGCCTGATCGCTATGACCAGCAATGCGAAGCAGGTATACGTGATTCGTGTCTTCCTCGGTCTATGCGAAAGTAGCGCATGGCCCGGAATGATGACACTATTCAGTACGTTGAACATGCTCGGATCCTTGGTATCGCCGATCCAGTCCAGGACTAACTAATTCTCACTAGTGTACTGGTATACGCCAACAGAATTAGCCAAGCGAATGGGCTTTTACCACTCCTGCCAAGCAGTTGGTCAAATGCTGTCGGGTGCCATGCAAGCAGCCATCTCTGACACCCTGAACGGGCATGGCGGACTGGCCGGCTGGCGCTGGCTGTTCGTGATCAACGCGGTCATCACGGTTGTGTGGGGCTTCGCTGGATTCTTCATGATCCCCGATCTGCCCAATCGACCAAACCCGCGCGCCTTTTGGTTCAAAAAGGTGCATGGCGAACTGTCGCTTGAGCGACTCGCTCGCAACGGACGCGCCGAGCCTAAGCGCATGACCTGGGCCGGTGTTAAGCGCACGTTCTCTGGATGGGTTGTATACTTCATTTCGATCCTCTATATTGCGACTGTCCTTGGAACATATGGATATGTCTACTTCTCCCTATTCTTAAAGTCGCTCAAGAACCCAGATGGAACGCCCAGATGGACGGTGTCGCAGGTGAATGCCATTCCTATCGGCGGCTCGGCGATAAACGTCGTTTTCGTTTGGATTTGGGCTTTGTTGTCGGATTATCTGAAGACTCGCTGGACATTGATTGTGCTCCAGGCTGTTATTGGAATTATTCCCTGCATCATTATGAGTATCTGGACAACACACCCGGACACCGTTGCCCTTTCGGCTGCCTATGCATCCTACTTCATCTCTTATGTCTGTCTAGGGACCGCACCCCTCATCTTTGCGTGGCTGTCAGATCTCATTCCTCAGGATCCGGAAGCCCGGTCGCTTGCTGTTGGTGTTGCAGTGGCTGGGTACTACTCCATTTCTGCATGGTCGCAGGTTCTCGTCTGGCCTGCCTCCCAAGCTCCATTCTACAAATATGGATGGCAGTCTGCTCTTGCTCTCCTCGTACTGGTCATTATTATGACGTGTATTCTGCGCTTCGTCGATGTGCGGTACTTGTTGCCTCAGCGTGAGGAATTCCGCGCCGTTCTGGAAGATGATATTTCGGCTGGTAAAGCTACTTCATCGGCAGTTATTGATCAGGATAGCGCAAGTCAGCGGAAAGGCGGGCCTTCGAAGACTGTTCATGTTACAACGGTAGATGAAGTCTAGATCACAGTGATCTTTCGGCCCAGTGGTGCCGAGCCTAACGATATGATCGTTTCAAGTCCGGTTGTCTGATCTCAATACCCGGTGTACTGCGTTCCAATTTCTTAGGATTTGCCCAACGAGTACAATCATAAATTTCCATTGGATAATTAATAACGGGAATATATCCACATTTAAATGCATGGACCGAGGGAACATGTCAGAGTTCAGAATATTAAGCAAGTATGTATCTCTCTCTCAACACAACTCCACCGTATCAACTTCTCCCTCCATTCGCACATCTTCTCGAGTGAGTCGCGACATCTTAGTAGTAAAGAGGCTTCTCGGGATCAGTGAGATCAAAGATAACACTAGAGTGAGGCTTCGCACCGCCACGATTCTCAAACTCCTTACTAAAGTCAATAGTCCGGTTGAAAGACAGACTACCGTCCTCATTCAGATCGATATAGAGTGCCTTGAAGTCGGCAGGAGTATTGATAATACCAATCTCGCCGGTCTGAACAAAGTAATCCGTAACAACCAAGTGCTTCTGGTCGGGGGTGACCTTGATATAGTGAGGTCCAACGGTGGGTTGGTCTTCATCTGGGTCATCGAGACGCTTGACATTGTTGAGGTCGCTAATGTCCAGTGCGACAATGTGGTTCGCGGTTGTCAGGGTTGCGTAGAAAAAGCGGCCGTCTTGGCTGATATCCGAGCTATGGGAATTGTGGTTAGTACTTAGTTTCCTTCTCTGCTGGATGAACAGGATGTTCTTACTAGATAGCAATAGTATCACGGGCTTTGGGTCCCAAATCAAAGAGTTCCTCGATCACGCCTTGGCTGCCGTTTGGGTTGGTGCGCAGAGGGTAGATAATCCAAATCTGACCCAGGTGAACCGCAGTTGCAATAGCAGCAGATTCAGGGTGTCCGGGGATAAACTTGACATCTTGAATACCGCCGCCCTAGTGAGGTTAGTTGGAGCAAAAGTCCGAGGTTCTCCAAGTGGAGCTTACATTAGGGATAGTAAGAGTACTGATGATGGTCCGAGAATCCAGATCCCACAAGCGCAGTGTATCGGCATGGCGCACACCAAGACTGGGCTTCAATATAGTGATGGGCTCGACAAAGTCCGATGTCAAAATGAGCTTCTTATCCCAGTCAATGCTAAGACCGTGAGGAGAGAATTGTTGTTCAAGAATGTTGAGTGTACCCTCAACATCCTCCGGCCATTCATGAATGATGTTGAAATCGGCATCGGTCTCGATCAAACGACCAGGAGAGGTACCAACTGCAGAACCCATGTATGTGATAAAGAAGCCTCCATCGGGTTTGGCTCTGACCTCGTCTGCAATTGAGGCCAGGATACCCCGGTTACTTTTCAGAAACTTGGGCCGGTAAGGGTTCGAGGTGTCGAAATAGAATCCAGTGTCCTGGATTGAGTTAGGGACGGCAAACATTGTTTATATTAGAGGTCACGCATACCTGTGTCTTCAGAAGTGAAAGCAATCCACCACCCCACAGAGTCTTGCCGTCAAGAGAGGGTCCGAGATGGTGGGGATCGTTGCCGCTAGATGGGACATCGGTAACCCACAGCAGAGTACCAAAAGTGTCCTGATAACGAGTCAGTGAGAACGTTCACGTCTTATATTATATGACGTAGCTTACATCATCTAGACTGTAGGTAGCAAGAAAGTCTGAGAAAAGGAAGTAAGTATGATATCTCTCCAGTCGTATTTGATAGAGCCTCACCCTTGTGGAACTTGTCTGCAGATCCAGTCCAGAAGTATCCAATCTTCTTGGGGCGAATGTCGCTTGGAGTAAAGGGAGGACTCTCCAATGGAGGAGTTGGAATTTGCAAGATAGGCAATGGAGGAGCGTTGGTTGTCAAAGGCTCAGTCACTCCCGGGATGAGTGGGATCAGAGGAGGCAAGGAAAGGCACTCCCCGACAGTGATCAAAGACGCAATCAAAGAGAAGGAATACTTCATCTTGGCGAGGTTGATTGAGATATCTTGCGTTGAATTGTTGAGCACATATGCGGGAATATCTTGAGGCTTATATGTCCGACTAGAATTCTGTCGTTTCCAAAATGAAATGTCACATTGTGTCCTTCCCCTGAACCTTCTCGCCAAAATCAATAGAAAGCACGCAAGAGAAGGCCATATCAGCTTTCAGTGAGACTTCAAATTCTTGAAGACGATGTTGATCTACCAAATGGCGAAATCATTCCTGGACGCCGCCACGAAGACTGACAGATCCCGACTCGGGGACTTGAAAGCTGTGATATCCCCGGATACGGATCGTCTGATACTCGGATAATGAAAAGTGAAGAAATGTCGTGATTGAAGTCAATAGACACTCGTGATGGAGGGACGGCCGACATTTGACAGGGATTACAAGTTCATGGGATCGATAGTGCGAACTTAGAGGTGCGCATCTGGAAGCAGCTCGGGGAATCATGAAATTCCTTGGCTGAATCTCGCCCTGAATTGGATGCCACCATGATATGTGGACGAACGACTCACAGGACTAGGGCACAGAACGCCATGTGCTTACCTAAATAGGAAAGGCTCACCAAAGACGCTCAGGGATAACCCTCTCACGACTCCCACTAAAAGCACTAAATAACCCAGAATTGGGACCTGGGCATCAAAGCGAAGCTTTTGGTCTACTTTGGCTTGTTGATTTGAAGGGATGATCTGCGGTGCCAAGCAAGCCAAGCCAGCCAAGGCATTCGGGATCTAATCATTCAAGGCATGGATGAGGTGATTCAGGGCAAGACACTTTCAACATTTGACCAATCCGACCTCATGACTCGTCGTAATTTTAGAGGCATGTTCCATCTACATGTCAGGGTCCGCGATCGACACTGTGTTTTCTCCATGGGGTCCAGGAACACGGGCGAGCCCTGCATAGATTTCGACATGATGCCAAGAATGTTGTTATACTGAACGAACTTACTTTCCTGGTTCCTGTCAGGCTCTCATTTGTCCCTGGCAATTCAAATCTTCACTTACAACTTGTTCCGCGGTAGGCGAAAATAAAGAACTCGCCTGGATTGCATCATTTCACGTCTTTCAATAGTTCGGTTTATACTTTGGGCTAAAGCTGAATGCTCATGTGCAGTCATCATTTCTATGGCCGTGGGGGAGTTTTGGTTTCGATTGTGGCATTCTGGAAATATTCCAGTTGCGAGATTTGATAGGAGGGTAGCCCTTGGTGGGGATGGGAGTTAGAATGTATACTTCAAATGCTATATATACGACGTCCCGCGATGACTCTTGACTCTTGCAATTTAGTGTTGCATTCTGACTGACTTCTATCTGGGTCAGTATGAAGTCTCAAACCATCGCTTTCCTCGGTCTGTTCGTTTCCACTGCCTTTGCGGTTCCCAAGGTCAAACGACAGGACATTGGCAAGGATCAACCGATTAGTGGTGGCAAGGGCGCACCAATCTTGGGTAGGCTGAGATAAATCTAGCATTTTGATGAAATCTAACATTCTTCTGCCTTTAGGCGGAACCAACCGAGAGCTCGATCTTCAGAATCCTGATCAATTCCGCACTTCCAGCACCGACAATGGCTTTGTGCCCAATGTCAAATGGAGCTTCTCTGAATCGCAGACTAGACTTTTTCCAGGTGGTTGGTCCCGAGAACAAGTAATCCAGGACCTGCCACAAAGCCATGATATTGCTGGTGCGCAGCAGCACCTGAAGAAGGGAGCTATTCGCGAGCTACACTGGCATAGAACGGTATATGACTTCGAACCCACACCAAATTTTCAATACTAAAGAAGTACAGGCCGAGTGGGGATTCGTTTACAATGGATCTCTGCTACTTTCCGGTGTCGACGAGAATGGTGGATTCACCACCGAGAAGCTCGAAACAGGAGACATCTGGTACTTCCCTAAGGGTGTTGCCCACAACGTGCAAGGTTTAGATGATGAGAACGAATATCTTCTTGCTTTTGATGACGGTAATTTTGAGAAAATTGGGTATGGCTTCTGTTGCTTCGCTTCTATTTTCCCATGCTAATAATTCAGAACGACTTTCATGGTGGACGACTGGATTGCCCATACTCCTCGAGATGTTCTTGCTAAGAACTTTGGAGTTGATCCTAAAGTCTTCGACAACGTACCCTCAAAGTTCCCCTATATCCTTAACGGTACCGTGAGCGAAGACCTTGACAAGGCACCAGAAGGCACCTTGAGGGGTGATAACTCGTATGTTTATCACACTTACAAGCATCCATCGGAGCCCGTTCCTGGTCATGGTGGCACATTTCGCAAGATTGATTCCACCAACTTCCCTATCTCCAAGACTATTGCCGCTGCCATCGTTGAGTTGGAGCCTAAGGGCCTTCGTGAGCTTCACTGGCATCCCAATGTTAGTTCCCGATCAACATCTGCCAGACCAACTACTAACAGTCAGTTAGGCTGAGGAATGGCTCTACTTTCACCAAGGCCATGCTCGTGCGACCGTGTTCATTGGTGACTCCAAAGCCCGTACCTTCGACTTTCAAGCTGGCGACACTGCTGCATTCCCTGACAACAGTGGTATGTATACATGTCAACTCTTTCTTCGTTCAATTGTGCTAACTTTTCTCATCTAGGCCACTACATTGAAAACACCTCTGAGACTGAGAAGCTTATCTGGATTGAGCTGTATAAGAGCGACCGTGTTGCTGATATCTCGTTGGCCCAGTGGCTTGCTCTGACCCCAGCTGATACTGTTGCCAACGTCTTGAAGATTGATATTGAGGTTGTCAAGCAGATCAAGAAGGAGAAGCAGATTCTTGTCCAGGGTAAGAAATGATTGCCGCTTTGCCTTGAGTCATGATATCTTGCATAAATATGTGGCTAGGAAGCCCTATCTGAACACATGGCACTACGCCAAATAATTAAGTTTTTGTCTTTGCCCTTTCTTGGGACTGACAATAGAATTCAATTCTTGATATTCAAAGTCTTAATCTGCATAGTGTAAACATCAGGATAACCGTTTTGTAGCAATAAACTAGATTTTGAGATTTTTTGATGCAGGGCAGGGGGCTAATCTAACTCCCTGTTCGCGTTTCCAATGATTTCTTTACCTCTAGCATTGCATAAATCACTTACAACCAGAGCTTAGCCTTTAAAGGCGGTTTTTTTTCGTGCTGGGACTTGTAATCAAGCCTTCAATAATGAAATATATATAGGGCGATCTAATTACCAAATCCTCAAGTTAGGTGTACCAATGTACGCATTTGATCGCCTAAATTGTTCATGTAGAGGCGAGGTTTTACGGTGCTTATGTCTAGATCTTTAAGGTATTGATACTATGACTAGTACTAATTCCAGAGTGCATAAGGGACCAAGACGTGATGCGGCATCTAGACATCCTCGAAGCATGATCCATTTGAGGTAAGTGTAAGCGCGGATGACAGACTTGTCAGGGCGGCTTAGAGTGCATTACAGGGTTGCATGATGCAGCATTTGTTGACATAAAGAAAGTTCCTCAGCAACTCAGTGGCTATTCTACCTTTTTGCGGAACAGAATGCGGAGCGAGCTCAGGGACAATTGCCAAGATTGTGGGGTCCCCACAATATCCCCGCCGGGTTAGCTCCAGGGTTTACGTGAACTATATAAACACGCTCGATCTTGATGTTTCGTCAACAATCATATCTCTCAATCCGCTGAAATTACTGGACAAGCTGCATCGCCCAACATGTGGTCCATGGTCCAACGTCTTCTCACGCTTGGTCTGATAGCCACTACACTACCTGCTGCATCCTGCTATGTCACCAGCAGATCAACAAAGTTACGAACTGTCGTTACAACCGACATGGAACAAGACGACTTGGCCTCGCTAATTCGATTCCTGCTTTACACGAATGACCTTGATACACAGGGTATCATCTATAGCTCTAGCGTATGGCACTGGGCCGGCAACGGCAACGGCACATCTTTGCGCTGGACTGGCACACGAACAATTGAGGACAAAGTCCTCAAGGCCTATGCAGAGGTCTATCCGAATCTTCGTCAACATGACCCATCTTACCCAACACCAAAGGAGCTGTTGTCCACAGTCAAGATTGGCAACATCGACTTTGAGGGTGAGATGGAAAAGGACACCGCTGGTTCCAATCTCATTAAATCGTTACTGTTAGACAATGATCCCAGAACGCTGTACTTGCAGGCTTGGGGTGGCACCAATACCATCGCCCGTGCTCTCAAGTCAATCGAGGACCAGTATTCCAAGTCGAGCAACTGGATACGAACCAAGGAGAGAATCTCCCGAAAAGCAGTCATTATGGCCAGTGGCTTCCAAGATCCGACATACGCTGAGTATATTGCTTTACACTGGCCCAAAGTCCGTGTTGAAGAGATGTCGGCTGGCTACGCCACCTGGGCATACAACTGCAATAAAGGCCAGGGCAACGTTCGTGGGCTACCCAACGATAACTTGTATTTCACTGGTGAATGGATCAGGCCAAACATCGAGATGGGGCCTTACGGGAAGCTCTACCGCTCCTGGCTCGACGGCCAATCCATGCCGGGTGATCCAAATGACATTTTCGCCAATGCAACGGCATCCGCTGCCAGCTGGTGTAAGCCGCTTGCTCCCTACGATTTCCTTTCTGAGGGTGATAATGTGGCTTTCAACCCCTTGTTGACAACCGGCCTCCAAGACCCAACCAACCCAAATCTTGGTGGCTGGGGAGGTCGGGCAAAGCAGAATTCCACCTTTCCGGATCTCTGGGTGATGGCTGAAAATGAGATTGGTCAAAATGGGACTGAAGTTGACATGTACACCATCGACCGTTGGTTAGCGCCAGTTCAGAATGACTTTGCAGCTCGCATGCAGTGGACAGTGACACCAAAGTATAGCGACGGAAATCATGCACCCTCTGTTGAGATACTAAATGGTGGTTCAGTGAAGGGACGTCCTGGGACTACGGTGACTTTGACCGGTGCAGTTCACGATCCAGATAATGACAATATCAGCACTTCCTGGTGGCAGTATCTAGAGGAAGGCACCTACCCAGGATCCGTGGTCGTAGCTGAGCATCGAAAGAGCCGGGCCAGTGTGGAGATTCCAGCTGACGCAAAGCGCGGCCAGACTATTTCGATCATTCTGGAGGGAACCGATGATGGGCAGTTTCCTTTGACGCGCTATGGCCGTGTTATTATTCAAGTCATTTAACTTAACATATTTCGGTTCTAGATCACTATTAATTGATCTTATGGCCAGTTGCAGTATACCTTTAGTGCAGTAGAATATCAAATCACACTAGGTTCAGTCAGTGGGATCCTGAAGATTTTACCAACTAGTCGATGCCTTGTGTTTCAGGCATTTTAGTCAAATTGCATGCTATAAAGGCCCATTTCTCCTGTATAATTGTAGTTTCTATTGTTCTCCATTCTATTCTTACTTTGATGGGTTTTCTGGGGCTTGGTAAACGCTAAGGGATGAAAGCGCTTAGAGCTACCTGCAGAAGCTGGCCGAGGGTTACAACTAACATACTGGTTTACCCTGAAGCTCTATGCAATAAGCAGTGCTTAGAAGTACCCGAATTGGGTCTGCAATTAGCTTAACTCGTGAGGATAAACCTTAAAATGCACCTCATGTGGCCCATTTGGGGTTTCCCCGTGGTTCCCCGCAACCCCCGCAGTATTCCCGAGTGGCAGTAACTTCCAAAAACAGCGAGGTTCCCAGGCAGGATATCGTAGCCACGGATGATTGTCCTCTCGGTGGTCTCATTCGGAGATATTGATCGAATAAATACGCTGGGCTTTACCCACCATGCTCACACGACAGCTTGCCATTATATTGTGAGCTCTGGCTTTTCTATCGGAACAAAGTTAACTTCGTGGTTCGCAACTTCAATTCTGAGTTGTTGCAATTTAGTTCAGCCTCGCAAAATGGGCGAAATCGCAGCTGAATCAAATCGAGACTCTCGCGCCCAGGCGGCGATGAAGAATCGTTGGACATCCCTATTACACAACCCCAAGCTAATGGTCATTGCGCTATTCGCTTCGTATGTCTCAATTAATCTTTTGTTATGAATACTATTCTAATTGTTGATACAGGGTTGGCGGATTCGAGTATGGATATCAACAGGGAGTGCTGGGCCAGTCCCTGGTTATGACTCGCTTTACAGACAATTTCCCTACTGTCGTTGCGTCCTCTAGCGCTACCGGCTGGCTCACATCAATCCTACAACTGGGCGGTATTCTCGGCTCTCTCTCCGCCGGAATCTTGGGCGAAATATTTTCTCGAAAGTACACTATGTTTTCAGCTTGTTGCTGGGTTGTCCTTGGAAGCTATCTCTATTGCGGAGCCAGCTACCATAAGCCAGGCTTGTTATATGCGGGCAGATTCTTTACCGGTCTTGGAGTTGGAACTTTCAGTGGCGTTGGGTGGGTATTTTCTTTACTTAGAATCTCATTGAATCAACTAACACCTCGACGCGATAGTCCTCTTTATAACGCCGAGTTATCAGCTCCCGAGCTTCGCGGATTCTTGGTCTCATTTTACCAATTCGCAACGATTTTTGGAATTATGTTGTCCTTCTGGATAGGATATGGAAGTAACAATATTGGCGGTATCGGAGAAACACAATCCGACATGGCCTGGCGGCTTCCTTCTATCATCCAGGGCATTCCTGCCGTATTACTTGCCTGTGGAATTTGGTGGCTGCCGTTCTCCCCCCGCTGGCTTGTCAAAAAGGGTAGAGTTCAGGAGGCACTTTCTACTTTGTCCTACCTACGCAACCTACCCGAGGAGCATGAGCTAATCCAGGCTGAACTCAGGGAGATTGAAGCAGAGAGTCTCTTCGAAAGGCGATCCTTTGCAAAGACGTTCCCTAATCTGGCGGCCAAGGAGCAAGGAAGCATATTGGTCCGCGAATTCGCCCAGTATTATCAGATCTTCCGAACCTGGGATAACTTCAAGCGCGTCGCCATTGCTTGGCTTATCATGTTCTTCCAGCAATGGAGTGGTATTGATGCTATTATTTACTACGCCAGCACCGTGTTTCAGAGCTTGGGTCTAACTGGAGGAACTCAAGCCCTGCTCGCCACCGGAGTCACGGGAGTCGTGTTCTTTGTATGCACTCTCCCGGCCATGCCTCTAATCGACAGAATTGGTCGAAAGCCCATGCTATATGCCGGTTCTGCTGTTATGTGGATCTCAATGGTCCTGGTCGGTATAATTGTCGCCAAGTTTGGAAACGACTTTGAAAATCATTCAAACGCTGGCTGGGCTGCAGTGGCTTTCATCTGGATCTATGTCGGTGCATTCGGGGCTACCTGGGGTCCAGTATCATGGACATTGGTAGCAGAAATATTCCCCCTTTCTATCCGATCGAAGGGCTCATCTTTTGGTGCATCAAGCAATTGGGTAAGTGACTCCATAGAATTGTAGACCAGCACTAACGCGGATTTAGCTCAACAACTTCGCTGTCGCTTTCTTCGTTCCCCCTATGTTCCAGGCTTGGAAATGGGGCACATATATTTTCTTCGCCGTCTTTCTTGCTGCTAGCATTGTATGGATTTATTTTTTCCTCCCAGAGACCAAGGGCGCGACATTGGAGGAGATGGATCGTGTTTTCAAGAGTCGCTCAGGGGAAATGGATCTAATCATGTTAGATGAGGCACGTCGTGACGTCGCAATGGCCCACAATGCTGCATTGGAAGTCGAAAAGGAAATGGTCGCTCATGAGGAGGAGCGTTGCTCGTTGAAACATTAGTCACTCTTGTTCATTGTGTTTTAGAGTCTTACGTACCTGCCGGCGGGTCTCCCTTGACTATGGCTTCTGCAAATCACATTGTCTGGTTCAATTTGGCTACTCCGCTAGACTCATCTACTGACGCTGTCTATCTATTCTTAGTGGAGTAGCCTTAACGATTCCATGTCAGCGGAATAAAGTTAAGGTTGAATGGGCCGACCCGCGCCGCTCCACTGAAGGCCACGGGTAGGCGCAAACATGTTCATGTAGCGGAGAATGAATGGTATGCCTTGAAACTTATCCGTACGGAATGAGGCAATTAATGTGACACAGCGATTCTGACGGCATGTGAATGCATCTCTCGGTTGGCCGCTGAGGATACAAGGAATAAGGGTAGCACTTTTGCACCCAGGCTGAGCTTGGTCTAGTCAATAGTGAGTGAGTAACAGGTTGAAGTTTCTTACTAGCTTCAAAATAGTGCATTAGGTTGTACTGGCTCACCTTGTTCCTGTAAGCGATTTCTGTGGCTAATATTGATCAATACCAAGTTGTCAATGGATTCAGCACCTACCGATGCCTGTGAGATGATCCGGGTCCATGTACTTGATGCTTCAGATCAATGACAAGCGGCAGATATCTTTTACAAGGTCACTAACATTAATCAGACACTCTTTTTAATTATCTCAAACCTCTCTAATCCTGTCTTTAAGCTTAATTTCAATTGGCTCACTTGACTGCCTGTTTGATGGCCAAAATAACGTATGAGCCGAGGTGTTTAGCCATCGAACCCAATAGCGCTCGAGACTTTGGAGGACACTGTTCATTCCATTTTCGTGTGTTTGGACACTCCTTGTTATGCCTTCGCCGTACGCGTCGGCGCTTCCATAAGTGTCCAGACCAAGGACTGGATGTCTTCTTTTCACGACTTATGGTTCTTTTTTGCAAAACTTAGTGATCTCATTCAATTAAACTACTCGATCAGAAGAGTTCCCTTCTGGGTGCTCCTAGTGGAATGCTATCGACGTGATACCCGACACCCGGTCTGACGGTCGACATTCACATACTCCATACTACTAGAAGCTCATCAATAACGGGTCATTCTAATAGATACACCAGGTAGTTATGGGGGCAATACAGCAGTGGATGGAATGGAACAAAATGTAACCAGATGGGATAAAATGTAATGTAGAAAGAAAGAGCGACATAGAGGCAAAAGGGTGAAAGGGCTAAAAAGACTAGACAGATTGAAGAGATTGAACAACCAGAAGACCCAAGCCAATCGTAGCAGATCGGCTTTGGCAGTTTTCATTTCCGGGGAGTCTCAGCGGAGCCTGATACTCATGCATATGTCGGCAGGGTTCTTAAAAAGAAAGCTTCAGATACATCAGAAGCTGAATATTTCGTGAACAGTAAGGGAATTCATTGAGTAAAAAAAAAACTCCAATAATGCAATTATGCTGATAGCAAACTCCAAATCCCAAGCATGACCAAAAAAGTCCGTCCCCAAAGTAAGTCGGACAAAGGGCCAAAACTCCATGCACGCTACCAACAATGCTCCAAACAACCTCGCTCCGCGCGTCAACAAAATATCAACTTAAAGAATAACAAAGAATTTGGCCTTAATTTTTGATCGCCTTCCTCTTCAGCACGCCAAGATGCTCTAGTCTATCCCATGCTTGGTTCATGTCGGAGGCCTGGTCGCCCAGCGAGGGTCGGAGCTCCAGGCCATCCAAGGTATGGAGAGATCCGCTTGTGCCGGCGTACAGGAGAAGTTCGAGAACTCTCCGACGGAGACGTGTGGCTTGGTCAAGATGGATTAGATATTTTCCGTCGGCAAGGGGATCTGCCAACGGGACTGTGAATGGGTCGTTGATTTCAACGTCCGTGTCAGGCTTTGCCTCGTCTCCCATGGTTGCCCGGTGGGATATCTGGTCATCATTTCCGAGCTCTGCGAGTGCATCGGAAAGATCTCGGTGGACTTGTTGATGTCGAACAATTGCATGTTCGTTGGACTTCAACTTCTTCCGATCCATGTTCGTGCCATTTCCGGTTACTGCGGGTGGGTAGAAGCCAACAGTCAATGGATTGCCGCGGATATCCAGTTTGCGCAAGGAGCACGCAGTCCCTTTTCCGGTTCTTCCTAGTCGACTGAGGATTTGAGAGACTCGTCTCATACGTGCTAGACGATTGCCAACAATCATCAATCTGGCGAGGCAGTTCATTCCCACAAGGGGTTCCACATTATCGACAGAGTTGAAGTTCAGATTGAGAACTTTGAGATTAGGGAAGCTCAATGCAAAGTCACTTGGGATGCTCTTCAATGTACACGCAGCCAAATCAAGAAGCTGAAGGCGCAAGAGAGGAGCAGAGGGGGTGAGGACCTCAGACGAAAGTTTGTTGGAGGACAAAAAGACTTTGCGGACATCCTTGATAAGCCCCAGATCAAGATCTATCATGAAGTTTGGATTCTTTTCCTTGGGCGTCTGTTCTCGGAGAGATAAAACCTCAACATTGTGGCAATTTTCCAAGCCGGTCACGGCTGAAAGATGGTTTTGATCGAGGTAAAGAAGGCTCACGGAAGAGAATGGTCGGACATCCAAAGATTCGAGACGATTTCCTGACAGCCTAAGGGCGCGCAAACTAATGAGGGATGCTGGAGATTCAAGGCTAGTGATCTTGTTGGCACTGAGATCAAGAGTAGCAAGTGACGGGAGCCAGTCAACATTGCGAACAGACGTTAAGCAATTGTGACTTAGGTCAAGGTCACGCAGGCGTGTCCTAAACATTTGATTAGCATTCTATATTTCCGACGATTGGAGAAACTTACAGTTCAGACCCTTCGAAATCCACCGCTGTCACAGAGTTGTTGCTTAATTTCAAACTCAGCAAGCCATTGAGGTCAAGAATTCCATCAATGTTGCGGATTTGGTTATCATTCGCCTTCAGCTCTCGGAGGTGAATCAAGCTTGAGAAGCCATCCAATGTCTCGATGTCATTTCCTGAAACATCGAGATATTGGAGATTAACCAAATGGCTCCAAGGGGTGAGGTTGGACAAGCAATTCCGTGGGATCTTGAGTGTCCGCAATGATGGCGGGATTCCACTCAGTTGACCGATGTCGTTATCGGAAACATCCAATTCCTCTAACCGTGGGCAGAACTCATTGAGCTTATGTAAAGTAATCAATCCCTTCTGCCGCAAAACAAGGCGACGCACATGCTCCCAGTAAGGCTCATATGGCTCTACATCAGTAATATGCTTGATCAGATCTCCAGTCGCCAATGCAAATGTGCCGTGCACTTGGCGCAGGGAAGACGGATTTGTTCGTTGAGCCACATAGCTCATCTCAAGATTCAGAGCTCGATCACCCTGGTTGACCGAAAAGTCTGCGAGGGGGCTGAGGTGGAAGCTGTAGCTTGTGTCGGGTCCAGCGCTCTGGATTGGCATCAAGGATTGCTCTGCCCCATTGCGAGCAGGTGTCTCACTGACGGAAAGTGACTGATTTGTGCGAACAAGGCTTTGGTCATCAACAGTATCCTCGTTTCTTTCTTCGATTCTCGAAATGGGACGTCGAATAAAGGGCTGTCCAGCAACGGAGGTTTGTCGTCCAGTTGGAGGAACAGAAGACCGGATCGAATCATTTTCATTATCGGACTGAATAGACTCTTCGGGAGGTGGAATTCCCTGGTAGACGTGATCCTGAGAGGCTGGATCCCGTTCAGTATTGGCGGATTCCCCTTCGGAGGTAGCCTGTGCAGTATCCGATGATAGGTTGACAGTGGCAACACGTGCTTGTTTTCCTTGAGATCGAGACGCCTTTGAAGACACAGACCCCTGGCCGTGTTCTTGAGAACTATCTTGCCCAGAGTGGTTTTGTGTTTCAATCTCATTCGTCTCCCATGATGTCGTTCTGGTGCCAGTGTTGGGGACACTCGAGGTGAATCGTGTCTTTCTCGACCGAATGGAGCTTCCGTTGAGAGACGGAGCGCCATCCCTTGTATGTGGTCGAACATCTATCTTTGTGGGGGACCTGCGGGCACTGGCATCTTGTTGGTCGCCGGTCGTGCTCTTTGTAGGAGAGCTGAGACCATGTACTCTCATCATCTCTTGTAGCTCATCCACACTCAAATCTGGAATATCTCTGAAAGGATCTTCGCCTTGCTCGGGTTCGGATGGAGGCTGAGGTTCTTCGACTCCGTCTTTGACCCATTGATTCCTACGACGATCATATTTGAACCCATTGACTTCATTGGGGATGAGGTGGGATACCAGATCAGAGGCCAACATCCCCTTCACTTGGGAGTTCTGTGAGGATCCTGTTGGTGCCGAGCTGACACTGAAACCGGACATTTGGGTGTTGATAGTCATCAAGTCTTGAGCAATGTTTTCGGCCGTGTCATCGGCCATGCCACTGGTCTTGCGCTTCCTCGGTCCTTGGATGCGAATATTCTGCGAGTTTGGAGAATCAAGGTCAATCCGACTTTCTGGCCGGCCAGGGAGTGACATTTCGCCATCGAATTCCCGATCATCGCGCTCCTGGTACTTTTTAAGATGGCTCAAAATCAACGGATTCAGTTCCTTGGGCTCCCTAATTTTGCGAAGATCTGTTCCATCGCGGCTTGGTGGGCGAGAGAATGCCTCGCGGGTGGATTCATCTTCGTAGCTCAGGTCAAGCTCGTCGCCTTCGCTGTCCACGTCAGACTCTTGAACGCTGGTCAGACCAGTTGCACCCCGACCTTTTGATCGGATCAAGTCCATGATCTTCGTGGCTTCGTTGAGATAGTCTTGGGTGGTGATTGACCCCTTTCGTGAAGTATCACTGGTGCCAGTAATTTTGACAAGGGGGACATCACCATCGAGTGAGAATGAGTCCGAATAGTCTGTGTTATCGAAATTGGACTCGGAGAACCTTCTATGCGCCATAAGGCTCGCTTCGGCAGCATTTCGTATTTGACTTGGGGTCGGTGTACGTGGTCGCTGCATCGATTGGGAAAAGCCAGGGGGAGCAAGATAGTCACTATTACCAATCTGCACGCCTTGTTGCATTAGGCTTCTCTGTAACAGTGACATGCTGTCACCATACTTTGGGGGTGAGTCTCCGTTCTCCCAGTTCGGCTCGACGCTGTTCTTTCGCATAATTGTTCGACGCCGCTTCGGAGTTGGGTCCATCCCAGGGGCCTTGGGTACTCGTTTGACATCAGGAGGCATATTCTCCTTGTTGCCCGGTCGAGTGGCTGGTCTTATATCGTCGAAGAAATCCTGACGAACCCAGGCAGATGGTTTTCGCGTGAATCCAGAGCTGGCTGTTCTGCTGTAATGATATAAGCTATGCTGTGCAGATGAGCCACGGAGATAATTTCGAGTTGATGATCTTTTCCTTGATGTAGGTCGAGATCCGAATCCTGCGGCCTCATCATAGATCAATTTGTGTTCGTAGGGGCTGGCATCTGAGAAGTCGAACTTGTCCAACTCGCCACCGCCGAATTGACTTATACGATGTCCATTATTCCGAGATCCGTGGCGTTCATTACGTCTCGGTGAAATCTCGCCCAATGGTTCATTTCTCGCAGTCAAGAAGCTTCGATTTTCGCCCTTTCTTCGCGCTTCCTCGGACGGCGATGGTGGTTCTTCTCCTTCCGATGTGTCGCTGAAGCTCTCCTCGAATTGACTCATGCGCCGAAGCAATCGGTTATTCGTGAATGTATCATGGTCACCGAACAACTTCAGTGGACTTCCTGAAGATGGCATATTTCCGTCTCTCCCTTCTGTGTCCCCAGCTGTGGATGGTCGAACGTGAGATGAAGATGGGCGAGGTAGGGCAGGAGAGCCTGTCCGGTGAGGAGGATTGAAGAGGGGAGAACTGCGAATTTTGGAGTTGGCGAGGGTTGCGGGGGAGAGACGGTGTGAAGGGAAGGGCGATGGTGAAAATCGACGAGGGAAAGAGCGGTTTCCACGTCGGTGGAAGTCGACTGTTCCCATCGACAAATCTTGAGGGAGAGAGTGGCTGGTCACGTCTAGTAAACTGTCGTCGCGGGGTGACGCGTCGGGACGAGGTTCACTGTGATTGTAGAAGAGGAAGCTGTCGCTTGCTGGGGACTCTGGGCGGCTGTCGTTTTCGATAGACAAACTTTCCAATTTGTTGGTGACCTGCTTCAGCGCAGATTTGATGACTTCGGACGTCTTAGTGCCGTCAACTGTATTGTTTCGGGTGAATGTGATGGGCGTGATGCCTTCGTTACGAAGATCTTCCAATCCACTCGCCGTCCGTAGTTGTGTATTCCCTTGTGAGTACCCTTCTGGGTCCTGTGTCGCGTCCTGCGTCGCATCTTCTCCCCACGGCGCGCGATTTACAGTCCCTGACGCCGATTCAGTGTGGTTTCCGCCCTCGTCTTCACTGTCGACGCGCTCTGGTTCTGGCTCGGATTGTTGATCTTGTTTTTCCGCCTCGTCTCTATCTTGTCGCGAAGTGTTGTCGGTGAAATCCCACAGCTGATCGTCCTGCTTCGAAAATGGAATCGAGTCTTGTGTCAATGAGCTCTGAGGCGGTGGCTTGAAAACACTTTCCAGTCCCATGGGCGCGAACAAATCTCGTTGTTCGCCCGCCTCGATTTCCCCCCGCAGTAAGCGCCTGCGCCATTCCGGTGTGCCCTCCTGTGTGTCTTTTGTTCCTTTCTTCGTTTTGATCTGAACGGTACTATTACTCTGAACTTCCGACGATTTCGAGGCGTTTGAGACGTTCGAGACGGATCGTAGTGGGGATCGATGGTCCATCGCTGAAGGTTTGCGAACCGCAGCGGAGACGCGCCTGGGGCTTTCCTTGGTCCTAGGTGTGTTGGGTTTGGACTTATCGGGGGCCGGCGATCGCGGTTTCGGTGTCTTGGGGGTACGGGGAGTCTTTGGGGTTGGAGGCTCTTTTCTGTGGAAGTGACAGGGCCGGGTCACCTTCTTCTTGTCCCCCGGGGATTGTTTTTCGGAACGCCGCGCGGGCACTGGAATGCGACTCGGGGTTCCGGGCAAACTGGCCCTTGGAGACGAGGCCAATGGTTGAGTTGGTGGAGTTGGTGCAGGACTTGTCGGCGAGGCTGGCATCGAGGGCCAGTCGTCGGACAGACTGTCGAGCCATGGTTGGCTCATCTTGCTTTGTTATGATACGCGTCTGGTTGAATGTCGCGCGACACAAAGCATGTCGTAGTAGTTAGTACATAGGAATCGAAGCTAACAAAAAAAATACTGGAGTTGCAAAAGAGAACGGACATGCGGAGATGTGGTCCGCGCAGTTCAATCCCCACTCAAGCTCCTTGTTTGTTTTGTGTTTACCTGGGTTACCGACTCCGCCCGCTTTCCAATCTATAGACCCCGATGCAGTGGCAGGAGTTGTCGGTTAGGGCTTATTTAGCCCATGCAATACATTCGATGCTCCAGTAATTCAACACTATCGAGTCCTTTTCGAAGCCTAATGTTGTGGTCCCACTTAGTCTCGATAATAATCCAATAATCTCTTGACCGATGTCGCTGCAAGGGCACAATTCAATTAAAATGGATATTAGAGAGCAGACTAAGCTGGAAATGTGTAATAAAAAGGCATAGATCTGTAACGGGGGGTTCAATTGAAGTGGATTTGAGTGTTGATGACGTTGAAGGCACGTTATATATATCTGGCTGGTCACTAGTCAAGCACCAAACCCAAAGGTCAACATTTTGACCTGAGGCTACTAACATTGTCAATTTACTTATCAGGCAGTAACAGGTTGGTTTCCTTCCTTGCGCAAGGGTGATTGAATATCAAATAGTACAATTGTTGGGGCGCACTCAAGGGTTGAAGCTATTGCAAATAGAGTATGGCCCCTCGTTTCCTTTAGCGGGTAGGTGGGCGGTCCTTTTGACGTCATTTCAGATCTACGTAATTAATTTTTTCATTTCGAAGCTTGAATATCCCACAGGCAGAGAATGTGTGCACGTTGGTAGCCCGAAGTGTTTTCCGTAGTCATCTTTCAAGAGATATACACAGATGAGCCAACATTGCCCTGGATACGGAGTCCATGTAGCTGCCCAACGCGGGAATAAAAAGGAATTGGCACGTAGCAACGAGCGGTGAGACCTATCAGGTAACCTAGCACGATATATACTTTGTTAGTGCCATGAAGGAACACGTCGGTGAACGGAGGTCATGGCCTCTTCAATCTTCTGAAGGATTTGACGCATTCTACTACGGAGTTCTCGAATGGGTGGGCCATTTCTTGCATTGTTTTGTGCCCTAACATGTTCTCTCTTCTTTCAGATATGCCCATTTGCGATTATGTTGGATATAAAGACGTATTTCATCATATAATGATCGGGAGTTGCATGAACTGGAAACGGAGCTAACTTTTGGAAGGAATCGAAAGTATGTATTGATCATGTCTAACTCCAGGATATTTTGTCTCAATGAATGGTACAGTATAGAACACGAAAGAAAAGTTTTAGATGATAAGTCGCTCGAAAGAGTACTTGCCAACCGCCTTGCGACGCAAGTATCCAATCTCACGGCTAGTGCGGTTCTTGACCTCGCCGGTAGACTTCTTCATCTTGGTGCGGGAAACATCTCCGGAAGTAGTCTTGAGTGACAGAGGAAGCATCTTGCCACCGGCATCACCATCAAATCCATCTTCACCTTCGCCAGGACGAGTGAAAATCATCAACTCGGCGCCATTGAGCTTCTCGTAGCGGACGAGGTGGGAAGGACCAGCGGCCTCAGCATCCATCTTGGCCAGAGCATCCTCTGAAGTAGTGGCTGGGGTAACGACCTGGTCTGCGAAACGGAGGTACTCGCACATGACTCCCTTGAGATAGGTTGCCTCTTCCACTCCTGCGAGAGCGGCGGAAATCTCGGACTTCATATCGGCAATTAGTTCCATCTCACGGCTAGCAGCCGCTGTGACGGAGTCTGAGTCCTCGAAATCACCAGCTGTAGGAACGGCGGAGATCCAGCCGGAAGGACCAACGGCGTCTACGGAAGCAGTGAGGAGGTCAACAATGACATTGAGGGAAAGAGAAGGAGTAATCTGGTGAGGCGTGATGGGGGTGGGGGGTTTTCGGTGAAGCGAGAAGTATAGCCTCCAGTAGCGAGAGAAAGACGGAGATGGTGAACCATAGAGAAAAGCTCTGTGCGTGAGAGGTTGGAGCGAAGAGAAGCCACAACGACTGGGAGAGGCTGAGCATGAATCTTCTGGAGAGAGATATTCAGACCGGTGAAGATGTCCTTCAGGGTTGCTGTCTCAGACCCGAGGTGCTTTGTGAGTTCCTGGGTAGGAGTGGCGATATCACCGTTGGTAATCGCCCGAGCGGTGTCTTCAAGAGCTCCAGAACGCGAACGGGCCTGGTTCAGGAAAACCTTGAGCGCATAGGCCAATTCATCCGAGGAGATCAGAGTAGGCCCTTCCAAAACTTGGTTGACTTGGTTGAGGGAGGGATCAGAATCAAGCAGAGCTTGAATAAAAGAACCGGTGGGGAACTTCTGCAGCACTTGCGGCTTGTAGGCCCGACGAAGTGCAATTTCGACGTTATCGAATGAGAAGTGACCCAACTTGATGAGCCACTCGCAAGTAGTGGGAGGCCACATGGCAACCTGGAGCCGAGAAGAAGAAGAAGCCGAAGCAATATCTTTTGATCGAGACTCTTCCACAGTAAAGATTTTCGACAGCAAGAAAAGAGTTGCTTCCGAGTTGACAAATTGTCCGCGCACAGGGAGCGTTGTAGAGGCATCAGATGTGCTAAAGTATGTCAAAACAGCGTTATCGAACAAGTCAATGTTCTTGGTCTTGGCCGCCTTGTCGATAGTTTGTGTAAGCTGTGTCCATTTCTCAACTTGCTCCGGGGAGGTAAGTCGAAGGGAAGCCACGTTGTCAGACCGGTGCTTCTTAGAGGCCACATCCCACTGGGCAGCAGATGAACCGATACCCTTGCCAATGGCATCAATGAGAAGGCTATCTCTTGTTCGCTTGAGAGAAGAGCTCGGCGCACTCGGGAGTGAGCTCAAGTCAAAAGCAATAAGGGTGTTGCCCTTGGTGGCCACTGCAATTCCAAGCTTAGCGAAGTAGCTGATGAAATTTGTAGGGGTCTCTGCGGTTGATGCGGTGCTCGAGGAAATATCATCCGCGGGAATGCTGCGCTGAACCGAGTTGTACTGGGTGTCATAGACTGCCACGAGAGACTTGCTCGCACCGATCACAAACTGGGGCGAAATACGCATCACCGAGGAAAAGTGCTCATCAAGCACGAACTGTGAAGTGACCGAAGGCGAGTATTGGGAGAGATCGACGTTGATGAAACCCTTGTCGAAAGAAAGATTTAAACCCGCCGAGCCAGAGTGGAAGCTCCATTGCATTGCACTGCAGTTGGCAGTTTCCAGGCCACTCAGGTCCGGGATGTGGAAAGTTTGGAGATGTCTCAACCGTTGGCTCTCGTGCGATTGTGACGTCGAATCGGCAGGAACAGAGAACATCTGCACAATAATATCCTTCAAAGAAACTCTATCTGTGTTCTTTGGCTGCGATACAACCAGCAAGATGGATGGCTCATTGACACCAGAGGCCGTCAAATCACCCAAGGCCATCGAAGCCAGGTCCTGTCGTCTCTTGAACAAAGCCTTCTTTGCATCTTCAAACTCTACCAAGAAGCTGGACTGGACACTGTGAGTAGAGCAAACCTTGGCAATCTCGCTGTGCTGAATGCTCCATCGCTGAGTCTTCAAATCAGAGGACAGTCTGCGGACACGACCATCCTCGTGGACCGCCAGAATGTCAAATGGATCCATTTCTCCTTCATCATTGGCACTGGAGGGGACGATGCCGACAAAAGTGGTGGGGCTGGTCGAATCAGTCACGGTGGTAGTCGAAGAAGAAATGACTGGGGCACTTGAGCCACTGCTGCTGATCTCCTCCACGAAACACTTGATCTGATGTTCGGGCTTAGTGACGGCAGTGTAAGTTTGTCGTCGAACTGCCGATTTTTTCGAGAGCTTGCGGCGAACGGAGCATGGGCGGCAAGAGAAAGTAGATTGCGGCGGGACGGCATAGGACGTTACGAGCTTTGGCGTTTGAACCTGGGATAAAGAGTTAGTGAGAATTCAAAAACCAGAGATCAGGAATTTCCGACAGCCGTACATTGTAAATGTTTACAGCCTCACCATCAACCGCAACTGCGACTTCATAGCGCTTGCGCTTTTTCGCATCGGCGAGACTGAAGACATCGCTGATACGGGTTTTGCCAGTGGAGGCGTGAAGTGGGCGAGGCAATTGCGCCAGAACAGAGGGAGATTGCAGGTCCATGACTAAATCTCGAAAACCAAGCGATTTCCTGTCCCTTCAAAGCGTGTGGTCTTTTGCATGCAGACCAAACGGGAAATCTGAAAAATTTTCGGGATTACATCGGCCCGGTAAATCCACTTCTATGCCCCTAGTCCGTATCGGGCTAGCCTGGATCCATCAGGTAATCAGCCTGACATAAGCCATTTACGCGCCCGCGCCTTTCGCGTCGGGACGTGTCTGAGGCCATATAGTTGTAAGTGGTTTGTCTCTACTGGCTATTGTCTTACCATCGGCCTACAGACTGTCACTTCAATGTTGAGCTCGGGATATCTATCTCTGCTCTAACTCTCGCCCATGTTTGCCTGAATATTCCCATGGACACCATTGTATCCAATCTACCAATGGCTATGGGATCCGACGAACAGCAAGTCCTGCATCCCTTTTTTCGACAAGGTCAGCATATGCTCTTAGACTCTGATCCCAACCTCGCTCACAAAATATAGAATTCGGACTTTCTGTTAAATCTACGCATCCCAATGACCTGCCTCCGACAACTAATACCCAGCCAAACGAGGCTACACCGAGAAGCAACGAGAACTCAGCTTGCGAACAGAGACAGCATAACCCCACGGAATACAAAATCAAAGCTTCGCAACACGCTAACGAGAGCTCCAACGACATTGAAGAAGATCCCAACGAAACAAGAAGGAAGAGGCGGAAGACCGATAAAACCCAACCTTCAGAAACAACCGCAACCTCCAATGTTGGAATTTCAGCATGGCTCGGTGGTGGCCTCCCTGAGGCCATGACGAAATCCGCCGATATTAACGATACCGATGTCGATTTACCTTCTCAGCCTCTGCTGGCAGAGGCCCAGCTCGATACAAATGCAGCCACAATTTCGACTTCTACGCAACAAGACAGCCCAGATAATCCAATCGGAAGGTCATCAGCGAGACAGAAGACTCTGAAATTGAATTCAAAAGGGAAATTCCTCTCGTCACCTGCTTCAAGCCCTCCTCGAGAGACGAAGAGGGGGACAGGCAAGCGAGGAAGGCCCGCAAAAATACGCTCAAAACTGGTAGTCTTCAAGTACAGAGTTGGTTCAGAAGTCAAGACCGGAGAACTTGTTGATAACATCCTGAGTGGCAAATTGGTTCATCGTCGTGTGGTCCCTGTTGCCAAACCTACTCTGCCGTCACGCAAGCCAGCAACGATAAAATCCTCAAAACCAACCCATCCATTCTTTTCAAAAAAGGATGCACACAAGACCGATATCCAGAGTGCTACCGACTCAAAACAACAACCGCAAGATGGCTTAAATACAGCAGCCGGGACTTTAGACAACAAGAGACGAGTTGTTGCCGGTTCGATACCCTCTTTCTCTACATCTGTCCGCCGTGCGTCCAAATTTCCCGAACTTCTCGATCCACTATGGCCTCCACAAGATTTCGTGCACGTCAGAGACTTCTGCCCATCTGATAATACCACAGACACGCTATGCCGGATTGAGAATGATCGAAAGAAGTCGAAGATTGCGGCGATGTCAATTAGAGACGAAGAAAGTGTGCTGCTCACTGGGATTGCTGAGGCAAGAAGGATTGCCATTAAATCGGAAATCTCGCAAGACAGCGTTGTTTCTCTTCGACATCCCATTCGACATGTTGCAAGTAATCAGATATTGCGTTCAGCAATGGAGAAACAAATGTCTTGGTCCTCGCCGAACCCTCGTTTTCCTTGGAACGCTTCCAGTCCACCTCTCGCCAAGATTGAAACCTCACTTCTCTCGTCAGTCTCAGCATTCGATTGCGGAAAATACGAAACCCAGCTTTGGACACAGAAGTACGCTCCTAAGGCGGCAGAAGAAGTTCTTCAATTTGGTCGTGAGCCGCAGATGCTTCGAGACTGGCTACGCCATCTTACAATCACGGCGGTAGACACAGGCAAACCACCGAAAGACACTTCCAAATCCAAAATCAAACGCGACAAGAAGCGAAAAAAGCGACAAAAGGCCGACAAGCTCGATGGATTCATTGTGTCAAGCGAGGGAGAGGCCTCAGAGATGGACACCATGTCTGGTTCAGACGATGAGCTCGCTGGAGGTGTGACTCAGCGGACTGTGGTTAGATCGGGTGACATGGCTGCATCAGAGAAAATCCAAGTCAGTAATGTGATTCTCTTGAGCGGCCCTGCAGGTTGCGGCAAAACTGCTTCTGTCTATGCCGTTGCTAAAGAGCTTGACTTCGAGGTCTTTGAGATTAATCCCGGAAGCCGTCGAAGCGCCCGGGATATGTTGGAGCGAGTAGGAGACATGACCCAAAACCACCTAGTCCATCTTCTTAATGAATCGGAAACCCCAACGGAAAGCTTGAAGGATGATGGGAAGCAGAATAAGTTGATGAGCTTCTTCAAGGGTCCGTCTAAATCAAAACAGCCTGAAAATCAACCTGAACCAAGCCCGATACCAGAAGCAGACCCAAAACGCCCAAGACAACAAAAGCAATCGTTGATTCTGCTCGAAGAAGCGGATCTGCTTTTCGAAGAGGACAAACAGTTCTGGACTGGAGTCCTTACTCTCATTGCTCAATCACGACGACCAATCATCATCACCTGCAATGATGAGAGTTTAATCCCCATTCAGGATATGTCGTTGCATGCTATCCTACGCTACCAAAAGGCTCCTCAGGATCTCGGTGTTGACTACTTGCTTCTCATTGCCGCCAGCGAAGGTCACATTTTGAAGCGGGAGGCTGTTACCCGCCTTTATCAGGGCAGTGGAAAGGATCTTCGAAAGTCTCTGATGGACCTCAATTTCTGGTGCCAGATGGGCGTTGGTAGTGAAAAATCAGGTCTCGACTGGCTCCTCCCTGCATGGCCACCTGAGTCTAACGTTGACTTCAACGGGGATCGAGTTCGAGTCCTTAGTCTGAATACCTACGAACGTTTTATGGGATGGTTCAACCGCGACATACTTTCAAGTGAAGACACATTGGAGCAGGAAGCAGAAATCAACCGAAACACCTTGCATTGGTGGGGGATGGGACTTCAAGAATCGGAAGATGTGGGTGGCAGGAGTGACGTTGAACTCATTCCACCTGCTCAATTCCAATCGAGCTCTAAGACAGCCCAGCTTGACATGCTGTGCCGTGAAGCCGATTACTTTGAGATGAGAAGCTCATTGGATATCCTTTGCTCCAGCTGCTCGATCGATATGAATAATGTAAGTGGGATTCGTACCTTGGTAGACACACCAACTCACCTCCAGCAGGATGACATTGATATCTCCGCGCCACCTCTTCCTGAAGGCCACCGATCCAACTACCTCGACACATACCCGCTCCTTCAATCAGACCTGCGTGTCGAACATTCATCGATCAGTGAATCCGTCAGCACCACTTTCAATGCCTTGCTAAGCCAAACGTTCCGCCCAACCACCAAAACCGACCTTGAATCATCATACGCTAGTCGAATCGTGGGCAAGTTAGTTCGTTCTGGACAACCCCAAATCACTCCTCCATCCACCCTACCCCAGTTCCAGCGCATTTTCGAAACCATCATGCGCCCCAGTTATGCGATGCTTGGCCCCACTCGACCCGCCCCATCCTTTGAGAATGGACTCGCAGCCATCACAGAAGACCTGGCTCCGTACATCCGAGGAATCATGGTATTTGACGGACGCCTACACCAATACCGCCAGCAGCTGTATGAACTCACAGCACAACAACATCGCGGCGAGAAGCGATCCCGAACCACACGAGCCAGTCGCGCTGCTCTCGAAGGCGGCGACAAATCCTCGACGCGCAAGGAGAGGTGGTTTGCCAACGAGGCGCCCTATTATCAAATTCAAGCCACGGCAGGACCGGGCTGGCAACATGTATTACATCAAATGGGGTACTTTCATGTCCAGCCCGTGATCGAGCCGAGCACTGAGACCAGCGAGCCAATGTCTATCAACCAGATTATTGAGAATGTCCAGTGATGGCAACGACCAGATGTATTATATATGAAAACGAACTCAAAATAACGTCCAATCTACACATTTAGCGCATAAATCCACACTACTCTCGTTAGAGCCTGAATCCGCGCCAAATGGCATACCCCATTTTCCTCCGGGGTATGGCAATATCAGACAAGCGACTTTTGTATTGTGGCTTAGATCACTGAAAGTCATGATAATACACAGAATAGAAAAAAAGAAGAGAGAAGTACAGCAGCCAGGATATGGCCCCAGTACGCTCATCAGAGAAAAAGAAGGAATCCAGAGAACTCCTAGTTCCCGTCCCGCAGGAAGTTACGCGAACCAAGTCAGATAGTTATCAGACCCCCGACAACAGCAGAAGTACCTGGCATGCAAAGTACCGACTCACATTCGCATCAGAGAACTCAAACCCAAACCCAAACCCCAAACCCCAAACAAAAACAAAAACAAAAAAAAAACAACTAAACTATGAAACAACTCTCGTGGTAGAAGTAGCAGTAGGCTTGGGCGCCTCGGGCTCCTGGAACGACGCCATATGATACCGCCCAAAGTCCTCTTGCTTGTAATCAAAGAAGGACTCGCCCGAACTGCGACGCGAGCTTGTTGGAGCGCCGCGCTGGTGCTGGCCTGGTGCCTGGGCGCCGAATCGGCCTTGCCCGTCGCGACCGTAGAAACCCGAGGAGCGGTTGTGCTCTTCTAGATCTTCGCGATCGTCTCTGCGCTGCCGTTTGAAATAGAGGACGACGAGGACGATTATAGCTGTCAAGAGGAGGCTGTTGGGCGATTAGTGCATGTTGTTGTTGTTGTGTTGTCTTTTGTTGATATGCTTACAATCCAGTGATCGCGGCTGGAACACCGACTGTCAGTGCTCGGCTGGTGGGCTTTGTGCAGCTAGAGAGTGTATCGTCACCGTTGCACTCGCGGCGAAGGAGGGAGAAGAAGGTCATTTTTGCAAAGAATGTGGTGGTCGAGGACCAAGGAGTAATGAGTGACAAGTAAAGAGGGACGGGGGGGTTAAAGGAGTGACGGGGGGGATGAAGGGTTGAAGGGTCGCAAAAGAGAAGGGAGAAGTTCCAGGGAGTGTGGGGAAGACGTTCGACCTTTGTTTCAGAGGCGTTGGCTTAGGCCAAGGTGTAGAAGCGTATCGGTTCTGATAGCTTCAGTGGAAAAGGGGGTGGCTTGCTGGCAAAATATGGGGTTACATTCTTGACCTTGGAAATCTCCCACGTTATGTGGACGGACTCAGGAGTAGATCAGATATATCTACACTTTATCTACAATAACGTTCAGTTCTTATTTGTGATGATCTTCGTTGGATTCAGGTCCATTGGTCGAGGCTGTGATTGGCCTGATTACACCAGGGGACGAACAAACACCTGCTTGCCAAACCAGGTCAGAGTGCTCGATCTATAAGTTTGGACCTAACCGGAGTATTCGAAGTGACATGTCCACAAAGGCTTAACTGATTAAGACAAGGCGCTCGTGTGTCGGAGAAGATGAGAAGATGGGAAACCAGGGCACATGAGACATGTCTCATCCTTCTTGCGAACGGTCTATTTATATGAATCATTTTGCGCCCGACATAAGAGAACGCTAGTATACAATGCATCTAACACGGAAAAAGAATCAGACCTCATCACCATTCCCAGCATCGAATTTAGACAAAGCCTCATTCTTTTGAACCTCGTCGCTCCATCGCTTCCGTGGAGTCTCAAAAGTTGACGAAATGCGCCCATACGACATGCCCCCAAGTTGACCAACAGGCCGCAACTTCTCGAGATCAATATGACTGAAGGCAGCATCCGAAGTTCCCTCTTTAACCCAGAACCGAGTCGCCTTGATCAAGACCGTCGCGGCCAGACTCATCCCCGGTTTCTGATGATCCATGAATTCCTTGATGTCAATCACCTTCCCTTCAATATTGAAGACCGATTCTGCGACACGGGCCGGTTTCACCGTACTCGAGGGCGCTTCGTGTAGACCTGAAATGTCCCACTCGGAGACCCCATACGGCGCATCAATGGAGGTGGCATTGACTGCCTCGATCATGTTTTCCGAGACGGTGTTGATCACACATTCGCCGGTTTCTTTAAGATTGTGATATGTATCTTTGACACGGCCGGGTCGGGACGAGAAGCCTACGATGAACATGGGTGGGTCGTGGTCGATGACTTGGAAGTAACTGAAGGGGGAGAGATTCTTCTCGCCCTTGGAGTTCACGGTACTCAGGAATCCAACGGGTCGTGGTGCGATCCCAGAGACGAGGAGGCGATAGTTGTTGATCATTGGCCGATCTGGGGCGTAGGGATCGATCTCATGGTGTTTCTGGGCAAGGCTGGCGCCGTTGTCTGGGACCCCATCTCCATAGTTCCAATTGGGATTGGGGGACTTGGTGACTTCAATACCTGCAGAGTGATTGAAGTCTGGACGAGTGGCTTGAACTTCATCGAAGTTGCCTGCGTCTTGCACGATTTTGTAGCCTTTCTCTGCTGCGGCGGTTTGACTTTCTGATGCCATGGCTGCAGATGAGCTCATTCGCAATTGGTTCAATGATTGAGATCCAATGCGAGAAGCAGATATAGATGTAGATGTCCAAGCCCTGAGATGAAATTAGTCATTGGCCATGAATCAGGGTGACTGGGATCGACATACTGGCTGGACAAGCGTCCCAGTGTTCTCCAGATAGCCATTTTTGACAAAAGCACTATGTATATTTCCTGTGAGATTCCAGGATTGATATATAAGTAATTGATATCTTTGACGCTGACAAACTTTCAAATTCTTCGAGTCCCAAAAAGTCGGGAGCGACTCCCGACGCCCGGCCCGGTTGCCGAGATATCAAAGATAAGCCGAGGGGTCGAGGGGTAAATAGGCGTACTGGATGTTCTTCAATTTCACCTATTCAGTCATGTTGAAGCAAAATTCACGTATCGCTACACGAGTAGCAAGGGTGCTGGTGTCTCCTCTGCCTCGATTGACGCCTCCGACCGCTCGTGGCTTCTCTTCCAAGGGGCCCAAGACTCTAGTGACAAGCGTCCAAACAAATGAAGCATACGCACGTAAGTAAAGCCAATGGGTCTACTAGTACATATCACTGATCGAAAATACAGCTTTTGCCCATTACGTATACAGTCCCAAGTGAATGGAAGAAACGAGCCGAGCTAATGAGCCTCATATAGTCCCAAGCAATTAAAGCCGCTGGCCAAGTCTGGCTTTCGGGCCAGATACCAGCCGATGCAGAAGGCAATTTGATTCAAGGATCCATAACAGAGCAGACAGAAACTATCATTAAAAATACCGAAGCTATCCTGAAAGCCTCCGGCACTGGATTGGAACGAGTTGTCAAAGTAGTGGTGAGTCGAGCACCGCAAGCCACTTCCGGATTCTGTCGGTTGAGAGCTTACATATACCAAGGTGTACGTCAGAGATGCAGATATCATGCCTGACTTCGCATCCGTGTACGATGCCGCATTCCCACATCGGCCTGCGCGTTCTATGGTGGAGGTGTCGAAGTTGCCGGCAGGGGTAGATATCCAAGTAGACTTTACGGCGGTTATATGACGAAATCTGGTGTATTTATTATATCCAATCAAGCAATTTCAAAATTGTTATTTTCGGTTGATGGAGTATGAGCTGCATATCCGGGAAGTTCACAAGAAGCCGAATAGCCACAACCTGGAAGGCGACTCCGATGTTTGTATTGAAGAGGGGACATTTGCAACCTATAATTCTACTTGTAACGTTCATTTCTCATTTGAATTAACAACAATTCGATCATTTGAAATGACGCCATTTTGGTCCTCTCGCGCTGGCGTTCATTTCGCAAGCAGTCTGAGATGTGTTCAAAGGAGTCAGTTTCCTGTGGCATTCAACCAGTTCTTTGCACTAAGCCCGACGAAACATTACTCCTCGAAGAATGTTGGTCTATTGAACTGTCCTTTTGGTACTGCATCTCGTCAGTATCATTCCAAGATAGTCGTGCGCGTACCTCCGATGGCCGAGTCAATCACAGAAGGAACATTGAACCGTCTCAACAAACGGATTGGGGAATTTATTGAGCGAGACGAAGAACTAGCTACCATTGAGACCGACAAGATTGATGTTTCGGTAAATGCACCACAGTCAGGAGTTATCAAAAAATTGCTTGTGAGTGAAGGGGATGTTGTTACAGTCGATCAAGAGATTGCGGAAATTGAAGCTGGCGAACAAGCAGCCACTCATGAAGATCATAGCCGCAGATCAGTCCCAAATACCGACGAGAAAACTTTAAAGAAGCAAGGACCTCAGACTACAGCACAACCGCCGGCTCAAGAGACCGAACAACCCAAGTACGAAGAGAGACAGAAACAACGACCCGCTCCTGGATCAAGTGCACAAACGCCTGGACAGCCTCACAACTGGCGGTCTAGACACAGTCGTGCAGAAGAGAGGGTGATTTTGTGAAGTCAGCTTGGTGGATTTGAAAGCTAACATTTATTGACTTATAGGTTAAAATGACTCGAATCCGACAACGTACCGCCCAGAGGCTAAAAGAGTCCCAAAATACCACCGCCTTCTTAACAACATTCAATGAAGTCGATATGTCGCAGTTGATAGAGTTCAGGAAAAGGAACAAGACCGAAGCTCTGCAAAGACATGGTGTGAAATTGGGATACATGGGCCCAATGGCTCGCGCCTCCGCACTAGCACTCAGAGAGATCCCTGCAATCAACGCATCCATTGAAGGCGAGGATACGATCTTGTACCGTGACTATGTGGATTTGAGTATTGCGGCAGCTATTCCAAAGGGGCTGGTTACGCCTGTTCTGCGGAATGTTGAGTCAATGAGTATTCTAGAGATTGAGAAGGGAATTGCGGAATTGGTCAAGAAAGTATGTATAGACCTGTTGAGGTTGCTTTGGATCTTCGGAGAAATAACAATTGTTTGGTTACAGGCCCGAGATGGAAAGCTGACTATAGACGATATGATGGGTGGAAGCTTCACGATCAGTAACAGTGGACTTTGGGGATCATTGTTTGGGACTCCTATAATCAATGTTCCCCAGACAGCTGTTCTGGGTACATATGGTATTCAGGATCGACCTGTAGCTGTCGATGGACAGGTTGAAATAAAACCGGTAAGTATGATTTAATCTCCTTCACTTTGCCATACAACTTATGTCTAATTACATTGTCTGTCAGATGATGTACATTGCATTAACTTACGATCACCGACTTGTTGATGGGAGAGAAGCGGTCACTTTTTTGACTTTGATCAAAAGGTACTTAGAGGACCCTGAGACTATGCTTCTTTCGTTGTAGATATCATCTAGCGGAAAACTACACCATCAAGATTGCCTGGGTCTGTTTGTGATTTGATACAGCAAAGAAAGCCATATGCCTTTTCATGCCTCCAGCTTCATAACAATTAGATTATACATCTATGGCACTCAAAATTCGACAAAAATGATAGAATAAGCCAGGATCTGTAGCACAAACAATAGGTGAATCTGTATACTTCTTAATGCAACGTGCCCTCTTATGACTCTCGTTGCAATCACTTTGATATACAGGACTTCCTGAAGCATGGGGCGTCAACTAATTGTACGACAAATCCAGTAGGTAGATGAACATATTCACATGCTGGCGATAGATCAATGTGTAGTATTTTTTGGGCATGTCGGAAGCCCCCTCCGACTTTCATCCGGTTACTCGACGGTTATATGGCAAAAGTGAACTTGACCGAACAAACCCCACAGTATGAGGATTAGCAGTGCAAATTACCCTCGCTCTTTTATATCAAGATTCTTCACATTAATAAAATTAAAAGATATAGCCTTTTGAACCCTGTTGGAAAAATCTCTGCTGCAATTTCATACTTCGCTGGGTTTCAGGACTTCTCCGAATGTACAGAAGCACTTAGCTCAATATCGTTCTTTCACGATGCTTTCGTTGAGACTTTCACTTCATCAAAGTGCCCGTCACAGAAGTAAGAGCCACCCAAGGCTGGGATTTTACAGTTGTGTTCTGAGGCCACACCAGCAGCATTGTGGTCGAGTTCATCGACAATGTGTAAGAAGGTTACCTACATACGTATTAGATACTCAAGAAAAGAAGCTAACTAAAACAACTCAAGATCCATATGGATAGTTTCCTCCAAGGAAATTCGGCAGAGTATCTGGATGATATGTATACTGCATGGAGGAAAAACCCCTCCTCGGTTGATGGTTCATGGAAGATATACTTTGAAACGATTTTAAAAGGAGAACAAGCATCAGAAAATATCTTCTTCCCGTCAGAGGAAGCAATTCCCGGACAGACTTCGGGGCCATCATCGATGCTTCCGGGCTTGAACATGGCGACTCAGGCACCATCCATGCCATCTGCTTTGAATGACCACCAAGCTCAAATACAGAGATTAGTTCGTGCCTATCAGGACCACGGTCATTTGAAAGCAAAAACGAACCCTTTAGATCTTCCCACTAAAGTACCTGTGTCGCCACCAGAGCTTCAGCTAAGCTTTCATGGCTTCACCGAGGCAGATCTGGATCGAAGGTTTGCACTTGGTCCTTATGTTCTACCCCAATTTATTTCAAAGATGGGTCAATCTATGACTCTTTGTGAGATTATCCAAGCCTGTGAAGCTGTCTATTGTGGTTCGATTGGATCCGAGTTTTCGCATCTTGCTACCCAAGAGGAACGTGAATGGGTTCGCCAGGCTATTGAACGCCCTGAGCCATACCAATTCTCGGCCGAGGAGAAAAAAAGAATCCTCGATCGATTGATCTGGTCAACATACTTTGAGAAGTTTCTTGCAGCCAAGTTTCCTACAGCCAAGCGCTTCGGACTTGAGGGCGTTGAGAGTCAGCTCCCTGCCGTTAAAGCCATTATAGATGCCTGCGCCGATCATGGAGTGAAAAATATCATTTTTCCATGTTGCCATCGTGGAAAACTCAATATGTTAAGCAATGTCACTCGCAAACCAAATGATCTCATTTACAGCGAATTCTTGGGTGAATCGACGGCTCCAAATGGAATTGCGGGAGATGTCAAGTATCATCTGGGAATGAATCACGAGCGCGAGACACCTTCTGGCAAAAAATTGAATATCTCTATTTTGCCAATGCCTTCTCATTTGGAGGCTCAGAATCCACTTGCTCAGGGGATGGCGCGAGCTTTGCAGCAACAGAATGGCGAGGATCGGAAATCCACCATGGTATTCAACAGTCATACGGATGCTTCATTCTCTGGACAAGGGGTGGTTTATGAGACACTGGGACTCTCTGGGTTGAAATCGTATGAGACTGGCGGAACCATCCACCTGATCATCAATAATCAAGTCGGATTCACTACAGATCCAGAATCAGCTCGGACGTCGTCTTATGTATCTGACATTGCCAAAAGTATCAATGCGCCCATATTTCATGTCAACGCAGATGACGTCGAAGCTGCTGTTTTCGCATCCAAGTTGGCAGCCGACTATCGCGCCAAGTTCGGTAAAGACTGTTGGGTCGATCTAGTCTGTTACCGAAAGAATGGTCACAACGAGATGGACCAGCCGTTCTTTACTCAGCCGTTGATGTATGAGCAGATTTCTAGGATGACTACCCAATTGGAGCTTTACACAGAGAAATTGCTTCGGGAAGGGATTGTTTCTCACGAAGAGATTGAAACGACTAAAGGGAATGTGTGGAGCAAGATGAGCGAGAGCCTCGCAAACAGCAAAAAAGCCCAGCATCTTGATCGAGAATATATCACAGCTCAATGGGAAGATATGAAACGCCCAGAAGAGGTTTCTCAAGAAGTGTATTCGGCGCAGCCAACGGCAATCACTGCCAACGTCGTTAGCATGATTGCAAGCAAGATTGGTGTCCCGAAAAAACCTTTCACTGTGCACAAAAGCCTGAGCAGAATTCTTCAAAGACGACAGGAGACTTTGATAGAAGGAAATGAAATTGACTGGGCAACAGCAGAAGCTTTGGCAATGGGCAGTCTGTGTCTGGAAGGCCATCATGTTCGAGTTTCAGGCCAGGATGTCGAGCGTGGCACATTCTCGCAGCGTCACGCAGTGCTACATGATCAAAACACAGGATCTAAACTTACTCCGCTGGACTCACTAAGTCCCAATCAAGCTCGATTTACCATTGGAAACTCATCGCTGAGTGAATATGGTGTCATGGGATTCGATTACGGGTATTCCACCATGCATCCTAATGCATTAGTGATGTGGGAAGCTCAATTTGGCGATTTTGCAAATAACGCCCAGTGCGTAATTGATCAGTTTATTGCCTCTGCTGAGAGCAAGTGGTTGCTCAGATCTGGTTTAGTGCTGTCGCTACCTCATGGGTTTGATGGACAAGGCTCTGAACATTCCTCGGCCCGCATGGAGCGGTTCCTGCAGCTGTGCAATGAAGACGGTCGCTTCTTCCCATCGCCAGCAAAGCTTGAGAGACAGCATCAAGATGTCAACATGCAGATTGTGTACATGACCACACCTGCAAACCTGTTCCATGCTCTACGACGTCAACTGCATCGCGAGTTCAGAAAACGTAAGTATCATCTGAAGCTCCTCAAGATCAAGCGAAAAGTTGCTAACTGGAATTTTTCTTAGCTCTTGTTATTTTCTTCTCAAAATCACTCCTTCGCCACCCTATGGCAAGATCAAATATCAAAGACTTCACCGGAGACTCTAGCTTCAAGCCGATGATCCCCGATCTAGCCCACGGAAATACAATCGCCAGACCCGCTGATATCAAACGAGTCATATACTGCTCAGGTCAGGTCTATGTAACTCTGGATAAGTACCGCGAGACCTACAACATCAAAGACACGGCAATCACACGTATTGAGCAGCTACATCCTTTCCCTTGGGAGCAGGTAAAAGATAATTTAGCCGAGTATCCCAATGCATTGGATGTAGTCTGGTGCCAAGAAGAATCTCTCAATGATGGTCCATGGGCGTTTGCTCGCACTCGGCTAGAGACCATATTTGATACAGCCGAGCAGCACCGGGGTCGTCGTTTACGCTTCGCGGGGCGCGAGGCTACAGCAAGTGTTGCGACTGGATTCTTGAAGCAGCACATTTCACAAGAAGCTGCTTTGGTTAGAGATGCATTCCAGCATAGTTGAATTCAATGGTCGCGTCATAGCTAAACTAAATTACAGTTCTCTTTTCTATACCATCAGCTCAAAGTTTGGAACCAGTGATATCAGAGGGGATAAATAGTGTATTGTTACCCTACTAGTCAGTCCTTGACTAAAAGAGTGCATCAATTCAGAATTCTAAAGATAAGAGAGAACAAGAAAAGAGAAAATAATCTGTACTCATATGCGACTTCCGCGAGGCGTGTAGTAGACAGAATTACAAGTCAGTGGTCTTAATGAAGTTTGTTTGAATTCTTTCAGTTGAAATAACTCTCATGCTCGTATAGTCGTGGGTGAAAAATGTAAAAAGGGGTTGAGTTTACTTGCTGCCAATATATCAATCACGAATTGAAAATACAAGAGCTCTGGCTTGAATCCTATATTGACTTGACATTAAATCAAGCCCCAACCGACTGCATGATACTTTCCATATCAAGCTGATCCGCGAGATCAAGCAATTCTCGAGGTGGAAGACTGACCGAGGAATTCAGTGCAAGCATATCCCACTCGAATTCATCCTGGTCGAACGCATAAGACTCATCATGATGTTCACTACCATCACCCAGGCCCACTGCGGGTAGAGCATGATTAGCCAGTCGTGGCGTTAAGGGTGCCAGTATTTGCTCTAGTTGTCTCAGTTCTAGTTTTCGCAGTGGTGCGGCTATATTCCCCTTTGCAATAAGTTTGTCCAACACGCATTCTAAGTTCTCACACCATGAGTCGTTGGATATAAGTGATGGGGCAATCGCGCGTATTAAATACAAAACAAACGCAGAAGATGAGGCATCTTCGATTTGGAATGGTAAAAAGGCGTCTATCATTGTTAGCATTTATTTCCCAGGAGAGCTACACTGGGAATATCATACCCATCAAGTCATCATCTGCCAGTGTACGGAGTGTTTGTAGAATTGTTTGCGCAGACTCGGCACAGCATTGCAACAGAGACGCAACAGGATGCGCCAACGAAATGTTTTGCAATGTCTGTCTCTCGGTTCGCTCTATGTGCATATGCAATGCGCACATCACCAAGGGTCGAGTTGTGAGGACCACACACTGCTATGTTTAGCATCTGTTAGACAAAGGCGAGTTGGAAAGCTCACATGATGATGCGCCAGCATCAGTCTTATCGCCATCTTTGAAGCTCGACTGATTAAACCATGGAAATGAGTATTCAGGAATGCTGTGAGATCATTCGAAAGCTCTGCCATGCTGTGGAGAATTGACTGTGTACTCCGAACAAGAGTGTCATCGTTTTCGTTGCCAACCCCGTAAACAGCTAGATTATAATTTAGTATTAAGCCAAAGTAGTATGGATTGAGAAAGGCTCACTTGTCAGTATTCGAGCCATCAGACGCGAAAGTCGAACATGTAATGTCAAGTTGATATGTTCCACGGAATCATCCATTTCCGCTGGCAACCTCACCGTAATGTCTTCGTCACGAATAGAGCTTGGTGCGCCAATTAGAGCAGAGAATTCACGGTCCAACATGTACACCACCCAGAAGATTGTTCTGCATCTTTGGGATAGTTCGGGCCCACATATTTCTTCAGGAACATGTCTGTGTATGCCTTCGATGATGCAACCACGTAAGGCTTGTCCAATCTGATTTGTTAGTCAGATAATTATTCGAATTGAGCGGTCAGAATACATACATGTTGAAAAGCCGCTCTTCTCATATCAATTGACTGCAGATATACTGCCCCGAGGCTAAGTGCCTGGATGCAGGATAGTGGATCATCGTCGATGCCTCCTGATAGATCGGGCAAGATAGCCATAGCCCGCGAAGCATATTGATGACCAGGTGGTGCTCCAGAGGAGTTCTTCTGAGTCAGGAATGCCTTTCCAAAAGCGAGGACTAGCAGGTATTGGCAATACCAGGGCCTGGAAGAAGCAGCCTTTGCTGCAGGATCCTTATAGAATTCATGTAGCTCTCGTAGATAAGCTGGTTCGTCAATCATAAAAGATAGAAATCCAAAGTAGAATTTAACTGTGTTGAATAAGAAAAGTGCATAGTCCAATGGAGGTAAGTTCGTGACATCAGGTACTTCATCTGGTGGGAATGGTCGCCAGCGCAACCTGAACGCTGTTCCATCAATATGGAAAGGATCAGACTGGAAGCTCGACTCGGGCACATTTCTTCCTATGAGAGCAAGTACTCGACGACAAAAGGACCACGAAGATGTCGGTCCCATGTACCCTTGTAAAATCGCATTAGCAAAGGACAAAAGATACTAGCCAATGCGCACTCACAAAATCTACCATCTGGTGTCTGTGCAAAAGATGGGTCTCTGTCAACCAGAGGATTGAGTGAAAACCGGGATCCTTGGATGTCATGCTCGACTCCAGGGCTTCCTTGCTCCCTGCAGGGAGTCTCTGGCGTATGTACAGCGACACCCAATGCTAGGGCAAGCAACAGAATATTATTATCGAAAATCACCAAAATTAATGGGGGCTTCAAGTATACCATTTTCGTTACTTCTCCATCGAGTATCTTGATGGGGTTCTAGCAATGGGTGGGGAGTGGAGGCAATATCGACATGCCCATCACCCGTAAATATAGGATCACTCAAAGCATTCACTTCTGTATTTGCATGTCGTGCAGATGCTCCACTTCTAGATATTTGCTCTTCAAGCTCTCGCAGGTATCTGTAATGCGTTAGCATGGTTGGCCCAAAGAGGCCGGCAGACTTTTACAACTCACCGTTCTGACACAGAGACCCGTACCTCCTCTACTGGGAAGTGGCAGTGCTTCTTCTTGCGGGCACATCTTGTGCATGGACTGGAGCCCGAGCACTTGACTTTCATTGACCGACATCGCTCGCAGCTCGAAGAAGTTTAGTGCTTTATTCTGGATCCATCCGGCATGGCTCTACTCACGCTCTCTGACATTTCTTTGGTTTTGCTGGTCTCAGGGTAGTGGGCATGTCGGATTATATAACCGGTGTTTACAGATGATGAGGACAATATATTCCGGGGCCTGGCACCGATATGAAATGCAGAATGCAGTGCGGGGCGGAGCGTAGAGCGTGATGCAATTGAGGCTTATCAGTCGGGATGGCCTTCCGACTTTTCTTATCGGAGATAACAGTCACCTGATTGGTGAGGCCCTAATTGAATTGACTTTGATCTGCTGTGCTTGGTGCATACTCCTGGAGGACGTTAGATAAGCGCATGTATTTCTTGGCTGTATGTATGTAAAATTCTCTTCTCCGAAGTTCATCCGACGATTCTTCGCCACAGCTCGCGCCGCAAAGCGGTCACCATATGCTGTGTTCGTTCTACTGCACCACGATTCTCAATCGCTCGACGATGCAGATATCCCATACACTCGGAGACCGAGCCCCAAGTCATGCATTTGAATGCTTTGGGTACAGTCAAATTGGCAGCAGACGACTGTTGAAGAGCACGTTCGTAGTTCTGCACCAACTGGCAGCTGAGTTCATCGGCCATTCCTTGAATCTGCCCACACTCCAACATAATTGTAGGCTTGTTGGCTAGCAGAAGATCTTGGTGTGTGGTTATAGCTTTTGCTGCGCTAGTAGCATTGTGGGTAGCAAGAAATAGAGCAGCCTTCGGGAATGGAAGGGTGTCGCTATCGGCAGGCATTCTCCGGCACAGCAGCGTGTCTGCAATGAGATCATATGACTGGTCCGTATCATTTTGGGTGTCATGGATAAGTGATCTTGTTTCATGCTCAATATATGCCCCTCGCACCAGCTTTATACCTAGCGTCCAACCCTCTTGAGAAGCTAGAGCAAGATGTCGTTCAAGGTTTGCCTTAGAGTCCTTCAAGTAAGCCTGAATAGTATTATAAACGATTGGTGTTGCCGCTTTATTATGTTTTCGCATTGTTTCAAGGGCCCAGTTGTCAAGACCCTTTTGTAATACTTGCTGCTCAGCGTCTAGCCAAAGACGAGAGCCTTGCTTCTCAGTCGCGATGCAGATCTCGTCGACGGCTTTGGCCATTGCCTCTGGCATTGGCTGGCGTGCTGCCATGGCTTCAACGGATATAGGGCCAGCACCAGTCAGTCTTAAAAATATGGGTCAGCCTATGGGGTTTATAAAAGGGGGCGCTTGAGGGGGGTCATACTTGACAGCGAGGAAGTCGCCAGGACCAACCATGCGCAGTGTTTCCAATGTGCCGTTCTTCCATTCCTCGACCATCTCATAGCATCTATCACTGTATTTTGCTGAGCCAGAATCATCCACAGCAAGCTTTTCATTGTGATCCAGTACAATCTCTTTTGAATATCCCAAGATAACTCCCTGATATCCGATTTTCTTGACGTCTGCCACTGTTTTTGAGACCTCTCTGCTGTTCGTACCGGCACAGAAATGATTGTATACAGTCCAGCGAAGAAGCTTATTCAAAGGCAAGTTTTTATCGGGGTTCAGCAAGGTCGATTTCGAATTGGAGAGTACGCTTATCAGGGCGAGTGCGGGCCGGAGGAACAATTTCGATGTCATCAAAGAAGTAAGAATCAGAGATCGTAGTAGAAACCTTGTCGGAAGTCTAGCCATAGAAGATACCTCCACTGGTGGCTTGATCGTTGTCCCAATAGCTGCATCGTGGAATTGAGACTTTGTTGAACGAAGGCGTCGACAGGCTACTGTTGATGACTTGAGTACCTGTGGAAGCCAAGGCCGTGCGATTCTGGTAGTTTGTGATAGCATATTGGCATGAATAAAAGGAATGAGACGAATGATAAATAGAAGCAAATTGCCACAGCTTTCCTCGATCCAAAGGAGGAAGTGGACAAACAGCACTTATTCTGTGAACTTCGAGTGAAGCGTGCTAGATGATACTTTATAATTCTTCTTGCCTCGTTGGTGGTTTATCATTTCATGCTCACTGTAGCATCTCCGATAGTCAGCCGATGTACTGTCGGGCCTGTCCTCCGACATGAGGGGTTCACGACCCAAGGATCCTATCCCGCTACGCCAGCACATCTACCCCTCGGAGGGGCGTTCTACAATCATGCGGAGATCAAGGAAGGTATCTCCGTATGTTAATTGTGCAGTGTGAAGCCGGGCCGGTCGCAGGGTTACATCGGACATCTTTTTGTGGGATTCCAGGGATTACATGGAGCAATGAAAGATATCTGGTACATCAAGAAGAGTTCACATGTTTGATACTGTGGTATCATAATGCTCTATATCTAATCTTATCTTCTGTCAAGCTTCCAATACTGTGCTACAGGTGAATAGGCTTTCCGTTATCCTGTAAACAATTCACGCGGCCCGTAGGTTCTTTCAAGTATGTGCTCAGCGAATGATCACTTAGTCTAGGTTTTATAGAACTGATTGCTTAGCTTGTTGAATTCTGTCGAGGCGAAAGACGATATTTGTCTCAAATCTATCCGGGACTGAATATTTCTCGAAATCGACACAGCTTGATCCAAGTCTTGTCCTTACGATACTATGATATACATGCATTGTTTTACTCTAATTCACCTCCGAGAATTTTAATTAAAGTCCAGAAAGCTCATGTTCTGTTTTTACAGTCACGCTGATGAGAAGAAGTGAACAACTTCCAACAAGTTTTTTTCACACTCTTTCTAAGCTAAACCGTCCCAGTGTATAACTTTCACACCTCATTTGAAGGATATGTAACCTTCTCGAGTGGAACAAACTCCTCCTTTATTGTGCGAGTGCTCACGAATCGCTGCAAATGCGCCATAGTGCCAGTCTTATCGTTCGTGCCTGAGTCTCGGCTACCACCAAAAGGCTGCTGGGCAACAGTAGATCCAGTACACTTAGTATTCATATAAAGCATACCTGCAGCGTGCTTCAATGCAGTGGAGGCCTGGCGACCCACGTACGGATCTTTCGCAAAGATACTGCCCGTCAAAGCATATCGAGAAGTAGTGTCAAGCAACTTCAATGTCTGCTCCCATTCGGCGTCTGGGAACACATAAACTCCAAGAACGGGTCCGAATAGCTCTTCGGACATGATTCTATGCCGAGGATTGGAGGTTCTGTAGATGGTAGGGTGCACGTAATAGCCTTCTTCCTTGGAAGCCTTGCCTCCAACAATGAGCTCTAATTCGGAATCCTTCTTCGCATCCTCTAAGAAGTTGTTGAGCTTGTCAAACGATCGCTCGTGGATGACCGGATTAATGAAGTTTTCATATTCTTCCACGTCGCCAACCTTGAGCGCAGCAGTCTCCTCTGCCAGGATCTTCTTGAATTCCGGCCAGACAGACTCTGCAACATACACACGCGAGTTTGCAGAGCACTTCTGTCCTTGATACTCAAAAGCTGCACGGATAGTGTTCAAGGCAGCACTTCTCACATCTGCTGATGCATGAATGATGCCCCAGTTCTTGCCGCCAGTTTCGCCGACCACTCGGGGGTAGGAGTTGTAGATACCGGCACCAATGCCATCTCCAATCTTCTTTTGAATTCCCTTGAATGTGGCAGTGGCACCAATGAAGGTCAGAGCCCCGAACTCAGGTCTCTGGAGGATAGTGTTGGTGACCTGCTCCGCGTCACCAGGTAGGAATTGGACAACGTCCTTAGGAAGACCGGCTTCAATCAGGATCTTATGAAGCAACCAGCTAGCATGTAAAGCCGAGTCGGAAGGCTTCCAGATAACAACGTTTCCGAGCAATGCGGCCGGTCCAATGAGAGTAGCACCAAGGGCAGTAAAGTTGAAAGGCGCGATGGCGTATGTGAAACCCTCGAGTGGGCGATATTCCATCTTGTTCCAGCTTCCTGGAAGGTGGACTTGAGGCTGCTGTGAATACAAAGCCCATGCTTCCTGAATATAATGACGAAAGAAGTCTGCTGTCTCTGCCGGGGCATCGATCTCTGCTTGCCAAATATTCTTTCCTTGGCCTAGCATTGTCGCTGCAACAATCTCCGAGCGATATTTCCCGGTGATCAATTCGCACGCGCGGAAGAAAATGGCGGCTCGGTCCTCAAAAGGTGTGGCTTCCCAGGCTGGCTTGGCCTTGAGGGCTGCATCAATAGATGCGTTGACTTGGTCAGGAGTGGCGGATGCGTAGTTTGCAACAATTTCGCTGTGCTTCGAAGGGTTCAGTTGAGATCGTAACTCTTTCGTTTCGATCTGAGCACGATTTTTTTAGTTTGAAGTTCATACCCGGGATGAATGTGTAGCATACCTCAGAGCCATTAATAGTGATAGGAATTGTAAAAGGGAATTCTCCCTTGAGCTTTTGGATGGTCTTGGTCAACTGTGCTCTTTCTGGTGAACCTTTGGCATAGTTCAACTAGCCTCATGGTTAGTAATGGTCGAGCAAAACATTTGTTTAAACATACCATTTTTTCGTTCTCAAATTTTGGAGGACTGAGCATAGTCAAACATTTTCGCGAAATTCCATTAAGTGCAAAAGGCTTAAGGCAGTTGAGCCTTGCTGCTCGCGTCAAAGTAGTAGGCCTCATAGTGTACTTAGAGCTGAAGGTCCTTCCGAAGTATAAGCAACGCTGATGTCTAAGTCAAAAGAAAAAGGGCAAAAACCCTGATGGCTCATGAATGATAGTTAAATATTCGGGTTTCAGTAGCTATCGCATGAAATACACTGTCGGTAGACTATCCCGACATAGCTTGGAGCGGGGAACATGTATGCGATGCACATCTCTAGAGATGCGATCTTGTGCCGGATCTCTCATGTCGGAGTACTCACCCGATTATAGATAAGAGACGCAAGTCACTCCGTGGGGGAAAGTGACGTCTTTGGGGTTAGAAACTTGACGTTCTCTGGAATTTGCCAGTCTGTCCACATGGCCAGCTCTCTTCAATGATTCAGTGATCCATAAGGAATTTATAGAAAGGATATAGACCATCTTGGAACCTCAAGATTCTCCAGCGGAACAACACTGGTAAGTAATTAAAGTATTTCAGATATTTTTTACCAGATATATACGAGTTCGCCATATCTAGAAGTCGTTGCTTTTGTTTTCCGTACTAAACTCCGCCCTTTTCTTCTCATGTCAACAGTAATACCTGAATATCTGAACTGTCGACTGATGCGCGGAAGCATGTATGCATGGCTTGTGCTTGACTTGACATATCAATCAATTCAAGAACGTTAGCTAACGTTAGTCCATATACAGCTGTCAGATCTTATCCTAGTAAGTAAAGAAAAAGTCAAGAAAAACGATTTTCTCACTGGCATCTAGGGAAAGCTGCTGTACATTATTAGCACACAGACGAAGTACAAATATATGTCTCCAACACTTATACATTTTCTCACGACGACAGCTATAGCACCACACGTTGAATCTACATATAAGTGTCTATTGCCGCTTCATAAGTCTGAGTGCGCATTCTCTTCGAAGTGTACCAGTTGATAAGATGTACTGAGTACCGAGGGCTTAGTGGTGGGACCTCATTGGCCGAGGTACCGGGGACATGGACCCCGTTATCTCCAGACTCGCTCCTCCTCGACACGCACGTTCCTAGCATTTGACCAAGTTTGAGAGCGTCTTCTGCTCTTCCTCAATTTGCAATTCCCTTTCAGCGTTGAAGCGTCGGAGTCTGAGGTGGAAATCCCTGTGAACCTTCGTGCCACCAGCCCCCCGGAGCTCCGCCTGATCGTCAACATCGTCATTGCCTTGACCTCCACACCTGATTCCCGACAGCTTTCCCGGCGCAAACATCCTCCCTGATGTCCTTATTCGGCACATCACCAGAGGAAGCCCCTGCGGGCAATTCAGCCCAAAGATCCAAGTCCTCGCTTTTTGCCGACGAGCCGGCTACGGGCGGGTCTTCCTCTCTGTTCGCAGATGACGACGGCGACGACAGTTCCTCTCCGTGGAACATCCAGAACAACACTGCGAAGAGGACTGCGCGACGCGACCTAGTGCGGACTCTACTTCCTGCCACCGATGTCCCCGAAAGCTATGTTGATGCCTACGATCTGATTCTGAACAGCGGGGACAGGGTTGGCTCCGGCATCGGGCTGACCTCTGTTCGGGAAATCCTTTCAAGCAGTGGGCTTACTGCAACTGATCAGAGTAAAGTTCTGAATCTTGTGTCGTCTGGCGACCATGAAAGCTTTGGAGGACTCGGTCGTCCCGAGTTCAACGTTCTGTTGGCCCTGGTCGGTCTAGCACAGGAAGGCGAAGAGCTATCATTTGATGCGGTCGACGACCGTCGCAAGAGTATGTTGTTCCATATATCCGTTGCAATTATCTGTTCATAATAGACTCTAACAAAGCTTGCGCATCCAGAATTACCCCAACCCAAGACTGGTTATCTCGATCGACTACGTACTGCTGGCGAAACCTCCTCGGAGCAACCTCACCGACCTGCGACTCCTCCCTCCCAAGCCCCTGCATTACAAATACCGGGGTCAGCCCATTCGCGACCCGCGAGACGAGAGTCTCTCAGTGGACTGGAAGCAGACCCGTGGGGTAGTCCACAATTACACCGAGGCCACCACCACGAGACATCAGACGCCGAACAACGGGCATTGAACGGTTACGGGAGTTTGAGGTCAACGAACAATGCCTGGTCCCACAAGCCCGTTGAGGAGACTTATCAGGGCGACACAGTTGAGCGGGGACATCCCAATGGCGAGTCTCAGGTTCCGCCTCCTAGTAGTTCAGGTTCAGGATGGGGAAACAACCTGAGCAGTACGGGCCCTAGCCAGCAGAGCGGATTTGGAAGAGTTGAGGGTCCGGGGCTTGGTGGGTTTGGTCACTCAGAAGATGACCCCAGTGAGATCGCACCTCGACGTCGGTCCCTCGGTCTCAGCCGTCCAACAAACCCGCAAGTAGAAGAAACCGTTACAGTGACACTGCTCCCCGAGAAAGAAGGACTTTTCATGTTCCAGCACCGCAACTATGAGGTGAAGTCTGCGCGAAGAGGAAGCACTGTCATTCGACGTTATAGCGACTTCGTTTGGCTGCTGGACTGTCTTCAGAAAAGATTCCCATTCAGGCAATTGCCCCTTCTCCCCCCTAAGCGGGTGTCAGGTACGTTCGACGCTGGTTTAAGCGCACCTAATTGCTTACTCACCTTTTGAAGTCAATGGCACTCACCTCTCAGCGGATTCAAATTCCTTCCTTGATAAGCGCCGCCATGGTCTTATTAGATTTACCAACGCTCTCGTGCGCCACCCCGTTCTTGGCCAAGAGCAACTGGTTGTTATGTTTTTGACTGTTCCCACGGTGAGATTTGTATCATTCAATGGAAGAAACACAAGCTAATCGCAATGATAGGAACTTTCGGTATGGCGAAAGCAAGCTACGATCTCTGTCCAAGATGAATTTGTTGGTCGTGTGCTTCCATCAGACCTTGAGGACTCATTGCCTCCAACACTCGACGAGACATTTGAAACGGTCCGCACTGGTGTGAAGCGGTCCGCCGAAATCTATATCAATCTTTGCACGTTGCTTGAGCGACTAAGCAAGCGAAATGATGGCTTGGCTGCTGATCATCTCCGGTTTTCTCTCGCGCTGCAGTCCTTGACCGAAGTGACCAAAGACACGTATGCTGTTGACACCAATGATATCCCAGCCCTCAACGAAGGTATCACGGCCACCGCTCGGCACCTTTCTGCTAGTCAGAGTCTGCTTGAGGACGAGGCAAGAGGATGGACCGAGGGGGTATTGGAAGACCTGAAGCGTCAGCGTGACTGCTTGGTCAGTGTACGTGAGATGTTCGATCGGCGGGATCGGTATGCACGGAACAACATCCCGCAGCTAGAACGTCGCATCGAAACCAACGAGCGTAAGCTGCAGGATCTTCGCGCCCGACCCGCAGGTACCGCGAAACCAGGAGAAATTGAAAAGGTGGAGGAATCCATATTCAAGGTGAGACTGCTTCATTTATTTCAATCATAGCTGCAGTGATATTAACTTTCGTCGTTTCTTAGGACAAAGAATCAATTGTGCAGCAGCATGCACGGGGTGTCTTCATCAAGGAATGTCTTCGGGATGAACTCTTGCACTTCCAAGGAAGCCAGTACCATATCAGCAGGCTGCACCAGGACTGGAGCCAGGAGCGGGTCAAGTATTCGGAATTGCAGGCAGACAACTGGCGTGGCTTGAGCGATGAAGTCGAGGGCATGCCGACGGGCGTCTAGCTGGGCAGCGTTGGGCCCCAGCTGGGTCGTACATAAAAGCCCTCCGGCCAATTCGACACCTAATATGGACTTCGCGCGGGACGCGCATTGTGCATTTTATTAAAGATGGTTTTTGTTTGCTTTTTTCCTCCAAATTCCCCCGCAAATACGCATGTTTCACGATGTTGGCATTGGATTCCCCAGTCTGCAACATGTTTGAAACCCGTTGTTTTCTTCCGGTCTTTGGTTTTAATCTGGTGCATGTCTTTACTGCGTTACAATTCCCAATTGATTCCCGTTGTCGTATATGTATAAGATACAATGCCCTAAAGAGGGCCCTGCATACTAGCGCATGTAAAGTACCCGGACATATCAAAACCGAATCTCAGTTAGCGAGACATCTCCACTCACAGAGGAGCCAACAGCGCCACTGACCCAATTACCACGCTGATCCCTAAGCTTGGGCTTGGCACCTCGCAGGGCTGGCGATCTTGAATTACCATACGTGACCGGGATATTACTGCTTACAAGGTACATTTTTCGCTTCAGGCACTTTGTTTATGTCTGTCAACTCTTTTGCCTCTATAAAGTGATCTCTATTTCCCCCTCCAACCCGTGCAATTCTCCCCATTGCGCGCCCTCACCCTTCCGCCAGCCAAGACCTGTTCCGCTTCCGACGTGGGTCTCCAAGTTCTGGGCTGACGAATCCCGCCGCTTCCAAGAATACGTCGCTCTGGGCAAATCTCCCCCAAGCACGCGTTGACTCGCTTTCTTCGCCCGGCCAAGAGTATTCCAAGACTTTGACCAAGTCTCGTCAGATCTTGTCCATTTCTTCCTTCCTTTCTTGCACCTTCTCCCCTCCTTCTCAACCTGCAACTGCCCGACCGACTTCCCTGTCTCGGCCAGCCACCCGAATTCTCTTCGCTCTGCCTAGACGCACCCTCTCCGCTCGTCGCATCCCCAATTTCTTGGCCAGAATCGGTCTGCGCCCTGCGGATTGTACAGAGCCGGTCACCGTCAAACGTGTTGGACGTGCGCCTGGATCGCAGAACCACCCGAATCAGCCCTACGCGGCTCGGCGCCACGGATTTCCGATTCCCGATTCACCAAGGCATGAAGAGCTACGCGGCCCAACGAATTGCGAGGCGGGAATTTAACCGGTAAATAGCTTGTTGCAGCACGACGCGCGAGTCGACATAATACCAAGCAAGGGGGGAAATACTTTCGGTGTCAAATCCCCGACATCTTCACCATGGCGTGGGATCACCTAGACATCGACAAGCCGCATTTGGCTTACATGATCATCGGCGGTTTCACAGGCTTATTTATGCTGTGCTCGCTTTTCGTCAAGGAAAAGCTGTACATCGGTGAAGCTACCGTTGCCACACTTTGTGGCATCATCTTCGGCCCTCATGCGGCCAATCTATTCAACCCGCACGAATGGGGAAATGTTGATAAAATCACCCTTGAGTGCTCACGCATTGTACTTGTCGTACAATGTTTTGCCGTCGGCGTCGAGTTGCCTAAGGCCTACATGGAACGCCACTGGAAGTCGGTCACCTTGCTGCTGATCCCAGTTATGACTTTTGGTTGGCTGATTACTAGTCTATTCATCTGGTGGATGGTACCTCCATTGAACTGGCTCGAAAGTCTGGTGTGTGCTGCTTGTGTTACGGCTACCGATCCTGTGTTGGCATCGTCCGTTGTTGGTAAGGGAAAGTTCGCCAAGCGTGTGCCCAAGCATTTGCGTGACTTGTTGTCTGCCGAATCTGGGTGTAACGATGGTATGGCTTTCCCATTCATTTACCTATCCTTTTACATCTACCACTACCGACCCCAGGTCGGCGAGGTCTGGCTGAACTGGTTCTGTATCACTGTTCTTTACGAATGTATTCTGGGTGCTATCTTTGGTTTCACCATCGGCTACCTCGCGCGCCATGCTATCAAGATGGCTGAACGCAAGGGCTTGATTGATCGTGAGAGTTTCCTGGTGTTCTACTTCGTGCTGGCTGTCTTTTGTGCTGGCTCAGGCAGTTTGCTGGGTATGGATGATTTGCTGATTGGATTCGCCTGCGGTGTCGGGTTCAGTAATGATGGTTGGTTCACGGAGAAGACTGAGGAATCTCATGTCTCCAACGTTATCGATCTTTTGCTTAACTTGGCATACTTCGTTTACTTCGGATCCATCATCCCGTGGGAGGATTTCAACGCCCCCGAGCTCGGCCTCACCCCGTGGCGACTAGTGGTGATCGCGCTATTGGTCATCTTCTTCCGTCGCATTCCAATCATGCTCCTTCTTAAACCAATTATACCGGACGTCAAAACGTGGCGTGAAGCTCTATTCGCTGGCCATTTTGGACCTATTGGTGTCGGCGCTATCTTTGCTGCCATTCTCGCACGAGCAGAACTAGAACACGACAACACACAACCGTCGCCCGAGAATGAGCTACCAGAGCCGGGAACGAGCAATTATTACATTGTAAGACTCATTTGGCCCATTACTACGTTCATGGTCATCTCGTCTATCCTGGTTCACGGATCGTCTATTGCAGTCTTCACTTTGGGCAAACGCATTAACACCTTGACTATCACCCTGTCATATACCCAAGCCAACGAGGATGGACCATCATGGATGAACCGTTTGCCTCGTGTACAGTCCATTGCCAAGGGCTCTATGTCATTCCGCAAGGCGGACGATACAGATGCTTCCTCAGACGAGAAGCTGCCCGAGTATCCCCCTGGGACACTACCCCCCATTGGAATGCCAGGCAACTTCCTTCGCCGACAGCGCGATGAGGAGGGAGACAGTGAGTCACAAAGCCTTGAGACTGGTCGTCGTAAGCCCCTGCGCAGACGCCGTCGCAAGCATGACAGTGGCGCTGGAGGTCCAATCAGTCAGTCCGCCATCATGCCGGCTCCCCGACGCAACGAGAACGAGATCGATACCGAGGAGGAGAAGAAAGAGCTGGAAGAGCGTGACCGCGTCGAACGCGGAGCATCTCCACCTCACGCTGAGCGAGATAACTTCGGTCGTGAGCCAGAGCTGGAAGTCTACCAAGAAGGCCATAACATGATCATCGAGGACGAGGAGGGCAATGTTCTCAAGACCGAGGATACCACAAACTTGTCTCCGGAAGAAAAGCTTCAACATATTGAGAAGCAGCGAAAGCGTTTGGAGCACGACAAATCCGGAGAATTTGCAGCATCCGAGAGTCGCCCTCACGAAAAGAATGAGGGCGAAGAGATCAAGCAGACCGTCGAAGGAAAGATCGGCTACGGAAATGCTATCAAGAAATGGACCAACTGGACCGGCCTCGGAAAAGAGAAAGCCAAGGACACGCCCGAAAAGAAAGAGAAGAAAGAGAAGGCCGAGAAGCCTCCCAAGGCTGATTCTGCTAAGCCCAAGGCTCGCTCTGCTCATGCGTACCAGTTTGGCAACACTATCATCGTTGAGGATGAGGACGGTGAAGTGATTAAGAAGTACACCATTCCCGCCGGCGAGAAGGGTGAGAAGTCCCAGAAGGAGGCCACTGCCCCTGGTCAACCTCCAGTACGCCGTGGTTTGACTCGTATGGGAACTTGGTTCGGCATGGAGGAGGAAGGCGAATCGTCCCAAGCTGCCAACGAAAAGAAGAAGAAGGGCCAGCAATCCGACGAGTGGACTACTGACGATGGTTTGCGTTTCACCGTGGCTCAGGACCCCGAGGTCAGCTCTCACGGTATCGGCCACAAGGGCAGGCGCATGAACAAGCAAGAATTCTTCCAACAAATCAAGGGCTTGGATGCCAAGGCCCGCCGCGATCTGGTGCAGGAAACCGACGCTCCACCTCCCGTCCAGAAGGTGGCCCAGGCCGAAGCCAACCAGGAAGTAAAGCAGGAAGAGAAGCACGAACGACGTCTTTCCGCCGCTCTTGTCTCTGCTACCACAGGTACCCTTCCTCATGAAGATGCCGAGGGTCTAGAATCTGCGTCTGCCACTGATAGCGAGAGCGATGAGGGATCTGATGACCGTCGCGGTGCTCCCAATGTGGCTTCATCATTGGCCAAATTCTCGCGAGGTGGTACCTCCGCCGCTCAAGAGCGTCGTAACAACCTCAGTCCTGCGCCTCCTCTCCGTGATCGACCTCGTCGCGATTCTGACGACGATGGCACTGAGCGTATTCCACCTTCTCGTCTCCGTAGAGCCGCCGGTTTGACTGCTCCTCCTCGCCAAGATGATGACGACACAGGAGAAACTCCCGCTGAGCGTCGCCGTCGTTTGGCAGCTCTGGGTGTGGACGGTGAAGACTCCGAGGATGACTCCGACGTTGAATATGTCGACGACGACGAGGCCATCGCTGAATCTGACATCGAAGAGGGCGAAAAGTCAAGCCAAGCTACGCCCAAGATCCAATTTGCAGAAGATCGGAAGCCATCCGAGCAAGACAAGCCTTCTCCATCTGGCTCTGGATCTGGTTCGGGCTCTCAGTCTGCCTCCCGTCATCGTCCTCGCGTCTCCTGGGGCGGCGAAAAGGGACGCATTCCTTGAGCAGCCTCATCTCGCTCAGCATTTTGAAAGGAATGACTCGAAAGGAGGTATTTTCACAGCTATATCACCTCTTACATCTACTACTCTTCTTTGAACAAGAGTGGAAAGTGTTCTTCCGGCCTCCGAGTCACCATTGGAAAGACTAAGATACACGTATCTTTCTCTGTGCATTTTTGCTTCTGCTCCTAACTTCTTCCCATTATCATTGTTTTTCTCACGCCAATTCATGTATCTTCATATTCCATCCTTTGTGCATAATTTCTGCTGCATGTAATGACCCCGGGGGTCTTTATGATCAACTTGATTGTCTGATTGCGTTGATATGATTTGCTTTTACTTATTTGCGCTATTGCTAGAACAGAGCGGGATTCATCTATACAATGCATGCTGATATTTATTTACACTGTTTCCTGAACAAGTAGTTCTCGCTTTGAAGCCATCATCACAACTTATTTTACTCCATACTTCTAAAGCTATAAGTAACCTACACGCAATTCTAACACAACTTGATCTATTGATAGAGACCGAGGTATCAAACAAACAAATACTGAGCAAAAAAACATGTACAGCAAACCCGATTCACACACAACAAAGTAAATCTACTCCATAGTATTCTGCGGCCTCATGATACCCCTTCCAAAGAATTCACTCACGACGCCAAAGCGATCTCTAGAGCGTGACAATTCGCCCTTGAAAAGATCGTGCTGATCAGCAGAATCGACCTGCCGTTGTCGAATAGCACGGAGAGTGGCATTTGTCGGGGCACACACAGGGCACTGTGCGTCTTCGTCGACATTGTTGAGGCAGCGTTCGTGGAAGGAGTGTCTGCAGAGGAAGTGGACGGTTGGAAGGTCTAGGGTTCCACCGCAGGATTGGCAACGACGGGATTGGAAGACCACCGGTTGGGTTGCTAGATGGTCTAGTTCTTGTTGTTTGGTGGCGGTCTCGGTTTTGTAGCTTGTTATTAGGCGTCGGTTCTGGATGGCCGTGAAGTTAGTATACTTCAACAGGGTGTGGATTTGTCACGATAGGGAAGGGGTGTTCGCTTACGGCTGTTATTTCTTTGCGCTCACGCTCGATGTTATCGCTGAGGTATTTTTTCACACGGCCCATTGTAACGACGGCATTATTGCTTAGTGCTTGGATGACCTGCAGTGGCGAGAGGAGTCCATCTTGATTAATCCGTTGCAGAACCGCGTCTAGCTCGTCGCCCGCTTCTTCGAGGATTTGTGGGCTCGAGGCGAAGTAGGTCAGTGCATCGACGTAGAGTTGTGGTTCGTCAGGGCCATAGCGTCTCAATGCTTTTATAGCGCCTTGAGTGTCTTTTGCTGATGTGAAGGAACGGAAAATGTCCAAGCGTAGACCTTCTTGTTCGCGAACAAGAGTTGACCCTTCTCGGAAGTTTGACAGATCAGATAGAAGCAGCACATTTGAGGTGGAGATCGGAATCTAAACAAGTTAGATGTGTAATATGGCAGGGGAAAAAAGAGGACTCACGTCTTTTCCTTCAATGAGCTTCTTCGCTTTTGTCTCCCACTCTTGCTTTTCGCTGGCATCTTTCTTTCCCTTTGCTGTGTCCAAGTACATCTCAAACAATGTCGTGAAAAGGTCTACTTTGGCTTCCTTAGTCAGGTCGGGCTTCTGTGCCAACGTCTCCAGAAAATCGATGAATTCCTTCGGGTGATCCACAAATGCGGAGAAAGCTGTTCGAGGCTTGGGAACCTGGTACTCTGGAGGCGAGTCTTCAGTTTGATCCCCATTTGTATCTGCATTTTTGATTGATTGCTCCTCGGCCTTTGCGTCACCCCCAACATTCATGTACCGAAGAGGAAGAAGCGCGGCAAGACTTTGGACAGTGCTGGTTGTCTGTGCTTGGGGTTCGGATGATGTTTCGACCTCCGTGCGTGGTTTGTACTGACCAGCATAGTAAACTTTGAATAACTCAGCTGTCCTCTCAGGGCAATGGGCAAGAAGAACTCTGGCGTACTTCATCAGGTTATGATAAGCCTGTCATTGTTAGCATATAGTCTGGGAGTGATCGGATTGAACTTACCAACTCAGGCTCTAATCGCCAGATGTATTCCACTGCCTCGGCATATTTTTTCGAGTCTTCAATCAAGATATCCACAACCATATCATTCTCCCCGTGCTTTGTTGCTAGGTATGCTGCTTGCTCGTAGTACCCTCCTTGTCGGCACATGGCAATTGCGGTCTCAAGATCAAACTTTAGCTCACCAGGAGCCTTGATGAATGAGTCAAGCTTGCTTGTGTCCTTGAGCTTCGCGTAGCAGTTCAAAAGAAGTGTGGTATGGTCGACTGTAGCGCGGCCGTGGTCATGTAGCTCTTCCAAATACTCAATCAGATTGTGGATACGTTGAGTGTCGAGATACTGTAGTACAATTAGTAACAGAACATGGCAAAGGCATCATTCCACGCACCTTGCGAATTACTTGTGATGGCTCTGTGCTATCAATTGCGCGAAGATATTGCTGCATGGCTGTATCATAATCGCCTCGTTGATACAAGAAGTCACCGTATTTGCGGTAGATAGCATTTTGTTGCAACGGATCGATTCCAATCTTCTGCGCAAGGTTAATTGCAAGGATGTAAAGATTGCGCTCATAAAGTATTTCGAGCTTCTGCTGGAGAGTCTTCTCCCGATAGCGGAAGATCTAGAGCGTGTTAGAATAAAATCATGAAACATCCCTCAGTGTACATACCTTTCCATCTGTAGTAAGGAGAAACAGATTGCCCCATTCCATGAAAATCTGTTTCATGGGCGATACCAGCGCTTCACTATGCGCGATAAACTTCAAATCGGTATCGAGGAGTGTGAACGTCGTAGTGCCAAAGATCTCCTCGGCCGGACTGGCAGTGTATTTACGTAGTGGATCTGTTTTGCTAGTTCCAGCTTTAGGCGGGCAAACTAGAGCGACATAGTCACGGAAGGCATCAATAGATGTCTTGGGACTTTCAAACGCATAGCTCGCGCCACGACCGCGTGGACCGTATGTGTACACAGCATCCTCCCTGGCGATCAGGATATCTCCAGCCTCTTTGTCTAACGTCATGCACCCGAGACCGCATCCTGTATCCTCCAAGACGCGCGCGGGTTGGCCCTGGCCTCGCCCGGCGATAACCAATGTCAAGATGCGACTTGTGGTAGAGATGTACAGCGTAGTGACAGCTCCGCTTTGAGTTTCAAGTCCAGTAATAGGCTCCTCGGACTCGAAGACAATTCGCTGGCGCGCACCCCGGTCGTGGATCAAGTCGCCGCGGATGATCGTCACCGACCCGTTCGCAAACCCGACAGCCACCTGTGAGAGATCTCCAACGGCTGTGAAGGCAGAAATCTAGGTCTCAAGTTAGCACAGTACAACTAGCTTGTCGCAGTATTAAACGCACCGGAAATTGGCGTCTGGCATTTTGCACGGAGACCGTAGACAGACAGCGCGGCCCGCCGTCTTTCTTCTCCGTGTCCAGCGCCCAGACTTTAAGAACCGGTTCATTGGACAGATCCTCCGAGACTGTAACAAGCAATGCGGTATCGTTGATCTGTCTCATATGCGTGATCGAGCCAGTATCATGAGCTTTGAAAGATCGCACGATGCGGAAGGCCGAGGAGACGATGTGGACGAAGCCATCAGTAGTACCAACGAAGAGGTTCGCAGATCCGGTACATATACTCGAGAGGTCACTCTAGTGCAGAAAGCTGTTAGGCCTGTTCAGGGTGGGAAAGGGGAGGTCGGGCCTTACATTGAATACCGACGCGCTGTCCTCTGGTAGCTTCACCGGCGAGACGTCGATGAAGTTGAATGCTTTCCACTATGCAGCTGTTAAATGCGATTCAAACTTTAGGGGTTTCGGGTCCTTACTGATGTTAAGGCCATCTCGGCTCGCCATTGACTGAGATATGCAGTTGAAGTGTTGCGGTTCGGAGCTCTCCCCGCTGGCGCTCGGACCACTTGGGTTTGGGTGTCGATCGTCCGCCTCTGTACGATTCATTACAACTTGACGATGGATTTCAAGAATGCGAAGATATTGATCATGAGCTGATTTAGGGCACCAATCTTTACATATATCTTTGCAGCAACACGCCTCTGTAAACCAACCTAAAAGTACTTATGTACCATGCAAATAGTAACTTATGTCTTTCTATCAATGTACCGACAATATGCCAGGAGAATCTATGAAGCCCCCAAAGAAGTATGCTCTCGCTACAAAATACAGCTCAGAACAGAATATACATGAAAATGTAGCAGAAAACGAAAGTAACAAATGCAACGCATATGCATGAATAACAAGACCAGGTCCCGAACCAGGCCCGTTTATCAAGAGAGATCCATATTGAAAGTAGACTGAAGACCACCAGATGTCAGACTTTGACTGGGTCTTCCAGTGTCTTTCATAAAATCAAAGCTATGCTGAAGCCAGCTCCCAGCATCTGCAATGGCCTGGCTCAGATTGAAAGCGTCTGCTGCGTCCTGGGCACCTTGGCCATCTTGTATTGTTGGGGGCGTTGACCTGCTTAGAGTCATTGGGAATGACTCGTGTGAGGCGTTAGATTGGAAAGTAGGAGGGCGATCTGATTCTTGGCTTGCTGGCCGTTGACCTCCTTCTGCCGGACTTGATTGGGCAGTATGGAAGTCATTGTCGATCGCGAGGGAACCGTTAATGGGGGAGGAAGAGGTGTCCGCAATATGGGCGATCTTCGTTTTCTTGGTGCTTGGAGTTCCCCCGGAATCCGGCCGAGATGAACGGGGTTTCTTCTCCGTGCTGAAGGTATATGGCGTGGCAGCATCGAGCATGAATTGAGTACTCATTGCCTGCATCCGGCCCTTTTCGGAGATGAGCTGGCTGGTGGTTCGGTAGAACGGGGTGATATTAGCCGAATAGGTAGCGCCATCTGGAGAATTGCGCTTTCGACCTGGTGTAGCTTTGTAGGAGATGGGGCTTTGCAAGTCGTCCTGGAAAGATTTCTGCGCATGCAGAAGCGCAGCCTGGGTTGACAGCTGCGTATCGATATTGGTGTTCATTTCCGGTTGGCTGTTTTCCTTTGGCATGAGCGTCGAGTGTAAGGATGTGACACGATCAGAGATCCCCAATGGTACCGGTACCGCCTGTGCAGAAGGCAAATCGTCATGGGTATTATCCTCGGTGAGGACAGGATCATCGATGACTTCATACGTTGAAGTACCAGCGTCGTCTTCATCTGCAAATCGAAGGTCTTTCGACGAAGCCTTTTGGGTCTTGTCTTTCTCCAGGGATTCCATGTCAACTACAGGAGCCTCATTCAAGGTTTCTGTCTCTTCATTTTGCGGTACTCCGGGGAGAATCGCTCTTGTCTGCTTTTTGATAGGACTGACAGATAAATACTCGCGAGGCATCTCATTGGGAATTTCATCAGGTATGTCGTCATACAAAATAGTCTCTTCCTGTAGAATACTTTCTTCCGAAGGCAAATTCGGCTGATCACCCTGTTGAGATTCATCATGAAGCCACGGGCGATATTCAAACCGTGGCAGCTGAGACGAGGAAGAAACAACACGAAGAGACGTGTCTAGTGAAGTGGTCTTGCTTGTGGAGGTTCTTCGATTGAAAGGCGATGACCTCGATACAACTGGCATATCCCGCACGTTCGAGTTGAGGGGGCGAGCCGAATATGGAGACGGATGTCGAAGAGAGGTAGAGTTCACGAGTGCTGGCTTCGCCGAGATTGTTTCAGCTGCGCGGAATTTCGTTGACGAAGCCGGAGTCTGTGGCACCTGCACTTGAACAGAGCGAGACGCGGGTCGACGAGCTCTGTTTTCCATTTGACGAGAAGCAGCCGGTATTGTCGGAGAGCTCGGCGGGTCAAACTTGGTAAAGTTCATACGCTTTCTATCCTTCTTCAACCAATCTGCATTTTTCGGCGGAGCAAACAATTCTTCGTTCTCCGCCGAAGAAGCTGCTTCATTGGATTTGAAGGGGGAATGTGATATCCTCTCTCCTCGTTCACTATGCCGTAGCCGCTGCACAGTTGTAGGGCGTTCTCGTGCCGATCTTGGAGTCAAAGAGCGCTTACTCCCTCGTGCGGAACTTACAGCAGGTGAGTTGCGCGATGTAACAGGAATTTCCGAGCGACTAGTTTCACTAGGCAGTCTTTCGAAATGCTTTCGCCTGCGCAAGTCCGTCTCCAGCACCACCTTCTCCGGGGCGCTAGTCTGTCGGCTAGACGAAGGCCTCGGAGCAGACGCACCACAGGCATGAGCTCTAGTCTTTCGCCACGGATTAACCCATCCAGTCTCCAATGGGCCTCTCAGCGACGCGGAGAGAATGAACGGTGGCTTCCCCTGAAGATAAGACTTGGCCAGGTTTTCAACTCTCCGGCGCCTCGCATCTCGACCAGCATCGTCCAAATCATCATCCGAGCCAAGCAGATCATCTGGATCTATCTCGTATGGCAGCGGACATTCTTCGAGGGAAACCGGGGAGACTGGCCGCGGGTAGGGCATCGGGATCGAAATTAAAGCTCGACGAACTGGGCTGTTTTGGGTGCCGCAGCAGTCGGATACTGCAAGGAGACGACTCAGGGCGTGGCTTGGGGGTCTTCGTTCATATCTGGTGCGATTAGTGATCTTCCATGTGACATGTCAAAGGCAGAGGGGTGTCTGCCGTATGAGCTGCAACACGAAAAACCACTTAACGCGTGTGGAGGTGTTGATGGCCCAGCAACGGAGGGGAGATATTACGTCAGATGTGTATTATGTCAGCGCATCTAACTTAACTTATAACCAGTTGACTCCCGAGCTTGCGTATTTGAAGGTTGTTTGAAATCTGGATCTATGGCTCTTGAATGCATGCATGTACCGTCAAGACCGCTCTTCATTCGTAATACATGCATAAGTTATACAAAACCTCGTCTCCGGGAGGGAAGTACAATAACCAGCAAATTGTAATGAATTCAGTTGTATTTGAAAAATGCCATTGATTCTTTATTCATGATACACGCCGCAGATAAAAAAGGGAATAAAAAAGACAAAGAGCAAGATTGACACATGGGGAAATAAGAAAAAAATGGAATCGAAAGGATAAATGGTAAAATATTGGACATCAAACAAAGGGCGGGTCATTAAGTGGTCATCAAAACGGAGTGCTCGGTACGCTCCTTCATGCGCATGGCCTGGGCTTCCAGAGAGCGGGCCATTAATTTCGTCACTATAACAAAGATACATGTTAGCAAGACGATCTCCTCGGGATCCATAGATAGTGGAAGTGGGTAGGGAATGTGTCTCACCTGGCCAGACAGCTGCTCTATCCAAGAGACTAGCCGTCGCAATCAATATTTTACAACCGTATCCCCCATCCACGGCACTGGGTAATCGCTGCAGAACACTAAGCGCAGACATGGAATTATTGCCTTGAACCTGGCGAGTCATCTTCGTCTCAATACTCCTCAGAATCTCTTTGATCTTATCGACCAGCTTGCAATCTTCGTCTTCTAGTAACATGACACCAGGGACTTGAGTCAAATCTGTATCATCGCGGCCTAGGATACCCAGGTATGGACCAACGCGTTCTTGGACAGTTGTGATCCACTCTGCCAATACCTGTGCACAATCAAAGGTACACATCGCGCATTGGATTGGTAGTTCTCTTGAGGAGAACTCAGCGAAGGTATTTCCTAGACGGTCTGACATGGAGATTGAATCAGCGGCGTAGAAGGCTGCTTTGCGCAGGTGCTTTTCTCGCTTTGTTTGACCAGTTTTGTACATGTTTTGTAATGATTGCAGGGAATGGTCCTGTGCTGGCGTATTGGAAATGGCTAGATCGGAGACACCAAGATCGGCTATAGAGTCTCTTCGCGTATCGATGTGGGCAGTCAGAGATGGGTCGACAACGTCATTAACTGTTGCTTCTGGGTGTTGGAAGATTTCTGTGCCCCGTGCAAGTTCATCTGCCATGCCGTTCCAATCTCGCTGCCAGAATGCCTCTTTGCATCGGCCCAGGTTCACAAACAGGCGCACGTAGGCTAGATCCAGAAGAGGGATGCTATCAGCTGATAATGGCCCGGCGCCAAAGGGATTCGGGCGCTCAAGGCTGTGCACTGGGTTACTGGCCCATGCTGCTTGCCAAGCCCGCAAAGCTGGCTCGATATGTGCTTGCATAGCATCCGTCTCCTGGGCAGTCCATTGTCGGCCCATGTGTCTTTGGCGAGTTTCCCAGATGTAGTTGTGGAGGGAGTAGATGAGTACCAGACAGCCAAAGGTACTTGGTCGGCTTTCCGGTTTAGCTAAATCATCGTGACCACCGAAGAACATGTTCGAGGACTGATTCTGTTCCCTTTGGCTAGAAGTCAAGAGAGACGTCAAAGCCGCTGAAAACGATATTGTGTTCTGCGAGGCAGTCTGGCCGCCCATCTTTTTCCACGCTTGGGGTGACTCGGCCGCCCAAACACTTTCTTCGCAGGGGAGATTGAGGCGAATTTCTGAGTTTGTGAGTGCAGGGGCGTGATTGTAAGCTGAAACAAGGAAACTGGAAAGAACAAAGATGGCATAGAGAGTACGCTTCCGTTCCTCAACGACCTTCCAATTCAGCCAGTCTCTTCGCTCCTTCGGGTGATTGAACGAGGGCGACATCCAGTTGTCTGTATCACCTCGATCACTTCCGCTTGTCGCTGTACTGAGATGATCTTGCGGCAAATTCTTAGGTTCCAGGTGTTGCGTCAATTCGGCTGCACGTGCTAGGCTGACCAATGCAGCGCAATGTGTACTGGCAATGTCTGCAGAGGTCTTATCGCCGCAAGTGTGGCCATATATAACATTCAGAAGCATGGCTTGTACTAGCCAAAGAGGAGTGTTGTGTACAGAGTTATCGCGAGAGGTATTCGACCGATTCAGTGCTGCAGACATGTCGGCCTTTCGTCGTTCTTCAAGGTACAACTGGATCATCTTTTTCGCGGCTTCGAAAAGATCTTTGGAAGCAGCGGTGTCATATTCATACAAGGCACCGATGGCAGCCATCGAAAGGATTAGGCAGCCGCCGCCTCCTGCGACGCCGGTTGAACTGAGATTGAGATGTCCACTCGGCGTGCGTATGTTGTTCGTATACTCGGGTGCTTGGAAATTCAGGGTCGGGATATGGAGAAACGGAATATGGGGATGGAAATAGGTAATATATGCCGAGATGAAGCGTTGTAAATCGGGGGTGCTGGGTAGTTGACCGGAGGTGTTGAAGCCAGTCGAGGAGCGAAACAGCTCGCGACTGTTTAGAAGACCAGATGTGGGCTGGGAATACTTGCGATGATTGAAGCCCGTAGGGGTCGACATGCTCGCTAATAGAGCCTGTCGTGTGGAGTCTGTAAATGTATCCGTTGAGACTGGGGAATGTTGATTTCGTAGGGCACTATTCGGGAAAGGAACGTTGAGAGGATTAGGAGATTCTCCGTTGGTTGCCAGAGAGGATGGAAACATACTCTGCGAATGTCCACCCACGATGGGTTGGCCGACCGAGGTCATTGATGGAGGAGTGGCATACGTCTCAGCAAACGGATTCTGGGCCAATAAAGACTTGGGCGATACAGTCTCCGGTGGGATACCCAACTCGTTCAGCGTCGTTGGAGAAAAGTCGAGGGCGAACTGATTGGCATGTGCGGGGAACGGGTTGTGCCAGCCGTTCGAAATGGGGATGCGGTTCGGACCATCGAGCATGGCCTCGCTGATTCCGCTTTGGCTACCTGTGCTCATAGCTGATGGCGAGGACTCGTCGATGACCGAGTCATTGCCGTTGGACATCACCATTCCCGCGTCAAACCCGTTCATCCAGTCAAAGTTCATCTCCTCGTCCATCATGTTGTCCGCTGGGGCGGGCATACCATGAGCATAATGACCAAAGGGAGACGAGGGGGAATCATTGAAGCCGTGTGGGGAGCCTGCGAAATGTAATTGTGCTGGATTGATGGTGCTACCATGACCCATGAGCATACCATCGATACCCGCATCGAAGCTTCCATACACTGGAGCAGTCCGGAGTGTTCCAGACATGTCCATAGGAAGTCCGGAAGTCTCGATCTTGGAGAGGCCGTTTACTGGAGGGTGTCCAGAGCTGAATCCCCTATAATCCATGCTTGAGCCAATTGAAGAACTAAGGCTGGGGTGGTAAGAGTGGCCTGATTGGGGTGCGGATGACGGGTTACCAGCACCGGGAATACCTAATGCTGCCCCGTCAATGTGACTGATAGTGTTGGCCCGCGGGCGCATAGAGGCGGAAGAGTTAGTCGCAATGGAATTCTTGCGAACGCGATTGGCACCGGGCGCAGCACCTGTGCTCTCGCGACGGCCATTTCTGGGACGAGACGAGGGCGTGGTGGTCATGTGCAATTTTTGCTGGTGTCGCAGAAGGAGATCGCGGCGGGCAAAGCACCTTGCGCAGTCGGGACACTCAAATGGCTTCTCTTTTGTGTGCGAGCGCTCATGGCGTTTGAGATGCTCTAGTCGGGCAAAGGAGCGACCGCAGGTGGTGCAAACGTGGGGCCTCGGCTTGTCTGTTTTGGGGGGTGGGATGCCATTGGCCGTTTGACCGTTGACTTCCTTCTTGGTGTCCTTTGGGGCTACAAATATGGGTAAGAATTGCATGCGGGAAATGGTCTCAGCCTCACTCACCAGGCATATTTCCCGGGATTTCGTTGATACTGGCCAGATCGGTCACTTGGGGAGTATGGTCTGCTTGTCCGACCATAGCACCCAATAGCATAATCAGATTTCCGGAGCTCCTTACAAACCAGTAACTGATTGACTGGTGGGAAGGTTCCAGGAAGGAATTGCTAAAGCGAAGTCGGGTATTGTAGAGTCGCGTATGGGCGGATCAAGTTTATACAATCAAGTGCATCTGTAGCAAATGACATCAAGTCAGCATGTCTCTCGTATGATGCGTCGAAGGCGTTATCACAACCAAGGTACCGAGACCAAGTTATGGTGAACCTTGACTGATCGGAACCCACCAAATAAAGAGCACAGTAGAAACAGATTTACAGGTCTATCGTATTCCTTGTCCGAGGGTATCTTGACAGGATAAGAGGACCTGCGGCCGGTATCGCGGGAGGCTAGTGTTGACGTCTTGGACGTCAGACACATCAGCGAACGGGGTCCAGGCTAATCATTGCACACAAGAGCAACGGGAGCCCAAATCAATCACTTACATCGAGTTTCGTCTCAGTTACAGTGAATCTGGAATCCAACTGGGGCGCATCCGAGGGAATTGTTGCAGACGTTGGGGTAAGCCGGAGATAACGGGACGGATAGACAATGATAAGCGACAACAACGGGGAAGGCGAGGAAGACAAAGAAGACGAAGGTGAGGACGAGGATGAAGGATGAAGAGAAGAGAAGAGGAAGTTGCGAGATTGCGAAGCTGTAGAGTAAGGTACCTGGTGGCAGTAATGGGGAAAGTACTGGGGAAGTACCCATCAGGAGGTCCGAGTGGCGATGCCAGACCAATACTACCGTCCGAGGTACACCGGGGGTACCTGCGAGGCAACGACCTCAGGGCGATGGGCCAGATGGGACGGTATCGATACCAGAGTGGGGCAGAACACGGGGGAAAGAAGCAATGGTAGGGTGACGATTACCCAGGGTAATACCGAAAGCAGCATAGACTGAACTTATACACACGCACGGTGGTTCTCAGCACTGCGTATTGTGCAATACGTGGGCTGATATCGGAGTGGGTCCGAGGACGATTTCCGGTAATAACCGTACACGCCTGTACACTGCCATACACTACTGGACTCGACTATACTCGGTAAACATACCAGAACGTTATGAAATCATTATCTGTCAGCACACCTCGTGACACTGGGATTCATGGGTTTCCTTCAACTCATTTCTGGGGCTGACTCCGATCCATACATTTGCGCCATTTTTGTGGGGGAGACTCAAAATGGGTTCGTGTGGGGGAGTTGCCCCCCCATAATCCCCCAATATCCGTCCACTCAAAGGGTGCCCGCAAGGGATATCCTCCGGTTCTCAAGCGCAGGCCACGTTTCCAGTCCCAACAGATTCCCCCCCGTTATTCTGTTTTGGTGTTTTGGCCCCAGACTTTCAACCCCGGAATCTGGCATATCTTTCTAGAATGCCATTCCCGTCCGACCCACGCATGTTGCGCCACACAGGTTTGAGTTTGGCAACAATGAAACCCATTGGACTTCCAGCCGACAACTGGATTCGGATCTAGGGGAGAATGATTGATGTCTGACAACATCCATACCACAAATCCAATGGTCCAATGGTCCTCTCGTTTGAGACTCCAATAGAGACAGGGACAGACCAAAAGAACTGCCAAGTCACACGGCAATGGCACAAACATTGCTTTGTCCGGGCCATCCGAATCATCCTCTTCAGATTGGTCGAGGATGGTCCCCATCTTATTTTCCGGGAATGTTTCTGTCCCGACTTGTCGCACGGACATCTCGTTTGCAGAATTCCCCAGACTCGACAACGGCGCTAGTCGAACTAGGACACTAGAGCGAGTCTAAGGACGCTGCAGGTGACCCGAGATGAGTCAAGGATGGTCGACTGACAAATGAAACACGGCGAAGATCAGCCACGCTACGTGGGTTGATCATCGGGTGGCACATACAGTAACTATGCTTCGGGGGAATATAAGTGCTTAACCTGAGTCGCCTGTAATCGGCATTGTCGACTCTCTGGAACAGCCACAATATCGTAGACCCTAATGCTAGTATCCTAGTATCTCACAAGTTCAGCCCACCGGCGGGCTATCGTTTCAACCCGCCCCCAACACCGGTGTCCAGGGCCCAGTGTCTAGGGCAACAAATTAAGACATGTCTTGGCTAAACTTTTGAAGCATCGTGCAACGCCATTTCCAAACACGGTGCACCATCAGCACAGAACAAGACACGAGGTTACGCAGAGCAAGACAGTTCAATCCCAGCGAACAATCCCTCCAGCCAGAACAACCAATTCATTCCGCTCACACTAAAAGCCAACCCCAAAGCCAAAGCGCCCTGATCATCCCAAATGCAGGTCCACGGCCATGAAGAAACAACAAGCTCGGACATCATTCCGGTCTTCATGACAGATACAGACACAGATACAGTAACTTTAGCAGGGGTGCTAGACGCCGCTGACATGATCTCATTCCAGTAACGTTATGCGGCAGTTCCCAAGTCCAAAGTACAGTACACTATTCCGTCTCAGTAGGTACCCAAACGCAACTATCCCCAAAGAGGAATGCAGTAAGGACATCCCTGAACCTGATTCTAGCGCCAGTTCACTGAACGCCGAATCCTCAAACGTTATTGCATAACCGCGCTTCGCGGATGAATGCTTGACCAGGTATCATCCGTGCTACCAACGTCAATACCAATAGCCAGAGATACAAAGCAATTCTGTTCAAGTGGAAATTATATTCGACTCTCGGCCTACGGTGCTAGATTGCAAAGGCTGGGCGGGACGGAGAGTAAATTCACAGAGATTACAGCTTACAAGCCATGAAACACGACAGCGCCAGGTAATACGATAAATAGTACGGTCACTAGTTCCAAGGGAGTATAGGAATTAATCTATATCGCCAGATGATCAGGCAGGGGCAACGCCAGAAATTCTCCGATGGCCAGTGCTGAGGCTGGGGGATGTTTTGTTTATCCGGACATCCGGTATTATGAAGAACGATTGCCCTTTATCAGTGGGGATCGGAAAACGTCAGTACAGCCTGGCAGTATGGCAATAATAGTATATTATATTATAGAGCACTACTCCGTTTTTGGTCCCGGTCTGCGGGTGGCCCTTGGCTATGGCCCGATCCGCACGGTAACTACTGTAGAACTGGGCTCCGTATGCTCCCTGTCCATCAGTTAGGTCAGGTACGAGAGATGATGGTGGATTAGCTGTCGGTTTCCTCAGGGTATGGGCTCCCTGCTATATAATTTGCCGTCCAGGACATCTCACTCACATGAAGATGAAACATCCCTTTCCATATCCATACTGATGCCCATAAAACTACGGCTTAGGCTTCGCCTCTAAAGCTGGCTGTGACTGTACTGTAGCAAGGACCAGAAGATCTCGCCCTTTGCGTCATAGATCCACAAGAATACCACAGACGGCATAGGTATCCATCATGCTGTACCACCAGGATGACTTCAACGATCAACAAGACGAGACAGCGTCGTCGCATGGGGGAGCTAAAGATAGCAAGGCACCGATTCATTTGCGCCAGCCAATACATGAGAAGTGATGAAATCCACCGTCGTCATGGCAGTCATGTACCACTGCAGTTGATTACATGGTTAGATGGTTAGATAGAACATGGTAAAACCGCTTCTGCAGAAGACAGAAGAATGACAGCCACGCCACGGGTGATCAGCGCCGAGGGCCCGAGACGAGGTACTGTACGGAATCAAGACAGAATACGAAGTCCTTAGCAATACTATACGATACCGGCAATTCGCCAGATGATATTCCGACATGACCGTGGATCGTCCAACCAGATATCAAGGTGAAACGCGGGAAGATAGTGGAAAGTGGAAATAGTGTCGGGCTTGGCCGCGGATAAGTATGGGGTGATAAGTACATGAGCACTAACTTAGCTATCGTAGCCGCTGGTCGATGAAGATAACGATGGCTATGACTATGAAGAATTAGATCTATTAGCTTATAGTCCAATATCGGATTTAGTGTATTGATTTTGCCGAGCAAAACACATTACTCGAACGGAAATAATATTGGTTAGGCGATGCAACATTGCAAAAAGCAAAGTCCGCACAGGCGCCAAAACATACCTCACTGGACAATCGAGTCCCTGCGTGGACGATCAAAGTTTAGAGTGGGCATAGGGTCGGATGAGGCAGGATGGAATGCTGCCAATTGCAAGGCTGCAGCCGAGTTTGGGCCTACAATGGTACCCAGGAACAGACGTGGTTTCGTGGAAATACTGTAACTCGGTGGCGCGAGGACGGGATGATCTAGAACACCGTCCATACCACGCTGGGCAGATATAATTAAGATGGACACAGTATTAGACAGGAATTTGCCAATCTCTAATTCCGCCAGCTATCATCTCATCCGCTCATCATCTAACATTAATTGAAAGATGGAACCAAGCTGGCGCTTGATGTTCTGATAACGGGCTACGATCGCGACATTCCCCGAGAGGCTGGTGTAAGTTACAATACACCATACTGTTTAGTGTCGTGATAATTGGATGGTGATATCAGAGCAGAAACCCCGGAGAAAAGCCGACCCAGAAACGGAGCTATTTTAGCCCTGTTTTGGATTCTTTGAAATCCACAGAACGTGCGCCGGTATACATTGATCTAATGTGATTGACGGACCTAGGTTCGGGCGTGCATTAGTTGTATTTTCCACCGTACATGTATACATATACACGCTGCTTTGTTAGAAGGTTGGAAGGAGTGGATGGATATGTACGCCCTTGGGATTGGATAGGAGCAGACTTGGCCGGTGTACAGTAGATCGCATCGTGTGCTTTTCTTCTTGTCTATTGCCTGAGGGTGTTACGGTACGTTGTACCTTGCGTATGTGTATGAGCCCAGTGCAGTGGCATGCTGCATTATAACCACGCCACTAACCTATTGGATATACAGTCCACAGAGCCAGTTAGGTATAGCGTGTAGATTAGCAAGGTACAAGACAATCTTTAGATGGATTTCTTTCCTACACTATTGCCTGTTGGCCTCTTTCCACTCTGCTCTCCTTATACGAATCGCAATCTCCTGGCAACACGAGCACAACAATAATACAATACCTGTCAAACATATAAGCCAGGGCCTTCAAGCAACTACCCAGTCTTCAGGAAAGCAGTAGCCCGTACATAACTTATCCGACCATGCATGTCATACCTCGCCCGTTAACCCATCCCTCTCCACAGCAACCATCCAATCCACATACATAATTGTAAGACAACACAATACTCAACTCAACCGACGTTACAGCACACTTAACTTACATGCACATGTACCTGCGAATGTACCATGCACCTATGCGCTATGCGCTAAATCTATGCGCAAGGCTCGCACTGACACCCAATGACCCAGTCAAATCCTTTGAAACTCTCGCATCGCCACGATGCACAGCCAGAACCTCCATACAAAGGTCGGTGCCAAGGTCGATCTTCCATGATCGACTCTGGGTGGACGTGACTCTCGGCCGCCGAGGATGCCTTTTGAGAATGAGGCAAATAACTTATGCGGACTATGTCATTGGATTTTCTTGTCTTGTCTTTTTTTCTTTTCTTTTGTTGAAATTGATCCCTATACGAGAGTACAGATATAACTAAACACTGAGCTATAAGCCAAGTTATTGATGAGAAAGCCCCTGTATTAAATAAGCCACGAAACAACCCCCTTCCACCATCATCCACTCCAGGATCATTGAACCGACTGGCCAGCTGGCAACGGTCGCACCCGACTTGGTCCCAGACGAGCGCCCGGCGGTTACTATTACCATTTACTAGTTATTAGAAATACTTTAGGGGTAGATTAATGGCGCAGATCTAGCACGGTCCATTCTGTGGCCAGAGTGACTTGGGACTAGATTAGCTGCATACATCCCTGTTGACGCTCTGTACTGTGTACATGACTGGGGTTTACCTTACACTTTCTGACCTTGGGTAATGTACAGTAAGTGGAAGCCCTAGGAGTGAATCTGTGTGGTTAGTTGTATCGATGTGGAAGTAATCTGCCACAAAGGAAGGTCGGTTACAGGACTAATTACAGGACAGGTGAACTGGACTATGTTTTGCATTGCAGTTGCCCCTCCCCCTCCATAGCACTGGCCTCGGCTGAGGCGGAATTGTGGAGATAATTCCGCTGGGCTATGGATGGAGAGAAAGCGCTCATACTTAGATTCATGAATGCAACAAGGATGCAATGTCAATGTAATAGAATTGCAAGAGAGTGATCATCAAGTCAAACCAGGTCATGGAATCAGATGCATAATAATCTCTATTTATGTATGGTATGTCAAAATATAGACATCTTTTTGTCCTCATCATCTCAAGGGTCCAACTCCGGGCATAATGAGCAAAAAATCCACAGAATTCGAATGGTATATGAGCAAGACATGGCGCATGAAGTTCCCGAGTCGGTCGGAGCGTAGATACTAGTCGTCTAGACACTGATGGTCTTGAAGACACTATAAGCGGGTTAGTTATTGCCGAAACAGATAGTGGGAATTGAACATACCTGAATCCATTGCTACCGGTCGCCATCAGCGTACCGGGCATTTGTGCCTGCCAGTGAACCTCCTTGACAGATTCCATGTAATGCACGAACAGAAGTTGCGAAGGAATGTCAGCCAAGTTGGCTGCCTTGCTCTCCTCGTCGTCCAACTCGACAGCCAAATCCCAGAGAGTGACGGTGTTGTCGGCCGAGCCGACGGCCACCACACTGTCGTCTGAGGGGTGCCACTCAATACTGGTGATGGGCTCCTTGTGGAAGTCGAATGATGCAACGGGGGTAGAGGTAATTTGGGCAGAGGGCGCGGCGGCATTGGGCTTCCAGTGACGCAAATCCCAAACAGCCCACTGTCCATCATCTGCACCGGTTGCCAGAAGGTGAGCGGTCTGGTTTGACCAGGTCATGACGTTGACGTCGGTGTTGGAAACCTGAACATCCACGGCGGGCTTACGCGACTTGGATCGCACATCCCACACCTTGATACTGCCGTCGCTACTGGCGGACGCGAAAACGTTGCGCTCGTTGGGGGACCACTGCAATTCTTCAATTGACGAAGCGTGGCCAACGAATGGGCGGGTGTCAGTGACCCAGCCGCCGCCCTCGGTGCGGGTAGTGGCGTAGATCAATCCGTCGTTGTCACCGGTCAACAGCTTGCCGAGAGGCTGGAGAGGGGACCAATCAAGCGCATAACCTTCGGACTTGTGCATGCGCAGGGTGGAAAGAGGCTTGGAAGCTGAAGGAGGAAGGACGGTGCCGGGGACATCGAAGCTGGAAAGGTGGGCGGTGACGTCGTGGATGACCACCTGGGAGTTCTCCAGCATGGTTGCAGTCAAGGTCTGTGGGGGACGAGAGTAGTCTCCAGACTGGTTGGGAGTCTGGTGGGTGCGAATACGGTTTGTGGTTGAGCCCAAAGGAATCGACTTGTGCTCAAGGATGGGCTCTCCCATGTCGTCGTCGTCCGAGTCACTCTCGGAATCTTCAGCATCCTTCTCCATTCTACTGAGGCCGCTCATCTTAAGCACCATCAGCTCATTATCCTTTTGCTTTCCTCCCTCTGCTTGTGTACCGGTAACGGCGTAGACAGTGGCGGGGTAGGTCTTGCGGTTGTCACCGAGTGTGTCGCGGACAATATCGAAGGAAAGACACGGCCAGGGTGTGCTGAGTGTGTGAAGCATGTCGTAGGTAGAAGGATCGGGAGATAGCGTCTCGCCCGGTGCCAGTTTTGTTCGTCCAGGAATGAAAGTTTCCTTGTCCACATCCATAGCCTCTATAGAACCATGAAAAGTCAGTAAGCCACTCTTGTATGGTACGCAAATGTTCTTGGGGGGCAATGCGAACCCTTTTCTTCCTCCTCGCGCTCAGCATCTGGGCGACCATCGACACCGGCCTCTAGGATCTCGTCCTCACTCTCGAACTCATCCTCAAATTCGTCCTCGAACTCCCCCGCTTCGTCCATGGGGATCTCAGCAATTGGCCGCTCACCGGCCTTGAGAGCGGTTTGCTCATCGGCCTCGGCACTTCTCTTGGACATCTTGAATCTGTAAAAGTAACAGAGTAAAGAGAAGAGTAGTGTAGAGGGGTGTGCGATAAGAACTTTTTTTCCCGTGGATTTTGGCACAAGAAGTGGCGCTAAGCCTATCGCGGACTAGCGTCAGATCCCAGCTGCCCGCCTTGAGCTGAGGGTGTTTGGCCTTGGACTTTGCTTGGATATTGTCTTGAGAGATTCGCTTCCAGTCTGATTGTGATTGCTTGTTGGCCTTGTTTCAGTCAAGTCCCCTTCTTATCTCGTTGCTCTTCGTCTGAAATCCGGGTTGTTTACTCTCAGGGACAACTCCACCTCCCGACATCAACACATCTTTCTGCTTCGATTTTCTTGACACAATCACTTGCACCTATTACTGCCTATGCAATTCAGCTAGATCGGGCTGGAATTTCAGCATTTTGGGCCGGTAAGTCATCCTGGTTCTCAAAGCTTCATCTTACTCGTGCTGACAATCAGGGCGCGTCCAACAGGTTACACCTCTCAACTCGATTCCGATACAGATCTTAAGCGCCAATATGGAGTTCCCTCAGCAGTACACCTCGGAGCATACCGATGCTCCAGAGGTTGCACTTGCAGACTCTGAGCAAGTTGCTCCCGAGGATACGAGATCGCTGGTTCAGGAGCAGGTCCCGGAGCCAGCCCAGGAACAGGAGGTCCCACTCGAGCAACCTCTGGAGGAACCTCTGGAGCAGCACGCACCGGTCAGCGTCAACGTTGAAGAGCCCACTTCTGACCACACTGCTCGCGCCACCATCAACAATGGCTATAACAGCGACTCCAAGGCTCACTATCATTCCCGATCCACTGACTTCCATCACTCCGCCCCCGAATATGCCGCTCAGGACACAGATCAGTCCACTCGCCAGAACTCGTCCCCTTCTCTCAGTCACCAACTGCCCGTGCCAAACTCCAGACCTGGTTCGGGATTATCTAGCGGTACCGAGCGCCCTGGTCTTTCCCAGCCGCAACAGCAAGAAGTTCTGCGACAAGGACAGAGCTCACAGGCCTCGAAGAATAGTGTGGTGATTAAAGTTGGCATGGTTGGTGATGCTCAGATCGGAAAAACCAGTCTGATGGTCAAATATGTTGAGGGGAGCTGGGATGAAGATTACATCCAAACCTTGGGTATGTTGAATTACCCTCTGTCATGCATCGCTTTTCTAATGACCCCACAGGTGTCAACTTTATGGAAAAGACAATCTCCATTCGGAACACGGAGATTACCTTCTCGATTTGGGATCTTGGTGGTCAGCGTGAGTTTGTTAATATGCTGCCACTAGTCTGCAATGACGCCGTCGCAATTCTGTTCATGTTCGACCTCACGCGCAAGAGCACATTGAACTCAATCAAGGAGTGGTATCGCCAAGGACGTGGCTTTAATAAAACTGCTATCCCATTCTTGGTTGGCACCAAATACGATCACTTTGTCAATTTCCCCCGTGAGGATCAGGAGGAGATCTCGATCCAGGTATGTGCCCCTCCCACTTGGCCTAGTACATACGCATGCTAACACTTCCCAGGCCAAGCGCTTTGCGAAGGCCATGAAGGCCAGTCTCATCTTTAGCAGCACTAGCCACAGTATCAATGTACAGAAGGTATGTCTTCGCAACCTGGCACTCTCCTGGCTCAATATGTCTCATTTGCTAATTCTCTCCAGATCTTCAAAATCGTTCTGGCCAAGGCGTTTGACCTGAAGTGCACCATTCCAGAGATTGAAAACGTTGGCGAGCCTTTACTCCTGTACAAGAACGTCTAAGTACTGTCTACCTGACGATTATGTACATTGTGACGCTGTTGATGATCGACGCTGGCCCTCTAAACTCACGGCTCTACCACTTTGTGAATCTTTCTTTTCTCTTCTCCAACGATGTACTTGACCTTTTTTTTATGTGCTCATCACTGCCTTGAGTTGTGGCCCCCATTGATGACCATTGCTTCTATCCATTGTTTTCCTTGTCATTTTCTTGGATGCATCTTTTAACATGCATCAATACAAGTACCTAGTTTTCTTTTGTGTCTATGATCCCATCTGGGAGGCTTCATCGCCTTGAGGCGTTTGGGAGTCCGAGTCGTGGAGGGCGATGTTATGGAAATACAACTCAAAACCTCATTGTGAATTCTTAACAATATGTCCGTCTTCTGGCGCTACTTTAGTCGTTGAAACTCCTAGAACCTTCAAGTCCCCAGTTCCTAGATGGTTGCCCTTGACTTCTGTTGCATGAAACCAGCTCTTCAATCGGGGCTGCACTCATAGATTGTGACCCACGGTACACGCAACGGGACCTGGCCCCCAATCGGGGAACCCCTCCTGGAGCCTCAACTGGTTTTATTTCTTTTTTTCCCCTTCTAGATCTCAACTATCGGAGATTTAGTACCTCTACCCCAGGGCTAATACTCAGCCCTTGACGTCAGTGACTCGGTGCTGCTTTCAAGCAGAACGCTGTTTTCGCCCCCGCCAAGCCAGGTGGTGCGTGGACTACGCTGGTGACAACTGTCTGTTTGGAAACACGACCTCACCTTGCCCTCAATATAGGTTCTTCCGGCGCCATGACCGAAGAGCCGCAACTTAATTCGATTCAACAGCGGATCGCTGCCTTGAACCAGTCGCAGCTGGCCCGCCCACCGGGCCCTGAACCGTTTCTCCGCCCTACCCCAGAGCGGAGCGCGCCTGTCAGCCCTCCTCCTTCGTACGACTCGCTCGTTCCTCCGCCAGAGCGAGTGCCCAGCAGAAATGAGCAGACAGAAGGCCGCTCCGAGAGGCAGGTCCTGCGACCTCCTCCAATGGAAACACTACGACCTGACCTGAAACCGAAGCCGAAAGCCCCTCCGCCCTTGCCCACGCGCAGATCAGATCGCCAGGCTCCTCCCCCTCCTCCGGCTCGTCCTTCACTGCCGCGCAGACCAACGGATCAACAGCGGAGGCCCTCTCTAGAATCGACAACATCCGATGCGTCATACTCGACAGCTTCAACGGCAACAACCGCTGGGCGCAATGCATCTTCAACGTCGGTAAACTCCAATGGGAACAATCGCGTCAAGGCGCCTGCATGGGGCGCCACAGAGCTGCCTATTTTACCTCCGAAACGACCAAAGGAGCAAGTCAGCCTGGAACCGCCTCCGCGGCCTACGCCCACCAGTAAAAGGAGTTTCGGAAACCTGTCCTCCAGGATCACCTCAAAAATTCACCTACCGGGCTCCAAGCCGGCTGCTCCATCTCCCCCAATCCAACCGCCTCGGCCAAGTCCATCACCACGTTCAAACGAAACTTCACGTCCAAGTCTGCCTACTCGCCCGCAGAGTAATGAGGATGTCCCGACACCCCCACTGCCGCCTCGTCGGCCATCTGGAGTTCAATCACAATCAAACGGAGCAGCCGAAGATGAGGGACCTGCCTTGCCAATTCGGAGAACATTGCCGCCTCCACCATCTGCTTCAAGTATCAACGACGCCCGGCAGCTTGGGTTTGGAGATAAAAGGCCAAACATCCCAACCCGGCCGAGTAGCACTTCAGGTCACAAACCGCCAAGTGGTACACCACCACCAATTCCCCATGGTTCCCGCCCGGATCTTTCTAAGATCATGGCGACTAAACCGCGCTTCAGTGGCTCATCGGCTTCAGCAAACCCTCCGGCTCACTCGTCGGATACGGAGTGTTTAGTGTGCCGAGACTTCTCAGGTCCAGATAACCACGCAGCTCGCTATCCTCGGGCATCACTTCCAACGCAAGATATGGGATGGCTTGCAAATGAGCTGACAGCACCATTCCCATCCTTGACAGACAAAGCCCGTGCGATCTTTACCTGGCTGCATCACAATATCTTCTACGATGTCGTCGCATTTTTTGGGAAATGCGTTAAGCCTTCCACGCCAGCCAGTACCCTTGCATCTGGATTAGCCGTCTGTGAGGGTTACGCAGGACTATTCCTCGAACTAGCTACCAAGGGCGGATTAGAAGCAATCAAGGTTGGAGGCCACGGCAAGGGATTCTCGCATAGCACCCTCACCCCAGAATCCCCCGTACCCCCGTTCAACGGAAATCACGCCTGGAATGCAGTCAAGATAGACGGAGGCCGCTGGAAACTCATTGACACATGTTGGGGCGCGGGTTGCATAGAAGGCGAAGGCAAGCCTTACAAACAACGCTTTGAGCCAGCCATGTTCTCAATTCCGAATGAAGAATTCGGCCTCAAACACTTTCCCTCCAATGCCAACCACTTCTTCCGTGAAGACGGCCGACCAAACCCCACCTGGCAAGAATATATCCTCACGGACCCGGAGAAACCAAACGGGGTCGAACACCTGAAGGTCTACGGCGACGCCGATAAACGCTCAATTGGGCGTAAAACAATTCAACCAGCAGCCCTGAACATTTCTGTCAGTACGCCTGGTTCAATGCGCTTCTCATTTGGGCTCCTCTGTCCGCACTGGACGCTAGCACGCAACAGCCGCAGCACACCTGGTCTATTCCTGCTTATGGTACATGGTGTGGATGGACGTGAGGACGATAGACTTCCGTTTAGACATGTACCTGGCTCGGGTCCCGCTGGCGGGGGCGAGATGTGGTATGTTGATGTCCCTACGGCTCGCATGCTTGGTGCTCCTGGTCAAAAGCTGCAGTTGGCTGTTTTGACGAGCTTTGATAATCAAGATGCTGATGGCGTTACGGCTGATGAGTTCTTGGCTAAGAATGGTCGTGTTGGCATGGCTTGGGCTTATGTTGCTGAGTGGGAGCTTGTTCGGTAGAATCTGGTTCTGATGTGCGTTTTTATCTTGTCTTGTTCGGTGCTTGCTTCTGTGAACAGCTACCCGAACGATTAATACTATTGGTTTGCTCTCTTGTTCGTGGCATTCTGCATGTTTGTATACGATTTTACCGCATTTTGGTAATGGATATATCATATTGGAACGAGTATCAAACAAGCTCTTGAAAACAATCGAAAGTAGATGCGAGGTACGAATGATCATGCCATATCTTTGCAAGGGCATTGAGTTTTTGATTTCAACGTATGTCATTCGTGTGTATAATGCTCACGCCTTATTGATTTCCTATTGCGGATTTGGGCATCTGCTTCCCCTCTCAAGATGCCCTTAAAAGGCTCGACTATCTCTACCGAAAACTGCTGTTATATTCTCTTCTAAGTATTCTACTAGTCGTCAATATGTTCGGTACTCGCGCTGTTCGCTCCGGGCTTCCCCACGATGCTACAGGTGTATTGGTAGAGCCAGTAAGCTGCAAGAAACCTTGATACCTGTATTCTACTTCTTTTATCTGATACCCCTTCAGATCTGCCTTGCCACAACTTTTGCCCAACAGGGAGTTGGATCCCCCATGGGCCCTTATGTCTACAGTCGCCCCAGCAATCCCAACCGAGAGGGATATGAGAAAGCAGTCGCTGATTTGGAGTCTGCTAATCATGCCCTGGCATTCTCTTCTGGGAGAGCTGCAACAGCCGCCGTCATTCAAGGCCTTTCTTCAAAGTCACACATCGTATCAATGGCCAGCATGTACAGTGGTAATCACCGGTATTTGACACAAGTTGCTCTGGCTTTTGATGTGGAGGTTTCATTCGTAGAAGATATTCACACTGGTCTCGCTCCGCTTCTCGATAAACTCGGCGAGAACGTCAAACTCGTCTGGATCGAGACTCCAAGCAATCCAACTCTATCTCTCGTTGATATCCAGACTGTGGCTAAGCTTGCTCATCAGTGGGGTGTGTTACTTGTCGTTGACAATACGTTCTTGTCGCCATATATCCAAAATCCTCTAAAGCACGGTGCGGATATAGTTCTACATTCTGCCACTAACAACTTGAGCGGCCACAGTGTAAGTAGCTATCTTGCACGCCCATCACAATCGATTCATCGGATGTACTAACGTCCACCAGGACGTATTGATGGGAACGGTTGCGTTCAACAGCCCCGAGATCCTCGAAACTCTCTCCTTCATCCAAAATACCGCTGGAAGCGTTCCAAGCCGCTTCGACTGCTGGCTCGCTCATCGAGGCCTGAAGACTCTTCATCTTCGCGCATCTGCAGCTTCTCACAATGCCTTGATTTTAGCAAAAGCTCTTCAAGCATCACACCATATTATCAGCGTAGATTACCCCGGTCTCGCTGAGCATGCGCAACGAATGCTTGCAATTTGCCAACACCGAAATGGATTGGGTGGAGGTATGATATCCTTCCGTATCCGAGGTGGACTCAAAGCTGCAGAGCGGTTCTGTGCATCAGCTAGACTTTTCACTCTGGCGGAGAGCTTGGGGGGCTTAGAGAGTCTTTGTGAGATTCCTGCTATCATGACGTATAAGGGAATGCCGGAAGATGTGCGTGGAGGTGCTGGGATTTATGATGATTTGGTTAGGCTTAGTGTTGGTATTGAGGATGCTGATGACTTGTTGCAGGATCTTTTGGCGGCTTTAGAGAATGCTGCTCTTATATAGACTACTTGTAGATAGGATTATGTCCGATAGGATTTGGCTTTTCCTTTTCGATCTGGTGCTCACTTGGCAAGTAATCTTCTGTCTTCGTATACCACTTCGCCGAATTGACTCCTCCCATCAAGGTTACTGGGAGTTTAAATGAGCACTCAACGAGTATTTCTCCGACACCGTCATGATCTACCCAAACAAGCGCTATCGAAACTATGCTAGAAGACCAGCACTGAAGATGGTTGCGAGGATCTCAAATTTTTCTTCATTACACATGCGATAAGACGATACTCATATTTCAAGCCGACTAAAATGAACAGGCTTCTAACTTTCTTTACCTGTTTGGTTTCGCACATTTGTATATTGAACATCTCGCTGCAGCACCGCTATCAGAAACCTTATAGCTCGTCGCTTGATCTGGAGATCCCAATCGATATCATCTGGAAATCTGAATGCAAATAGCAATAAGCATAAAGAAATGAATCAGCTGCAGTGAATCATCTTCCAAAAAGATTCTCTCTATTCGACTGCTCGATGTCTTAACTTATTTGCCATTGTTATAGTTCTTATCATCACGTGCTGTCGTGTCAAGGACGCGTTGCGATAAGCACACTTTCTCTTTTCAACAAACAGTTTTGAAACCTGATGAGCTGGGATCGAGTCATTCAAGATTCCGACGAGGAGGAGCCCCTCGAAGGAGACGAGCTCCAGGATATTCCATCATCGGCCGATCCCCTTCAAGCACTCGAGCCCAATGTGCAGCAACGACAATACGATGCTCCCGCCCAACACACAATCCACAGTGCAGTAAACAAGGCTCCTGCTGCCCCGGACGAAAGCATGTTTCCACAGTTTAATGTCAATTTTGATGAATTCCTTCAGTCGCAAGATCGAAGCCATACGATGTTATCGTCGTCTCAGCAGCGGCGGGAGGAGAAATGGATTCCTTCATACAATGAGAGTGGCAGCGGATCAGTTGGTACGTTTTGGGAATGTGAAACTGTTGAATAACGCTATATTTTTGAATTGCCCTTATTTATTCTTACATTGTTCTATTTCAGGTGGTATGATGACCGAGATTGGTCTTGCGCAAAGACGGCTGATGGACGATGACCCGTCAACAGCTGGCCAACAGCTACCATCCACAGCCCTTCAATTCTCAGTACAACCCACATATGCGCAAGTTCCGGCAAATTTTAATTTTCATGCCCAACCGGCTCAATTTGAACACAATAGCTTTGGCTATACCGAACAACCGAATGAAACGCATACCAACGAGAATCAGTCATTGCTGTCCTCCAGACAGAGCATCTATGACTTGAATTCGAATTCTATGGCCTCAATGCCCACAAGTTTTCCGCATGAGATGGCCGAGTTTCCTCGTTTCAAGGAACGAGAGAATCCAATCTCGATTCCGACTCAGATTATTGCTCAGCAAAATGCTTACCAGCCCGAGTTTTACTCATCCCATGATACCGAACCAATATCATCTGTTGTCTCAACAAAATTGATCGAATTGAAAAGTGATTCCAGTGGATCGAGTCTTTCGTCCCCGCCAAACTCACAGACAAGCGCACCCGATGAGCTCTCACTGCCAGCAGCACCTGTGCCTGTCGTAGCCCCAGTCCCAAAGAACAAGCGAGGACGTCCCAGGAAAGAAGCAATCCCAGACAGCGACGACGAAGATGACGAGCTAGCGTTCCCCCGAGACCACGAGCTGCAACAGCCCAGTACAAATGGTGCAATTCATCCATCCGGTAGTGAACAGACTACGGAAACCAACACCCCGATCACAGGTGGGGTCTTTGGTGAGAGCAAGGGAGATGGGTTAGAACGCGTCGCCAAGCCTGCAAACCCAGTGCCCAAGGTGCCCAAAAAGAAGAAGGCCAAGAAGGAGAAATCGGCACCGGTTCCGCACACAGTCCCTGGAAATGACGATGAAGTAATATGGGTAGACACGAAACCCATCGAGACCGAGCCCACATCTAAGACCATTCCTCAGATGGCCGCCTCGAGCAAGGACCTCAACGCAACAAAAGATCTCAAGGCAGCTGAAACAACATCCAAAGAAAACACCCCACAGTCAATCCAGAACACCGAACAACCGGCTCCCAAGAAGCGCGGACGCAAACGCAAGAAGCCAGCGGAGGAAACTCCAACAGATTCACCAGCCCCCGAAGCAGTCAAATCACACACAAGCACCGAAACCCCCAGCTCGAAGATTTCAGTCGTGGTCAACACCAGCCCAAACGCTGTTCCCATCAGCAACAGCAATGATAAGCACACCCCTGGAATCCCAGATCAGAACCAGGACCAACAGCAAGACCAAGAGCCCAACCCTCAACCCCAAACACCCTCCAAATCAGTCCCCAACACCGTCGAAACGCCCCAGAATCAGAATCAGAATGCCGCAAAGGGACCGAGCAAACACAGTCCCATCTCGGCGCGGAGTACTGTACCCCTTCGCGTGGGATTGAGTAAGAGGGCTAGGATTGCGCCGTTGTTGAAGATGGTTCGGAAGTAAGGGATTACGATATTTCCGGCTTTCGATGTATTTTTACAAGTCCGCCGTGCGCTTATGTGCTTATTTTCTTTACTTCTGCGCTCTTGTTTATTTGCTTTGGTTATGATTAACTTGTGACTGGGGTATTCTTCAGTGTCTTTTTTTTTGTTGCTATTATTATACCCTTCGAGAGAATATTCTCGGCGTGCTGATTAGCTTTTTCTATTCTTTCCTATTTCTTACTTCTTGATTTTGATTGATGTTATGTCCATGTCTATTTTCATCTGGCTTCATCTTTATGAGGTGGGGGGTTGGGCTTTACGTTGCGATGATTTGTGACGGGATTTTCTCAGCTACTTCGGATATCAAAGGAATTCCATTGAGACCTGGAAGACATGATTACTGGCTTTCGAGTAAAAAAATCAAACAACTAGTTTTGTTCTATGCTTGAAGCTAGTAATTGATCGACCTTATTCATGGATTTTATCCCATCTCTGTTCCGCCTGCCGAATCCGTAGAGATAACAATGGTTGTAATGATAACAGGTATAACGCTGCCGGGGACTCGGTCAAACAACAGTTCCAATTAATTCCAAGGTCCAGATGATTTATCCAATCAACATCGCGACAATCAGCGCAAGGAACAAAGATATCACAGCTGCGGTACCAATCGTTCGGGCGCTGCCTTCTGCTTCAGATTTCTTCCCCTTGCTATGAACCTTTGGGTCCCATGCATCACCATTGGGTGGAGCCTCGACGGCACAATAACCGGCATCCTTCATACAGCCGGTGCCACAATGAGAGGTGGTGTTTCCACAGGAATTGGTGCTCCCACAGCAATACCCAAAGGTAGAACCCATACAAGTGTAGTTGGACCCACAGGAGCCATCAAAAGAGATGGGCTTATTGGGGTCAGCCGAGGCAGTCTTCTTGGGCATTTTCTTATGGCTGGGCATTCGAGTATCTTTCCGGTACCAGAGCGGGCGTGGATCACGGAGACAGTCACCAACAGTGACCCCGCGGTAGCCCAGTCTCTTCATGGTCTTGAGCATGTGTTCCGTGAGATTGTGAACCGTCTGCTCATGTGCGTCATGAGCAATGACAAGCCAAGACTTGGTGTGTGGATCTCCAGCGTAAACCGCATGATCGAAGATATCCTTGGACCGCTGGATGAGTTCTGGACTGTCATTCTTGTAGTCATCAGTGTCGATGTCGTACAAAATGATGTGGTATCCAAGCTTGCCCAGGTCATTGCCACAGTCTGTGTCAGGGCTACAGCTGGAATATGGAGGACGCATGTAGGTAGGGAAACTGCCGATGATATTTCGCAGAGCTGCTTCGTTCTTCTCCAGCTGATCACGGCGCTGCGAAGGAGTGATCTTACTAAGATCCTCATGAGACCAAGTGTGACTAGCGATTTGATGGCCACTCGATTGCATTCGTTCAATCAAAGAAGCCCAAGGTAAGCTGAAGTCATCGATCTGGCCCTTGCCATTGTTGATTCCGGTAACGAAGAACGTCGCTTTTGTATCATACTTATCAAGCAGATCCAACAGATCGCCGGTGTAACGGGTAGGGCCATCATCGAATGTCAACGCAACAGTTCCGGGGATAGCGCACGAACGGATTTCCTTCGGACCATATGGGACCTGACCGATGTGAGGGCGCACAATGTCTTTGGTAGGGGGTCCGTAGGGTGACTTGTGAGCGTCACAGCGACCGTAGTCGATCTTGCAATCTGGAGAGCGGCAGTGTGCCTTGGATGTGCCACAGAAGCCTATGTGCCTGCCGTCAGCGACCCGATTAATCTGCAAAGCTCTCGACACATACCTGAGGCGGAGCAGCATGTATCAATAGGGCATTTGCCGATCTTGGGACCGCAGCGGTAGTCAACATTGTTGGGAACATCGCGAATGTTCACAGCTGCCTCAACAGCCTCCTCGATCTGAGACTGATCGTGAGGGACGGTATAGACTGGGGTGTTGCCAAAGAATCCTGCGAATGCACAACTTGCCAGTGGCAGAAGGGCCAGAACAGGAGTACGCATGTTGAGAGTAGAAGTATAAGCTGATACGTATATTCAACTGGAGATGTGGGCGAGAAGAATTTGAGTGGTACGAGAGGCGAAGAAGGGAGAAGTGAACAGAGAAGACTCCCAGGTGACGACTGGATTACACGGGAAAGAACGCATGAGGGTGGGAAGCCGCAGGTCCTTTTGGGCATATCGAGTCTACTCAACACAAAGAACAAGTAGACTCAGCAAATTGTATGCAGCTTTTCATATTCAATATCAACGTGGGTATCGTTAAATCCGTATCTGCCACTTCGGGCTTTTTTTGGTTGGTATCACCCGGTGCAGTAGATCCTGTTGATGAGCAAGGCATGGTACAAGCCTGAGGATCTCGAGATCTAGATACGAATACGTAGATCTCATAGGGCAAATCAACCCGGGTAGGTTATTGTCTGTGCCTCAAAGGTCTGTATTTGCATCTGCACGAGGTAGCCCTTCCTGACAGAGATCAGGTCATTGTAACTAGTAACTCAATTCTCCTTGGAAATATCGTCCTCTTCCACAGCGGAGAAGACGAATGGAGCAAGAGTATCAAGATGAGGACCGAACTTAGCAGGAGCAGTTCTAGCAATGACACCAATAGCAGCGATCAAATGCCGACGCTGCACCATGGAAATCTTGGACGAAGCAAGGTTCGCACTCAAGTCAGACACAAAGTCATTGAGCTGAGTGTCCGAAAAGTGAAGCACGAGGGCAGAGATAGCAGTCAGAGCACGCTTGGTGACGACAGTTCCCGCAGTATCGTTTTGGATAATGGCCATTACAGATGCCTGGAGGGCAGCCAGCTCACTCTCCTGAAGTAAAGGACCAAAGCATGTGACAACCTTGACGAGCACGTCAATGGCATCGCTGCTGAACCCCTTCGAAGGATCCTTCTCCATCATTCCCTTCACTAGTGAGCCGCGCCGCCCGGAAGCCGATGGCGTTGGGCCAGTGAGTCGGGGAACCAGGACCTTGGAAACTGCGGAGTATGCTGCGGAGGCATTTTGCGAGGCTGGCTGGCCTGTCTGGGGACGCGGGAGAGTGTCGACAATGACGCGGAGGGCAGTGTTGGGAATGGAGGTGTCTATCGTCTGAGAAGCGGTCAAATTGGCCAACTGCTCGAGCAGAGGTGTGAGGGATTCGAATGGAAGGCGAACGGCCAATGGGCCAAGACTGGTTCATTTGTTAGCACCAAGCATATTCTTGTCCATCGAAGCTCGCACGTACCACTTGAGCGCCTGATTCTGCACGTCGCCATGTTGATCATCCAGAGCTTTGAGTAGCCCTTCCGCAAGCTTGGTTGATGTACCCCGGTCATGGGAGAGGAATGACGAGTTTGGGTTTGTGAGGATGCCGTATAGATCGTTCAAGGACATGTAACGCAGGTCGGCATCGGGATCGTCGAGCTTGGCCAGCAGGCTAAAGATCGTCTGCTGGGTGATTTGCCGATCAGCCATTTTGATAGGGCTTGTATGTCAGGTGTAATGTGGACTGAGAGGGTGTAGAGGGCAGAATGAGGAGATCATGGATGATCGAAGTGAGCGCGTGTAGTAGCTTTGGATCGCCGCAACGTGGGGTTGTGGCGCCTGAGGTGTCTAGATAGCTTCCTGAGGCATCAAAGCGGGCCAGGCACTGAACTCCCGAGGTATACAGTGGTGTAGACCTGCTTGACTTGGGCCCTTTCGAGGGAATAGGCACCTCTGGTCTGGGAGATAAGCTCAATGCGAAGAAACAATTGTTGACTGGCAGTCATATAGCCCCAATGGCCCAAATCAAGACCCCTAAGCCCCTGTACAGTAATCTGATGATCTGATAGCTATGGCCAATCTCCACAGCCAAAAGAGATCCAACAAACCCCCGAGAAAAGGCCCAAAGCCATAGTAAAAACGGGCACTATTGGGGCTCCATGTACCTGGGACCTCCCAACCCAGCCAAGTCTCCCGCAAAACACCAGTACCCAGTACCTCCCAGCCCCAGCATTACATCACCTCGCACAGACCATCTCGGAAACAAGCAAGAAGCGGTCTTACGAGACGTGCCTGGCATTCCCCCCGGGACTTAGTTGACCTTCTCTTTTCTACACCTATCACACTCCCCCTATTCTCTATCCATCCTCAATTCGTGACGTACCTGGGCTCTACAGTATACTCATACAATCTACAACTTAAGTTATACTCTACAATCACAATGGTCTTTGCGCGCCGTTCAATCTTCCGCGCTGCGACTGCAGCCCAGTCCTTCCGGGCGGTGCCTGTTGCCCGTCGGTCTGCGCAGGCACTTGGTCGTCGGTTCAATTCTACCGGGGGTCATGAGCAAAGTCATGCATCCAGCGACTTGCCTTGGTGAGTTTGATCCATGGGTTCAATGGAACTGTTTGGTTTACTTCGGTTTGGATTGAAGACTAATTAGGGTTCATTTTGCAGGTTGTTCGGCTCTGTTGCGGTGACTGGACCCATGATCTTCTATCTTTGGCCGTCTGGGTCTGAGGGACATGGACACGATGATGCTCATGGGGATGACCATAAAGAAGAGCATGCGGAGAAGGATGAGGAGAAGGTAGAGGAGGCTTCTGAGGAGACTCCTAAGGAGGAGGATAAGGGTGCTCAGGGCTCTGGAGAGAAGAATGGTGAGAAGGCTGGTGAGGAAAAGAAGGAGGAAAAGCCCAAGGATGAGAAGGACGAAAAGAAGGATGAGAAGGAGGACGAGAAGAAGGACGAGAAGAAGGACGAGAAGAAGGACGAGAAGAAGGACGAGAAGAAGGACGAGGAGAAGGAGGAGAAGAAGGAGGAGAAGAAGGAGGAGAAGAAGGACGACGAGAAGGACGAGGAGAAGGAGGAGAAGAAGGAGGAGAAGAAGGACGACGAGAAGGATAAGTCCGAAGAACCCAAGGACGAAAAGAAGGGCGAGGACAAGTCCTAAAGCCAACCCTAACCACCACATGACCAACTGCATCGAGCGCCGATTCAATGTTTGATATTCTCCACTTGTAAATGTACTAGCGAAGAGATGTGACAAATGACCATACTAGCCAGCCCATTACTTATCAAGAGAACCATTGTCTTGCAGCTGTAAACGACAATATATAAGATGAGGTATTGCCATCCAAGGAGTCCATACAGGTTGCTATTAGCAGATCAGTTCAGTTCAACTATTCCATCTACCTCTGCACAAGATCAAAAATAGCATATTAACATCCCCAAAGGAGAATCTTTGAATTCATGTGCTCGTCACAAACAAGCGCCCGCGCCCGCTCTTCTATAGGCTACTCTACCTGGCGGAAACGAGCTCAAACCAATACATAACAGCATATCAACACATCCAGAGACAACATTGGGAAGCTCGACCAAAGTATAAAATATAACTATAACACGGTTGAAAAATCCCCGCGTGGGGACTGAGGACAAGGGCGCCCACAGCAACCACTGCGGTGAATGTGTACACTCACACCTAGGCCTTACGGCTTCGTGTGCGAGGACCACGCTGTTCGGCAACGGGCTCGCCATTGACAAGAACCTGGGGCGCGTGGTTCTCCTTAGCGGACTGGTCAGCGCCAGTGGCGATAGCCTTGGTATCGTTAACAGCATCAACTTCCTCTTCCTCTTCCTCTTCGTCATCGCTGCGCTCGTCCTTGGCGACGCTGGTAAAGATGTAGTTGGCCAGAATGCGGAGGATGAGGAAGAGCCAGAAGAGGTTCACAGCCTGGAGACTGGCTAGGAGACCGAATGTGATATACTGACTGATCCAGCACTTGTACTGCTGGGTCTCCCAGTTCAATTCGAACGGACCGACAGTGCGGAACTCGGTCAGAACGGCCCAGAGGATCTTCAGGTTCAGGAAGTGGCGCAGGTAGATCCACCAGCCGACGAACATGGCGAAGTAGGGCGGGGTGATGAAGGCATCGATGTAGTTCAACACCTTGGAGGTTGCCAGGAAGAAATCGGAGATATCGTGCGTGATATAGACGGCTAGACCCATGTAGGTGAAGTGGAAACGGTAGCTCAGCCCGATAAGCGCAAGCGTGATGATGTGGTGGCCGACCAGTTCCTTGAAGTCCTTGCGGGGCTTCTCGAGCTGCAGGAGCAGCACGATAGCCTGCTGGGCCCAGTAACTAGCCTCGAGGAGATAGTAGGCCTTGAAGAAGCCCTCGTGCTCGCGGTGGGGGAACCCCTCGAACATGGCGGTTGTGTTGAAGTACCAGATGGTTGAGCGCTTCATCACGAACAGACCAAAAGGTCCGAAGACTCCAAAGTAGACGGCAGTGTACATCTGCTCCATGAATCGCGCGGTCTTTCCCTTGCCCCGGATACCACACCAAACAGCGAAAGGACGGATCATCTGCTGCATGATAAACTCGCGCGTGAAAGACAGCACCACGGTGTAGAAGGCCACAAAGGCAATATCTTTCTTTCCCTTTCCATACATGATCGGTCCGCCGGGTGTCTTTGGGGATTGCGGGTAAGAGAGGAAGATGGCGCTGTGCATGGGGTTTGACGTGGTGGGATTGATCGCATACAAGCCGAGCAGGAACAGCATAATCACCAGTGGCAAGAGCCAGGTATATCGCAGACAGGTATCCGCGAAGCGGTGGAGGAGAGACCGAGCCCGACGGCGCTTATGTTGGGCCTTGCTGGCGAATTTGTCTGCATCGCGAGTGTCGAATTGCTGTCGGGGGAGGGTCAGTCTGCGTGATGCGCGCGGGACCGGGATTGGAATCACGTTGCGCATACCTTGAGATCCGGGGAGGAGGGTTCAATCGGGCTGACCTCGTTCATTGTTGACATGGCTGGTGCGCTGGTGTCGCCTCTGATGTCCACGCCCAGGGCTGAGCTTCCCCGCGGGCGAACCATGATTGTGCTGTCTGGTGTATCTCGTATTCGGCGGATGAAGTTCGAGGTTTGATCAAGCTCACGTGCTCCCAGAAGTGAACAGAAGAAAAGAACAGAAAGTCGACAGTCGAACACGTCGGAACGATCGGATCAGAAGGGAAGATCAGTGATCAGCTTTTTTTTCCCAGGGGTTGACTCCACTGAGCTCGCGGAAATTCTTGGCATTGGTCCGCTACAAAGAAGTTCTCGTCCGGTTGGAAATGCGTCGGCTTCGATGAGTCGGAACTTATTTCAATCTACGTCCCTGGATGTGTCGGTCTCAATGAAGAGAAATTGATCCTGCTCAAGGCTTTACATTGATCTGCGCATCTTGTCTGGGGTAAATCGCAGGTTTCGAGAAATGACATCACAGGGCTGTCCGCTTCAGGCCAGATAGTGAACGCTCAGCTACTACTTCAGGGCTTCGAGGTTACATACTTGAACATCTTGACCTACTTGGATGATTTCTTGGGCTAGAGCCATTCAGGACCACTGTGTATTGGCAATGAATAGAAGCAAGCAGACTGTCAAAGTTCATGAGGGGACGGATTCAACCCCCGACTGGTTTGCAAGCAGATTCTGGAGTACTGTACACTGTACAGTAGGACACGCCTGTTATAAACATACTTAGCAGCGGGTCCCTCGTCAACCTTATTCTGCTGCTATGTCCTCCGTACGTTGTCCTTACACGCATCCATGGATACTCCTGTAAGTAGGTCCATCTCACCCCACTGGGGACAGCAGATCGTTGCAACCCTTGAGCGCAAGTTTGGACTGGGTGAGTTCAGAGCTGATAACGAATGATTTTGATCTCACGTATCCTAGCGATATTCCCGCTATATGAACAACGTTGATCACGAAGATATGCTGCGTATTCGTATCCGTGTGCCCACCTGGATCCACAATTGTATGGCTGGGTAAGCAACACAACGTTCCATTGGATAAGTTGAACATTCTTGAGACTGAGATTGGGACCAGTAAGCTGCTCATATAGTACGGGACATGTTAAAATCACACCCTTCCCTATATAATAGTGGAAGTATGACATTAGCGTTGCGATTAGCATATTATAACCAATTTTCCCGCGCCCTTCCAAGGGGCACTTTCAATTTATCACATTCAAAAATCCACCGTTTCGGCAATGCTCTGCAAGGAAACAGAGACGCAGTTCTACGACTCGACTTCGAAGATCTGCGCCATAGAGCCGAAAGAGCGCTCTGGCGCATGAGATCCCTGTGGCATCCTCCTATATAGGGATCGGTGTGTCCGTTTGTGCTGTTGGTTGCTTTTGCTTTTTCCCCTTTTTCTTTCTTTTTGCTGTGCGTCATACTGGAAATAGATACGGAACAACAAATTGTAACCAAATGGGACGTGATTCCCCACCGAGCCTGCCTTTGATATCTTGATTTTGGATTTTCTCCGCGAAGTCACGGAGCCTCGGTCCCATGATCAGGTAGACGGTCAGTCATGTAGTCGTGGATGTTCGTCTTTCTCGTCCCAATTCGAGTTGCCAGCTTGAGTATACATGACCCTCGGTCAACTAATTCCCGTGAGTCTCTTATATCGACGAATATGTAGAATTCGATGTCCTGTCAGGATAAGTTGGACTAAATTAAATCATGACGCCGAAGCCACTCCCCTACCTTTCCTCTCTTCCTCGCTAGTCTAGTGGGGTTAGACGTTTAATTTCACTTCAATTACTATACTTTGCGTCAAGATCGACATATAACGGTCTGCTTGACTGAAAGTGGGTCAAGTATCTCAAACGGGAGATGCATGTAGTTGACGGGCTGCGTCCAAGTACCCCAATTGGAGTAAACATCACAAAAGGACGCGTGGGGACTATTCTATATGTACAGTACAGAGACAGGGATTTGTATGAATCTATTTCAGATTGAAAATATTCATTAAAAGTTCAGTCAAAAGAAAAAGAAAAAATAATCATTATGGCAGCTAGCCACCAGTATGTACAAAGCTCAAAGTGATCTAAAATCAAAGCAAAACTAAGAGTTCAAACAAATTGAATCCAGAAGGACCGATAATCTAGTCGGTCTTGGGAACAACCTCGGCATGCAAAGCACCGCGCTTCTCGCTACTAGCCAACTTCTCCCCAAGAGCCTCAACATCTCCAGACTCGGCAGCAACAGTGCGCTTAGTATCATGAGTGGTCTTCCATGCAGGAGTTCCAATATAAGGAATTCCATGAGGATCCTCAAAGATCTGCTCCGTCTCCTCAAGAGTCTTACCAGCAGTCTCAGGGAAGAGGAAGTAAACATGAAGCAGCATAACAAACAAGAAGACACCAAAGATGATGTAAGTCTGCCAGCGGATGTTGGCAAATGCAGACGGCACAAACAGACCAAGTGCAGTGTTGAACGCCCAGTTGGCCGATGTAGCCAACGCGACAGCCTTGCCTCGCACGCGCAGAGGGTACAGCTCAGGAGGGTAGACCCATGAGACGGGACCCCAGGTTGGTGCGTAGGAAGCGACGAAGAGGTATGTGCAGGCGATGAGACCCTGGGCGGGGGCACCGGAGAGTCTCATCGACTCCTCGGCAACACCCTTGATACCGCCCGGCACGACAATACCGTATTTTCCCATGATACCTGCGTTGGCGAACATCCAGATCATCATGAGAGTGGCACCGACGAGGAGGGTAGGGCGACGACCCCAGCGGTCGACCCAGATCAGGGCAGGGACGGTCATGACAACGTTGATGATGTACTGGATGGAGGAGGCGAGGAGGGTGGCGTTGCCTTCGTAGCCGGCCATGGAGAAGACGTAGGTAATGTAGTACATCATGACGTTCATGCCGGTGAGCTGCGACCAGATCTGGCACCAGATACCGGTCATGGTACGGTGAATCATCTTGGGGCGGAAGAGCTCCATATAGGACACATCCTTGTTCTCACGCTCGAATTCGCACATATCGCGAATTTCCTGCATCTCGGCCATGACGAAAGGACTGTTGGGGTCGCCTTTGCCGTGGACTAGAGTCAGCACGGATTGGGCTTCTTCCCAGCGGTCATTGCGGGCTAGCCAACGGGGGGATTCGGGGAGGATCATCATTCCGAAGAAGAGAAGGACGGCGGGCACCATTTGAATACCCCAGGGGATACGGAAAACTGATTCGCTGTAGTCGGTCGCGTTGGGGCCTCCAATGTAGGAGCAACCGAAGGAGATACTGTTTAAATCGGGGTCAGCAGGTTGTCCATGTTATATGCATGGGATAAAGTTTGTGAAATGGGAGTACTTACTAGTACATGATGAGAATACCCCATGTAATAGCCCACTGCTGAGAGCCGACGAGACGACCACGCTTAGAGGGAGGTGAAATCTCTGAGATATAGACAGGGACCTGGGCAGACTCGATACCGACACTGAGACCGTTGATCACACGACCGGCGACGAGCATACCCATATTCTGGGAAGCACAAATAATAATGGAACCAATAACCCTATAAAGCAAAGATATTGTTAGCCCAAAATGAAAAAAGCACATAATGAAGAATAGCAGGATAATGCCAGCACATACCAGATAACACAACCAACCATGATGGCATACTTGCGACCCAGACGATCCGAAATGAAACCAGAAATCAGAGCTCCAAGCCAGGAGCCACCGGGCATAGCAGCAGTGACACCACCCTGCTCCAGCGAGCTAAGACCAGAGCAGTCGTTGTCATCATTGAACGGAGGACCCTTAGGCCCGTGGTTAAAGTAACATTTGTAGGCAGGAGTACTGATAATCGCCGACATGGACGAGATATCAAAGCCAAACAGCCCACCACCAATGACGGACACAGCCGCGATTGCGTAGATATTCCCCACGACAAACATGGTGAATGTTGATCCCAGAGGGGGCAAGTGAAAGGGGAAATTGAAAGACGATCAGGAAGGCTGAGAACGGACTGGGGGAGGGGTTTTATAAGGGAAAATTCTCCAGGTCAATATCAGACCCAGCTCATAAAATAATAAGCCATGCATGGCTAAATGGACTGAAATACAAAGGAAAGATACACTTGGTATACAGGGCTGCCAAGACCCCGTTTGCAACCCCAGGCTTATGTAACACCTTTAATTGGCTGGTCGGCTCCCCAGCTACTCCACTTACTTGCCTCTGATTGGCCAACCACCCGGCAACTCTGATGGGATCCGGGGAATCGGCCACGAGGTGACAGTACTAGACCCAAAGGAGTCAAGCGTTGTATTTCTAGCCCTGAACCCGGTCTGAAGCCGTGTTCGGGAGAACAGAAAAAAGCCGGCGGATTCCCTGCACTCGGTACGGCAGTGGCGTTTCTCGGCGCCTTGTGAGAAAGAGAGTTCAACAGAGGACTTGGTAGCATACAGAGCAAAATAGAGAAGGATAAGGTAAAATATGGTTCCTGGACATGTGCACATCAGGAAAAGGGGACCCATGAACCAGTTTTTCCGTCCCCAGATTAACCCACAAAACACAGCATGGAATGCGTCTCGGCTTTGCATATCCCGAACAAACCCTGACAGCCAGACGTGTAATTTTGCCCAGCCGACTGCGACATTCTTTTGCAATTACCCGGAGAAATCCACTTAGCGTAGATAGCCAAATCCATTGGGGGAGGAGTCCCGAGCTCACATACTAGTCCGGGGCCCCAACTACGGCCATTTTCCCAGAACGGGAACCGAGCACGGCATCCTACGGCCTCGTTGGCTGACGCCGATGTGGACTCGGGCACGATTCGGGCCTTTCGAGCGTAATTTATGGGACGGCGTGGGCCGATGTCCGCATATTTCCTTTTACCCTTCAAATTTTTTCATTTCCTTGATGGTCTTTGCCGGTCTCTGCGTTACGCTGGAAAGTTAAATTGAAAATGTTTCAGGCCTGACTTTTGTAATTGTGACTGGTTGTCTAGAGTGGAGCGGTCATGGGAATTTTCTCTTTTCCAAGGTTGGATAGCATGTCTAGAATGGGGTGCGCATTTCCTAGTTGAATTTCACTATATGTACGTGTAGTCTGAGGTGACATTCCCCCGCTTCCTGGGAGATGCGGAGGACTGGGGAAGAGCCAACTTGTTTCGCTCACCGAGAGTCAATCCCCAGACATTTTGCTGTTTCCGAGGTTTGGATTTCTGTAACAGCACATGTAACTTGGAGCTTAGCGGCGATGATCTCCCACACGTTTCCTCGTTTAGGTTTTCCGTCCCCCTTGCTGTTTTTCATTTGTGCTCAAGCCACTGACATGGGTGGTGTTGCGAACCGTTGCTTTTTTTTTTGGCACGGGCCATTTTAATATGGTAAGTCCGTTGATTACCCGAAATGAGGCATTTGTGAGATTGTCGGTCTGAGACTTGGTTTCGTGGTTGGACTAAAACTGTGTTTGAGTAGCGTTACATAGATCATCTCGCCAGGAAGAATTTGCCAGGTACAATGGTTGATCGTTTTGACAGCATTTCCTGACTAACACTACATCTCGACCTGGAAGCCCCAAAAAAATCGAAGATGACAATCGACAAATGCAAGAGACTCTATAAGCGCCCCCAAGCCCATACACACGTAATATTAGTACTGTACAGCAATGGGCCGATTACGAAACAGCTTGATCAAACATCGGCAGATTCCGAAAAACCAGCTTTAGGTGTAGATCGACACTCAATCGGCCTTAGCCGAAGGGGACTGCTCTTGTTCAGCGAAGATACAAGCGAACCTAAGCGCAACTCTCTTCCCCAATGCCATCTTCTTCCATTGGTCAAAGTGCTGCAAATGAACCATGCTGAGAGGCTATCTCAATTTCTCTCGATCAGTAGGACTTTCCAGATACAAGTTTCTCCAATTCTGCTGAAGTTCAACATCGAAAGGTCGCCCGTTAATTACATCGATCTTGTATGCTCAGCTTCATCAGTCACAACTGGATTATATCAACGCAGTCCAATGCCGTTTCTCCAATATAAGAAGGCATATGTGATTATTGCTGTGACAGCTTGGCTCATACACTGACGTTGATTTTCAGACTGGTATTAATTGTCGTGTATGCTGACTTTGTGAGGTAAATTTGAAGGCCACCAAGGCCTAGTAAGTCTCTTCCTATCTGCCATGTGTATAATCTGTATAGGATTTCTGGTATGAGCAAGATCCATCTTGGGCCCTGATGCCTGGTCCACCGATCGTACTAAAATCCAACCCAATTCGGATGCAAGGGTTGTGGCCTCCTAATTTTATATCATTAAGATTTACGCTTTCCTTCACCCACAATATCGACGATCCTTGCCCCCTTCTATAACTGCTTCCAACCTGATACACAAGATCTCGGGCACATATTGAGGCGACCACTGCCACATACTCTTGCCATTCTTTGTTCTTGTACAAATCAGCATATTCACAGATGCCACGGATGAAGAACAGGGGAGCTCGTTCAAAAGTTCCATGGCTTCCATTTCAACGCATAGAATATCCATTTCCGCGACTTACTTGGTCCCGAGCTGAGGCAAGTTCAAGAGCCGTATTAGACGATGCTATTATCCCGCAATTAATAGTGAGATCGTCATCGAGCTTGGTGCGTGGTTTGCGTAGAGTTAGATATTTCTCTCGATACGTAATTGACCATAGTATCATGCAGTGGTATTGCAGGTAGTTGACCTCGAGTACTTGATTCACTGCCAGCAGAAGCCTCTTCGATTCAATAGCTACTTTGTCACCCTTAATATTTTGTGACTATAAGCTACCCTACGAGGTGTACTTAGGTATGGAAGGCCGCTAGATAACGTTGAAATACAGCATCTGTTATTCTGATTCTTAACCGTGGGACTGCATCGGTACGTGTGATGGTTTATGCAGGCAGGCGCATCAGATGTGCCTGCCACCTGGACATACAATTGCTGAAGAGGTTAAGGGTTTGCCTGCTACTGTTTTTGGGATTAGTGGAAATAGTCCATTGAGAAATGAGGGCTTGTTTTGTTCATTGCGAGATACCCGCCCCTTCGTCGTTTGATATCACTAATAAACTACGTAGTCACATTGTAGTAGTTTTTGAGTATTGTTTTTTACATCTAATTTTACCTCTGACATTGTATCGAATTTAAGCATTGTGATGAATCGGATGCATCATCAATCCTCGTCTAGTACCCTGAGTCTGCTAGTAATCCCCCATGAGTGGCGGTAATACATGGGCACCGAATGAACCTACAGGTAGTTCATATTGGGTCAAGCCAGACTGATAATGTCGGCTTTAGAATAGTCGTCAAGCAAGCTCACTGGGCATATTGAATTCGAAACCTCCCAGGATCGGTGTATATCAGGTGTCAGAGGCACAATATAAGCATGAGATGGCATACAGCAGTATCAAAAATGGCTTACCAAAGCTGCCATTGGTTCTTAAATTTATCACATTAACTGACAACAGAAGTACGAACAATCCAACCCCCAACTGGTTGCCGAATCCGATCTGGAATCGGAGTTTTATGCGACCCGAGACGATTCCTATTCACCGCCCGCATTGAGGACCCGCCCGATTGTCCGTTGAGTCTTTCTATTCAGCTTCATCGTCTGATTGTTCTCGCTTGCGCATGTCTATTGTCTCATGCGATGTAATGCCAATTAGTCTGCTGTGACCCCCGCACTGTCATAGAGGGCAGGCCCCTTTTCGCCCCCTTCGTCTTGACCTTCACTCCAATACTTGATTACTTCCGCGGCTCAGAGCTACAAACCCTTGAAGTGACTAGGCTGTAGCCTCCACGACCACCACATTCTACCTTCCAAACCTACAGTCACCTTGGTATATCGCGAAGCCCCGAACGCACACTCCACAATGCCCTCCTCCGCCACAAACGGAGCCTCCTCCACCCCGGACGCTCTGGAGTCCGACCTCCTCGTCAAATTGTCAGCTAGTTGCGCCCTCGAAGATCTACAAGAGAGCCTTCTGGGCTCTCTCCACCGTGTAGGTTGGACCGACAAAGTGACGACCCTTGCCACAGAACTGCTCCGCGCCGGCCGATGCGAAACCTTCGATGATGTGATGGAAGCAATCGTAGCTTCGGCAGAGGGAAGACCCCATCGCGCACTAGGCTCCAAGGCCACAAACGGTGAATCAACCACAAACGGCACAAACGGGACCAAGAAAGGCAGCAAAGAGAATCCTGCCTACGACCCTCTGAAGTACATCGAAGAAGTTGATGTCCGGATTCCTGAAACGGTGGTGGATGAAGGTGTCCGTGGTCTCAAAGATATTCTGCGAGATGTCGCCGACCTTGAGGGGGAGAGTGCGCCGAATGGCGACAAGAAGTAATATTACCGGACAAAGGTGGTACTTCGAGGTGCGATCATGCATGGCTGGGTTTTCCTTAGGAGTACAAATGTTTTCGGGCGTGCGGCATTGGACGTGTTTCCTTCTGTTTTCCCATTTACGATTCGTGGGGGGACTTGTGAAGTCCACAGGCGCTCTTGTATCATCTCAAATAGACATATCACGGGGTTCTGCATATTCCCCATGAAAGCACTTGGTTTATCGTGTTCCTCCTTTCTAATTAGAGATGGACTTGATCTACTCTATCAGTTCAGACATTCTCTATGACGCAATAGGTCCTATATCTGAAGGATTCACTGCCGAGTGTAGGCTATAGCCCAAGGAATAGCCCTATAGGACGCTTTTCAGAACATTGGGTTGGTGGGATGAATCGGCCTAGTGAAACGCAGGGGCTAGTCAAATTGTCGGAAATTAACCGCGCAGTAAAGAGGCCCCAAAGTCGGAGATATCTCATTTTAAAGAGATCGCGGTAGCGTTTAATTGGGTTTAACACAACGGGAAGTTTGTCCATGTATCCACACTCATGTAGCAGCCTGGAATTGCCTCCAACTATGTCATGAACATA